GTAGATGTGGGATAGCAAACTGATGGGGCGGTAGTTTGCAAGATCTTTCTTGTCTCCCTTCTTGAAGAGTAGAATAATGATGGCGTTCTTCCACTTTTTTTGGCACTTTTTCCGTCTCAATGGCTTTGTTGTAAAGATGCTGAAGTTTTTCCATTAGGATGTCACCTCCGGCCTTTATCATCTCTATCACCACAAGATCTTCACCGGGTGATTTTCCATTTTTCATCTGATGGATTGCCTTCTCCACTTCGCATTTCATGATTACTGGAGTCTCTTCTGCTGGTCTCAACTGAATGTTTTGGGAGGGATCTTCGTACAGTGCCTGATAGAATTCTGCACATCTCTCGAGGATTCTTTTTCTGTCTGTTGTTACCTTTCCATCCTTCTCCTTCAGCGCTTGAATCAGAGCCTTCTTTCCATCTCCTGTTGTGCTCTTTTTCAACCTTTGCAACTTTCAACTGCTTCTCTGATTCTCTTGGTGTTTGCTTCTCTCATGGAGAGGAGCATACTAAATATCAAGCTAAAAGACAAGATCAGGAATGAAGTAATAAGAGAGAGAACTAGGGTGAAAGATGTCATCCAAACAGCAAAAGAAATGAAAGGCAGATGGGCAGGACATGTGGCAAGAATGGAAAACAACAGATGGGCCAAATTGACAACAGAATGGTACCCAAGAAACTGCACCAGAGGAAGAGGAAAGCCAAAGAGAAGATGGAGAGACGAGATCGAAGAGGAAACTGGAAAGACCTGGATGAGGAGAGCTAAAGACCGAATATAGTGGAAGAAGTTGTGGAGGCCATCTGCCAGCAGTGGCGTGAACGGCTGATGATGATGATGATGATGATGACGTGTTAAAAGCGGAAACGGGCAAGAGCGTAGTAACTAAAATCTGCCAAAAGTCACGTTCAATTCTCTATTCATCGTCGAAGAAAAGTAACTTCATATAGGTTCAGAATGCAAGAGGAACATTTTCAGAAAATTGAAATCGTTAATCGATATTCTGATCGTGTCAACAACGTAAAAAAAATGCGATAGAAAGAAAAATACTGTGGTAAATAATAGCCGTTTTCTAATTATAAGATAATTTTCTATCATTTGTTTTTTGTGCCACCTCCAGATTTTGGATATGTTATAGACAATAAGAATATCTACAATATGGCAAAGTTTAAAAAATTCTACCGTGTAGTTTTTTATTTATAAGGCTTTGTTTGTTAAAGAACAGGAATTCTTAACTTAAATATGCAATGTCATGCACGTTGCATGATAAAATCGTTATTTTTTTACAACGAAGTCGTCAAAAGAAAAACACTACGTTATTCAACAACAACAACATCTCGAATTGTTTTATTTTCAACAATACTCCCCCCTTCTGTGATAATCCCAAAATGTCAATCACGTGAAATGCACGCGCTACGTCACAACAAAACAAAATAAAAACAACTGTTCATCACATGCAATATTATATTACGCGAATTCGTGTCATCTAACTATGTCGATGGTTTTCTATCATTTATTTTTTTGTGCCACCTCCAGATTTTGGATATGCTATAGACAATAAGAATATCTACATTACGGCCAAGTTTAAAAAAATTCTACCGTGTAGTTTTTTAGCTATAGAGCTGTTTGTCGAATGTGGTGCCAACTTCACGGTTAATACCAGAGTACATTCTCAAGGAATATTATTCCTTTTATTTTTTTGTGCCACCTCCAGGTTTTGGATATGTTATAGACAATAAGAATGTCTACGATATGGCCAAGTTTAAAAAAATTCTACCGTAGAGTTTTTTATTTACAGGCCTTTGTTTAGCAATGACTTGAAATTCTCAACTCAATTATATAAGATTATATTACGCGCATTCGTGTCATCCACTTTGTCGATGATTTTCTACAACTTATTTTTGTGCCACCTCAGATTTTGGATATATTTTAGACAATATAATTATCTATATTCTGGCCAAGTTTAAAAAAATTCTACCGTGTAGTTTTTTATTTATAGGCCTTTGTTTGTTAAAGAACAGGAATTCTTAACTTAAATATGCAAGATTATATTACGCGCATTCGTGTCATCCGACTTTGTCGATGATTTTCTACAACTTATTTTTTTGTGCCACCTCCAGATTTTGGATATATTTTAGACAATATAATTATCTATATTCTGGCCAAGTTTAAAAATTCTACCGTGTAGTTTTATTTATAAGGCTTTGTTTGTTAAAGAACCGGAATTCTTAACTTAAATATGCAAGATTATATTACGCGCATTCGTGTCATCCGACTTTGTCGATGATTTTCTACTTATTTTTTTTTGTGCCTCCAGATTTTGGATATATTTTAGACAATAAGAATATCTACAATATGGCCAAATTTTAAAAATTCTACCGTGTAGTTTTTAAATATAGAGCTGTTTGTCGAATGTGGTGCCAACTTCACAGTTAATACCAGAGTACATTCTCAAGGAATATTATTTTTTTGTGCCACCTCCAGATTTTGGATATGTTATAGACAATATAATTATCTATATTCTGGCCAAGTTTAAAAATTCTACCGTGTAGTTTTTTATTTACAGGCCTTTGTTTTCAATGACTTGAAATTCTCAACATAATTATATAAGATTATATTACGCGCATTCGTGTCATCCGACTTTGTCGATGATTTTCTACAACTTATTTTTTTGTGCCACCTCCAGATTTTGGATATATTTTAGACAATAAGAATATCTACAACATGGCCAAGTTTAAAAAATTCTACCGTGTAGTTTTTAACTATAGAGCTGTTTGTCGAATGTGGTGCCAACTTCACGGTTAATACCAGAGTACATTCTCAAGGAATATTATTTCTTTTATTTTTTTGTGCCACCTCCAGATTTTGGATATATTTTAGACAATATAATTATCTATATTCTGGCCAAGTTTAAAAAATTTCTACCGTGTAGTTTTTATTTATAGGCCTTTGTTTTTAATGACTTGAAATTCTCAACATAATTATATAAGATTATATTACGCGCATTCGTGTCATCCGACTTTGTCGATGATTTTCTACAACTTATTTTTGTGCCACCTCCAGATTTTGGATATATTTTAGGCAATATAATTATCTATATTCTGGCCAAGTTTAAAAATTCTACCGTGTAGTTTTTTATTTATAGGCCTTTGTTTGTTAAAGAACCGGAATTCTTAACTTAAATATGCAAGATTATATTACGCGCATTCGTGTCATCCAACTTTGTCGATGATTTTCTACAACGTATTTTTTTGTGCCACCTCCAGATTTTGGATATATTTTAGACAATATAATTATCTATATTCTGGCCAAGTTTAAAAAATTCTACCGTGTAGTTTTTATTTATAGGCCTTTGTTTGTTAAAGAATCGGAATTCTTAACTTAAATATGCAAGATTATATTACGCGCATTCGTGTCATCCGACTTTGTTGATGATTTTCTACAACTTATTTTTTTGTGCCACCTCCAGATTTTGGATATATTTTAGACAATATAATTATCTATATTCTGGCCAAGTTTAAAAAAATTCTACCGTGTAGTTTTTTATTTATAGGCCTTTGTTTGTTAAAGAACCGGAATTCTTAACTTAAATATGCAAGATTATATTACGCGCATTCGTGTCATCCGACTTTGTCGATGATTTTCTATAACTTATTTTTTTGTGCCACCTCCAGATTTTGGATATATTTTAGACAGTAAGAATATCTACAACATGGCCAAATTTAAAAAAATTCTACTGTGTAGTTTTTTAACTATAGAGCTGTTTGTCGAATGTGGTGCCAACTTCACAGTTAATACCAGAGTACATTCTCAAGGAATATTATTTCTTTTATTTTTTGTGCCACCTCCAGATTTTAGATATGTTATAGACAATATAATTATCTATATTCTGGCCAAGTTTAAAAAAATTCTACCGTGTAGTTTTTTATTTACAGGCCTTTGTTTTCAACGACTTGAAATTCTCAACATAATTATATAAGATTATATTACGCGCATTCGTGTCATCCGACTTTGTTGATGATTTTCTACAACTTATTTTTTTGTGCCACCTCCAGATTTTTGATATATTTTAGACAATATAATTATCTATATTCTGGCCAAGTTTAAAAAAATTCTACCGTGTAGTTTTTTATTTATAGGCCTTTGTTTGTTAAAGAACAGGAATTCTTAACTTAAATATGCAAGATCATATTACGCGCATTCGTGTCATCCGACTTTGTCGATGATTTTCTACAACTTATTTTTTTGTGCCACCTCCAGATTTTGGATATATTTTAGACAGTAAGAATATCTACAACATGGCCAAATTTTAAAAAATTCTACCGTGTAGTTTTTTAAATATAGAGCTGTTTGTCGAATGTGGTGCCAACTTCACAGTTAATACCAGAGTACATTCTCAAGGAATATTATTTCTTTTTTTTTTTGTGCCACTTCCAGATTTTGGATATGTTATAGACAATATAATTATCTATATTCTGGTCAAGTTTAAAAAAATTCTACCGCGTAGTTTTTTATTTACAGGCCTTTGTTTTCAATGTCTTGAAATTCTCAACATAATTATATAAGATTATATTACGCGCATTCGTGTCATCCGACTTTGTCGATGATTTTCTACAACTTATTTTTTTGTGCCACCTCCAGATTTTGGATATATTTTAGACAATATAATTATCTATATTCTGGGCAAGTTTAAAAAAATTCTACCGTGTAGTTTTTAAATTATAGGCTAATTAAGAGAAATGGAAAGTACACTGTAATATAAATCTTAGTGTTTTCTTCAATTTCTTGACTTTTATACATTTTTGTGATAGTTAAGGACTGTAAAATAGTAATAAACAGTTAAGAATTGTTTTTTACTGTTGTATTTGATGGGAAACGTGTTTTAAAGACGATTTTTCGATTTATCATTTTGAATGATAAATTTTAGTTGAATGTGGTGATGAATGTTGTGATGAATGTTGTGTTGAATGTGGTGCCCAATGTGGTGCCAATTTCATGGTAGTCATTTTTCAGTATTTAAATGCAATTTATAGTAAAAATGTTGAATTCATTTCGTTATCGAACTATTGTTTTCAGAAATGTATTTTACCGTTGCTACAAAGCAAGAACGAATCGTTTTGGCTATAAAGAGACGACCATCGCATCTGATGGTAATTTGTTGAAATAAGATTGTCGTAAATTTATTGTATTTAGTTTTCTTTTGTCTAGTTTGTGTTTATCCACTCGTAGTCAAGTATCATAAGTTCTTTATCAGTTGTTTTTAACCGCTATTCTTTCAGACACTCAAAATCAGCACATCAATTTAGCTGTTGATAATTCCAATCTTTGTCAACTTGCTTGGAAATACAGAGACTATGGACACAAAAAGGCATTAATTGATCCATTGAACAGAATTCCAAGGTGGCTACCAGTTGAACATCTGGCTAGTATGATAAGTTTTTTCTGTGCAAAGGGTTTCTTCTTTTGCTGACATTGATTGAATGTAAAGATCTGCACTTATATGTTTGTCCTTTGCACAATTTGCAAACTTTCTAGTCTTGATGAATGATTGCTTCATTCAAAATAATTATGTGAAAGTACTCAATGACTTACAAATGTATAATATCTTTCAGAATATGTGAGGAAATTGACAATTTTTCATCATTGTATAATGTTATGAACAATAATAAGGATGTTAGTCTGCTGGGTAGGTTTTTCTACATTCTACAAATGCATCCTTTGCCATGGTGAGATAATTTGTTTTTTAGTTTTTTTTATGAAGATTAGTAGTTTTATTATTAGTGAAATATACAGAATTTCTTAATTTGAACTATAACAGATACATAAACTATGTATGTGCATTTCTGAGCCAATTAGATGCATTCTCTACAAAACCTGCATCTACATTGTTCAGGAACATTTAAAATTTGCATCATATTTGTGAATTTGGACGTACTAAATCCTTGTCTTTTTAGGCATTCTCAACATTCCTGACAAAGAAGCAGCACCTTTATCTGAAGTTATCAGACATCTTGAAAGCATTTACTGTGGACATCTTTCTGTGGAATTAAATCATTTATCCGTAGGTTTATTTTTATACTTTTTTGGAGATAAAGGTGGAATACCTCACACTTTCAAGAGCTTCCTGTTAGCTCCTTTTCAATAAGAAAGCAATTTGTATATCCTTTCTATTATATTATTGTATTATTTTATTTATTATCTATCTGACCAGAATGAAGAGGAAAAGCAATGGCTTGCACATAAATTGGAAGAAAGTACTTTTCAGTTCTCATTGTCTTCAGAGAAAAAGAAACATGTTGCAAAACTTTTGATGAAAGCTAAGGTAATGTGAGGGGGTAGATAGGATAGATTGTGAATAGGAAAGAAAGTGGAATAGAGATGGACTGTTAATAGTCCATGGTGGGACTGTGGGAGTATAGTGAAGATAAACACAGGTTGTATGACGTGATAGGAATGAAAGGGGAGTGAAGATAAGACATTCATTTCTCAGGAGTGGAACTTAAATTAAGAGCACAGGTAATATTAGTAGATAGATATAAGGATAGGTTAAACACAGAGTAAAAATTGTTGTGAATATGGGTAAGTTAATATCCATCATAGTTGAAATGTTGTTGCATTAGATTAAGTTAATATCCCAGGAGTGTCTTGTACATGTTCTTTTGCTTGTACACTCTAGACCTTTGATGATTTCCTGGCCAAAAAATTCCCAACATTTAAACGTTATTGTGGAGCTGGTGCTGAGAGTGCATTACCATTTATTGATGAGTTGCTTTCAGAGGCATCAGCTGGTATGCAATGACCATTGGTGGATCATATATATTATAAACACGTGGAAAACACGTGATGATTCATAACTTTATCTTTTTGCTATACTCTGACTTCATCAAACGCAACACTTACAAGTACAATGAACCGAACGAAACTAACAACTCAACGACAATAGCAACGATACCTTATAATAAAAGTACGTATGAGACTATCTCGCGTATCTTACGACCATACAACATACGTGTCGCACATAAACCAATCACAACGTTACGACAAGTGCTAACGAACATAAAGGACAAAGAACAACCCAACGAACGACAAGGTGTAGTTTACAAAATAAACTGCTCCGACTGCCACGCTTTCTCTATCGGGGAGACTGGCAGGAACCTAAACATAAGACTTACTGAACACAAACGAGCTACAAAGAAACAAGATAAAACCAATCACATTGCCGAACACCATCGACTGACAAAACACAACATTGACTGGGACTCGGCAAAATGTATTACATACAGCACTGACTATAGACAACGCCTTACATTAGAAAGTTGGTAGACCAACTTAGAACAAAACCCCCTGAACAGATCACAACAATTACCGGCACCTTACAAACGACTCATTTACAATACAAACAAACAAGCAACGAACACATTACTTTAGACTAATCCACGATAACAAGAAACCCAAACACCCAAACATTTCCCGTGCACACAATACGATGACGTAAAGCCTGCAGCACACGAGAGCTATCAGCTTAGCTAAAAGTTACTCGTACCCGTTAGCTCAGGCAATAGCTCGATGAGTGTGGATGAATTTTACTGACTTTTATCGCTCATGTAACCTTTTCTCGCATATCAAGCATGTTTGATAATTTTGGCCCCGCGAGGCAAAAAACTCACCGTTTGCGCCGAATGTAAGCTAGTTGCTCACATAACCAATTGAAGAACCAATATAGTGATGCGTCCTTTTATCTTGCGAACAAATAGCAATATATATATATAGGCTACCGCAACAAGCGAATTGATGAGCGAGTACATGCTAGACAAATTTAAGTCATTTACAAACTAGTCGACGCCATGGCCAAACTACCACTAAGTACAAGTGACAAAATCTTTGGAATAGAACTATTTCCATGTTGACCGTTAAGACAATTTTGTTCTCGACTTTAATCCCATAACATCATGAAATTTTTGAAAATATGTAGTTGAGCGGGTCAACTAAAGCATGAATGGGTCAGAGGCGTAACTAGAACGTTAAGTGGGGGGTGCATATTTATACATTCCGTTGTGCCCTACTGATTTCTTTTGAAATTCAAATCACTTTCAAAAGAAATCAGTAGGGCACAACGGAATGTATGAATATGCACCCCCCAATTAACGTTCTAGTTACGCCTCTGGAATGGGTATTCGTTCATCACTCGTTTGTAATCGATATTTTGCTGTTTTTTCACGAGAAAAAGGACGCGTTACTATTGGTTCTTCAATTGATTATATGTGAAGCATCTAGCTCACATTCAGTGCAAACGGCGAGTTTTTTTGCCTCGCGTGGCTAAAAATATCAAACATGCTTGATATGCGAGAAAAGGTTGCATAGGCCGTAAAACTCAGTAAAATTCATCCGCATAGCGAGCTCTAGCCTGAGCTAACGGGCACGAGTAAACTTTTACTTCAGCTAGTACCTCTCGTGTTCTACAGGCTTAAGACCCAGATAACAAATACGACTAACCTAACGTTTATTCCTCACTTGACTCTGAAGATGACTACCACTAAGGTTGTCAAAACATCAGTCTACATCAATACCAACAGTCCTTCTCAGGACTCTACTAACCTGGACAATCTTCATCCACAAACATGTTACGATACTCCCGGGTTCAAACCATTTACCTTATCTTTTTATACATCTGCGCTTCTTTCAAATCCAGTCTATGGAATTGAAGATGTTGTCATTGGTATGGCTCATCGTGGGAAACTGGAACTGTTAGTTTGCATTCTTGATTATTCACCTGTAAAAGTATTTAGTAAAGTGAGTGTCATGCCAACCATGACGTCAGCACAATAAAACATTCAATGCTTTTTACATTTAACATTTCTTTAAGATCATTGGTAAACCAGAGTTTCCAGAACATCTTGGCACTGGAGATGTTGCTTCACACTTGTGTGAGTAAAAATGTTTGAAAAATCGTTGCTTCTCTTTTTACTTACTAGATTTGTAGAATGCTTTCATACATACATCTATGTGATTGTGTGGCCTGATGATTCTCTGTAGCAATTTCAACAGACGTGAATTACGGAGGTGAAAAACCATTACATGTTAGTTTGATTCCAAACCCCTCACATCTGGAGGCACAGGATCCCGTCGCTTGTGGCAAGACGCGTTCCAAACAGCTGAGATTACGTGAAGGTCACTATGGCAACAATCCAGAAAGTCGCTGTGGTGACAGGGTAAACTTCAAACGATCAAAATTTATGAATTTTATTGAATAATTCTGAGGGATTGGATCATTTTTCTTAGACTCTTTGCTTACAAGTCCATGGAGATGCAGCGTTCACTGCTCAGGTTGTGATTTACAGCTTTCTTTGCTTGTTTTTTGTCCATTTCACTGTTTCTTTACCTATGGTCATGAACTATTCTTTGTTTTTTTCAGGGCATTGTTGCGGAGACGTTGTGTATGGCAAATCTTCCTCATTACACCGTCGGTGGCTCGGTACATTTGATCGTCAACAACCAACTGGGTTTCACAACCCCACCAGAACAGGGAAGGTATTGATGAGAAGCGTTGTCTTTGCTGAATAGGATATGACATGATCTATAAATGTGACTATAAACAATGACCTGACCCCCCTGTTCGTTTGCAGAAGTGTGTTGATTGCTGTCCGACGACTGTCCTTATATTTCTATTTCAGATCATCTCGTTATTCAAGTGATATAGGCAAAATGATTGAATGTCCTGTGTTTCATGTCAACGGTGATCATCCTGAGGTATGTATTCAAGTGTATTGATTTATGGTTACATTGAGTCAATTTGCGCATATATATTTGACAAATGGTGTATTTTGGTGTTTAGGAAGTAATGAGAGCCTGCCGTCTTGCAATGGAATACAGAATGAAGTATCGTAAAGATGTAATTGTCGACATGTTATGTTACAGAAGATGGTAAAGTTCATTTAATTGACATACTTGTTGTTCGCAAAAAATCTTTTCTAAAATTGAGTGACTCAATGATCAACTGAATGAATTGTTAAAAATAATTTTCTCGTACTTTGAACGAGCTTCACTCTATAGTTTTTGTTTTTATGATGTTTTCCAGGGGGCACAACGAAATGGATGAGCCTGCGTTCACTCAGCCCACAATGTACGACGATATCGTAGCACGTGAGCGAGTCCCAGACCTCTATCTGCGCAGAGTTGCGGAGCACGGTGTCGACGTCGAAGAGATTGTGAGAGAACTCGAACCTTACAAGGACTTTTTATCTGAAGAGAGTAAGAAGGCTGAGAGTCATCAATCTCTGGCAACAAGTTTTCAGAAACAATGGAGGGGTTTGCAACCTGCAAAATCAGGCGTGGTCACTCATTTTGACACAGGTTGATTATGGCTCTAGCTATTTTGTTTTCATTAAGTAGTTTGTTATTGTCATTGGTTGTACTGGAGTAACTTCTCTATCACAGTCTTAGTGGTTACAGGTTTATAGTGGTTGTGACCATTGTGGAAATGATTTCGTGGTATTTTCCACTGACTTTGTTTACATTGAAGTACCTATGTGTTATCGAAACCATGCATGCGTACACGCAATTTTTCGGCATTCAACTTATGTTTGTTTCACAAGACTCCCAAGGCTCATAAACTCCCCAATCTTTTTACGTCTTTAATTTTTAAAGAAATTTGTTTTTTTCAGGTTGTGATCTGGACGTCCTTCTTTTCGTTGGCGCAAAGTCTTGTGAAGTGGAAAGATCAGTTAATGTTCATCCTCATTTACGCAAAACATTCTGTAATGCCCGAATGTCAAAACTCGAAGCCGAAAGTAGTATAGACTGGGCTTGTGCCGAGGCCCTAGCAATTGGCTCTTTGCTGTATCAAGGTTCGTTTAATAAGCGTAGGTTAACCATAGGCTAACTTGATCAGCTTTTTTCGTCCGTTATTTTATCATTCTTTCTTCGTTATAGGTCACAATGTTCGTGTAAGCGGTCAGGATGTTGGAAGAGGAACATTTAGTCATCGTCATGTCATGTTAGTCTGTCAAGATTCCGAGAAGATTTACATACCGCTGAACCATATGTTTTCAGGCCAAAATTCCTTCCTTGAAGTATGTAACTTGTCCAATTCATTGTGGATATATTTAAACTATTTCAGTATTGAATATAGAATAGAAAAACTTTATTTGTACACGTTGACTCCATCAACCTAAGTTTTTACAGGGAATATTAAACTATGGTAGTATAGAATAAAGAATAGAAAAACTTTATTTGTACACGTTGACGCCGTCAATCTAAGTTTTCACAGGGGACGTGTACAAAATACATGTTTCTTAGGTGCATAATAACTATAAAATTTATAAATATTTACACTGGACTTAACTCTATTAACATTTAAGTCTTCGCATTCATGCACATCTTTTAACCTACATTTTGTCTTTTATGAATTATGAATTATAATGTTTTCTTGCATTCTCTGTTAGGTAAAAGCCCTGTGAATGTTTAATACTGAATTAAGTGATACTTTGCCTCAACATCTTTATTCTGTACCTTTTCTTTAAATCTGTAGGTATGCAACAGTCCCCTGTCGGAGGAAGCAGTGTTAGGCTTTGAGTACGGCATGAGTATTGACGATCCTAATAATTTGATTATCTGGGAAGCGCAGTTTGGCGATTTTTATAACGGTGCACAGGTTATTGTCGACACGTTTGTAGCGGCTGGTGAAAGTAAGTGTTGAACAAGATTGATGATGTTTATGAATTCGTGAAAGTTGAATTTTGTACAGCAAAGTTAAATCCTGATTTGACACATTGAGCAGTGGAAAGCACTTAATTATTTTTTTTTGGGGGGGGGGGTTTGAAAATAGTCAAATGATTTCGAATTTTCCCGCCTTCGGCCACTGGTATTGTGTCAAAACAATAGTGTGATACTGTGAATTGTCTAGTAAACTATCGGACAACATGAACTTTTTTTATGTCTGAATTCATTTTATTGTTTTCAATATTCGGATAACACGACTAAACATGTTTTAATGCAGCTAAAATACTTAGCAATGTTGATGTTTACCAGCAAAATGGTTGTTGCAAAGTGGTCTTGTCATGTTACTTCCTCACGGTATGGATGGTATGGGTCCTGAACATTCATCATGTCGCATTGAACGTTTTCTACAGGTGCATTCACTTGTTTCTCTTTAAAATTAGTTTACTTGTATGGTTAATTGACGACTGCAACTAACGACTTCCACATGTTGAAATTGTCTTAAAATGACTATAAGCGTTTATAAAGTTTTTGCTAAAAGTTTCTTTTCCCTCTTTTTCCTGTAGTTGAGTGACAGCGAAGAAGACACGGTAGATGGCGATAATGTTAACATTCATGTTGTGAATCCTACGACGCCTGCGCAGTACTTTCATCTTCTTAGAAGACAGGTTCAATTTTTAAGTTTATTTTCATACATTCTTGTTGTCTGTCAATCAATCTTGTTGATAAAACTAATTAGAGCGAGTCACACAAGATAACCGATGATTTAGAAAGTGGAGACTAATACTCTAGACTCATGTACCCTAGTTGAAAATATTCATTTGGTTAGGCATCTTTTGTCCCATCTTTTTATTACATGTTTTCGTTGTTTAGATCGTTCGTAACTTTAGAAAACCTTTGGTTGTTGCATCTCCTAAACTTCTCCTTCGATCTGCGGTGAGCTGACGCAAAGCATTTTCCTCTTCATGATTTTACCATTAATAATGCATTTCAATTGTTATTTAATATTTTAATGATTATTTCGTACAACATTCATCTCTGGTATATAAGTTTACGGGTCTTCTCTTAAACAGGTAGCTGTTTCAAAGCTAAATGAAATGGCTCCGGGTTCTCACTTTCACCCAGTCCTGGGTGATGAAAAAGTCGATCCAAGTCATGTAAAATGTGTCGTGTTTTGTTCGGGGAAATACTATTACACTTTACTGAAGGAAAGAGAGAACAGACATGCACATGATATGGCTATTGTTCGTTTGGAGGTTTGTACTTCGCACAATTTGTATTTGTTTAAGCGGAAAGCACACATTAATGTATAGCATGGCTCCTAGCTTGGTAAGTGCGCTGAATCCAAGTATTCTACCCCGTGTTTTGATTAATGTTTTACAACTTTTGTTGCTTTCGGTGGTCAAAATTTTTCTTGCGTGTGTGAAATTGTAAAGCTTTTGGAAAAACGTTGTTCAAAGTGAAACATTAACTCCAGTTACGCCTATTAGCTGGATTTGTATCTCAAGTCTGTCTCTGCTTGTGATGTTACTCTTTGTTGTTAATCCATAATGTTACTCTTCGTTGTTAATCCATAATGTTACTCTTTGTTGTTAATCCATGTTACTCTTTGTTGTTAATCCAAGATGTTACTCTTTGGTGTTAATCCATGATGTTAATCTTTGGTGATAATCCATAATGTTACTCTTTGGTGTTAATCCATAATGTTACTCTTTGTTGTTAATCCAAGATGTTACTCTTTGTTGTTAATTCATGATGTTACTCTTTGGTGTTAATCCATAATGTTACTCTTTGGTGTTAATCCATAATGTTACTCTATGTTGTTAATCCATAATGTTACTCTTTGTTGTTAATCCATAATGTTACTCTTTGGTGTTAATCCATAATGTTACTCTTTGGTGTTAATCCATAATGTTACTCTTTGGTGTTAATCCATAATGTTACTCTTTGGTGTTAATCCATAATGTTACTCTTTGGTGTTAATCCATAATGTTACTCTTTGGTGTTAATCCATAATGTTACTCTTTGGTGTTAATCCATGTTGTTAATCCATAATGTTACTCTTTGTTGTTAATCCATAATGTTACTCTAATCCATAATGTTACTCTTTGGTGTTAATCCATAATGTTACTCTTTGTTGTTAATCCATAATGTTACTCTATGTTGTTAATCCATAATGTTACTCTTTGTTGTTAATCCATAATGTTACTCTTTGGTGTTAATCCATAATGTTACTCTTTGGTGTTAATCCATAATGTTACTCTTTGGTGTTAATCCATAATGTTACTCTTTGGTGTTAATCCATAATGTTACTCTTTGGTGTTAATTCATGTTACTCTTTGGTGTTAATCCATAATGTTACCATGTATTGTTATTTGGTTGCGTTACTCTGTGGTGTTGCTTTGTGTAAAAAGTGATGAAAATCAATCGGTACCAGTTTTTTCTTTCCGAAGGCGCTCACTCCATTTCCAGTTGAAGAAATCAAGAATGAATTAAAGAAATATCCCAATGCTTTGTGTAAGAACGAAATTTTTTTCATTTCACCAAGTATTTTAATACAAAAAATACAAGTATTTTTCAGCAATCTATCTGACATTTTGTAAGTAATGTCCCTCTCTCTGCGATGTAGCGCATATCTGGTGTCAAGAGGAGCATCGAAACATGGGCCCATGGACGTTTGTCAATCCGCGATTTTTAAATCTGCTTGGTGTAAAGGTAATTGTTTTGTGTTCTTGAATTTTTTATACATTTGCTAGTCCAAGAAATGCGTACAAGATTTGGTCAAATGAATAGATTCTGTCCCTTATTTCTTCCAGCACGTTGATAATTTTAAGGTCGTTAAATATATTTGTAAGTAAAACCTTGGTAATAAGGTTACTTGCGCAGTGATTAAATATACTCAAAAGCCGAGGAAGGTTAAGTAATACGACCGTTGTATTTGAATAGTGAATTCTTATTACGTATCAACATACGTTATTAATTCGTCTATTATTAGAGCAAAAGAAATTGAGGCAATCGTGATATTATTAAAAAAAAACACAGAAAGAACATGTATTACTTTTGTTGTGTAGTTAAAATACGTTGGAAGGAAAAGTTTAGCGACACCAGCTGTTGGAATTGGAAAGGTCCACGCTAAGGAAGCAGAAGAGATATTACAGTCTTTGTTTTGAGCAATGTGTACTTATGTATTCATAGAGAAAAATTATCCTTTTCCTCAAACTTGGAACTTGTGAGCTCGATTTTTTTATGGACAGTGTCCGGTATTAAATTGAACAAATGTCATTGGAGGTCGAAGGTCATGTCTGTCTGAGTACTTTGATGGATGATTTTGTAGTGCATCGTGTCTGCTCTCTGTTGATGGAAAATAATATTGTTACAATATAGAAATTACTCAACTTGCTTATTCGAGTGGTGATTTATACTCATGAATAATATTGTGAGGTTCCGTGGTTATAATTACTTAATTTATTATTTATACGACTGTCACACGGTCAGACTCTGGAAGCACGTGGTCTGGGATAATTAGCATATTTTGCGCACTTAAAATGCACGACTTCAGTATGATAAGGTTTTTTAGTAGTACGACCCATGTTGTCTTAGAGCATCATGATGATAATTTGCCAAGGTTACTTTAATTTTTCTTTCATTTTTCTCATGTTTGATGCTTTTCTTTGAATAAAAACAGTTTATGTTCAATGTGTTGGGCGTCCATTTTTGTCTTGTGTATTTTAATCACACAAGGAGTTGTTAAAATTTGATTGGTTGCATTTTAGATTTTTCATTTATCGGCAGGGGGTATAAAATGTCTAGCATTTCATATGTAAATCAACACAAAAGTCTTAGTGAATATATTTTCTCGACGAAACAAAACAACTCTTTTATAAAAGTCAGTTTCACAGATCCTGTAAACACTCAATCCTGTAAACACTCAATCAAAAAATATCTTGATGTCTGACCTTGTTGCAATATGCAAACCAATATAACATTGCAGTGCAAAAATATGCTATTTACAATGCGACATCCGACCTTTTGCGTTTACCATATAAGGGAGTCTGTAGTTAGGTATGTGACGCCCCGTGAAGGCCAAAAATCCATCGTCTGAGGTTCTTTGTTTTAAGGCTCTTTCGCATGAAAAATGAAATTATCCAATAAACTAAACAAACTATTTAAATGGTTCATAGTTTTCGTTGCAATTGTATTCAGTGGCATTCCAATTTGCTATAACAGCTGTCACGTGACTCCAGAACCGGAAGTCCGCCCTAAACGAATAAATCGTAAACCGAAGGGGCACTTCGAAAGTCACGCTTTGAAATATTTTCGTTAAATTGTGGTTATTCGGGCGTAATTTGTCGACAATTTATGATTTATACGTCTGCCATGTTCTGAGGAATTTTATTTGTGTTGAGCTGTGTGCAAATAAACGGATCAGTATCTTATTTTACGTTCTATTTCCTTGAAATTTCCAAGCATATATTTCTCTGAGTGGTTTTTGTATTGGCGAACGTGGAGGATAAACGTTGACGTTCTAAAACGCCGCCTTTGACGATGTCTCGACAGCATAAATGGCTTCTTAGCATCTACGTATCCGATCTCAATGTTGAGAAGACTTTGGAAGTTACTGGTCAAACATTTGTCGGTAATCTCATGGTGGAACTCGTGAACAGATTAGGTACAGCGCCTATTATCGTATTGGTAAAGACTGTTTTAGTAACACATGAATGCCGTGTGTATGAAAGCAAAATGCAACCTATCTTTTAAGATTTAGTGTAGTTTCATATTTGGCAATGCTTGGAATATTCACCTATTAATGATTGATAAACAGCGAAAACATCAAAGATCTATACACTTGTTTCTGTTTGTTTTTGATATATTTCAATTTATATTTATTTGAGGTGCGGGTTGTTGTCTTTGATCTTAGAAAACTTTTATGAAAGTAAACTTCAGGGTGTTTGGAATAAAATGCGACTTATTTTATATTGTTTTTGCAGGTGTTACTAGAGATTGGTCAGATCACGCTTTGTGGTGGCCACAGCGAAAGACATGGCTTATTCGTTCCCGAGTTACGCTTGATGTTTGCGGTGTTCAAGCTGACTCACGCTTGTTGTTCACACCCAAGCATAAAAATGTCCATCTACAAATGCCCGATTTACAGTTCATCGATACTACAGTGGATTTCTCGAAGAAAGTATTTCACGCTATTACTGAAGTGTGTTCTCATTTTGGCATACGCCATCCTGAAGAATTATCCTTCTTGCGTCCGCCTGCTCGCGAAAAGAAAGAGAAGAGAACACGTAAAATCAGCAAACGCCGTAACTCGCAAGGTTCTGAGCACAGCATTAACTCCGATGAGGCTCAGACTACGGCTGTTTCATCAGATGGAAGGCTTACAGTCCCTGGAAAAACTGGCAGTGTTGATGGCGCATCACAGCACAGTGCTTCTACTCCAGGTTCGCCTAGGAGTCATCATTCATTCGACAGCTTTGACTCTGACAATCATATTCTAGCATCCAGCCCTTCAGTTCCATCTCAAGAAGCCTTGGATTCAATATACAAAGCAAAAACTCTTCAAGAAAAAGTAATTTTTCATGCTGGGTAGGTAGGATATGAAACGATAAAGTGCTAAGTGTTTAATATTTAGACAAGTCTCAATTATTCAACTCACGTTTTGTTTTCAAAAGTTTGTTTAAATGCTTCTCAATTCGTTAAGTATTATTTTATTGCTATGCTTGCCAATCATTTTTCATATAATCCAAGCGTTCATAAGCAATTGTAAACAATTGTGGTGATTACAATGATGAGGTTCAGTTTCATATGAGTTTTGCTAATCAAATCGTATATTTTCTTGCAAATACAATGTTCAATCATGTAGCTTCTTTTGTTTACACAGAAGTATATTTATCAACCTCCTGTATCAAAATGATAGTGTAAGTTGTGATGAGCATGTGTTATTTTTTAAATGATTCTTGGCATCTGATTGGCTAATAGGCTAATACAAAGTAGTTGTCTTGGCAACAAGTGACATTTGAGATGTGTGATGTAGAGCTGATACCAAAACACAAGCTAATACCAGTATATTACATCATCGGGAACAGCATTCAAGAAGAATTAATTCATTGCAATCTAGTTTGCCCAATTTATTATCATGCAAGCATATGTGCAAAATGACAATAGAAATTTTTACAAGATATATTTTGGCTATATAGGTTATAAGGGATAAACTTGTCATATGTACTTATCTTTGAAAAATTAAGTAAATATTGAACTTTGTTTTTCTTTTGCATGCAAAATTATGAAGTGAGGAAGTGTGTCATATAGCTTTTGATTAGGTTGATCACATGAAAGTCACTCTTAAATATTCTTCATTTTATTTGAAAGTAAAATAAAATTCCTGTTAAACTAGGTTACATACGTATCTCATACTATGGCTTGTGAGCATGTTTTTCTTATTTAGATGGCTGGATTCATCAAGATCACTTATGGAACAGGTTATCCTCATTTATCTTCTTCTCACAAATCTGTACATATTGGACTTGTATTTCATTTATGTCCTATGTTCTATGTAGGATGTTGAAGAAGATGAGCATTTGATGATGAGATTTAAATATTATTCCTTCTTTGACCTTAAACCAGCTGTAAGTTAATTTACAATGGAAATGTTTCAGAATTATACATGTTGCCAAAATATGTAAAACTTTTTGATGTGTCTTTTAGTATACAACATTTTCTTTCGTATTCTGTTGAACTTTATGGTTTATGCTGTAGGTGGATGAAGTTCGTATTAATCAGATTTATGAGCAAGCTAAATGGTCTGTACAAGTCGAAGAAGTTGATTGTACTGAAGAAGAAGTGATGACATTTGCTGCTTTGCAGGTTTATTGATATCACATTGTGTCAACATGGCATGAATTTTGGGGTACACCTAGTGATACATGGGACATAGGAATAAATGACTAAATGATTGTTTGGTTTATATTTCATTAGTTTCAAGTGAATATTGCAACATCAAGTCCTCCAGTTGATGATAATAAAAAACAAGATAAAGATGACGACATTACAAGTGCTTTAAATGATCTGCAGGTACGATTGCTGTGAATGTTTCAAATAATGTGCTTGTGATAGCTAGAGTAAATTGTACTACATTGCAATATATAACTTCTGATTATGTTTAGGTTTTCTTTTATGTGTACAAGTAATAGTATCACAAGTCTCTTAAACTTCTTGTGAATTAATTTTAATGTATCAATATTTTAGCTGACATTAGAAGGCACAAGTTCTCCATCATCACAAAAGGTTTGTTTTGTTCCCAAGGCAATTTTCATTCCACAGTCTGTGCTCGCATGACTTGCTTATTTGTTGTAATGTGATCTTTTGTTGTATTTTCATCACAAAAGGTTTGTTTTGTTCCCAAGGCAATTTTCATTCCACAGTCTATGCTCGCATGACTTGCTTATTTGTTGTAATGTGATCTTTTGTTGTATTTCATACTTTTAGATGGTTTAATCAATTCTACATGAACTAAATTTCTTCCCATACAAACTTACAAACCTCTAATTTCTAAACACTTTATGTTTTCCTGTTTTAAAGACTTTAAACCAACTACCAGAGTTGAGTGATTGGTTGTTGTTAATCAAGTAAGTGTTTAATACCAATTAATTTTCCCACACTGTATAGCACTACATGCTAAGTGAAAATTTAATTACTCAAATTTAGTCTTATTTTATATAAAAATCAGGCATTAACATCACACTTTTTTCCTCAGGCATAAAATGTTAGGAATGAAAGAAAAGAAGAAGTTCTGGTGTGTCTTTCGAGGTCCGACAACACCTTTTTGTATTGTAGTTTAGTTGTGCATGTGAATACTTGTTTTCTCATAAATTCTGCAGTTGTGGAAATTATTTATTCTTTTTCTAGACACGTATTTTTCATACTTTAAGTCGAACGAAGAGTCGTCAGGCGCCCCCATACAAAAAATTGATTTACGAGGTAAGAATTTGGCGATATCATGCAAAATCAGTGACGTGATTTTTTCCCCACCACACCACTGATTTTAAAAACACTATACATGAAAATACTGCATGGTTGATCTTATATGTGTTAAGTTCACTAAAAGAGACATAATTTTCGTATTCTTTTGCCTTCTTAGGCAGCGAGGTTTATCCAGAGGTAAATGTGCAGAAAGAAAAGTTTGTTGTGAAACTTAAATTTCCAGAAAACGAGGAAGTTCACGATCTGGAGCTTGGATTATCCAGTGTGCGTAAATTTTGTTGTTCGTTTGATGGATTTTTATCATCATCAATGTGCGCATAATGATTTCCTGAGATTTTGAATGGTGTCCCGTTCTTTTGCATTTTTTCATGTTGTTATTTTGATGGATTTCTATCATCACAAATGTGCACAAAGTGATTTCCCGAGTTTTCGTGTTGTGTTTGTCATTAGAATTTTGATGAGTTGAAGTCGATGCGTTCTTAGATTATTTTTCATAAACAGATGTGAAACCGGGGTACATTCTACTATTTTGCGAAGAACTATCATTTAAACGATCGGCTTTCGTCTTTTTTTTCTTCTTTTCTTCTTTTCTCTCGTCCTCATCATCCTTTTCTAAACATAAATTCTTCTTGGTGTTATCAGGAAGGACAGTATTCGAAGTGGATGGCTGCTTTTCGTCTCGCCGCAAAAGGAAAAACCATGGCAGATAGTTCGTATGAATCTGAGGTTAATGGTATCCAAGCTTTCCTGGCAATGCAAGTTAATGGTTTTAAAAATACAACGGCTCCAGGCGGGGTTAGTTTTGATTTTCTCTGAATTTCTACCTTTGTTTTTCTACACAAAAATGAACTAGGAGTTTTTCTAATTATCTTTTCATTTTTAGGTTCAAATCCAGCCCGAAAATTTTGTTCCAAACCGCATTTTGAAAAAATTCAAAGCTAAACAGGTTTGTGCTTTGAACATAATATTTGTCGATAGCTAAATTATGCTTTTATGAAGGTAAACTATACTTTTAATCTTTAGATTGCAGCTCGTATCTTGGAGGCTCATTCTTCACTTAATTTGATGACTGTAATGGAAGCGAAGATGAATTATATCAGAAAGTGGCAAGAGTTACCGGACTTTGGTATAACTCACTATGGTGTAAAATTTAGATCCGAAAAGCACTCAAAGAAAGACGTAAGATCTTTAACTTATACTGTATACCTCTTTGCGTTGAAATGGAAAAATTGTTGTCGAAGATTGTGACCACTTCGTCTCTTCAAAATAATTTGAAATATCTTTAAATTTAATGTTACATGTTTGTAGATCTTGATCGTTCAGGTTAGTGCAGTCCTCAGGACTGTTGGTGTTGACTGAAGAGTTTTGTATACTCTTTATTTGACCGCTAAATGTGTCGAAACGTTAGTCAAACTACTAGTTTTAGGTTTTTTTACGCATCCTAATTCTGACATGGTTTTTTCCTTTGTGTTTTAGGAGATCTTGGGCATTGCTGACAACAGGATAACGAAGATAGATGCGACCAATGGTAAAGTACTCAATAGCTGGCGCTACAGTGTGATGAGACAATGGAATGTGAACTGGGAAACGAAAGAAATGATCATTGATTGTGAAGGAGAAAGAATTTGCTTTGTCTGCACAACTGCTGACATTAAGAGCATTCATGAGTTTATTGGTGGCTATATTTTCCTTTCGATGCGCAAAGATGTCAATCAACCAGTGGATCACGAATTGTTCTTTAAATTAACTGGTGGATCGGTGCAATAAAAAACTCTAGTGCTACAGAATCAAAATATTTTAATCGCGATTGTGTTTTCTTTATGTATATACTATATATGAATTGTTCCTCAATAATTGGTAAGAACTTTCATGAAAAGTTTTTGAGTAAAAACAAAGATGGTGTTTTAGCTCTCCACTCTTAAGTTCGTTGTAGTTTTTGGAAAAGATATTGTATTATTGATTGTATTTTTCGTTAAGAGCTATATAGTATTTAATGCGTACTACATTAAAGCATAAATTTCTTTTTGAAATATTGACGATATTAAAGGTACAATAGCGGAAAAATAAACTAGTTCAAAAATAATTATTTTCTTGTACTTACTGCTTGTGGTCGAAAATCGAAACATTTGGTGCAAAATCGCCATTATTTTACATGGGACTCCCGCGTGTGGTCCACGATCATCGTGTTGTGGTCGTGACAACGACAACAAAGGTGGATTGGAAAAAGAGATACAAACCACTGTCTTGCCTTAGACTATATGCATGGTTTTCTTGCCATTTTCACCCAACAAAACGACGTGTATTTTGGAAAAAATAGCATCTTTAAAAGAAACTAACCTGCGCCGTTTTTGGACTGTTTCAAAAGGTTAATAATGAGCGATAGGACAGCACCAAGATCTCAGCTGCGTTTGGAATGGGTGTACGGCTACCGAGGGCATCAATGTCGAAATAATCTTTATTTTACTGCTTCAAAAGACCTGGTGTATTTTGTTGCTGGAGTTGGAATCGTTTATAACTTAAAAGGAAATACTCAACGGTTTTTTCTTGGTCATAATGATGATATAATTTGGTTTGTATGTTTTTCGTTGTTAAGAAAAGCATAAATAATGAATAAATTGGACTGATAAGCTTTCCTTTTTTTATTTTGATCCACTTCATACCCAATGAAAACATCACATAGAATGATGTTTTCATAACGTATTTCACGCTTCTGGAAAATCAAGCAATGATTTGCTTGCAATGTGATTTTCTAAAGTGATAAACTCCATTCTCCAGCATAAAATGTCTTAATGAGCACAATGTTTTGCAACTCATTGCAGCTGTTTTGTTTTCAATCATTTACATTTCTAGATTTACTGGATTACCTCTTTAATTGTAATCTGTGCACTGTTGTAATTTGTTTAATCAATTTTTAAACATTTTTACTGAGTTGCAATTCTCAGATTTTGTTTCATCCAAGATCCGTGTTTGTTAATAATTAATCCAAGATTTATTAATATTCATACACATCTGATATGCATATAAGATAAGATGAGAAAGATCAATGATTTCAGAACCTTTCACTGTAATCTATGATGTTTATATCATTTAAACATTCATTATTAATATTTATTTAAGTCTCGCTTTACATCCTGAGAAGCAATTTGTGGCCACTGGTCAAGTTGGTAAAGATCCATATATCTGTGTTTGGGACACCAAGAATTGCAAAAATGTGTCTATTTTGAAAGATGCACATCAACAAGGAGTTGCTAGCTTGTCATTCAATGCTAGTGGAAATGTATGTTCTCATTAATTTTTTTAACATAGTCAATATTGTCTTATTTTTTATTAAGTTGTTGTGCACCTTGAATTAAAGGATTTTTATCATATCTATATTTGGGATTGGATTTATTTAGAATTTAGCATCTGTTGGATTAGAGGATTATCATCTTATTTGCATTTGGGATTGGAAGCGAGGGAAACTTTTGGCATCTGTCAATGGTCACTCAGATCGAGTATGCTTAGAGATTTGTTAATGTTTGGAAAACTTGTTGGATTTCTCTCATGTTTTCTTTGCAATGTTTTTGAGGTTTTTGATTTGAACTTCAATCCAAATAATGACAACCAAATGGTTTCATGTGGTGTGAAACATATCAAGTTCTGGAAATGGCAAGGAAACTCGTTGAAGCCACAGAAAGGTGCGAGAATATTATTTTGTAACTAAAAATTAAACACTCTGCTCAACCTTTGTCTGCTAGGAATTTTTGGAAAGGGTGGAGAAATTCAAACCATGCTTTGTGTGGTATTCGGCTTAAATGGCATTGCATATGCAGGAACGCTTGCAGGAGATATTTATAAATGGGAGAAAAACAACTTGGTTGGTAGCATCCATGGACATCAGGTAAAATATCTGCAATGAAACGATCAAGGAACAGGTGTTTTAGTGATAAAAAACTCATTCCATATTTCTTTTTTCCAAGGCAGCGGTTTTTACAATTCATAAGTCGACTGATGGTTTTGCTACCGGCTCAAAAGATGGCAGCATCATTTTATGGGATAACAATTTCAAAGTTGTTACTAAAATTGACCTTGTGAATAGTGATATTGGCTATAAAGGTATGTTCGAAAAAACAATGAATTCATTTTGTATCGCCGGTCTTGGTGATTTTTTGTTTTTAAATGGTCGCAGGTCTCTCCTTGCGCAGTGTTTGTTGGTCTGGAGATAGAATCATTGTTGGGACGAATGACAGTGAAATACTGGAAGTCCTTGCGTCAAATAAGGAATCTGCTAGAACAATAGTACAGGTAAGGCGGTTATTTTTTGTGTTTTGAAGTAGTTATCACGTAGTTTAATGAGGAGTTGGTTGACCATAACACCATCAATGAAGGATATACCAATACAGATGAAAATGGCAAATATATTGAGAACATGAATGGTCTACCATCGTCTTTTTCGGTGCTGTGAAAGATTCCTGAAATTTTATCTCGGTTTCGATGTTTTGGGAAAAAACCTCATTTCGTTTCGATTTCCATTATTTTTTTAATTTTCGTTAATAAGCTAAAACTTTAATAAATTTATTTAAGTCAGTTTTCTATCCAAAATGTTATAAAATTTCATTATATAGGGGTTGAAAGGGTTCAATTTAAAATATACAAATTGTTGGCTTTTTAAATGCCATTATTGTAAAAACTGTAAAGTGTTTTACTCAATTATTTATTTCGACATTAAATGAGACAAGGAAAGCAGATAATCCTTCTTTGCTATGATGATCATGTATACTTTCGTTTATGATGCATTAAACTATGAACTCGAAATACTCAAATGTTTTTTATCATAGTTTATGAGAGAGCGAGGTAGTTACTTGCAGAGCAGTGCCAAGAGTTACTGTTGATTGTTTGAATGGACTGTTTAATCATTTGTTTCCTTGTGCAAAACTCTCTAGAACAAGTGATTTTTTTTACAAACACCGCTGAAAAAATCTTTTAACATCTTTGTGACAACTCTATTCGATGTTTGTAATCGCAAGCAAAGAAGCCATCTTCACTTTTTCTTCCTTCATACAGGGTCATGCGGAAGGTGAACTTTGGGCACTTGCCGTTCATCCTAAAAAAACGATGTTTGCCACCGGAAGTGACGATTGCAGCATACGGTAGTGAGATATATTGGTTAGACGTAAAATAACTTGGTGAAGTCACTCGTGTCTTGGTTTTGTACAAAAAGAATTTTCTCGATCACTACCATTATATTGATCTATTCTTTCCCAATTACTCCTTTTTGTACTTTATTTCCCCTGCTTATTTTATCTTCTTAATTCTGGAAGATTTGTGTTTTGTGTCTATCTTTCCTTAGAACGGTCGTTGTGTTCGCAATACGGTTTACTTGTCTTACTATGAGTATTATGAGCAAGTTGACTTGCGTCCCTTGTAGCTACAATCAACTTATTTCAAATGTAGTCACATCACAATGTAATAATTCCATTTCTAGGCTATGGAGTTTTTCGGACCGCTTACTGCTGGCACGAATCGATCTTGATCACATGATTCGTTCTCTGGCGTTTCATCCCGATGGCAGCCAAATTGCGGGAGGTTTGTCAAATGGCTCATTCATCGTTCTCAAAACAAGGTGTACTTCCATCTGAAATTTCAACTCTTCATATTCTATATATCAACTTTAGTCTTGGTAGATTTCATAGCTGTACTAATCCATGTCTAACGCACAGCTCCTTTCATATTTACTCCTTGTGATCTCTATGCACTCAAGGATAAATGTGACTGTCATTGACAACTTAGGGCAAAGCTGTCAGATTAGATCTGAAAGTAATTTAACCATAAAAACATTTGAAATTCGAAGTCGAATTCACGGTTGACGAAAACGTGTGATAACTTTAAATTTTCCTTCGTTGGCAAGCATTTTCAGTGAAAATACATTTGTGTTTTTGATCACAGCTAAATTGCGCTGTTTGTTAGAAGTAGTTTCTTGTTACAAAATAAGTATTATATCTTGTCACATGTAATATTAGCTTTTTTAAGGCGTTGAGATTTTTATCGAAAAGCCTCCACGGCCTTCTTATAAGGGTTTCCTTGAAAAACTCTTCGGAGACACGGGAATCCTGATTAAATACAATAATATTATAACAAAATTAACAAATAAATTACTGTTGTAATTAATTAACATAACTTCTTTTAATTGCTAATGTCTTAACTTCAAATGAACAGTGTTGTTCTTCATTTGTAGAGATCTTTCGGAGATCTTACGAACTAAAGATCGCAATGAGGTTATTCACGAGCTAAAGTACTCGCCAGATGGTGCATATTTGGCGGTCGGATCTAACGACAATTTTGTCGACATTTACGCGACGTCCCAACGATACAAGAAAGTTGGCGAGTGTCGTGGAAATTCTAGTTTTATAACACATTTGGATTGGTCAGAGGATAGCAAGTATATACAAACGAACTCTGGTGCTGTTGAAAGGCTCTTCTTTAAAATTCCTGGCAAGTTTTCTTTTAACCTTTCTTATTCAATTCATCTTTAGTACCCAGGACAAATCGAGTTATGAAGTTTCAGATTAAGTACTCAGAACTATGTCTGGATTTTCAGCTCTAGTACCCAGGACTAAATAAAGCTAGGAAATTTTGGATTTACTTCTTAAGACTATGTCGGGAATTTTAACTTTAGTTTCCAGGACATGTCTAGCAAGGAATTTATATCTTTTTTTGCCAGCGGGGAAAAGGGTGACGAACAAGGAGGAAATAAAGGAAATAAACTGGGCCACTTGGACTGGAGTCCTGGGAACTGAAGTTAATGGAATATGGGGAAAATATACAGATACAAATGACGTCAATGCTATTGATACATCGTTTCGTAGCAACACGTTGGTATCAGGAGATGATTTTGGTTTGGTGAAGTTATTTCGCTTTCCTTGTGTCAAAAAAGGTTTGTCGTGCTTTATTTTGTCATATATTTAGATAATGGCGCAGTCTGTTGATCTTTTTAAGTACAGAGATCCTTGAGTATCCATATATGTGCACTTAGTGTACCTAGGTAAACATCTGATGTAATGATGTGCCACACTCATATAGAAAAATATGAAACTCGTGTGTTACATTGTAAATGTTAAACCTTGTATTCTCAACATTGATTTATTTGTTAGAGTAGCGTCATTCATCATTTAGAAAATGCGGTTTTTACATGAAAAATTTGAAAGAGACTCTATAAGTGGACTTACAATCAATCCCGTGTTGCTGGATTGCTCCGTATCCTTATCTAGTTTCTTATTCCTTATTTAGGTGCACATTTCAGAAAGTATATCGGTCATTCAGCCCACGTGACCAACGTAAGATTCAGTCATGATTACGGTAAGGTGATAACGACTGGCGGGGCTGATCACTCCATATTTCAATGGCAATTTTATCCCGATGGTTTCAAAGAAAGTGGAGAGGATCTTTCAGAAACAAGCGAGGAATACGTTGACTCAGATGACGGTCTCAGTGACTCAGATGCATCGGATGTTGGAGAACTAGATAGTGATGTTGAGAATGTAGGAATATATTTATCATTGGATTTAATGGCTGAATTAAACAATTGTTGAAACAATATTCCTTACCCAACGTGTCATTCACACAGGAAGCGCAAGTTAATTACGACCGAGCGATTTATAAAGAGGATTTGTCCACCTTAAAAAGAAAACTTAAATTACAGTCCCAAGAAGAACAACATAGAGTGCTGAAGAGTGCGCAGAATAAACCGCTGAACCAAGGACTGCAGTTGCATTTTGTACACGGGTAAATAGACCGATTATTTTTTGAATAATTGACGTTATCTTTTTAGATGACACTTCTTTCGAGCGTTTTATAATTATGTTTTTACGAAACATAATGTATCCTCATTATAAATTATGAATCAATTCCATGATGTTCTTCTAAAGTGCAGCTCCTCTGTGTATTAAATTGTCCCAAAACAAGGGCCTACCATCATCAATATTTAGTCGAATTTCTGTGTCCTATTGCAATAAGGTGGTAATGGTGAAAAGAGGAAAATGATGGATAATATAATTAGAAACATTTTCCAAACACCAGGCTATTTGAGTATAAAAACTCTTGAGAAATTATTATTTTTCTTTCCAGATATCGTGGTTATGATTGCCATAATAATCTTTTTTACTTACAAAACGGAGAGATAATCTATCATGTAGCCGCTGTTGGCATTGTATACGACCGTGATCAACATTCCCAGCGGTTTTACCTTGGACACACTGATGATATATTGTGTCTGGGCATCCATCCTGTGAAGGACATTGTTGCCACAGGACAGGTAGGGATTTACTGAATGGGTTATTGATCTTTTTAAGGCAATCAATATTTTTTAAAGTTTCTATTAAGGTTGGTCGGGATCCTTGTATTCATATTTGGCATGCTGAAAATCTTGAATGTCTGTCTGTCTTAAAAGGTCAACATCAAAGAGGCGTTTGCGCTGTTGATTTCTCTGGTAGGAGTTGATTATTTTGTTGACAGCTTAAATGAAGTATACTGAAATCTCATTATTTTCAAATATACCTGAAATAACTTTCTTGATTCATAGGAGACGGGAAAAAATTAGCGAGTGTTGGTCTAGATAATGAACATTGTATTGTTGTTTGGGATTGGAAACGAGGGGATAAACTAGCTACAACGAGGTACAATCTGCTCTCCTGTTTTGAACACTGATACTGATCTTAAATTGTGGTATGCATTGATTGACTGTAGAATTTAATAGAAAATTGGCGTGAGTAAACTTATTTAATTTATTGATTTAATCATCATGTATTGCGTTTTGCTCTTTTTCTTTGGCGTTTAAACGAGGCTTTCTTTTTTTGCTTTTTTTGTTTTTAGTTTTCAACAAATATTAGAGTAATTGAGAGTCTATTATTTTTCAGAGGACACAAGGACAAAATATTCGTCGTGAAATGGAATCCATTCTCTTCCGATAAGTTAGTCACCGTTGGAATAAAACATATTAAATTTTGGACTCAGACTGGAGGTGGATTTACATCAAAACGAGGCATTTTTGGCAATGTAGCAAAGCAAGATACTATGCTATGTGCGACCTATGGTAAGACCGCTGACACAGTTTATTCGGGAGGAACAAGTGGTAAAGTGTTTGTTTGGGAGGGTAATACTCTGAAAGAGACTATTGAAGCTCATAAAGGCACCGTGATGGCAATACAAACTTTAGAAAAGGTACTTAAAATCCTAAAAATGATTATTGGAAAGTTTCATTAGAATTTTAGAGTTCTTGGTTAACGTTGGGGATTTTCTCACCACTTCCAATCTTAGTCAACGTTAAGGATCTTCTCATCACTTCCAATCTTAGTCAACGTTGGGGATCTTCTCGTCACTTTCAATCTTAGTCAACGTTGGGGATCTTCTCACCACTTCCAATCTTAATCAACTTTGGGGATCTTCTCATCGCTTCCAATCTTAGTCAACGTTGGGGATCTTCTCACCACTTCCAATCTTAATCAACTTTGGGAATCTTCTCATCGCTTCCAATCATTATAAACGTTGAGGATTTTCTTATCTGTCCGGGAGATCTCCATCGCTCCCGCCCTTTTTAAATATAAAGTTCTAAAACAAAGTGTAAAAGCATTTTCATTTTTCATTTTGTGTAACAATCTCACGTAAAATAAATTGTTTGTCATTCAGGGTTTTGTGACTGGCGGAAAAGATGGCGTTATTGGTCTCTGGGACCAGAACTTCAGTCGCTGTTTGAAAACATACAAAATAGCACGAAGTAGTTTACGTTCTGGTATTGCGTCATGTTCTCTGCTTGCAGACTCGCCACCCGTCAGAGCAATCTCATTAGGCCAGGGAAAAGTTCTTGTTGGAACGACGAACAGCGAGGTCAGCGTTGTTGTGAAAGATCTAACAGATTTTTGGCTGTAAGTTGAAATGTGTGTTTTATCTTTAATAGATCCTGGAGATTGATAAAACTGGTCCTATTACAGTTCTCATTCAAGTATGTCAGATTGAGCATCACCAGGGATGACTTGAGGATATTTAGTGTTACTTGGTAGCACTTGTAGATCTTTACTTTGAACCTCTCTATAGGGTCACAAAGAAGGAGAAGTCTGGGGCCTAGCAGTACATCCTAGCGAAAATATTTGCGCGACTGCAAGTGACGATAAAACGTTGAGAGTCTGGGATCTAGATACCCATCGCTTCATTAACGGCCGCGTGTTAAAATATCCAGCAAGATCCTTAGGTTATTCCCCGGATGGAAAAGCCATTGCAATTGGTTTTAAAAATGGCAGTTTTGTTGTCGTTGATGCTTCAACTCTCGACGACATAATCGAGTTTCAACACCGTAAAGAAGAAATATCTGACATCAAATTTTCTCCTGGTCAAGGTAAATATTTGGCCGTCGCTTCTCATGATAACTATGTTGATATTTACAACGTGGTCAGCGGTAAACGTGTTGGCGTTGGTAAAGGAAACTCAAGTTATATTACCCATATTGACTGGGATAGCAGAGGTGAGAAAAACGTTCGCTTTTAAAGAGAGTTTTGTCAAGTACAATTGTGGATTGAATTGTGTTGAAAAATTTTCGAATGTTCTGTGAAATTCAAGAGTTTGAATGACATTGTTATGAAAGGAAACAGAAACCATCGTATATTCATTTTTAGCGAAAGAATGGATCACATAGTAGTGATCTTGATGGACTCTTGATTATAGAGTATTACTAAATTGTATTCATCATGAAAAAAATTTCAGGTAAACTTATTCAATCCAACTCTGGCGCGAAAGAGCATTTGTTTTTTGAGGCTCCTCGTGGCGAGAGACAGGTCATTGCGACTAACGAACTTGATAAAATAGACTGGTCAACGTGGACAGGAGTACTGGGTCGAGAAGTTGAAGGCATTTGGCCTCAATATTCTGACATCACTGACGTGAATGCCACGTGCACGACAAGTGATAAAAGCATGATCGCAACAGGCGACGATTTTGGATACGTTAAACTTTTTCAGTTTCCAGCAAAGGTATAAATAAAGATACGACTTTATGATGTGAAATGTTTCGTTTTTTGACTGGCATATATTTTTTTTGACCAAGGGTAAAAACGGTAAATGTAAGAAATACAATGGTCATTCTGCCCATGTAACAAACGTCCGCTGGACACACGACGACGGGCACCTGGTATCGACAGGAGGAGATGATACATCTGTGATGGTGTGGCGACGTAATCGTTTGAAACAACGACAAAATTATTCAGGTAAATTTTAGCGCAAAAATCAATTGGATTGTAGGACAAAGCAGTGGAAAATTACCAACTATAGTTGCTCAAAGCTGTTTTCCGATTTATTCAAGTATTGTGTTATGAAACGTCTATCTTACATAAGATAGTGAAATTCTGAGAACGTTTGTCTCTATCCTACCTAAAACAAGAGATAGTCACAATTCTTAGAATGTTTCTCTTTATCTTACATAAAACGGGAGATAGTGACAATTCTGAGAATGTTTTCTCTACCGTAGATTAAACAGATGATAGTGAGAATGTTTTTCTCTATCGTAGATAAAACAGGAGATAGTGATGATTCTGAGAATGTTTTTCTCTATCGTAGATAAAACGGAAGATAGTGAAGATTTTGAGGATGTTTTTCTCTATCGTAGATAAAATAGAAGATAGTGATGATAGTGAGAATGTTTTTCTCTATCGTAGATAAAACAGGAGATAGTGATGATAGTGAGAATGTTTTTCTCTATCGTAGATAAAACAGGAGATAGTGATGATTTTGAGAATGTTTTTCTCTATCGTAGATAAAACAGAAGATAGTGATGATAGTGAGAATGTTCTTATCTATCTTAGATAAAACAGGAGATAGTGATGATTCTGATACGGATAGCGAGGAAGAAGGAGGCTTTGACAGTGACGTTGAACTGGAGAAAAATCGAACATATAAAGATAAAATCTACGTCAATTCCATGAGGAAAACTACAGGAACAAAGCCACACTTGAAGGAAGAAACGATTGTGGAAAAGTAAAGAATAGGGATTTGTTTATTCTGAGAAATATCCACTGTATTGTATATTGTGTGGTAATTAATTGTAATCATATGTTGTAATCAGGACTGTCTTCAGTCGGGGCTCCAATACACCACCGAAAGTTCGTCAAAAGGCTAAGGATTCGGTTAATCGTCGTAGGCGCATAAGTAACGTACAGGATCTTAAGTTGGATCACGTGCACGGATACCGGGGTTTTGACACCCGAAATAATGTTCATTATCTTCCCAATGGAGATATCGTGTATCATACGGCTGCGACCGGTATCGTCCTTAATCTAAAAGATGGAACTCAGAGTTTTTATGTGGAACACACAGATGACATCATATCTCTTGCTGTAAATAGACATCCAAAGTTTAAGGTAAGCTTCTCTCGAAGACCCTCCGTCAAAAATACTTTATTAAATAATTTTCATCAATTTTTATCGAATTATAAAATACTCTTGGTGGAAATTATTGTTTGAAACTATTCGTCTTAGTTGTTTAGTACAATGGCTACAGAACGATAACCTATTTACTCTTAGAGCGTCGTGGCTAGTGGACAGATTGGTAATGAGCCGACGGTTCATGTGTGGGATAGCACAAGCAAAGAAACGTTATCTATTCTCCAGACTTCTCACACTGTTGGTGTATGTAGTTTAAACTTCAGTAGCAGCGGTAAACTGTTGTTGACTGTAGGAGTCGATGACAACCACACACTTACTGTATGGAAATGGTCTGAAGGTTTGTCTTTTGAACGTTTGTAATTAAATATTGTCTTTGACGTAGTTTTATTTGCATGCTTTTTGTCAACTTCTTGATGTTCCCTTGAAGTAATTTGATGTTCCCTTAAAGTGCTTGACGTTGAAACACTTGTGGTGATAATTTTTTAAAGGAAATGTTTGTCAAAAGTAATCAGGTCATTTTATCTCTTATCTTCATCAGGTACAAAACTCGCTTGCGTTTCGGGTCATGCTCGTAGAATTTTCGTTGGAGAATTCCGTCCCGACTCCGATACAAAATTTGTGACGTGTGGAGTGAAACACGTGTGTTTTTGGAGCGTTGCTGGCTGTCAATTGGTTGCTAAAAGAGGAGTTTTAACGAACATATTTGAGGAAGGAGATTCAGGAACAACTGTGAAAATGCAGACAATGTTGTCTGTTGCCTTTGCTGCAGTATGTAATGCTCTTTTTTTGTTGTTTTTTGAGCAATTTTTGTAATGCTAAGAATAACTGATTACTTGGTATTTGGTATTATTCAGCAGAGTTAACACCGTACACGATGGCGGGTCTAGAGTCGGTCAAAATAAATTACAATGGCTGATTCTCAGTTGAAAATATTTTTAATGTTTAACACCCAATAATCTTTGCCCTAAAGTTTTTACAATTAAAGATGTTTTTAATACTTTATTCTGACCTACCCGGGATCAGCTGGTGAGCCAGCAGATTTAGCCCCGGTATGTTCTTTAATCATTACTGTTCTTAATTTCTTTAAAGATTTATTGTTTTCACTGTCAGAGAATATCAAGTGGCATTCTCTAGCTGGCTATGCCAATGCGCATGTCACTAGGAATCTGCCATCAGATTTAGACCCGCTATGTTCTTTTCTCACTACCATTTATAATTTCTTAAAAATTGTATTGTTTTTACAGTCGGTGAACCCTGAGTGGCCTAGTCTTGTTGGGCATGTCACTGGGTATCTCACTCGCTACAATGAATTTTCGTTGTTGATAATCGAATATTTAACATGACAACGCAAATTGAGGTTACATCTTTGTGATGTTTTTGTTCTTTTTTAGGATGGCGTCACTTTCACAGGCGCCATGAGTGGTGATGTCTACGTGTGGCAAAATCAAAAAATGATTCGTATGGTACAAAAAGCTCACAATGGACCTGTGTTTACCCTGTTTACCACCCTAAGTGATGGTTTGATCGTATCCGGAGGAAAAGAAATGGGGTTTGTTTAAATTGAATGTTCAATGTTTACGTGATGTAATGCATGGCTAGAAAATGTCTACCAGCGTCGCTGCTAGGAAATTTTTTCACAAAATTACTTGCGGAAAATAGTTTTGTAACTCTCAAGAAATTTTTCGAAAATATAGAATAGATTAAGAATACAGTTGTACCAGATTACATTGCAATTTGTATTCTGATTTATATCCTACCATTTAGAAACTAATAACTGCATTCAAATGCTTGTCTTCAGGAGTTATTAATGAAATTTTTTTACTGGAATTTTTAAGTTCAGCATGAGAATTTTTATTTTTTGCCATGAGGAATGGGAATACTTTATTCAGGACTGTTGTAATTCTTATCAAGATTATAGTCTGCATGAAACTTCGAGTTCTCTTCATTTAGAAACATAAAAGATGGCGGCTCTGTGAAGCTTTGGGATCAGGAAATGAAAAGATGTCGTTCGTTTAATTTGGGAAGTGGCTCCGAAATCGATGTTGTAAAGTCTGTTTGCCGTTATAAGGTTATTGATTGTTCTACTTTTGTTTTTCATTGATTACTTATTTTCTTTGGTTTATCTAAACTTCTGTTTCTTCAGGGAAGCATTTTAGTTGGGACAAAATCAGGTGATATCTATGATATCACAGAAAAGTCATCTGCGGCTCACGTGATTATGAAAAGCCACACGGAAGGGGAGATATGGGGACTATGCACTCACCCGGAGAAAGACGTCTTTGTTACGGGTAGTGACGACAAAACCGTGAGACTCTGGGACCTCGACAAAAAGGTAAAATGTTTGGTGTACATAATGTTGTGTTGTCTTTGCGGACATCCCTATTTTTAAGGGATAGACTCCATGAGTAGACTCTATGGTTCATATTTAATGTATTATTTTGAGTTGAGGAGATAAACCCTGGGAACGAGACTCATGTTATTTGTATTATTATTATCGACGTGCTTTCTTCAGGTCTTGATCAACTTCATCAAATTTGAGGTGGGAGTACGTTGTGTAAGCATTTCACCTGAAGGAGAACTCATTGCAGCTGGATGTAAAAATGGAGAATTCATTATCATGAACTTTGCTAATTTGAAAATTGTTTCAAGAAAACGTGATCGCAGTAAAGCAGTTCAGGATATCAGGCAATATTTAGACATGGTTTGATTTTCACTTCATCACAAGTTGTATTATTAACAAGATAACGCCATGTCTGTACAGGTTCAGTCCAGATGGCCGTTATCTTGCCGTGGGCTCAGATGACCATGCCGTAGACTTTTACGAATTATCATCTGGTCAACCGCTGACCAGAGTTGGTTACTGTAAGAATATCCCCAGTTTTGTCACCCAGATTGATTTCTCAGCAAACGGACAACACGTGCAGGTAAGAGTCTTCAAACAAATATTTTATGATTTGTCTACTATAGCTCACAAGTCATATACTATATGTTAGGTATCGACAGGATCCTACGAAAAGCTTGTGTTTACTGTACCTAAAGGTGTTCCAGTCACTTCACAGGAAGAAATAAATAATATCACGTGGGCATCGTGGACGAGGTTAGCTTGCGTTACAGCGGTCTATTATTTGCTTTGTTTTACTTCATGAAAGCAATACGTATCATTGATATTTCAGTGTTCTCGGGACGGAGGTCATCGGCATTTGGCCAAAAAATGCTGACAGTGCAGACGTAAACTGCTCCAATCTTTCTCATTCTGGAAACGCTCTTGCAACTGGTGATGACTTTGGTTTTGTAAAGTTATTTCAATTTCCTGTCACTGAAAAGTTTGTAAGTACCAATCTTCGTTAGCACCCTTCCCCCCTCCAAAAAAACTTTATAACACGAAGATGTTTTAGCCGCCCCCCCCAAAAAAATAAACAATTGAAAGGTTCCGCGCTCCCTGATCCATTCAGGAACCATACATTAAAATCATTGCATGGACTGCTTTAATGACATAATTTATCATATCTTTGTATCCCCAGGCTCCTTTCAAGCTCTACATTGGTCACTCTGCTCACGTGACTAATGTTCGCTTTTCTCATGATGATCGCTTTCTTTTAAGTACTGGAGGAGATGACTCAAGGTCAGTCTTCACATTTTTCTTTGTCGATTTGAAAATCGTCTTGTATTTCCTCGCGTCTATTTCTTTCTTAGTGTTTTCGTTTGGAAATGCCTGTAAGGGAAATGAAAAAGAAACACGAAAACATGAAATTCATTTTAACGAATTAATCTCTGTATTTCTGTACAATAGCTAATTTATTGTTGTGAGTTATGTATTTATTTCAAAAATAAAAATAGATGAAATGTTTTAGATATAGCAAAATTTTTGAAAGTGTTTTACGTTTTTTTCATCGATATTGTAAAATTAACAAGATCTAGTGTCTTAATAATGCTTGTTATAATTGAATGTTTTTCAAGCATCACAAGAATTTCAAAAATTTATTTCATCCACTTATGTATGTTTTAAAACAATCTAAGTACCTACGTAATATGTATTGGTTTTCTGATTGGATCAACCAAACAATAGAAACGAACACTGTCACTCGCTTTTATAGATTAATGTCCTTCGTTGTACTTTGAACTCATCAGTCATCACTAAGACTTAAACCCTCATAAAACATGTAGATACTGCCGTCAAAATTTAACGTTTTAACCAGAGAAAACGGGATAGCAAACTTTTAATTCATATGCGCATGCTTAAAATATTACTTTTGCTTGTCGTAAGAGCGTATAGACCATTTTTAAAGAATTCTTGTCACTGTGGACTGGCGTCTTTTTCAACAACCATTTTAATGCTGGCGAACAACTAAGAGGAAAGCCTTAAATAAGGATTGAAAATACTTAAAATATATAACACAACGTAACGGCAGGGAGTCTACTTTATTGGTAATTTAATTTTAATCTCTGTCATTTGCATGTATTGCGTTGTGTTTACCAGTTGCCAGAGCAGTTTGGTTGAGTCTTTAGCGCGTGCGCGTCAACTTGATTTAATGATTTCTCGCACGAGAATCGAATAGTTGTAAAAGCATTGTGTTGTACGTGGCCGAAGGTAGGAGAGAAGCTATTGTCACTATTGTATTCTCTTCTTTATTCTACAAATCTCTGTTTGATTTTTCAGCTGCTACACTTGAGTAATTAATTATTAGCTATCGAGGTACGTATTTGTTTACAATTGTCTATCTTTCTTGTTTTTACCTAACAACTCTTACTCTACTATCTTTCTAAAACATTGTTTACTGTTCACGATAGTGGTGATTGTTATTAAAGTTCGTGAAGAATTTGTGGTGCTGCAATGGTTATGAATTTGCTAATCCACAATAATTAAAGTAGAAAGAAATCTCATAAAACTAAACAACATCACGATATTCTACTCATATATCGAAATTTCTTAAAACTATAAACTTATGCAATCAGTGACAGTGTTGAAATAAATCTTTTATTTGGTCGTGTTCAACGAGGCAGTCACGCTACATCAGCATGATAAAATATCGTGTTGTTAAAACAACTTCTTTATCATTGGAAAGAAATTTGATCTTTGGTGTACATAATGGTTTCCTGTAGATGAATGTTTTTGGATGTGTGAAAATCTACGTGTTTCACGCTTGGCTAATTAGCATTGTTTTTGTTGAAAATATTGTTAATGATTTATCATTGCAACATGTGTTTATTCTTGGTAGAAAAAATACTTGCTTGAAACTGATCTTCATAATTATGTTTCCCAAAAGTTTTCATTTTTACAAGTTTCACAGATACATTATCTTTTTCTAGTGCAAATGAAAGTTTTGTCTGGATCAGTGCATCTTTGATGATGTTTCGCTTTAAAACAGGTCAGATAAACCTTGTCAACTTTCAACAATTTTCACGACTTGCTGGTGTTCAAAGCATACGGTCCATTCATGGCACACAATCCTGTCACAAGGGTGATGTTGACACAAAACCATTACCAGAGCATGGGAGCATAAAAAAACTATTGGTGGCCAATCGAGGTGAGATTGCCATCAGGATTTTTCGTGCTGCAACAGAGAAAGGAATAAGAACTGTTGCAGTTTACTCACAAGAGGATATAAATCACATGCATAGACAGAAAGCTGATGAAGCATTTTTGATTGGAAAGGGTTTAGCACCAGTTGCAGCTTACCTTAACATACCAGAAATCATCAGAGTTGCTAAGGTTAGTCATAGACTTGTTCTTTGTATCACAAAATGTGATTTGGTATAAAACATTTTGATTATTTTCTTTTGTCTAGGAACGTGATGTTGATGCTATCCATCCTGGTTATGGCTTTCTCTCAGAGCAAGCAGACTTTGCCCGTGCATGTGTCAACTCTGGTATTAAATTTATTGGACCAACTCCTGAAGTTTTGTCCACCATGGGTGACAAGATTGCTGCACGTGCTACAGCTATTCAAGCTGGTATTCATGTCATCCCTGGAACAGACCATCCTGTTGATGATCTTCAAGCCGCTCGCGAGTTTTGTGTAAATCATTCAGGTTTTCCTGTAATGTTGAAGGCAGCATATGGCGGAGGAGGTCGAGGAATGCGGATAGTCAGGAGTATAGATGAGTTGGAGGAATTGTTTACTCTTGCTAGGAATGAAGCTTTAACTGCATTTAATGATGGCTCCTTGTTTATTGAAAAATATATTGGTGAGAAGATTGTTTATGAGTTTCATAAAATAACACTTTTATGTTTCATTATCATATATTCATAAACACCAGCGTTGTTACGTAACAATAAGAGACATGTCTATAACACTATAGTTTTGTTTATAACAAAACTATATTATGGTAAGGTTTATAACACTGTGGACAAAACCTACATTTTTTAGAGAACCCTCGTCACATCGAGGTTCAGATACTGGGTGACGCCTATGGCAACGTCGTTCATCTCTATGAACGAGACTGTTCTGTTCAACGTAGACACCAAAAACTTGTTGAGATCGCTCCAGCTCCGGTTTTGGACCCCGAGCTTCGCAAAGCGATGACATCTGATGCGGTTAAACTTGCCAATTTTGTGGGCTATGAAAATGCTGGCACTGTTGAGTTTTTGTTGGACGAAAAAGGAAATTATTACTTCATTGAAGTGAATGCCAGACTTCAGGTTGAGCACACCGTCACTGAGGAAGTTACTGGGTAAGAAATAGGGCATATTGTAAATGCAATGGGATATAGGAGTTTTAGTTCAATGAATTTAGTTCATGAAGGTTTAGTTTGACCATTTAGTTTGACCATACGAAACTACTACTACTACTAGTTCAATGACACTGCTCAATCATACTGTTTGTGAATGGCATTTTGATTTGTATTGTCAGTATCGTCCTATCAGATCAGGGTTCATATTGGTTCATTCATCTTACCTTATGAAATAAATTCATGCCCACATTTGTGAATTATAGGAAAAAACAAATTTTTAAATTTTATAAGGTTGCCATAAACACACAAAACTCTTAAGTGAGGAAGGAACTGGGTTCTAAAACAATGGATGGAATACTTATGTTCAATCATCTTGTATAGGGTTGATTTAGTCCAAACTCAGATCGGCATCGCGGAAGGTAAAAGTCTTCCTGACCTTGGGCTGACTCAAGAAAATGTCAAAGTGACCGGTTCGTCCATTCAGGCACGGGTTACCACTGAAGATCCCACAAATAATTTTACACCCGACACTGGTAGGATAGAGGTGGGTATTATTGATCATAACTTTATAACACTGGTAGGATAGAGGTGGGTATTATTAGTCATATCTTTATATAATGTATCTGATTTTTGTGATGTGATCGTACTTTGTGTTTTTTTAAAAAAGTATTATTGCTTAGTTGTTAAGCTCAAGTAATCTTGTTATTTTAGGTTTTTAGAGCTGGCGAAGGCATGGGAATACGTCTGGATGGCGCAGCGGTCTTTCCTGGGACGGTAATTACACCACATTACGACTCACTATTGGTCAAAATCATCAGCCATGCGCAGACGCATCGTGATGCATCCATGAAATTACATCGTGCCCTACAGGAATTTCGAGTACGAGGAGTAAAGGTCGGTGGGATAAATTAGTGAACTGTCTCAAATTGCTGTTGACTATTGAGAAAAGTTTGCGTTTATACACTCTGCTTAGAAAACTTAAAATCACTCATAACTTTGTCGTCCGACATTACTATTATTTATCGTTCAATAACCTCTTCATCACAAAAGGGTCTTTTTTTGGAGATATACGCTTTTGTGTTATTGAAATCTGAAAAGGTTTCTTGTATTACTAATCCAAAGTAATCGACGTAGAGCAATGTTGGCGTACACTGATGTGATGTGAGCAGGCGCGTGCTATCTCGTATGACTCCGTCACGACGTCACAAGTGATGAAATAGAACTAGGAATTATTGTTGGTAGAACATAAAAAAACTGAAATAGTATCAACAGATACTCGTTAAATACTCCTTGATTTTGATGTGATTTTGACACGCGATTTTTTCTTTTTTCCAAGACCAACATTCCATTTCTTCTTAATGTATTGGAACATCCTGAATTCCTCGATGGTGTGGTCAACACCGATTTCATCAACGACAATCCTCACCTTCTTTCCATCGCTGGAAGTCAGAATCGTGCTCAGAAATTACTGCATTACTTAGGTAATGTAATGATAAATGGTCCTGTCACGCCTTTAGCGACCGACGCCAAACCCAAGAAAATTGAACCAAAAGTACCAAAGGTTAGATGTGTGTAGCATATCGTTCGTAGTGGTATTTTATTTGTTAGTTGTTTAATTAATTTAATATGGAAATACGAATATATAAATATTCTTTAAAATATTTTGTCTGCAAAATGTTGATGAGTTTTAGTTGTCATGGCACCTTATGACAGCTATGGTAAGATAAAGCTTTAGTTGGGTAGGGGTGCTGGTCAAGCAAGTTTGTGGTTATCGTGGAGTGAGTTGGATTTTGATGATAGCATGGTGAGATAAAAAGCTAAAAACAAGCATAAAAAAGTATAATTTCTATACTTCTATAGATACCTGTGAGCAACGCCCGTGATCGACCACCTGGCTTCAAAGATGTTCTCACGCAAGAAGGTCCAGAAGGCTTAGCGCGTGCTGTAAGGAATACCGAATCCCTTCTCTTAACGGACACCACGTTTCGTGATGCCCACCAATCGCTTTTGGCGACCCGAGTCCGTACGACTGACTTAAGAAAGATTGCCCCATTCGTTTCCACGAACTTCTCGAAATTATTTAGTGTCGAATGCTGGGGAGGTTAGTCACTGTACAATATATCGGCAATATATATGTGCTGGGTTTCATTATCTGTCAAACTTAAGTAAACCCAAAGAGTCAGTTATGTTATGTTTGTGAATGCCATAATTTCTAGCACTTGCCAAAATGTTTTAACAATCAGTATCTCGTTCCTATACTCGACATTGTTGTTCATTTGATTTGGACGATTTCTTTTGAAATTTCTATAAGGAGCAACATTTGATGTGGCAATGCGATTCCTGAACGAGTGTCCATGGGATCGATTAGCAAAGCTGCGCCAGGACATCCCAAATGTGCCCTTGCAAATGTTACTGCGAGGAGCGAATGCTGTAGGCTACACCAGTTACCCAGATAATGTAGTCTATAAGTTCTGCAAGCTTGCTGTGGAACATGGGATGGATATATTCCGGGTTTTTGATTCGCTGAATTACGTACCTAATCTTCAGGTATTATTATCATGACTACTATGGTAATTGATTGTTTAATTTTAATGCTCACCTATAACAAATGTGCGTTTTCAGTTGGGAATGGAAGCTGCAGGTGCTGCTGGGGGTGTAGTTGAGGCCGCAATATCGTACAGCGGAAACGTAGCTGATCCTAATAAGACAAAATACACTATTGAGTACTACATGGAGCTCGCCAGAGAACTAGTGAAAGGTGGAACGCATATCCTTTGCATCAAGGTGAGAGTCAAGTGGTTGAGGATACTTGTATGATTTTGACTTTACGAGCATCACTAAGTATCTATACAACTCTTATGTTACCTAAAGTACTTTTGATATCCTTGCCCTAACTTTACACTTTGCCTATCCTTACCTTTTGTACTTTTTTGTTTGTGTATATGTATGTTTATGTATGTGTATTTTAATGATGGCATGATGCAGGCAGAATCCAACTGTAAAACACACAAGGGATGTGAGCATCCTTATTAATATAATTGTTAAATAAATATATAATCTTAAAGCGTAAGCAATACACTATTGTTGCAACACTTCTGTCAAACCCTTCCAATCCTTTATTTTACTCTTTTGTAAGGACATGGCTGGCCTCTTGCGACCCGAAGCCGCAAGACTATTGATCGGAGCTCTTCGTGCCGAGTTTCCCAACATGCCTATTCATGTACATACCCATGATACCTCGGGAGCTGGTGTCGCGTCTATGCTTGCCTGCTCAGAGGCTGGAGCCGATGTCGTTGACGTTGCAGTCGATTCCATGTCCGGGATGACGTCACAACCAAGTATGGGTGCTGTTATTGCGTCTGTACAGAATACAAAAGTAGATACAGGTAAGAACTACCAACAATCTCTATGTATGACTGTGAATTTGTAAGGATGTGAATCGTAAAATCGTTATTGCAGGGATTGCGCTGGATAAAGTGTTCGACTATAGTAGTTATTGGGAACAAGCACGGTTGTTGTATGCACCATTTGAATGTACGACGACGATGAAGAGTGGTTATTCTGACGTGTATGAGAATGAAATACCTGGTGGTCAGTACACAAATCTTCAATTTCAAGCTTTCAGTCTTGGTCTCAATGACCAGTTCACAGAAGTGAAGAAGAAGTATGCCATCGCAAATCGCATTCTGGGTGATGTGATCAAGGTAAGTTTAGTTTGTGAAAGTCAAATATTGGTTTCTTTGCTTTTATTTAGAACTAGTGGTTTCCTGTGTGAAATTCTCCGACTACTTCGTAATTGTTCATATTTCTGTAATTCAGGTGACGCCATCGTCAAAAGTTGTTGGCGATCTTGCACAGTTTATGGTTCAAAATGATTTGGATGAACATGACGTTCTGGCCAAAGCGAGTGAGTTAGACTTTCCTAATTCAGTTGTTGGTTTTATGCAAGGAGAGCTAGGACAACCATATGGTGGATTTCCTGAACCTCTAAGGACACAGGTGAGTTGACGATTCCATATATTTGTCCAAACCACCAGCTACCCACTTTATTCATCATTTATCTCTATGTAGGTTCTTAAAGGTAAACCGACAGTTGATGGAAGACCTGGGGCGAGTATGGAAGAGTTGGACTTTAAAAAGCTAGAGAGAGAATTGAAGAAAGAGCACGGTATGATTATTGCATTGATATTTTTTATCGTTTGGCTGTTGATATCCAGGCTTTTTCCTCATTAGCCATGTTTTTCTATCGACATGAGATTTATATTGGTTTAGGTGACAATAATATACGTGAATGTGACGTTGTTAGCGCTGCGCTTTATCCCAGTGTCTTCAGAGAGTACATGAGATTTAAAGATGAGTTTGGACCGATGGAGCCATTGCCGACACGACTTTACCTGACTGGGCCCGAAATAGGAGAACAGTTTCATATTGAAATTGAGGATGGTAAAGTTCTGAACGTGAAAATTCTTGCAATTGGTGATCTCTTACCCGATGGACAGCGCGAAGTTTTCTGTGAAATGAATGGGCAATTGCGAGCCGTGTATATCACTGATAAGACTGGAATCGAGGTATTTAGTGTAATTCTTGTATGGAATACGTGTTGTTTTATGACTTACATTTTGTTATTGTAGAAGCTCAAAGTACATACTGTTTGTTGAGATAACTGATTTTAAATCTTTTACTATTTTTATTTTGTGTTCTTTCTATCTTTTCACTAAATTGTCTTTTGTTTGGTTTTTTTAATTTTAGCAAGTCGCAACGAGGCCAAAAGCTCATCGCGACAATAAGGGATCCGTGGGTGCTCCAATGCCAGGAGAAGTCGTGGCTGTTAGGGTAAAACAAGGACAGAAGGTGGATAAAGGTGATCCACTTGTTGTGCTTAGCGCTATGAAAATGGAAACAAATGTGACGTCACCAGTTAAGGGAGTGGTTTCGCAAATCGCGGTCACGAATGGTGAGACTATTCAGGCAGGTGATCTACTTATCGAGATTGTTGAAGATTAATTAGATTGGTAACTATTTTATGGAATTTAGCAATTATTTTTCAAATATAAAAGGGATTAACGTGGGAGTCCAATTTTTACGTGTAGAAGTCTAGGAACAACCTATCATGTAAAAAAAATTGAATTTAAAAAGCGTTTAATGGTGATGTGTAATTTTAGTGTTACTGACAAATGTTTTATTTCACATTCGTCTTGTTTTCAATGTTTTTTAATGAAACGGTGAAAAAGAAAAATGTATAAGCTGTGATCTTGATGGATCAGTGACTAAGGAAGTTGAGGAATGACCGAAAAGCACCCATTCAGATGGAAGCATTCAGATGGAAGCATAAGTTTTCATATGAAATTATGAAAAGCACTTCTCGGCAATACGTTTGTAATGCGTTTCAAATAATGTGTTCTGTATTTTGTTGAAATTTTCTTACTGTATTTTGTTTTAAAGTTCCCAATTTCTCGCTATAACTTTCAAATGTTTTATGTATATTTTGTATTTTATTCGCATTTTGCCATGCTTTCCATAAAAGGTAATGTCATTACCATGACCAAATATGGACATATAATCGTCATTGTTGACCAATGAGCTTGCAGAAATGTACCACGTGGCTCAAAAATGGAGGAAGGAAGTTTGTCCGGTCGACGTCACATTGCTGTTCTTTGCTCTCACAAACTTTATACTGGGTGCGTCCTGCTGTAATCGAGAACATTTATCGGTTGCTTCTGATCATACTCTTACAACAAAATGGTATGTAATTCTAAAACAACATAAGTTGTATTAACCATAAATAAATGTATACATTTTGTTACTTAACGTATTTACGATGCTAATATATAAACGACTTCTAGGTTCTTGGAATGATACATCCTATAAACTTTTTCATGCATGTTTTAGTGAGTTTACTCCACAAATATCGAACCTAAAGATTATTGTTCTTTCCTTTAACATCCAGTCGTTCTACTGGAGTATAACTTGCAAATGTTAATCTGTATTTTTAGTAAATATAAATCTTTGATGTTTAAAGTTAGTCGGAAGTGTGTCGAGGGTGTCTTAAGTTGACTAGTGTACATAATCTACCAACACACGGCACATTGTATGTCATCGTGAGTAAGTTAAAATTTTTTGTTGCTTAAAGCGGCATTTATGGATCTTGAGAAAATTAGTTCGTAAACTGATGGTTTATAATTGTTTATTCAACATTTCAAAATATGCTGCTTTGATTAGTCGTTGGAATGTACATATGAGCGATTGATACGTGGTGGACTGTCATGATATAAGAAATGTTCTTAATGTCATTTTAGCCAACATTAGATCTACTGTGATTGGCAGTATTTATTATGTACCTAAACGTCCCTTTACTACTTCTCTAAGGTCCTGTCTGTCAATAAGCAATTAAACATGCTCTATCTTTCAATCAAAGTGAACTTGTGCTTTGGAAATACTCTTAGTCATATTACTAACCTGAAAAATCAGGGGCAATCAAACATCTTTCAAGTTACTTCCCTGATAAGTTTAGTTATTACCTTTTTTCTGCTATCAGCTCTTAAAACTGGGAAACTACTCCAAGTATTATTATATTTACCCTTGATATTGAACAAAAACGTGTTTTAATTTAAACCACTAATGTTAGGACATACATGTGTGTCCTGAAATACTGAAATCTTACAAAGATAACATATGTGTCTTTAAGAGGGAAGAAAGTGTAGTATAAAACTTGGACTGAAAAAGTTGTAACTTTTTAGGCGCAGTCAGGAATTGAGGTTGATGGAAGTTTGAAAGAGATCTTTAATCAAATGAAGCTTCAAAAGCATCCCATAAAGTTGTTAGTGATGGGTTTTTCTGATGATGAGAAAACTGTAGTTCAACGAGAGGCAGACAGCGTTCATGGTGATTGTCCAATAGAAAAGTTACATGAATACTTTTCTCATGAAGCAAGAAAAACTGACTGTTGTTATGCATTGTACGACTATGAAGGAAAACTTATTTTGATCAAGTGGTTAGTATCAGTAAAAATTTTAGCTATATTTCAACTCGTAATGCATACACACACATGACTTTTTTATATTGTTAGTTGCTTAAATTACAATAAGTCAAGTAAACTTATTTGTTTAGTAGACTAGCCTATGCTTTTTGCAAGTAAGTTCATTTATGCCGTTGCAATGAAGAGAGAGTATCTCTACTTCAAAACTATTCATGGCTGGTCCTGAGAATAAGTTCCAATCATGTATAACTATTATCGTGTGACTTAAGGGCCCCAGACAATGCAAAAGCCAAGAAGAAGATGATGACCGCAAGTACATTTGCTGAGTTGAAAAAAGTATTTGATAGTATCAAATATATAGAAGCAACTGATATGGATGACCTTAGGAAAGAAAGTCTGATCAAGGGAAAATGACCATATAATTCTCTCACAGTCTTTATGACCATAATTTTCGTATTAGTTATAGTTTTTCAAAGATCCTTATTGGACATGGCTATAATCCACTATGATATAGGTGTATGTCTTGAAATTGTAGTTCTTTGAAGTTAATGCGCATATTGAATCTATGTATTTTTTGTTTAAACATTCTGTTAATAAAATTGAATGATTTTTGTCAGTTTGAAACTATTTTTTATCAAACAATTACATTACATTGTTCACAGTTTGCATTTTAAGCTTCTGACATATTACTTGCATGAATACTGTCTTCAATTAATCTTTTGTTTCAATGTAATTTGGTGTAGTCTTCAATCAACTGATGAAATTCTTGCAACATTGAACATAAAATCAAAGAGGGTGACCTGGCTAATTAATGAAATGATCATTAGAACGAATTGCCAACACGTATTTACCATTCATCGCTGATCGATCAAATTCACTACAACCATCAGTGTAATCTTTCTGTTGGCGATATTTCAATAGTACTGTCTGGAACAATAATATAGGTTTCGTGTATTTGGGCAATCAGACTTCGTGTAATGACTGAGGACTCCCTGGCAGTGACAGATTCGAGGAATTCTCTTGGCAGTCGACGATGGACTCCCCAGTCCCTACGAAGTTATTAATACATACTTTATACTTACTCTACAAATGTGAAATGTAGAACCAAACATCTTGTATTCTTTAAGAAGATATTCTCCAATTACTTCATTGTCTCTTTCACTTTTTGTTTTTTTTTGCCACTTTTAAACATCGTTTCGGTTTCTATGCAATAAACATATTTCAGTATCGACCAAGATCAGTTTCTTCCCAAGTCTCGTTCGTCAGGGAACGGCCTGGAAACGACTAAGTTTAAAGATCATTCGTTTCCCTGCTTCAAAAAGACGCGAAGAATTTATGAATGTACAACTATTACTCATTTACTAAAAACAGACTTGTAAAACTTCATAAATGGAGAAGCAGCTAGCAGAGTATAGAGCCAAAAAGACAAAGGAGGCTTATCAAAAAAAATGGACGTTTGCTAATGCTCTTTCTAATGCAAGTAAGAACGTGTTTGGCTCCAGTATTGGTAAAAGTGAGTCTAACTCTAATCGCCTTTTTCCCGAGAACATTAGTGCCGACATTTCCGAGGAGTATGTGGTTTTGTATCCGCGCTTAAGAGTCTTTCTAAAGTTTATTTTATGGTGCTCTTGTTTTGGATTTTTTGTCCAAATCAACTTTGGTTCTGTCTTCTTCATTTTTTCACTCTTCTACTTCATGTATGTAAGTATGAAGAGTGGAACACGCAAGCGATGGGAGCCTAGTGCTTACTCAGTTTTCAATGACAATTGTGAAGCAATTGATGGAACTTTGTCTGGTGAACAGTTTGAAAAAGAATTAAAGTTTGGTGCAGGTGCAGTTGGGTGATAACTATTGACTATACCGTGACTAGAGTTGCGACCCTGATGGTTGATAACTATTGGATATGTAGAGTTGCTACCCTGATGGTTGATAACTATTGAATATGTACCATTGGATATGTAGAGTTGCTACTCTGATGGTTGCTAACTATTGAATATGTACCATTGGATATGCAAAGTTGCTACCCTGATAGTTGCTAACTATTGAATATGTATCATTGGACATGTAGAGTTACAACCCTGATGGTTGATAACTATTGAATATGTACCATGAGTGGAGTTATAACTTTCATCATGTTTTGAATGACAGGAGATCAAGTTACATGGCAACTTGTCAAAAATTTATCAAAGGAAAGTGTCAACCTTAATCAAGGGCCTTTACTAGTTTAAATTACATATATTTAACATAGCTTTATCATGTAATCATTGATATACAAGTTCATTAGAGGAGAAATATGAGTGGATTTAAGCAAAAAATATTCACAAGAAATGATATTAAGAGATGAGATGCTACAATGATATCATGAACACCTCTCCTCTTACTCATGTTAAAAAATATGCAACAACTGACATGTTCTTTTGATGGCGAGAATAATTTTATTTGTTTTCTAACTATGTTGAGGTGTAACTATTTGAAGTGTTTTTCGCATTCTCAACAAAAGCAGATAGTTGTTTGTAAGAGGCAACTTCTTTCACAGAGATCCCAAGTAATGAAATCTAAAGAGTGAAAGTATTAGTTAATGTTATTTTGATGATTTCCTCTTTATTTGATGATTACCTGTTTCCCAAACTCTTCTGTATCTAAGGCAAATTGCATTCTAATCTTGTCATCATCAGTTATCTTGTCGCCCTCAGTAATTGAAACATTTGCTGTGGCAATGTCATTCTTACGAATGCGTTTCAACCTCAGCAAACTGTCTTCTGTTCTCTTTATTGATGTCAGCACTTCAGATGTAAGGTTATAGAACCTGAAAGACAGTATCAAGCAATGTAAGAGTAATAAAACAATGCTTTGGACAAATGTTTAAAATGACATGAAGTATGCCCATACAGGCTATACTATCATTTTCCACGTGTAGCAAACACAATGAAGTTATTTCAAGTCTACCTCACTCTTAGCTGTTCCTACTTTACTTACTTTGCTGCCACATTCTCTGATATCATCAGCAACCACTCTTGCAACCTTTCAGCACTCACTATGGTTTCATTCTCTGTCATGAAAGTTTTTAATGGCTCAATAACATTGTTGATATATGAGGATGGTTTTAAAGGTGCCTAAGTAAAATGAAAACAACCATTAGGACTTGTAGATTAGAAGGGTATGACTTGGCTATGAAGATGGAGACACCATAGCATATTCTCAGCTTTTTGATTAAGGAGAATGCCAAATGTTGGGAAAAATGTGTTGTCACAAGAAAAAAGGTTAAAAGTTCTCATTGTCATTTGGTTTGGCATCAAAGAAATGCTATTGTATTTGAAATAACACTTTGTGCTCGTATTTCTGCTTAGGTTGATTAGATAGTGAGTGTACCTCACGATTTGTCCTTCTATATAAACGAGGAATGTTTTTGGCTCCATCCAAAAAATTGCAACACAAAGTTGTGACGTTTTGAACAATCAATGATGAGATGTACGGTAATGTTTCTTGAAGTTGTGAACAGCGCTTGTTTAACAATATATCTACATAAAATACATACAACACAACGCACTTCTCTATAGCTCATTACAGTATAACATACACTTCTCTATGGTTGATAACAATATATAAGTTATACAGCAGATTAACACAAATTATTTTTACCATTCAAATTGTCTTTTTCTTTTCTGCTAATGTCAGGAAGTTTCTTCAATACTGTATGTTCCCAAAAGTGAGGGATCTAGGGAAAGATACATTTTATTTATAAATTCGGATTTTTTGTGGTAGGTCTTGTGATAAAAAGGAGATTATTCATCAAAATCAGTCCAGGCTCAATCTGTTCAGACGTTTTTTTTGAAGCTACAAAGAAATTCTTGAGGTGCTATTTTATCCGATCTCTTTTGGTGTCGTGTAAATTTGAGACGGTTAACCTAATACCGATCCTACAGGATTGTAGTGTATCAAAATCATTATACAGATGATTCAAATCATGCAATCACTTCAACCTTTTTAAGAATTTCCATTACGTCAGCGACTACATGTAGTAGAATGGTCATAGTCACGTGACTTGAAGTGCTTGTTTCCAGATCCCCTTCAGAGGAAGCTGGCAAGGAAGCAGACGGTGGTTTCTTGTTCGTGGCGTTGATTTGCTGAAGGTGAATATTGCAACATATAAAGGAATTTAAACAATAGCAATCATCTCACAGAGTACGCAATACCTCTCGGAGTTTTAAACTCTTGAGCCACTCGGCTAGCCTTGAGATGAGCTGGGATTATAAAAGAAAATTGAAGATCACTACTAGAGTTTTAGATTGAATAGACAAAAGTAAGAATTGCTGAAAACATGAAGGATTATAATGCCTGTAAAGTCAGTTTCCAAAAACGATGGGATAATGCAAAGAGGAAAACTTTTTCATCCCAACACCTCTCGAAAGATTTCCAGAATTCTTGTATCACATTTATGCATAGACCATTTTCTTCTAAAGAATAAAATGGTATTGATTTAGGATCTTTTAGATATTGGATTTTACAAGGAGTTAACTGCTCACACAAAGGGCACTTATACTGTGCTCCGTTGTAAGGAAAGTCAAATAGCTGGAATCGATATTGGTTTGAGAAACTATAGTGAAATGTAGGCTAGATAGAGCAATCATTTAGCTTCATCACGACCGTTTTGAAAAAAAACAATGCAAATAGAGCAACTATTGTTATAGTTATATCCTAGAAAGGATATCAAGTTGTCCATAGGATGATGATAGGATTGTAATAGGATTGTGCTCATTGTATACCTTGATTAACAGAACACTGATTCAACATTGAGCTTTCAAAACTGCCAGCGATTTCTTTAAACCTAGGAGATAGAAAACCTTCATTTGGGATTGGATTATCGTAAGGGTATTGGATTATCGTTAAGATTGATTTTACTCTGCTTGAAGATAATGGATCGGCCTTTCCTCGGATCAGTAATTATTGATGTCCTTTTTTACAGATAACGTAATGTGAACAGTAAGAATCAGTTTTTCCAACCTTATCTGAAAGTAAATGGGTAAACTCCAACGAGAGATAAACGATACATAAGATGGATGACTTCGTAGTTTCAGAATATTTTCTTTTGAACGACAATACTTTTCAAATTCTCGCAAGAAGTTCATACTTGTCGTGTAATTCTGAAAGAGGAAGATATCGATAACGCTTAGCAAAACACAACACTTTCTTTTTCTTGGGGGGAGGTGAGGAGACTGTTACGGCAGTTTTATGTTAAAAGTTTTTCTTTGATGGCAAAAACAATAACAAAAGCTTTTGTACCACGAAATCATTTTCACTTGTTCTAATGTTCAATTAATAAGTTGTTCTTATTGTACTTAAAATATTAATTTTATTGAAACATTATTTCTCTCAGCATTAGCGTTTCTTGCAAAGGGGATGTACATATAAAAGCAACGGCTTCTTCAGGACTTTCGTGACGAATGTTTTACTGAAAAAAAATTAGGAAAGATAAAAATCTTATGGACGGTAAAACGTTTTAAGTCTCAAGAGACAAGAAGAGGACAGCAGGAGGAACAATTGGGTACAAGGTACATTTTTTGTTGCTGACCAAAATAAAAGTGCCGTAGGCTCAAAAAATGGCGGGAAATTCGAGTTCAATTAAAATTTGACTTTAAATTGAACTAGAAATGAAAACATTACACAGCTTGTGAAACGAGCGAGAGATACAAAACTTCATAATGAAAGGCTCAAATACACAAGGTTCAAATAACATCCTTCAAAATGATTCAGGTAAAACAAAAACAAACCTTATGAAAGATAACAGGATCACCAGCAGCAAATATTGAAGTTAGGTTGTTTTGTAAGGCTGATGATATTTCTGGCCATACAGAATTGATAATAAAATTATATCCCGTAATGCTTTGCATGCTCTCATTCACATTTAATACATCATGGGCACTCAATGTCTTCCCCAAAGTAATATCAATAAGTTTGCCACAGTAGTTTGGGATAAATGCAAGTATGTCCTTATACATCCCAAGCAGTCCATTACCATTTGCTTTTAGTGATTGCTCATTTATGATCTAAGAAATATCATTGATGACAAGTTATCTTGTGTTTGAAAAAAAAATCAATTTAAGTGAAATAGTCAATTTGCCCATTTATACCTTCATGTAAGGTTTGACTGCAAAACTTTGAAATAGGTTCTCAGCAAAAGATATTTTATCAATAATGGCATATGTCCGAAGGCATTGTGTAAGAACTTTGATATCTCCCTGTTTGTATCCTTCTTGAAAAGATGTCTCGAGATTCTTCTGAAGGGTACTTGTAATCTCAGATATACGCTACACAATTTAATTGACAATAAACATCAACATTATTATAAAAGGAAATGTGAAAAATGACTTTGCATACTGATCTTATTTTTTCCACCATAGGATGTCCCTGGCATTGGGTGACATAGAACTGGAGTTGGTTAAAGTCACTGGCAACCCTCTCAATGAGGTGACCACCTCCTTGCTCGGAACTATGATGAAGGTTAGTGAGTTAACTTTCAGTGTATTTAAACAACAAGATTAAGTGCGCAGGGTAAAAATTAAGGAGTCAAAACAGCTTTGAAAAATTTATTGCTTATTTGAAAACTCTCCTTAACATTAAGAAAAACTAGTAACATATTAGTGAGACATATCAGAGTGTTTGAAATCATATGACAAAAATACAACCCAAAAAAAGTTACTCGCCAAGGAATATGCATTTTCACTAAATGCCACATTTTATGTCTAAATGCCAATCAAAATAATCATATTTTCAAAATTTGTACCTTCACTTCTCCCAAGCATGGTATAGAGTTGCCTTACAAATTGCAAAATAGTCAAAAGATTATACGCTTTGCTTTACATTTTGTTTTACCTGTCCGTGCTCTCATCTGTTGTAACAGAAGTCTTTAAGACTCGCTCAATCTTTTCCATACAATGTGTAATGTTGAGCAGGTTCTGGGTAAAAACCTAAAGAAATCTATTAAATGACATTCTGTCTCTTATGAAATGTTTGATAATGCATCATCTCGAACCTTTTTCTCTCTTAATTCTGCTCTTTGTTTCAACTTTGTCTCAACAGATCGTATTGTTATGTCCAAATCGCTTTGAATAGACTGTTAAAATTAGGACATTATAAATAAAACGATACAAAGTGGATAGCAATCCCTTGTGAATAGCAATCCCTTGTGAATAGCATGTATAACCATTCATTTACCAAAATCTCCTCTCTCAATTGCCCAAGAGGTACTGTGAGATTATTGATAGCTTTGTCCATCCCAACCTATAATTTTTTTTTAATTTAATCAACTAACATAGAATAGTATAGTCAACTGTATAATAACACAGTACTGTCAGTTATCGTAGAATACTTACAAGATCAGTGGAGAGATTAACGAAGTCTGCATAGTCCTGATTGATAAGCTCAATCAAGGCGTTCTTTAGCAGTCTCATGTAATCATCAAGTTGTTTTTTAAACACATTAAGAGGTACGATCTTTTTACAATTTGAAACGAACTTATCAACTTGAAAGTCATCTTGCATGAAATCGTTTTTTGTAAAACAAGATGAATTAGGCTCCACCATTATTTCCCTCTCGCTTTCTCCCATTGTGAAATATAGTCGATTAAATCGTTTTACAAAGTGCACAATGTCGATACTGAAATTTTCATTTGTCGACGTGTTTTGGTCGCCATGTTATCAATTCACTCCAGTTGCATTTACAGTTCAGCAGTTTGGGTTAAATTTTGAATTTTAAATGTACACGTAACCCGCCGTGAGTCACCGTACATTTCCGACATACCATTCTGCAAAGTTGACATTGACAACCGCTAATTTTAAATTTTGTTCTCACCAAACAATTTTGTACTTATATTTTTACTGTTTTTTAAATGGAAATTGATATATCGTTCCCTGAAAGTCTGGAAAAAGTTACTTTCGCATCATTACTGATAGAATCAGTGAAATATTTGATGTTTCATCGATATCAAACGCCGTTACCTATCGATCAACTTCAAGCGGAAGACGAGCGCGACAGAAGACATGAGAATGCTAGACGTTCACCGAGACACCGTCCTATTCCTGCCGTGTTAAAGAAGAAACGGAAATTTCTTGCGGAAGTAGACGATTTGTTAATAAATTTATATCAAGTATTCTTGCAAACGGATGTGGTAGAAATGATTTTGTTGTTTGGGGCAACTCTGGTCAGTCCTAAGGAAATTTATTCTATAAAATTTGAAGGCAATCATGAGTTAACTAGCATGGATGAAGTAAAAATTGCTTGCGCAACTGGCAAGGAAAACCACTCAAGAACTCGATCAAAATTTCAAGACAAGTGTTGTCGGAAACTGGCAAAATGTTTGTTTACAAACCCATCTCTCAACAAGCTTGGTGAGCTTGGTACAACATCTATGCATTGTTTGATTTTGGCTCCAAGAACAACAGAAACTAGCTGGCTTCGTCCAAGGGCATCATTCAAGCTTCCATGCAAGATTAAACCGTATAAGATAAAAATACAGGGGGCTAAAGATGATAGTAAAATGGTATCCAAGGATGTGATGGAAAGTAAGGATGTTGATGGCCATGTAGGGATGTTGGTGGAGAATGACCTGTTGTGGTTTGAAACACCAGTAGTTATTAAAGGATACAAGGGAGCATTCACTTAACCCAATATGAGCATTAAATGAAACTATGATTCTGTTCTTGATAATTTAACGAATTTTTATTATTCATATTTTATTGAACTGAATTAATTGTTGCAATGTGTAGAAAAATACATGATGAAAGCATTTTTGCTGTATGATGATTTGAAAATTGCTATGGAGATGATTACGATTGTCTGGATGACATTTTTTATAAATAAATATGTGCTCTTCCCTAACTATTATGATGAACAGCATGAGGAAAACGACAAATCAAATTCTCCTAAATCGAAAATATAATGTTATTTTTAGTGAGCCATTTCATCAGTGTTTGATAAAGTAGTAATACTCACTGCATTCTGAGGAAGTTCGCTGTTCATTCTGCCCAATGGTTTATTTGCCTACATAAAAAAAATTGTAATGGGGTAACGAATGATTCAAACTTTACAATGTAAAACGGATCTTTAGTACGTTACTCACAGCGTAAGCCGTTCCTGTAATGGGGTTAGTCAACCAAGATGAACTATTTACTGCAGGCGTTTTTAATCTTTCAGGTTCCTCAATCTTTTAATAAATCAATAACTATGTGTAGGATTCAAAACTTGTAAATTTTCACTAGTTTGTCGCAATTAATCGTAGCTGCTAATATGTCGCAATTAGTATGCTGCGATGTCGCAATTAGAGAATATACGTACTTTGTACACTGGTAGAGATCGAAAGACAGCCGCAGGGTCGCTTAATCCCGATTGACTGCTATCCAGATGGAAATTGTAATGCTATGTTGAAAAATAGTTTATTACTGAAAAAACTTTGTTGAGAAATGAGATAAACATCGTCATTGCTGACCCTTGGTTTTGTGAGAGAATGAAAAAATTTCTTGTTGTCAGTAGTGCTTCGCGTTTCTTCTCTTGCAGAATACCTAAAAGGCCGCCATCTTAAAAAAAAACAAAGTATTTAACTAATAATGATTTGAGTTTTGAACATCGACATTGTAAGTCATGTTAAACTTGCCTCTGATCATCAAATGCTAGCGGACATTCCACAGTTCTGTTCGATTTTGGTTTATTTTTTACTTGCTTTGTCTTTCGTAGCAGTTTTTTTGGTACCTTTGTGAAATAAAACATGCAGAAATTCTTTATTCAAGGTTATGAACTCAATAAGAAACTTGTGATATGGTAGACATCACCTCCGATATGTCATAAGGTCGTAATGGAGTCGATGGAATGGCTGTTGTTGTTGGGACTTGCCACCGTCGTGGTTGTCCAAAAAAACCAATAAAATGTCCTGTGTGTAAATGCCATATTCTAGAGAAGAAAATCATTGTAGGTGATCTTCCCAACAACAGTCAACGAGCTGAGTTTACCTGACTGATGCATCAGTTGATGCAGATATAAGTACATTATTATCTTTGATCTGTTCCAGAGCAACTATCTTATTCATATGTGCCCTCCAGTATAATATTTGATCAACGTTTCTCTAAAAAAAAACATACAAAAATGGCTATTGGGGAATGTGCAGAGGCTAATAATCAGACAAAGAACTGGTCTTACTTCTTCTATATTTATCGTGGCATTCTCCCCTCGATTTAAGTAATTAATGAAGTTTTCAATATCCCACTTCATCACGTAACCTCCTGTTAAAAAGTTGTCGAATAAAACTTTCAACGATGATTGATGTCTATTTGAAAAGAGGATGATTATACAAATGCCGTTGTTGGGCCATACTTACTGGTATCAGAAGTGATGAGCAAGTTGGAATAACGAAGACACGATAATGCGGTCACCGGCGACGATCGCTGGTTTATCGTCATTCTTACTTCATTAAAGAGTTCACCCTTAAACAAACATACATAATAGTAAACTGTCATGACTCAAGTTCTATTTTGACCGTTCAGTTCACCTTAAAATCGTCTCTCAAGCAGTTATTAGATTTTTAGGACAGACACAGATCGTTCTGTGTTTGGTGCAACAATGGTTAGTAACCAAAGAGTTTGAAACAAGTAATCAAAGCTAGAGGTAATAAAGAATCGATTTACCTTACCACTCCATGAATGAACTAGGGAAAGCTAGTGATAATTAGCAATAGATTCACCTTATTATTCCATTGATCAACTAGGGAAAGCTAGTGGTAATTAGGAATCGATTTACCTTACTACTCCAAAATCGTATAAAACCGTCTTGATGTATAGAAATGATTCCAATGTGAGTTAAATTTCGTTCAAATTGTTTCCCATTATTCTTCTTATCGTCAAGACTCATTAATTCAAGTCCACTTCTTTTATCACTACTCTCAGTTACATTCATCACTTGACCATTTAAAACAATTTTTTCTTCTTCTTTACATTTGTGAGTTGTCGTTTCACTTTTATTATTAATGACGTCATCATCATGAGTCACAAAAGTGTCTCCATTTCTTAAAATTTTACTTTCGGTAACGTTCGTCATTTCTCCAGTTTTTTCTTCATTGCACTCATCGTTTTTTATTGCTTCACTTTCGTATTTCATGACGTCATCATCGTGACGTTCCTCGATACTTGATGATGGCTCCACATATTTAATAACATCTTCAGGTATGCTGTGAAACGAAGACAAAATATTTGTGAGTTTCGTTGATTTTTGACCACATAAGCCATATGGTTGTACATGTTGGGAGCTAGTAAATCCTATTATGTACATAAATATCCTACCTGGTCATGTCGTGTGACATTGGTGTTTCACCGACAACGAACTGACATGCGTGCACAAGTTTGTTTTGGAAATCTTCAGTGTGTCTTGAGAGACGTCTGTTATTTTCGGCATTGGACTCACCTCGATCGAATCTGAGACAAACAAAAAAGTTCATCAGTCGATCAGATTTGTGTGTAAAGCATATTGTCGAGTTCTATCACCTACATACCTTCGTATCACCTTCATGTCCTCGATATCCCATAAAATGAGGAGCCCGTTGGTTGTGCTGGCAACAAGCAGTTGCGGTGGCATAAAATCCAGACACGTGACTTGACATGTTGAAAGTACGTTGACGATCTTCATTTTGAACGATGGTAAATAATCATCATACTGAAGAAATTACGTCAGCCTTGATAACATGGGCATGACCACTTACCATCTCAGATTCGTTGTCATTGTTAGTCAAAGTTTCGCCAATCGGTGGCAGTGGGCGTTTAGTAGGAAATACTTTTTGTAAAAAGAAACATGACAAAGAAAAAACTTTAAATTTCGTCGCACTTTGAAGTTTCTCTGCTGTTTTTTTGGTCATCGTACCTTCGTGTTTCATTGAATAAATATATTCGTCAGGTAAGATTGAAAGTTGTTCCAACGATGCTTTGTTCACGTTATCCTAAACATTAATTTTATTTACATTTAACAATCCTTTCTTTGCTAGAATTTACAAGGAAGAAGAAGAAGAGTAATTGTACATTACGTTCAAAATACTTCAACAAATGATCGATGTATGACCTAGGCTTTTTGTTTAAAGTTTATGAAAACGATCACATCGAGTGCTAATAAAGGAGTTTTAATTTCGCTACCTCAAACACTCGAATGTTGTGTCCCCAACTTGATACAAACAAACACTGTTTACCAGTCCAGTTGATGTAGACAATTCCTGTTATGGTAGGATTTTCTACTTCCGAGTCTCCAATTGACTTGGGTTCGAAAGACTTGTGAAGTTGTCCACTACCAAAATCCCATATCCGGATTGTACCTAATAAATAATGTCAATTAAGGTTACGTCTTAAAAACATTCAATCTATCAATGACGGTCCATACCATTGTAAGCCCCGTAACTAGCCGGTAGCCACTCGTGTTCACGTTTATGGCCGTTACCTCCTGACCCGTTCCATGTGGTTCGTGTATTTGATAAACAAGTTGTCCTGTTTCCATCTCCCACACCTGAAATATTTGAGAAATAATTTTACAACTGATTGCATGGACTTTTCGAATATTCGTAATAATTGCTCTATCAGCTCAATCAAAAAGACGATTTATTTGGTGACGTCATCACCTTGTCATTTTACCTTGACAACAGGTTCTTGACAAATGCTCACAACTTGCTTCATTTGACTATTGTAAGCAACAAGTGATACTGATCTATCATGCGTGTGAGGCAGCTGGAGAGAGTCCTGAATCGCACGTGTCAGCGGCCACGTCTCGATTGTACTGCATCCTTCAGATAGAGGAAGGAACGAAGTTATTGTAAACATCTTCATCCCATTCAGGAGGAATTCTAAATCTTAAAGCTTAGTGCGAAATATTGTTATTAACCTGTTATCAGTCTGTCTCTCTTGGGATCATAAATCATCGCATCGATCCTCTTTTCACTTGGACTAACATCACAACTTGTAAAAACCTAAACGTGAAGTTCACGTGGAGGCAACGTGATAAAGAGACACAACGCAAAATTTATGATTATATCATAATTGTGATGATACCTGAAGGCACGAGAGCGTCTGGACATCCCACACCCTGAACACCTTCATGTAAAGAAATCATATTTAATAAAGTCGGAATATGAAAACAGAGAGGTTGCTTTCTAGATTCTTTACCCTAGCTGTGGACAAGCTAATCAAGTGCTGATCATTTTCGTTAACTGCAAGTTCTGATATCGTAAACAGATGTCCTATTAATTTGCCTATATGAACACGGAGAGTGTTGAAGAAATGAACTTTAAAAAAATGACCAAAACATGTGTAAGATGAGTGAACATCACCTGTAGGTCTAGTCAAGATTAAAGGATGCCACATACGAATAATTTTATCAGCTCCTGTTCATAATGTGAATGTAGACTTTATTATTTCAATTGTGCTAAATGACGTATTTCAAATTCATGTCGTTTACCTGCGGTTGCAATAACATTTGCTCTAGCGCAATAACCAAAACAATTCACACCTTTCGGTACTGACAACTCGCGCAAAGGTCTGAAGAGGAAAAGAAAAAATGCTCTTGAAGAATAGAGGAAATAATGCACTTCAAGTCTCAGAATACAGCTGAATAAATTGCTACGATGAGAACATCAAAGTACATACTGTTGACCAAGAAGTTTATCCAAATCACCGAGAACAAACGACGTTACAGAACATGGTGAACATGAACCAAACAATTCGAGTTGAGGAAGATATTTTACCTAAAGATTTTGTTAAAGAGCAGAAATTCGACACCTATCATCCCATCGTGTATCTTCCCACGATAAACATTTGTCTTCTTATCTTAAATCTCTATTATCCCAAGGTAAACCTCTATCTTCCCACTTTAAAACACCATCATTCCACCGTAAACCTCTATCTCTTCACCATAAAACTCTATCATCCCATAGTAAATCCCACCGTAAACCTACATCGTCCCACGGTTTCCCTATTGCTCTTCCGTTACCTTAACAACCCAATCATTGTGCACTTTTCTTCGCAAAATTTCACTAAATGAAGAAATTATTCACTCGATCACATGCATAATTATTTAGTTTTCCGATATTATTTTCAAATCCATCTCCCAATCATCTTACTTGCTAAGTTTAACTGGGTCGATGACCATTTTCTGTGAGTCATTATGTGTGTTCTTCATGTGCAGATCTTTCGATGAAAGTCGTAATATGTTTATGCAACCATGTTCATCACCATACAAGATACAATCATCTGGTAATCTATCCAGTTTCCACGGAACATATGTCATACAGTGGATTGTTTGTTCAAGTGGTTTGATTTGTACAACATTCTATATGGTAGAATAACTTGGTTTGAGTCTGAGGAACAGGCTTATGTAGGTTTGACCATATGATTGATATGAACTCAGTTTACATACAGAATGCTTTTGTTTTGCCCTGTAGTCCCAAACACACAGAGAGCGTTCACAAGAAATCTACGAATTGAAAGACGGTGAACTGTTACGTCATTATGGCAGCGCATCGACTGCAAAAACTCATTGATATCATCCTAGCATAATCTTTTCCTAGCAGACAATGACATGCTACATCATATTTTCCAAAACATTCATTCTCAAGTATAATATTTATCTTCGTACAATGATTTTTCTCAAGCCTGGGCAATAATCACTGCCAGTGATCCAAGATGTTTCCTTGAAAGACAAAACCAAGATAAATTACACGACTTCAGATCAGGTCAACATCGGAGAAAAAGGAATTCAATTATCACGTTTTAAGCTTACGTTTATATCGATGCATCCTTGCAAACGAAACTACAAACAATAATTTCTTTTAGTTAGATTCAACTGATTCAAGCATGAAATGACCAATCACAAATCTACCTTACTGTTCCATTGACAAACAACGCCTTTTTCGGACGAACTCAGAAATATATCCAGCTTCGGCACATGTTTTATATTGCGCAGAAAATCTCGACGTTTCATATCACCTAATGATAAAATTATGTTCGTATTCAGATTTATGAAGATGTCTCTTATGTATGTCACTAAGACAATTTATTTCTACGGCAAACCTCCCGCGTCTCCGAGATAAGTTCGCTTTGAAACGGTAAAGATTGAATATCCTTCATCGGATAACAGCTGTTCTGTTTGCTCTAGACTAGTGTTTCCAATTCCAAACAACTAAATAACATCAATCAAAGTAAGACAATGAAGACGTATATAATGGATATCGGAAAGCATATGAGAAGAACGGCGAAATGCTGAAATTACTTCGCTCCAATCCACCTCTGCTTCGGGATTTGCCGCAATCTTTCTAAACAACGCCTTCACGTCATGACTACTGACATCTGAACCAAAGAGTTTGTTTATTTCAGCAGAGAATGGTTCGTAACCTGTCATAGAGATGTAGTACTTTTATTAGCAAATTATAACACTGAAGAACATATGCACACATCGCGAAGGATTGTATTATGTCAAAGAGAGAGATAAGTGACTGATATCCCGAACTCTTGATGTTCACTGTGGAACAAAAAAGCGGCAAAAAATTACAAGTCTCATTCTTTTCTGTTTTCTAGTATGTCACTGTATGTGCTTCTCAGTTTCAACTCTCTTTCCTACTACACGTTACTATAGATTAAACCCACTCCCCCGGCGTACCATTTGTCAATCGTTCCTGAAGTTCTATTCTTCGTTCTTCAGGATTTAGTTCTTCGTCCACGTGAGTAAACTCTTCTATATAAGTCTGAAATAACTTCAATTTACGACCAAAACTACCCACTGTATATGGACGTGAGCTGCTTTGTCTTTCCATAAAAATACTCATTTCATGCGACGAAGCGTTCACTTCGCTGTTTAGTTTTACCCATTAAATTTAAGTGAAGAAAAGATTGCTTCAGACATTGACTATACGTACAAAACGAAATTACTCAAAATACCCGTCCATTTTATGTCATTTGTGTCTGCCCGGCTTAAGTCTTTTGAAAAGATTCTCTCTGTGTTTACATAAATTGGAGTCAAATAGATTTTACGATCACTACGTTGCTATGGTACACAAATATATGGTTCATAGCGGTCAATGACCACAAGGAAAACACGGAAATGACGTAACAATTATTACCATTTCTCACTAAATAATTTATATGGACAGAGGTTTTTGTGTAGTATTTTCTTTCTTCCAAACACGAAACTTGCTTATTCATATATATGTACATATCAACATAAAACAATAAATTTGTCATTTACACATTTTTTTTCTCAAGAAACAAAACGAGTTGCGATATGAACGAAAAGAATAAAATCACCAACGTTTCAAATAATTTTCTAATATTTCGACTGCACATTAACAATAATCATTTGACGTAATTCAAAATACAATGTACAAAATATAATTCTTCAACTATGCGAACAAAATATTATTATTTCTTTTAGTTCTCTATTTTTAAATTAGAAACATTGTTTGTTGTTCCCTCAACATTGCGTAAAACATCTTCTCGTTATTTACATCTGACGTATTCAGCTTGACGTAGTTTATTGGTGACGTGAGCATCGTTTTTCACGATATGAAGTACGAAACAAACACCAAGATTTTTTCCTTCCTTTTTTGATTCAGGTTGTCGTTCATTTTCGTCCCTTTCACGAAGAATGAATATCTACGACCTGTTGAGTCATTGTATCAGGAGGGAGTAAAGACGGAGATGAAGACTGGTGACTAGGAGTTAATACTTGACCGTGTGATGGAGGAAACTGAGCATGAGCATGTCCTGCTGGCGTCATAATCATTTGGTGACTAGGTATGTACATCGCCTGCGAGTGTCCTTGCCCAGTCGGTACTTGAGCTCGATAAGCATGTGCTGCCTGCATTTGCGCATGCATGCTATGAGGCACGGGGGAGCTTCCCAGATGACCAGGCATTCCTCCGGGTGAGGGTTCACCACCTGGAATATAACCCCGGGGTGAAAAGTGCGGTGATTGACCTGATACAGGTTCGGGCATATGGTAGTTGGGGTGCATCTGAGCGTGCTCTGGGTAATATCCAGGTGGGGTCAGATGTCCAGGACCAGAGGGTCCAAATCTCGATGGTGAGGGTATCCCTTGGCTTCCGTTCTTTCCTCCGCGTCGTCTCGGTGACTTGAACACAGTGACGACTGGCGACTTTCCGGCTCGGTTCGACGCGTCAATCATTGGTTGGACAATACGTCGTCTAGCGTTGATAAACCTAACAGAAAATGAGAAAAAAAGTTACTCTGAGATAAAGAAAACAAAACATAGTTAGTTCATGTATCGAAATATATCTTAATAGCAAATCATTCGGTAGACATCATTGTACGTAATATCAATCTTAATGTGGAAATGAGTCTCAAACACTATCAACGCTCGCTCTTCAATGATGAGGTTGTTCTAACAGTCTTTGTGGACCCTCTGTTACAGATCCAGGGGGTTAGGCAAAATAAATTACAGCCATCCGTTTTCAATTCAAAACATCTTAATGTCAATCTCATATGAATTTTCATTGTTGTCAATCAATAAGTAAACTGCTGTAATGTATATTGCAGATCCGTCACTTTTATAATTAGGTCGATGAAGAAAGCGTTGGAGCTTTTTCTTAGCTAATTTAAAGCTTTTCACTTGGTGTTTCCAAGCATTCAAGTAATAACTTTTATAATTTAGTAAGTTCTACTCTGGATAAAAAAAAAATTAGTTTACTCGTTGCAAGTGATATGGATAACTACAAGATTCATTGTTTTAATGAGATGAACGAACAACGGTCGTCTGTTCGATAATAGATTAAATTAGACAAGAAAAAATGATAAAAAAATTTGAAATTCATCCGAAAAAAAAGCCAAGCAAAAGAAGGCTTCCAGATAACATCTTCCTCAAAGATGTTTGTCCTTTACTTAATTTACTCGCGCTAAACACAATGTTATGTTTAGCCAAACAAGATAAACAAAGTTTATTGCAATGCTGTTCGCCCACATGTTTTTCATTCCATTCGTAATAAACACAGCGTCAGTCATCGGGTGAGTTAAATTCCTATGGTATTTCTTATTGACAAACCACATGGTGGCCCAGACCGAGAGGAAGCGCAATTAGTTAATTAGCATACGCTGCGACATGCATAATGCAGCGAGTAAATGCGAAGCACTGCCAAAAAAGCGGAGAAGATAATTACACTAAGGTTAAGACAATTAAATGCAAATTTTGATGTAAAATGATGGTTTGTCAACGAACAACGATGATTCAACTTATTGACATTTCTGATACATTTGAACAACCGGGGGTCATTATTGAAGTATTCCTTAAAGAAATTTAAGTTAGCCAGTGAAGGTGAAGGCACTTGCCATATGTTTGCTCTTAAACCCATCCTTAAGCTTGTTTGGAGGATTCGTCCACTATGAAGGTGTGGATCCTTCCTGACTAAATGGTTTAGTTCACATACACATTAAATATATCGTATGTAGTTGCGTCAAAGTAATGCTTTAGTTCACCGAAAATATTTAAGCAAATACTAAATTGACTTATTTCAAAGATATGAACAAGTCGATCCTCAATCAACAGTCAGTTTTTTTAATCATGGTTGACCACAAAAGATAGCGCAGACATTAAGGTGTGATAACGAATGAATTGCATTAAACTAATTATCTTGAGCATCCTGTATAAATTTATGACCATCTTATCATCGTATTGTCCGTCAAAATACAGTTGTAACAATTGTTCAAATTGTAACCATGTTCAGGAATGAATGAGCCTGGTAACAAGGAAGCTGTGCATTATTTTTACAAGGGTTTATCGTAATATATAAAAGAATGTCTACGAAAGACGACGAAAGATATTTGCGTAGGCGCGAAATATGTTAATTAGTGTGCCACCACGCGTTTTTATCTTCAGTAAACTTATTAAAAAAGTTCCTCATACAAATATATAAACATACATGCAACTAAAATGTTAGTTGTATAGTAGTTCGTAACATGACCTATAATAGTTTAACATTATTATCATATGTTTTGAAAAATTATGAGTCGCACTTAACACGCGCTATTTTCATGCATAACTTCTACAAATGAATAAAAAGGTTTTCAATAATGTATTTTTTATTGCTATATTAAATAACGTATATAGCAATCATTATCATTAGTAATTTACGAGCAAAAGATTGAAAATCATGCCCAGTCGAGATTTGATCATAAGAAACACCTGACGTCAACATGTCCGCTCTTGTACATTAGCAATGTTTTTGTTTTTATAAAGTCATTAGCGGCGGCAAAAGAAATCAACTCTTGCCTCCAGTGTTTCAAAGGGCTGCGAAATACAAACAAACTTTTAAGCACGGCACAGTAATTTTCTTGTTTATTTTTTCATGTCAAATGTTGATTGTCTTTAATGGTTTAATCATCGATAATTTCTGATGCAATCAAGATGATCTTGTCTAGGTCGCTTGACTATTTCGAGTGTGTAACTGACAGCTCATGTAGGGAAAGTATTTGCTTAAATTTTCATCGCCACATGTTAAAGCCGCTTTACAGAAGAGCAATTTTTTATGAAAAATTTTTTGTGCTTGTCCGTCTGTACGGGAAACTTTGGCACTTTTTTTGACAAATAGTGCATTCGTGACCAATTTTTTTCATCCGTACGGTCTACATAGATATGGCAAGTCAACCAGATTTTGACACGTACAGACGAACATAGAAAATTTGCCAAATAAAAATTTGTCGTAAAAAAGTTGCTGTATCAAGTATTTGTTGGAGAAAACTTTTTCGTCTGTAATGGACTAAAAGGTGTGATCATATAGAGATTTGAAATCCGAATTTGCATACTTCAGTCTGGTCAACAATTAGTTTATAAAGAGATTCTTTTTTTGCTCAAGGCAAAATATATAAGGTTCAATATAAGCTAGAAAGATAAAAATATACAACGAGATTGCTTTGACCGTTACTTCAATCAAAACATGAAAAACCGCTAAACTCACCAATTGTTGACTTGTAAGATTGTAAGTCCAGTTTCCTGAGCTAAAGTCCTTTTCTGTTCCTCAGATGGGTAAGGATGCTACAGTACATAAACGCATATTATCATTAATTACATCGACTTCGAGTGATGGATCTTGATGCATTTTAATTAAATGAACAACTTAAAAATGGAAAAGATCTTATGATGTTCGGGATTTTATGAAAGGCAGACAACAATAACGATTTTTCCTTAAATTAGTTTAAATATACTCGAATAACTCTCACTGTAAGATAACACGATAAATTCTCGTAACATAGCCTTGAATAAAGCTCTCAAAAACAAAGACATACAGCCCGACACTTGGAGTGTCTTAAATATTGCATGATAAACAATTGCTATGTTAAAGCGATTTAGCACGCAAGCTTTGTCTTTGTTAAACAACCGAAGAGTATTAAATAAAAGGCAACCTTGAGAGCTTTCTGTGCAGAATATCTTGAAAAGCCCTTATAATATAGTCTGTCATAAGTTTTTAGAAATGATTACATAAGAAGAATCCGGTGTGTTTTAAGGCCTTTGAGTGTTTATTTAAAACAAACCGTAAGATGCTGAAATAGCCAAGCTTTCATGATGTTTGTCGCTGCTTTAGGAAATATTCCTCTTTTCTTTTGCTTCTTCTTATCCTTGTCGTTTTCATCGTCATCGAAAACGCTATCGTCTCCACCGAGAGCCGCGTGAAGACTGGCGTCTAATCCTGTGAATAAATGAAAAGAAAAAATTCTGAAAAGAAATGGTTGCAACCATAAAAAAAACAACGAAAAATTATCTTTTACTAGTCTTACAAGGTCATTTAGTAAAACAAAACTAACCTAGATCGATGTTCTATTAATGCTGATTTTTTAAACGATCTGCGCTCATTTATCAAGTTGCAAAAATACTTTTGAGATTCTTAGATGGAAAAAGGAAAAGGAGCAACATCATAAGTGGAGAAAGCTTACAGCTGTTTCCTATCCATCCATACAATTTCAACTTTATCTCGGGGAAGTCATAAATTTCAAACTATTTCAACTATTCAAGTCAGACAAAATATAAACACATTAAAAACAGTGAATTTAAAGTCGAGGCGAATTTAAAGCAATAATCTAGTGATTTTGCAGTGCTGAGAGTAGAAATTGTTTGTGCAGCCAAAATTTCGTTAAGATTTTTCAACGTGTATAAAGATCGTTTGTATACTTCATTTGATAAAAATATGCCCAATGACGCATATGGAGCACTTAATGAAAAAAAAACATTCATTTTTTAGCAATACACGCAAAACGTGCATTAGGTGGTCTGTTAAACTCGTAACATGAATAACAAAAGGTGTGGAAAAGCCATTTGTAAATACTGCTTATTTTCACATTCAAATTTCACAAATGCATCCGGCAGCTGAGCAAACAAACATGAAACCTTTAAAGCTCAAATTGCTTTTGGTTGTTTGCAAGCGCAGTTTTAATGAAACAGAAAATTGACGCTTGTCTTAGCTGATAGAGTTTTGACAGAAAGCAGATGTATTCATTTGACACGAAATGTTTGCTATGAATTCAACCATTGTATAGGCAATTGATTCATTACCAATATCACATACGACAACATGAATTTATTTAGAAATTTTCTCATGGAAAAAAGAAATACAAAGATAGTATATGCTTTTAATAAGCAAAAAATATTTGAAGAAAATTGTCAAAGAGAAAATTGTCAAAATATTTTGACCTTACAAAAAACCTCTGAAAGTTAGTCGCTAGACAAACCACCAAGAATTGTTTCTCTAAAATACTTTACTTTGTCAATTTACCTTCAGGCGAAGACGTGTCAGCCCCCAGTGAAGATTGTGACGTCATAGAAACTCTAGAGTCCGCGTGACTTAAGTCTAGTCCAGAGTCATGTGACCAACTTGGTGTTTCACTTGTACTCTACAGGGGGAAAAACTCAAAAACATTAAAGTGAAAATCATCGATTCTCACTTATATTCAGGTGGAACTTGTTGCGCGCTCAATCACAAATAAACAAATATGCATCAGTTTTCGAGCCTTTAACATTAGCTCTACACTGTGATCAGGGGAATCTAGAGTAGAGTACTTCGCACATAATCAGTTTTCCGCGTGATTTTCGTGTGACATTATAAATTGAAACATTACGACACGAGTGCATTTTCTGTAGGAGTTACACAACGACTTAACCAATATATTTCATCGCTATCATTTATATCAATCGTCTCCATGATTACGGCTTCATGCGGTTTTCGTTTACAAAAAAGAGATTATTAAAAATCCGAAATTATTATAAGAGCGTTTGCCCTCAATCCTTTTTTTCATCACGACGTCGATTTCAAATATAAATTAATGATTTTCAGTGCAAGTCTCGCATAAATTATCAGAAATCGATGTGTTATACTCACGATAATAGATAGACAGCTGTTCAACAAGCTACAAAAAATCATCAAACCAGGAAATTTGACTGAAGGAAAACAAACAAAGATTATGTTTCGCTTTGCCAGAATCAATCTATAATATTTTCCAGCAATAAGTGTTAATCTTGTTTTCTAATTGCAATGCTGACCAATCTTGGAAAGTTCCGCTCGAGTGATCATAAAACACGTACATGCAAAATGAATTCAAACACTTGCTAACAATTAAATTGCTTCATTGTTTCATGAATTTCAAACTCGATGTTATCGCGCGTATTTGTACTTAGAACCAATCTAATTTATCTCACAATTTTCTCAAGTTGTTCACTAATGTTTGGGCGTTTTGAAATATTAAAAGGAATGCTTTATCAAGTAATAGCGGCCACAACGTAACTGTCACACAGTTCGCGATCTGATCAGATACATTAAACGAAACAAAAATGGCAGCTCAATTTAAGTCGGTTTCCTGTTTTAGTACTACAGTGTAGATAGGTGTCAATCTTCGGTCAATTTTGAAATCAGTTTCTTGAAAATACTTTCAAGCGATTAGCGTTCTAAATGTCAATTTCATGTTGCAATTTTCATGTCAATTTGTGATATCACGCCGTCAGGCTATCACGCGTGCTTGTAACGTCTTCATATCTGTCCATGGGTTGTCGAAAACTTCGTTAAATATCATGACACAACCGTGTCAAAAATCAACACGAAGCATACCTGAATGTTTTCAGCATTTCCGCGATTGTCACCGCTGTCGTCGGAGCCTACACTATCTGACCGCAATTTACCATCAGCGTCGCGTTCGTCCATAACCAAATCTATGGGCATTTTCCCCTTCAAACAGGATATGTACCTTTTGCAAAAGTTATCGCACAACTCGTGTACCTATCAAAAATAAAATTGAAATAAGGGTAAGCTTATTTAAATGTATGGTATATTATTCAATCATTGATGTACTCCGAGGTTTTAGTTTTCAAAGGCCGATATAAAACTACGTATAAAAGCATCTAAAGTTTACAAGCAATGCGAGGTTTGTGTGTTTGCGGAAAGTGGCTAAGTGGATAATAATGGCACCGTAAAATGCTGCTTTGTATTTATGCCATTTGTTGTGATACATCAAAAGCAAGTCGATGAATACAATATAGGTTATGGAGAGTCAGGAAGCTTTCGTCTCATTGTTCCGCAAACCTAATGTATTGGCAACAAATATTGCGTTCACATATTGATATACAAATACACAGTGTCCATATGTAAATTTCAGCCTCCATACGCTCACTAAGCAAACATGAGTTTGAGTTAAGGCATTATATGTCTTGCTTACAACGAGACACCCCGGAAAGTAACTGATAATTTCATATAGTAAATAACAATTACTTTAACAATAACAAAAAGATTATAACTCGAGATAGTTATATATTTAATACCTTTTCAAGCTCGAGTAAGTGAAAGCGAAGAACTTGTATTGCTTGTACCATCTGAGAAAGGGAAAAAAGTGCATTGCTTTTACCGAATGCGCACACAAAAATGATCTTGATTTAAAAATGTTTATGCAATACGTGATTCAGTCGGGCCAACAGCGAATTTCTCGGTGGCAATACACTAAGGAAGCATCGTTTGGGTGATTTAAATTCAATAAGCTTTAATTTCTTTTAATTTTCCACTAATATACCCATAAGCAGCTGATTGTTGATCATTTTACTAGTGAAATTACTTAGAAAATTCTAACGAACACATGGCACAGTCACGGAAATTTTCACCTACCAGACTGTCAATTTCATGATTTTGACTGAATAAAGGTTTCTCGCTTTTGAACTGAAAGAACAAAACATAAAACTTCTGTAACAAGTTCAATCCACAAGGCCGAAATAACCGATGTTGCTAGATTGTTGTTGCTACGAGAATATAATAATATATTATAAAGTGATTAGCGAGCTAAGTATGGTTATGTACGCTTGTTGTATTTAAGACAAGCAATGAAAACTAACTACCTGTTTTGCAAACACAGAAATATCCTCGCTGAACGACGCTGACGAACATACATCCCCACCAACAGCACCAGGCTCGCGAGGTGCGCAAGTCGCCAGTTCACATTTTTCAAAAATCAAAGCGAGCAATGGAAAGAGCGGATGGCTGTAACACAAAAAAAAACATTCTCGTTTACATGGCTACGCTGCTCGTGTCACTCGCTCGCTATCATTCAGAACTTTTATGTTAACGAAGTTTATATGAAGCCCTTTCATGGGCAACGTTAAGCGACGTTGACATTTCTGACAACGATTTACGGCGAACTCTCAGCTTGAGTTGAAAGCGGAACTCCGATTTATTGTTGATATATGTTCACGAGTAGACGACAAATCATCTATCGGTGAGATGATCTGAGCGTATAATAAGAGGTGTGATTTTGCTGTCAAAATAATAATGTTGAGTGACTTCTACTTACCCATAGATTAATTCTTTATCCCTTTTGTGAATGTCCGAAACAGCGCTGATTACGGTCGGTACGTTTGCTGCTGCAGTTCCATGATAGCTTGGATTCGGCGCGTTACTAAAGCCTGCTGTAGGATGTTGACCAGAGACTAGGTGAATAGCAGCAGCGCCAGGATTGGGATACGCATTATATAGACTAGTTGCTGCGCTGCCTGCATCCATGGCCTGTCCGTAGCCGGCTTGCTCATCGTACGGCTACATTAAAGAGAAATTAATTCACGAGTAATAAAAGCCATTGTGAATGCAGACTATTAAAAGGCAACATAATAAAAAGGCTTTGAATTCGTACAGACGACATTCGTTGCGCTACGGTGCACGCGCGGTAAGTTCGACTTGATCGCAAAGTTTGTCTTACCCGTTGAGCCATGCACGTCGCTGTACGAGAGCTTTGATGTACGATGAATGAGTTCGGTAAATTAGGTTTTTTACTGATTACAATTATGTTCCACTATGCTGTCAGTTTAACAGACCAACTCAGTAGGACGGCTCTCTAAGCTTACAACCCGTCATCTAAATGAGGACCCATATTTCCCGTCAACACAACTTGTAACGTATTGTCAGTCCTCGTATCATGGCCGCTCGCCACATCTACTGTCAATCAAATGTTTAGTTTCCATAGAAGTTTTAATTAGACAATGTTGGGAGAATTTAACATTTCATGTTATCGTACGTTAATCGCTATTGCTGTCATGTACGAAGAATAGTTACCGTTTTTGCAAAGGCAGAGTAGTAAATGTAAGCTTTATTATCTATAGAGTGCCTTTATTGTGAAAACTATGTTGAATTTGGCACATTTTGTTCATTTTATTGTCTGTGAGTGGGACGGACAGACAATATGTGGAGTATAAATTCTTTACACTCAACTCATAACTTAGGGCTATCGCATAACACCACAGAATAAAAACAATTTAGTTCCTCAACCAATCACATTTGATTTACTATCGCATGCAAAATGATAAGTTCAAACATTTCACATTTCACATTGTCTGACTAATGATATCATGTTATACTGTCGTTGCGAGAGGCGTGTCAGCGCCTTCAAATCTCATAGTTGAAATTTTCCTTTAAACCAATTCACGAAATGACAAGCGATTTCCTCCATTTGGCAACGCAATAATTTCCGTGTATTTAGCGAGTTTGTTCGAACGCAAGCGGGCAGAAATCGCGCTTGTGTTAATTAATACGCAAAACAAATCATAAATATGTCTAGAATACAGCACACTTGAGCTCGATCATGATTGACAAAAACCATGCAGTCGCCTGCCGCGAACACAATCTTTGTCTGCTTGCAAGCCAGAAACGAGAGTTAAATACCCCTCCGCAAACTGCATATATATTTCTAGAGTAAGTTAAACCGATTAGAAGAAAAAGGAATTCAAAATTCCACTGCTCACGTGCGCTTTTGCGCAAAATTTCTGCAAAGGCAAAGATCAAAGAATTATTTAGGGTGCGCATTTTAAGTGCTTGAGAGCCCAGCGTGTGTGCGGTATCCAGTCGCGGAATCCGAATGGCTTTGTTTATTTGGCCGACAACATGCTGTCTCAAAAAACGCCTACAAAAGTTGACTTGACAGCAAGGCGGGCAGTTACCCTGAGTAATAATACAAAAGATCACTTTCTGTTGAAGAGCTATCATTTAAACCTCATGTTTGCAAAATTGTTATTAACTTTGCAACAATCGTTCGATGCAAAATGAAATCAACGCCATTATTGTCTGTGATGATGCGTCGAGATTTATCGCGAGTTTAGCAACAACACTACCGCTTCAAATGAGCGAATTATTAGCGAGCATTGTATATATGCCATATACAAGTTACCACAAGACATCTCCTTTACATGTTGACATTTTTTCACTGCAGGCATCAAAGCTGATGATTGTATGTTTATTTCTAATTATGACACTCGCTAAATTTTTCTGTCCTATTAGCAGTAAATTATGCCACAAACAAACGCTTTAATAGTACCTTATCCTCACTGTATTATTTAAGTGATTTTTTACAATTGCGTCCTTGAGATAAGGAAGTTTAACACAATAATAATGTCACAATCCCGTTTATCGAGTATTTTTAGACCGCAAATCTTTCACGGCACAATTGAGAACTTTAAAAAGCGTAATTAAACATGGCAAAGTAAAGTACTCGTATGTTTTAATGGTATGCAAAATATTTCAGTCATCAAGTGGTATTTATTCCCTGCAGCATCACCAAAAAAACGCTCGTCCAAAAATATTCATTTGTTATTTATGAGTTTTATTGTTATTATTATTATTATTGCTTTGAAGTCGAAATTTATTAATTGAATCCTTGAAATGTACTTGAAATTCATGTTAATTCACATCTGTTTTGGGATGCATTCGTTGTTTTGAATTATCGTCAGTCAATATTATCGGTTTTAAAACAGGGCAGAATTCAACAAAAATGAATAGTTTCCTTTTTACTTTTCTAATTTTAACGCGCAGTTACACGCTCTCAAATTTAATTATGGAATAAGGTTCTTTGCTATGTTTAGCTGTTTAATTGTCTGTTATTGCAAACGATCAAATACTGTCAAGTAAGTGACATTACACCTTTTATGTCCCTTATGTCAGTTTGTGATGTGTAATAACTGATATAATTGTGACACTGACATACTTACCTCATTTGAAGTTTGATGAAAGTGTTTGCTGAAATGCGTTAAATTAAACCTTGTAATCATTTTTTTATAACGTCCCACGTCTGAGACGTCATTGTCTATCTTTTTACAACAGCATGCTCTTTAGTTAACTGAGGAAAATGGTCTTTGTCTATCTCTCAGTATTAGTAGTTTGTTTTCGTTTTCTTTCTTTGTTCGATATATTTGTTTTTTTTATCTGCACGCTTTAGTCTACGTGCATAAGACTGGTTGTTTATTTTAGGTTAAAAAAAACTTTGATAAATATATTCTTGTAAGATGTATGTATCTAACTAAAGAGAACAAAAATATTCTTTAGAGGGAAGATTTGCGCTGGAAAAGACAACATATGAATATCATATGAATTATCTCCAGATTGAAGTTTGACGAAATCATTCGCAAAAATTATTTGTTTACCTCTTGCAGTTTTTCCTTTTTTTCTTTCGTCTCTCTCATTTTTATGTGAAGCGATTGATGGTAGTAAGTCTTCTCCAGTTCGCACAAGTGTTCTCGTCAGGTTATTAAAGTCGTTGAACGACACAAACTAATGCTCTTCAAGATATTTATAACAAGGAAAAGTGATTAAACAATTTGTCATGAAAACTGGCATATTTCGACGCCACTTTCACGACATAGCTATAATTCAAGTGAGATAGCTAGCTAAATCGATGGGCGTTTGTTAAGATGTTTAAATCCTGTATAATGCAGTACACAAATAATGAATTATTTATCTATTGCTTAAAATTGCTTTTGTCTGTGGTGTTTCTGTTTCTATCTTTTAGTTGGGCAGAAGTAGCAAATAAAAACATTCGGTGGTGTTTTTTTTCTCGGAAAGTCATTTTCTACATTCATAAAATAATCTACCTATAAACTATTAGCTATAAATCCTTTTTTTATTCTGGTCTTTTTTGGAGACGGTTTTAATAGAATAAGCACTTTCCAAAATTGCTTTTATCGAAATCGGTTTGTTTTATTCAGTTCAAATCTCATCACACGCATGCATTCAGTGTTTATAGATAAGTCCATTTTACTTTCAACAGCGCCATTTTGTATGAACAGTTTATGTTCTCTCCTTATAGAACTCAAAACCATTGACATTTATTTATAATTTTTATCTCTACTCGTTTTACTTATCTTGGGGCAAACTATCACTCTGCAATGTATATTAAGACTGTACGTACATTCATAATTCATACATTATGAAATTAGAATACATTCATAGTTCAGTGAGATTACTTATTTATAATAATTAATGGGTTTTAGTAATATACACCCACTGTATTTACTTAATTTAATGATATTTTCATATACATATTTCCGTGATACATCGCCAGTTTTCGCAAAATCCTACAAAGGCCGGGGGGCTTGGATGATGCTTAAACCTATATTTTTCAAACAAACTTATAATAATGACAAAATTGTGTATTGCGAGGGTGGACGCGATGGATCGCTAACTCACGTGACCTCAATGAAACCAATTGAAAGACAGCAATAACCCTACTCGAACTACATTATTTCCTTTACGTGTCATTCATTTGGAGGTTAATCTTTTTCAAACATTCGAAAGCAGTTTGATTAGCTACACAAACAAACGTCTCCTAATTAATCCTTGCGTAGTTGCAATGCAAATAAATCTGGCTCCTATCATCCTCTTCACCCTTAATGTTTTGATTTTGTAATGTCTGCTTTCGTGAAAATGTTTATCAAAGTGCGTTATGGTGACGATAAAAGGTTTTTGTGCAATCCACAGTGTAAGGTAAATAATTTCTTTGACAGTTCTGCGATGCGCTCAGGCCACGGGAATCGTGAAAAGATATTGGATTATCGGATGAAACAGGTACCATCGATTTGCTTTAGCTAAGCCAGTAAGCCTTTTCTTGGTGTCTCCTTACAGTTTCTCGCAATGAAAGTATTTTAGAGGGCGCCAGCAAAGTTTTCTTTTGGATGACGTAAGATTCCCTCATAAATTGTTTTATAAACTTACTGTGTTTTTATTTGCACTCATGAATAACATAGTCTTATTCGTAACAAAGTAAATGGTTTGAACCCGGGAGTATCGTTACATGTTTGTAAATGTAGATCGTCCAGTTTGGTTCTCGTTTACTCCTGACGTTTACTCCTCATTGGACTCTGAAGATGACTACCGCTAAGGTTGTCGAAACGTCAGTCAACAACAACAAAAACAGTCCTTCTCAGGATTATACCAACCTGGACGATCTACATTTACAAACATAGTCTAATTCGGGAAGAATTGCCCCGGTCATTCCAGAGCCACTACATGTTACTATCTGCTAAAAAAATTCTTCAGGTAGCCATGGTTATTGATTACCCCGACTAAATGAAGTAAACGCTCAATAACAAAGATCGTCTGTAGATGTGGTACATACTACATAGTCTTACAACAAAACAGTAAAGCCTTTACATCTTTACTCATTTCAAATTCTTATTCATATTTTTGCGTCTATTGTGCTAAAAACCTGGCATAAACTCATTCTTGTCTGTATACAATGCATTTTTGCGTCAACAGGATTGGTTATGAAACTCTTTGGTTGAGATGCTAGTCTTGAATCCCCCTTTTACCGAAGTGCCACCCCATCTTGAAAAAACTAACTCCCCTTGTTTGAGAACTGTTTAATACTCCTTCCTACCCAAGTTCCAGATCCGTGCTGTCTTGGATGTCTTAAACTCGCATTGCCTGTCAGGATGCTCTCGACCTACTAGCAAAAACCCTTCCAACATTTCATCTAACAGGACTATTCATGAGTTTGGAGGTGTGGTTCCGGGAGTTCGACATCGAAGTTCGGAAACCGGGTTTGGATCATTCTTAGTTTTCCTTCAGTGAAGTACTTAAGCCCCTGCACGACGGCAACGTGATGATCCAGGCGCAGGGGACATGCCCAAGAATACAACCCGTACAGGAAAACATCCCCCGCTTCACCAAACTCATTCTACGTAGTGCCAGAAAATTTATTCCAAGAGGCCAGCGATCTACTTACATCCCTTGCTGGACAGAAGAAAGTCAAACTCTTCTTAAAAGATATGAAGAAACACAGGACCAAAGCATAGCTGAGGAACTCCTAAAATCTCTACAAAAAGGACGTTGCAAGAAATGGCAGGAAACAGTAGAAAACACGGACTTCTGCCACTCAAGCAGAAAGGCATGGAACCTCTTGAAAAAACTTGACCCAGATAAACGCCCGCAAACAACACAGGAGGCACCGATTAACATTGAAGATATCGCAAAACAAATAAAACAGCGTAGCACCCATAAACCAATCCATAAATTCGAATAAGAAATCAGACATGAATACCAACGCTTATACAAATCAAGCCCGGATGACAGCTTTTCTTCAATGCCAGTTAGTAAGCAAGAAGTTGACACTGCAATTAAACAAATGAAAGCTGGCAAGGCAGCCGGAATAGATGGTATCTATCCAGACATGATCAAACATTTAGGCCACAAGGCGATCAACTGGCTTGCATTATCTTAAACCTGGGTGTGACTTTAGATCGCTCGCTAACATACAAACAGCACATTGAAAACACTGCCACAAAACTGCGAAAACGAAATGGCATAATTAAAAAACTGGCAGGAACATCGTGGGGCGCCACTCCAACGGTACTTAGGACATCATCTCTTGCCCTATCATACAGTGTTGCAGAATATTGTGCTCCAGTTTGGTCTCGCTCTAAACACGTCAATAAGCTAGATGTATTGCTAAATGACACAATGCGAACAATTTCCGGGACATTAAAATCAACCCCAACCTCTTGGCTACCTGTAATGAGTGCTATAGCTCCACCTAACATACGTAGACAGGAAGCAACACAGAAACAACATCATCGCATTAAAAATACACTAATTGACACTCCACTAAAAACTATTATCCAGTCTGCCCCAACTACTTCGAGACTTAAATCACGAAAACCTTTTTATAACTCCAAGATTGAATCGTTTGACCTCAACAATACATGGAAGGAACATGCAATGGTACGAAAATAAACCAAGGGGTGCTGATCTAATGAAAGATCCCACAAATGTCCCTCTTCCTGGTTTCAAGAAGCTAACTCGTAAACAATGGAGCACTTGTAACCGAATAAGATCGAAACAGGGCAGAACAGCTAACAACCTATACCGATGGGGCTACAAAGACTCGCCAACTTGCCCATCATGTAACGCCACCAACCAGAATATGGACCATATCATCCTGCAATGTCCGTTCACACGCATTGAAGGCGGCTACGCAACAGTGCACAAAGCAGATGATAACTTCGCAAGCTGGCTTGATGAGACACACATGGAGGTGTGACCATACGAAACTACTACTACTATCTAACAGGAGAAACAACAGAAACGCTGGAAGGCAAAAACAAATAAATAGAAACACATTCTATAAAATTAATTCTTTTATTTAAATTTTTTCCAGAGTTTTTCACCACCTACGTTGACATTCTTTGAAATGAATGACCATCGTCGTGATTACCAACACGACCAAGACAAACATATATGTAACCACGTGGCTTCAACTAAATTGCACGTGGAACAAGATGGCGAGTGATCTGCCATTTCAAGTGGAATACGCGAAGTCAAATCGTTCCTCTTGCAAGGCATGCAAACAAAAAATTGATAAAGATTCACTTCGGATTGCGAAAATTGTACAGGTACAAGTGTAAAATTTGATTTTGGTGTGATTTCATGAATGTTTTGATTTATAATTTTATAAGTTGTATGTTCTTCGTTTGCAAATGCTTTCATAACGTTATCCGTTGATAATGGTGGGTTCAACTGCCCGATAAATATTTTACGTGCATTTTTTTATACTTGTTCTCTTTTTTTAGTCACCTCACTTCGATGGAAAGGTAACAGAGCTATAATTACAAGAAAGCTCAATTAAGATGATGGATAATCATGGATTTATGACTGATGTTGCACTAAGTTAAAATATTTTGACATCTCAAATATTGTGGACATTTCAGGTGCCGAATTGGTTTCACTTCGCTTGTTTTTTCACAAAAAAGTTCAAAAAAACAGATGTGTCTGAGTTCAATGGGTTTGACTTGCTAAGATGGGATGACCAAGAGAAAATCAAAAAAAAATTGATGGGGGAGATTGTTGGGATTTGTGAAGTAGATGGTCTGTCTAAAGATGACATGCTTGTTGTGGAGTATGCAAAATCCAACAGGAGCTTTTGCAAATCTTGTGAAGATAAGATCACTAAGGTTTGTTGCATATTGTAAAGGATGGCAAAGGTTCATGAAGGACTGTGTTTTTTATTGTGCAAAACCTGTAATTATCTGCTGTTGTTTTCGCTCTTAAGATTCAAACTTTCTTTCACAAGGGTGAAGTTCGTATTGGTAAAAGCATGGAACCAAGTGTAGAGTCCAGTGCATTTGGAAGAGTCTCCATGCTGACTCGATGGTTTCATGTTGATTGTTTTGTGGAGAAAAGGTATTTCAAGATTGAAATATTCTTTTTTCACAATTTTTGCATATTATCCATACAAATGGATGGCTTTTCATGAATTGCAAAGGATAAGAGTTTAATTACCAATTTATTTTGGTATGTTCAAAGTAAATTGGCATTTCTATGTATGATTGCTTGAATAAGTTTCTCTTTTGGCTATATTACGATTTTCCATATCTTTCAATGAAGGTCTGTAAAATTTTAAACACCTAATACTCTAGGTGTGAACTGAATGTTGCAGAAGGTCTTACTGCAGAAATGATTCCTGGTTTTTCAATGTTAAATGAAGAAGATCAGATGATGCTTAAAACGAAACTGGGAACAACAGAAAAATCTGGGAAGAAACGAAAAGCAACTGGTGCTGAAAAACAACAGTTAAACAAGAAAATGAAGGAGGAAAAAGCTCAAATGACAGACGATGAAAAAAAAGAAGAGACTGCTTTGAAGGTTTTTCTTAATTTTATCAACAGATGAAAAAATTTGTTTTAGCTACAAACACAGTTGTTCATAGCATTGTTTAACTAGTAATCATTTTTCTCTCCTACATGATGTTATTCATGCAACTTATACGTCTACCTTCAGGCTCAGAGTAAGAAACTTTGGAAAATACGTGATTCGCTGAAGAATTATTGTAGTGTTGCTGAATTGAAAGCAATGTTGGCGGAAAATGATCAGAAAAGTCACGGCGGAGAAAATGTGGTATGCTTGTGTGTTCGTTATTCATTATATGTGAATTAATTTCAATCAACGTCAGTGTGGTTTTTTATTTTCTTCATTATCGAAGTTGTTAGACAGATGTACTGATGGGTTGGCGTTTGGCGCTTTGAAACGCTGTAATGAGTGCAAAGATGGTCATTTTAGCATTAGGTAATGAGCATCATTCTTATATAATCCACAATGGGAAATATGATTTAATCACTCATTTTACTTTAGAAACGATGGTTATTACTGTACTGGTAATATTACTGAATGGACAAAATGCACAAACGTTACTAAAGATCCGGAGAGGACTAAATGGATTATTCCGGAGGAAATGAAGGAGAACCATAACTTTCTGTAATAAAAAACTGACCTTTAGTAGCTGTGTATTTTATTAGCTATAATGAACCTGCCGAGGGTCTTTCTCCTTATTTCGTTTTAGAAAGAAATTCAAACTCAATGTTGGAAAACGATTGTTTCCGAGACAGACTGATAAGTATAGAATCATTACGCAAATCACATCCTTACTTGTTTGAAGGAAAATTCCAATTATCCTTATTGATCCCTCAAGTCTATCCTCGGTTAAATTTTTAAGTTCTTTCTTCAAGTTCTTTGTTTTTTAGGTCTGCGCGACTGTTAAGCGGTCTGGCGTTTAACATTATTGGTAAACTTGAAACAACCGACAAGGTCATTAACTGCTAATTAAATAAATATGTGTTCATTTTATTTATTATATTTTTGCCTTTTCTTGGCGACCCGAATTTTTCTACATTCATTTTTAATTTCTTTAGAAAATTAGATTTACATGTTTGTAGATGTAGATCGTCCAGGTTGGTATAGTCCTGAGAAGGACTGTTTTTGTTGTTGTTGACTGACGTTTCGACAACCTTAGCGGTAGTCATCTTCGGAGTCAAATGAAGAGTAAACGTCAGGTTAGCCGTATTTGTTATCTGGTTCTTACTTCATTGTATTGTGTGTAGAGGAAATGTGTGTTCTCTCTTGTGTGATCTACATCTACAAACATGTAACGATACTCCCGGGCTTAAACCATTTACTTTAAAATTAGATTTATGAATTGTTTTTGCAGTGAGTGAACACAAAAATATGACTACCTTCGTCAATGTTTGTTCTCTTTACTCAATCTAACAAACATCATTTCGATCACTAGATATCCGAAAAGTACATCCCACTAACGGATTACGTCATATTTCAGGCGTCTGCAAAAACTAAGATTGAGGAATTAGGTGGAAAGCTGAAAAATAAAATATCAGGAGAAATTACATGTTGCATAAGCACGGCAGGTAACTTGCATCCATGCATTGGATTTAATACCTATTTTCATCCAAACTTCCTTGCTTCAAGAGACAATTCTTGTAGCCTAGTCAAGAATGATGATTCCTTCTCATTTGTATTGTTCTGCGAGCAGCGGAGGTCAGTAAAAAAAGTAAAAAGATTCAAGATGCTGAGAAAGCTGACATTCCCGTTGTCTCTGAAGAATTTTTACAAGCTGTTCATGTCGAGGAACTATTTTCTGCGATTACCAAACATGCTCTGGTCACGTGGGGTACCAACAAGAGTTCCCGACAACCCACTGGCTATGATGTTACCGATGGGCCTGCAAAGAAGAGGAAAGCGGTTAAATCGCAAGGTGCGATTGTATTCTGCAAATATCAATTGTTCATACATGTTGAAGTGCTTTACAACCTATTATATTTCAGCCTCGGTTTTACCCCTTGAAAAGAAAGTAAAATTATCAGTAAAAGGCGGAGGAGTCGTTGATCCCGACTCAGGTAACCGATCTCTACTTTTTTTTGAAGAATAACATTGTTCATGTTGTCGTTAAGGTTTCAACTTGATAATTTAGTGAACATAACAGCAGATAGCGACATTCACTTTCCTTAGGAATGTCTGATTCTGCGCATGTTTATGAGGTCAGCGGTCAAGTGTACAACGCTGTCCTGGGCATAGTAGACATTACCCGTGGTACAAACTCCTATTATAAACTTCAAATATTGAAGAACGACATCAAAAAAACGTAAGTTCATCAATTCCTATCACCTTTTGAATCATCATCATTGATCCCTTACCTTCATTTACGTACGTCCATCATCATTGTCTTACTTATCCGTCATCATCATGCGTCTCATGTCTTCTTTACTCATCCTTCAATGCCTTTAATCACCCCCTCTCCCCCTCCATCATTACGTGTCCCTTATCGTAATTTACTTATCCTCTAATATCCATCAAACTTTACTTGTAAATTTTTCATAAATTCAGTTTTTTCCTATTCCGTTCATGGGGAAGAGTGGGGACGGCTATCGGAGGAAAGAAACTGGAGGTGGGCTCATCTGGTGTTGTGGTTATTGATAAATTTTTTGTCATGTGACCATTGAATCTATCACTCATCTTTTCTAAGAGTTTCGGTCGCGATATTGACGACGCCATTGCACGTTTTAATGATCTTTATCTCGACAAAACAGGTGTGTAGTTGTAATGAACAGATTGCTGACAGATAATGCAGAGCCCGGGGCAAAAATTTCTCCAGGCGACTTATGGCTTCATTTTTTAAGAATTATTATTGACAGCGAGGCATAAAGTGTTTCAAATGGATCTGAGGTTCAAGTAAAACTTTAATGAAAAACATCAGTTTATTTAGTTTGAAGGCCCTTGGCAAAGTAACCCCCCACCCTCCCTCGTTCCTGCGGTCCTGGTTATAAAACATTTTCCAGTCATCGATACGTAACCACTGTCATGAATATGCGCAAAACTGGTGTCGTCTTTGTACATGTATAGTGCGTCTTTTTGAATTAAAAAGAAAGTTAAAATGTTTCTTTCATATTCAGGCAATGATTGGAAAAACCGGAAAACTTTGTTAAACAAGCTGGTAAATTCTATCCTCTTGAGATCGACTATGGGCAGGTAATGTTGTTGTTTTAATGCGAAACTTATAGTCATTTTGATTTCTTAAGGTGACATTGTTAATTTACGTCATCAAGTTAATACCATGATATAAAGTGTTACGAAATAAACACAATGAAGCGCGTGCGCTGATTGGTCTAGAGCTGTGTTTGCATTAGCCTGCGCAAAACACATCTGAGCTCAACCAATCAAATCAATCATAACAATCAATCAATCGAAGAGAATTTGCAAATCGATCATGAATACATTTTAGAGAAAAAATTAAAACGTTTACTTTAAATTTGTCTGTTTTGCATTATTGTTATTTTATAAAAAAAGATGTTTTTCGTTTTTGCACTGGCTTATGCAAACCTCTGAGACGTTTTGTGAGAACTCTCGAGCATGTACAACCTTCGGTCTCGAGCTTGCACTGATCTGCTCTCGAGTTCTCTTAAAGGTCTCCTCGGTTTGCATAAGCCTGTGCAAACACAGTAAACATCTTTTATTTTTTAAATAATTTTTACAAATGCTTGAATTGTCTTTGAATGACTCTCGGCTGAAATCACGACATCTGCGTTACTCGATCAAGATTAAGATTAAAGGCATTCGCTTATTATGGAAGAACTAAAGTTGTAGTTGAAATATTCGAATTTAAAATATTCGAACTTTTTGTTATGTCTTTGTTTTGGAGACAGTTCTAGTTTTTTAACGTTTTTGTCATAGGAAGATAACGTTAAAACTAGTGAAAAAGCCATCACTGTAAATAGCAAGTGCACGCTTCCGATTTCTGTCCAAAATTGGTACAAATGATTTTTGACATCGAGTCAATGAAAAAGGCAATGTTGGAATTTGAGGTAGATACTGCTTTTTGAATAAGTTTTGAACACAGTTCATCCTAATCATTCAGAAGATATGGAGGTAACCCGGACATTTCTTTCCCTCCCTTTAGATTGATCTAAAGAAGATGCCTCTTGGTAAATTATCACGAAAACAAATCGAAAGTGGATACGCCATTCTTAATGAAGCTCAAAAGGTAAAAACCCAACGTTGATTTATTGCATAGTTTGAGCTAGAATTCTTGAAATCTGTTTCAAGTTGCAATACACAGGCTTTCATTTCAAAGTTTAACTCGAATAGAATTAAGCTGCAAATGTTCGCACTTGTAGCTACTATAGCGAATGTTTTTATGTGGTTTAATTCAATAAAAAGATGTTCAGGGAGTAATAAACGGTTAGAATATATTCCAGTTTGAAGAATTGTACACGAGGTAGATTCAGTGATCATGTGATAAGCTCGTGAAGGAATCAAGCAGCTATGTATCCAATAAAATGGGATGTAAAAAACAAAGTTCCAACTGGTTGCTCTGAAGCAAATGATAGCAAAGTGATCTACACAGCTTTAGTATGAGAAAATAAGTATTTTTCTGTATCAACTTTTTTCAAAAAGTATAAATAAAAGCGATGTTGTGGCGATGTGATCTTGAATTATTATATTATAATTTTACAGCTCATCGAGACGCAAGGTAGCAAGGGCTTGATTCTTGATGCATCAAACCGATTCTATACTTTAATTCCGCACGATTTTGGCATGAAGAAACCGCCATTGTTAGATAACTTAAATTTGATCAAGGTGTTTTTTAATTTTGACAATTTTTGATTTTTTGGTCAGACCGGTAATGAATGTGTATTTCTGTCCAGAATAAAGTAGAAATGCTTGAAAACCTTTTGGATATCGAGGTCGCCTATAGTTTGATTAAAGAAACCACTGACGATGAAGATCCTTTAGATGCCTATTACAAGAAACTCAACAGTCATATTAAAGTAAGACAATAAACAAGTCTTTTAATCCTATTAAGACCATGATTCTTCAATGCATTTATTTTTTCATAGCCAATAAACAAGGACGATGATGAATATGACATCATTCAAAAATACGTCCGTAACACGCATGCGTCAACTCATCGACACTATCGGTTGGAAATTGAGGAGGTATGTGAGGGATTGCTTGTATTTTAGAGGAAAAGTAGATTCCGTTGATGGGATTTCATTTCATAAAATTTCATTATTAACGTCCTTGATTTGTTTTCAAGATTTTTAAGATTGATCGCGAAAGTGAAACAAAACGTTATAAACCTTTTAAAGAACTTCCTAATCGTAGATTACTTTGGCATGGCTCTAGAACCACAAACTTTGCTGGTATACTATCTCAAGGTCTAAGGATTGCTCCTCCTGAGGCCCCAGTCGTATGTGATGAAAATATTATTTACCATGTTTCATAGTCAATTACACAAGCCATACATTATTCGCATTGTTCAAGATGTGAATTAGTTTTCAACTTCGTTTTAGACTGGTTATATGTTTGGTAAAGGAATCTATTTTGCTGGTAGCGATTCAAGTTTGTATTTTAATGAGGTTCTTCAGCTTTCTTTAATTTTTCCTTTATGCTTGCAGATATGGTATCTAAATCAGCCAACTACTGTAATACAACCTACTCTAACCCAGTTGGCCTCATGCTGTTATGCGAAGTTGCACTAGGAAACATGTAAGCAGTAATCACAGAATACCTGTATACAGTTATGCCATTGATTAGTTACCGAGTTCAGGAAATCGTTTCCTTTGAATAGTTTTTCGTTTGAAATTTGAATCTTCAGCCATACAGAAGTGTTGGTTTTACCATAATCAAACAAAGAGAAATGTAGGTTGTACGGTAATCAAACATAGAGAAGTGTAGTTTATACAGTAATCAAACATAGAGAAGTAGGTTTTACGGTAATCAACCATAGAGAAGTGTAGGTTGTACAGTAATCAAACATAGAGAAGAGTTGTTTATACAGTAATCAAACATAAAGAAGTGTAGGTTTTACGGTAATCAGCCATAGAGAAGTGTAGGTTGTACAGTAATCAAACATAGAGAAGAGTTGTTTATACAGTAATCAAACATAAAGAAGTGTAGGTTTTACGGTAATCAGCTATAGAGAAGTGTAGGTTATACCATAATCAAAGATAAGTGTAGGTTATATTGAAATCAAACATAGAGAAGTGTACTGCTATACTGTTATTAGTCATTGAGAATTGTATGTTTTACTGCCATTAATCATAAAGAATAGGGTATATTGTCAATTATTGTGTGCGCTAGTATTCGTCAAACTTGTTCAAAAGGATTTTTCAATATTGATCTCATTTCTTAAGGCACGAACTGACATCAGCAAAGTTTATCAAGAAACTTCCAGCGGGTAAACACAGTGTTAAAGGTTTGTAGTCTCTAAAAAGAGATTTCTGTTTTGATGATGTAAAATATTTAAAGAAGTACTCAAGCTCTTGCATGTTTTGTCGTCTCAGGTTGTGGTAGGACAGCGCCCGATCCAACATCAGATCTCACAATGACGGATGGGACGATTGTTCCTTGTGGTAAAGGAATCGACACAGTCATCGAGGAATCAAGTCTTCTTTACAATGAGTATCCTTTTATCTAAACTCATCCATATTTGTCTCTTAGTAGATGTCCGAGAAAAGGGAACAGGTTTTATGCCAGCCCGCAAATTAGTTCGTGTTATGTAAAATTTTCATCATTTGCATTATGCATTGTTCTTTAGAAATCTATCCATTTTACTGAACTCGAAAATATTTACATAGCATAAACAAACTTGCGAGCTGGCTACGCCACTGTTGTATACAACACGCTGATTGTCCTAGTTTAGAATTTTCTTTCCATGGTTTAAGATTTTCCTTAAGTCGAACTCTCAGATACATTGTCTACGATGTGGCGCAAGTAAACATGAAGTATTTGCTTCAGCTGAAGTTCAATTATGAATGAAATTCACAACTGCCGAGAAATTTCCCTTCTTTTGTTTTTGTTGTTGTTATCGTTGTTGTTGTTGTTGCCTGCCTGAGCAACATCATGGATTACTGACTGCGCATGCGTGTTTTATGGGAACATTTATTAAGGTCAAAACTCGAAATATTCAATATCAAACCCCATTAACATGTGAATAGATTAATGAAAATATTTTTTGTTGGACTTGTTAAAGAGCCATTATATTGATATCTTCATATATTTTTTGAGAAAAGAAAAAGAGAAACGAATTTGCAAGGAAATATTAAATTATTGGAATGTTCTGAACATATTTTTGAACAAGCCAGTTGTGCACGCGTGGGAAGCTACTGGGCATGCGTGTCAAGTTAATCATGAATATCCCACTCAATTTATGAAAAATGGCGGACCAAACGCTTGTTTTGAATGACACTCAATATGGGTTAAATAAGAGTGAAAGAAAAAACGATCAGGGCCATGAAAGAAACAAGAGAGCTTTGGAAACAGATCGAGAAGACTTTGTTTGTTCGAAAAAGGCGAATTCTGGTGGTAAGAAGCTGCTAGACTCATTATAAGTGTTTCACGCGCTTAAATTTAGATAATGTCACGTTGTTTGTTGTGCAATGCAACCGGATGTGTTGAAGTTCTCTAGGGTGCATTCGTGATATGCGTCTGCCTTATGAAAGAATGCAAACGATGTTCATGATTCCTTATCTGTCGCCTAGGCTTTCGCTTTAGTGCATATTTCTCACAAAATACTTTAGTGTTTTGTTATGACAGGCGCCTCGATATCGTTAAGTCGTAGCCTGAAAGGAAATTAAGCTCGGAATAGGTTGAAAATGATAAACATACAATTTTATTTGGGTTCCTCGGTATTTAATTGCACTTCCCAAAGTCCATCTCGCATTATAATAGTCCAATATCAACAAGAGTCCGTTTCAAAACGAGTTATGTTCAATGGACGAAAATATAGATCAAATAGACAGGCCGCTCTATGTTCCTTATACATCTCACGCTAAAGGTAACGATTACGAAAGGCAGTTGATATGCCGTTCATAATTTTACTCGTTTTAAGTAAAGTGTAATGGCTATGAATGTGTCTTGTGAATGAGGCCTTACTGATGTAATATTATCGACATGCTTCGTTTGAAAAAAAACGTCAAGTTTCGCATGAACAAATTTTTGCTGATTAGACGGGTTGTGTTCATCGAATATATAACAGCTGATAAAAGCTGGTGAAGCTCTTTATATAGACGAATGATTCAATTGTTTGACATCAAAAGCAGCACTTCACGTACTTCCAAATGACAAAACGAGACATGGCTTATTTTAATGTCTATTTTATGTGTTCAATAAAATCATAGTATGATAAAATATACAAGATCTTCGGGGATGAAGGAAGAACGACAATTTTAAAAAGCTGAACATAAGGCCTTACTTTGTATTTCCCATCTCAAACTTCACCAATTTTCCGTTGATACTTTTATGCTTATAATTGATGTTGCTTTATATGGTTGATAATGATGAACCTAGAAGAAAAGTGGCTTGCTTAGTTCACAGCAAAATGGTGAAGTTAAAAATTAGCTTGAAAATGTTTTTTAAACCTTGACTCATCATTGTTGCAAATTTTCAACAATCTTGAAACGAAATTAAACTCAATTGACAAAACTTTGTCAAAGGGTTAACAGATGTGATTATGTTTATCTGTTGTACGTGTACATTTGTATAGGAAAGTCTCCTATGTTAAAGACCATGGTTCCAAACCATGTTGCTGGTTCTGTCATTGGTAAGAAGGGTCAAACAATACAAATCCTACAACAACAAACGGGGTCCCGACTTAAACTCTCTGCAGCAAATGAGTTCTTTCCAGGCACTAATGAGAGAGTTGTGATTATTTTTGGTGAGCTTCATCAAATCCTTGCTACTTTGGATCTCATCATGGAGAAGGTCCGCAGTGAACTGCCAAGCCGAGGGAGTGCTCCATCTGAACGTGCAAACATGGTCAAACTCATTGTACCACACTCAACTGCAGGTATGGTGATAGGAAAGGGTGGTAGCTTCATTCGTAGTATCACTGAAGAGACTGGAGCCAAACTACAGATTTCACAGAAGGACACAGAAATATCTGGTGAACGAGTTGTCACTATCACAGGTGAACATGACCAAGTAAGGGCGGCTACATCTGCAGTGGTGACCAAATGTCAGGAGGACCCAGAACATGGACAAAATACAAACCTGAACTACTCTGGCTTTACTAAAAATAAATCCGGTTATCAGAATAACCCAGCATCTTCTATGGCGGCAATAGGAAATCTTTCCCAACTACTTGGTCTCACTACAAACAACCAAGAAACATCTCCCTCCAATTTTCTTGCCCAAGCCAACCTACTCAGTTCAAATTCCTCTAACTCGTTGATGCAAAATAACCCTCTGGGGACTGGTAACCCACTAAGCGCCATGCTGGGTATGCAACAACTTGGGGGTAACACTAACAACGCAATCACTACAACAGCGACATATGAAATGTCCGTTCCTGATCATTTGATCGGAATAATCTTAGGGAAAAATGGTAAAACTCTCAATGAGTTTATACAATTCAGTAGTGCCGTAATCACTGTCTCAAATAAAGGGGAATACATTACTGGTACAACAAATCGTAAGGTTGTTATAACCGGTGATCCGTCTTCGGTGCAAACCGCATATTTTCTCATGACTCAAAAGATTCTTCAAGAAGCACCTAAACTAGGCAACCCGTTCGTGTAGTACATTTTACTTTGACGTTTCTACATCTTTTCTGATCGCCATGTGATTTGTCTATTCAATGATATGTTGGCAAAAGTCCCTATTTTTCGTTGCAGTGTAATGAGTGTATATTCCTTCCCGCTTTCTTATTTTCCTCATCAGTCTTAATCCTTCCGTTTTCTGTTTGTTGGTTTTTCTCACTTTCACTTTTTCCTATTCATTTCCCTGTTTTGCACGATAGTGTGTGTCATTTTCAAAGACACATTTAGCGAACCTTTTATCTTCATTGGCCATTTACGATCTCGACTACTTTATTACTAACGTATTACTGTGATCTAGGATTTAGTTAATATCATTTTGTCACTCGCTCTACACGTCACGCGCACTCGATACCTGGACTACTTGAAGTATTCACCATCTGTGTGTTATCATTTCACCACGCGAGGATTCGTGAAGATCACCATCAGAACATTGAACTCCATTATCACTAATCATGCTGCAAACATTTTTCATTATCGCCGTGCGTGGTCATTGAACAGAACTAACATCTATATCATATATACTTGTTTATATTTCCCTGTTACTTTTATCAAATTAATGACATTGTGCATCCATTTGACGTCACTAATTATCCGATCAATATTCATCAAATCCATGGTTTCTATATCAATTAATCATTAAATCGCTTGTAAACACAATCAACAGTCGTCACTGGGTGAGCTTTATCGAACTTGTGGATTCCGTCACTTTTTGGTGATCTTGATTGCATATAATATTTACTTTAACTTGAAACAGCAGGTGTCCTTGTTATTTTGAATTTGCTCACTTTGTTGCAAGGCCGTCGTTTTAAACGATTTCAGCATGCTAAGACGTGGTGTGTTTGCCACCAACAAAATCAAAATGTTTACCCAGCCATGAGCGATGATTACCTTTGACGAAATTACTGGTAAAGTGCGTTTTCGATTTCATTTTCAAATTACCATTACCTCCTGATGATCTTTTCTTTTTTAAGACAAACGTTTTTTTCTGTCTATTCTCTCGTTCTCAGAATCACTGCTCAAAATGGTTAAAAATTCGTGGGAAAACTGACCGACTTAGCCAATCATCGCTTCCCTAGCTTCGAACCAATCACGGCAAGCCACACCAAAATTTTAAACCAATCATAAACCTTGATATACAGCAAAGTCACGATGAGTATATTCAACATGCGTCTCCTTTAGGCATTCTTTTCAGCGCACGTTGTCATTGTCGTAAGCGATTTTTATTGCATTCGAGCGATATTATATCAGTATTCTACCTTCAAAATGAGCGAAGCAGAGATGAAAACGATGGAAGAAGATGGGGAAGTGGAAACTTTTGCCTTTCAAGCAGAAATTGCCCAATTGATGAGCTTGATTATTAACACCTTTTACTCAAACAAGGAAATTTTCCTCCGTGAACTTATTTCCAACTCGTCGGATGTAAGTTGTGCACTGAATCAAATTTGTCAACTTTTTATGCTATCTAAGTGCGTTAAATTTGATTTTTGTGAACGACTGCTTTTAAACTTGTCAACTTTCGTTTGACAAAGCATAACACTAATGTATTATCTTGATTTATACTTTAAAAAGGGGGGAAATCATCAAAATGTGGCATGTTATTTAACGCCATGTTTGTTCATAAATTAATCGCTTTTCTCTTGAAATATCAAAACGAAAGTGCAAGGATTTGTTTCTTTTCCAAACTTACGTTGTAGAGCATTGTTTTTTGTTATATTTAGGCGTTTGTTTAACCTTTTTGCTGGTACCTAAATTAAGTGCATTTCATTAGCTAGTATAAGGCGATCTATTTTGACTCGATGTTGAAAATAGAAGCGTTTTTTTATTGGATATTTTTAACGCCTTGTAAAGTGAAGGCATAATGTTATAAACTTTCAAAAGCAAAATCATCCGTAGTGAGAAACCGTGAAGCTTCACAAAGGACCACGTGTTGGGTCGTATGATGCGTTGTCGTTGAATTAATGTTCCGGATTAAGTCATGACAAATTTTCTTCACTTTCTAACGTTTTGTTTCATGTGAAAGTTATTTTTGAAAATAAAAGCCATTGGTTCAGAACTTGGCTGAATTTTTGGTTTGTACTATCCATTAAGAAGGCCTAAAATTCGTGGGAACATTAAGGGACTACCATTTTTGTCTAGTGGTTGAATGTAGATTGGTAATGTCATTGTATTTTGTTCTTAAAGCTATTTCATTTGCAAAGGCCCTAGATAAGATCCGTTATGAAAGTCTGACTGATGCAAGTAAATTGGATAGTTGTAAAGACTTAAAGATTGAGATCATTCCTAACAAAGATGACAACACCTTAACAATTATTGACACTGGAATTGGAATGACCAAAGCAGATCTTGTGAACAACTTGGGTACTATTGCCAAGTCTGGTACAAAAGCATTCATGGAAGCATTACAGGTTAATGGAAAGCATTTTGAAAGTTGCATGTCTGCTTTTTAATTGCTCAATTTTTACTAACTGATCATTTTTTGACAGTCCGGTGCTGACATTTCCATGATTGGTCAGTTTGGTGTTGGTTTCTATTCTGCTTACCTGGTTGCAGATAAAGTTGTCGTGCACACAAAGAACAATGATGACGAGCAGTATGTTTGGGAGTCATCTGCTGGTGGCTCTTTCACTGTTGCTCATGACAATTCAGAGCTGTATGGTCGTGGTACAAAGATTGTACTTCACATGAAAGAAGATCAGTTGGAATATTTGGATGACAAGAAAGTGAAAGATGTTGTGAAGAAGCACAGCCAGTTCATTGGATATCCAATCATTTTGAAGGTACTTTGATGATTATGTGTTGCAAGAAAATACTTTGTGCATAATTAATGTTGTTTTTTCATGGTATGTTAAGGTTCAAAAAGAACGTGAAAAGGAGGTTAGTGATGACGAGGATGAAGATGACGACAAGAAGGAAGGAGAAGATGAGGATGAAAAAAAGGAAAATGGGGAAGCTGAAGAAGATGGAGGAGATGAAGAAGAAAAAGATAAAGCAAAAATAGAAGATATAAGTGAGGATGGTGAGAAAGAAGGTATGATGAATAAACTTGTGTCACAGTATATTTTTTTCATTTTTGTTAAACAAAAAAGGAGAATTTGGTATATCATTATGCATTATGTTTTAAAAGATGAAACAAAAAAGAAGAAGAAGATAAAAGAGAAATACATTGATGAAGAGGAATTAAACAAGACAAAGCCATTATGGATGAGAAATCCAAGTGACATCACAAGTGAACAGTATGCTGAGTTCTACAAAAGCCTGACAAATGACTGGGAAGAACATTTAGCTGTCAAGCATTTCTCTGTTGAAGGTCAACTTGAGTTCCGTGCCATTCTTTTTGTTCCAAAGCGTGCACCGTTTGATCTGTTTGAGAATCGCAAGAAGAGGAATAACATCAAGCTGTATGTTCGGCGTGTCTTCATTATGGATACTTGTGATGACCTGATTCCAGAGTATCTCAACTTTGTGAAAGGTGTCGTTGATTCAGAAGATCTTCCTCTTAACATTTCTCGTGAAACATTGCAGCAAAGCAAGATCTTGAAGGTCATCCGTAAGAATCTTGTTAAGAAGTGCATGGAATTATTCAACGAAGTTGCTGAAGACAAGGATAACTACAAGACCTTTTATGAACAATTCTCAAAGAACCTAAAATTGGGCATCCATGAAGACAGTACCAATCGTGCAAAGCTTGCAGATCTACTCCGCTACCACTCCTCCAACAGTGATGAGATGACTTCTTTGAAAGAATATGTATCTCGCATGAAAGAAGCCCAAAAAGATATCTACTATATAACTGGAGAGTCAAAAGATCAAGTTGCCCATTCCTCATTTGTTGAACGTGTTTTGAAACAAGGCTTTGAAGTCCTCTACATGACTGAGCCTATTGATGAGTATTCCATTCAACAGTTGAAGGAGTATGATGGCAAGAAACTGGTTAGTGTCACAAAGGAAGGTCTTGAGCTCCCTGAAGATGAAGAGGAAAAGAAAAAGCGTGAAGAGCAGAAAGCTGCTTTTGAAGACCTTTGCAAGGTAAATAACAAATTTATGGAAGGTGTATGAATTGAACTTATATCTTTTATTAATGGCAGTTTACTTTTTGGTTTTGATGTTAGCTCGTCAAGGAAATACTTGACAAAAAAGTGGAAAAGGTTGTACTGTCCACCCGTCTTGTGTCATCGCCATGTTGTATTGTTACCAGTCAATATGGATGGTCTGCAAATATGGAACGTATCATGAAAGCCCAAGCCTTGCGCGACTCAAGCACCATGGGATACATGGCTGCAAAGAAACATCTTGAAATCAACCCAGATCATTCAATTATCAAGGCATTGAAAAATAAAGTTTCTGAAGATAAGAATGACAAATCAGTGAAGGATCTTGTTCACTTGTTATTTGAAACATCGTTGTTATCTTCTGGCTTCTCACTTGATGAACCTCAAGTTCACTCTGCTCGTATATACAGAATGATCAACCTTGGTTTAGGAATTGATGAGGATATAGTTGAAGGTAATTATTTACCTCACATTGATCTGAAAGTTGGGGGTTTCAACTTTTAACTGTGAATTTAACTTGCTTTTGAAAAATGCTTTTAATATTTGTTAGTATTAACTTATCTGATCATTTTTTATATTTTTTCTGTTTTTAATATTCATTAATATTAACCTATCTGATCTAAGTTTGAAGATCTGATTAAAAATATTTGAATTTCTTTGAAAAGTAAATTAAATTTGAATATTTCCATTGGTGTTGGAAATTTTTACTAAATCATGTTGAAATCCACAATAAATATAATTGTGTTTCTGATTCCTCCAGTTTACTAAAGAGATTAACTGGTAAATATTTTATTTTTTATCTCAGATGATGCAAATGAGGAAGACATGCCTCCTCTGGAAGAAGGGGGAGACGAAGATGCTAGCAAAATGGAAGAAGTCGATTAAACTGTTTAAAAACGCTTGTAAACCAAACAATTTTAGTTCTGCTTGACATTATTTAATAAAGCTTCCACTATTGACTTGTTTCTAAGCATAAATAGGTTGCAATTATAAATTACCTGTAGAAATAGTTGATTTGTGTAACTTGTGTTGCTGGAGTACTCTTGTTTTGCTTTAGTTTATCATGCTCTCTGCTATATTATTGACTTTGATTTTGTGCTATGATTAAATGTGAAGAAAAATATTTCTTATCACTGTGATGAGTGTTAATTTAAAGGTTTGAAATCTTTCTTGTATTGAGGTGGGATAAAAAGCTATCAGGAACATGCATTGGTTGTCTCATTAAGAAATTAGGCATGTTAATGTATTTGTACTTGCATATCCCAGATACATGGTAAGGTGAGGGCACCAACCAAATTTGTTAAAAATTATTTGAGCACATAGAGACAAAATGTGTTCCATTATTTCAATTTTTTATTTCAACAATTGAAGTGTCATTCACATGTTCACTGTAAATCATTAAATTAATGAGATTGTTTTTCATGTAAGTACCAAAAGAAAGCAGCCATGAGTGATGGTGGTTTAGGCAAACTTTCATTGTACAAAAACTCTAAAACTTTATCCTGAGGTAGATAAAATACTTCGATCCTTTCTCCTTCACTTCTGTTCCCTCCACCTTCGCTTACTTTCATGTCATCAGTTACTTCAACATAGTACAAGGTCTGCAATGACCCAGCAAACCCAATGGATCCCCAAACAGAGTAGACTCTTTGTATACTGGATTCGGGGACATCATAGCCACACTCCTCAATAATTTCCTCTCTCACAACTGACTGCAATGGGATGTTTTTATCAACAATACCAGCACACAATTCATATGTAACTGCATTGTTTATGTCAGCTCGAAATGTTTGTCTGCTAGAATCTTGTGTAACACTTGATTTATCTGACTCCTCTTTCTCGTTCAGTTTTCTGTTCTGACTCGTGTACACAGCTTGAACAAAGATCAGACTACATATTAGATTATTTACATCTCTGGCCATGGCCAGGGGTTTATCTCAATTCCATACAATACCTGGTCTAAATTGCTTTACCAAAATAAATGATTTCCTGGAGACGTTAAAAATTAACGCTGCAACGCTATCGTGAACACTGATGTAATCCCAATGTCGTTTCATTCCATTCTGTATTGGTAATAACACAAGATAACATGTTAATTTTCATATTTTATCATCAATACTGGATAAAAACATGCCTGTAAGTTTTACATCTTTTAGTACCTGAGTAAACTCAAGTCTCGAAGGTTGCACATATTTCGAGTTTTCGCAAGGTACAATCTTTAAATCTTGTATCACAAGATTATCCATTCTTTGCTCTCTTCATTCTGATTTACTAACAACCTGCGAACGGGTGTATTCTATTTTGTCAAGCTTCTATTCTTCCGCCGCCTCTGCGTAGCGCATTGACTCATCACTCATGAACATATGAGCCAATTAAATGATTTAATTATACAACGCTATATATGAGTTTTTTTAATCTTACTTGGACAATTTAAATTAAACAGAGCTTTGTAAACCAGTTTCATTGTTTTTCTGTTGTTGTTGCATTGTACTTCAAGTCAAGCTTTCTAGTTTAAAATAATTTTTCCTTACTTTCGTAGAAGCACTTCTTTTGAAATTCAACTTAGCGGTTTGCGAAATTGTACCTAATAGTACAGTACACAATATGTCAGTTAAATTTTTGGCCATTTCCCTTTTTTAAAAAGCCCATTTTTTCATGGTCACAAATTATGTTTCCCCCTCAAAAAACGTTTTATGGCACCCCCCGCTCTACGCTCTTTCATTGTCACAAAGGACTGCGAAGATTTTCCTCGCCGCCAACTGGTACTGCGACAAAAAATTACTGCAAAAGGTCTGTCAATTTAGACGCACTTTATTTAATTCAGTACTTTATTTAATTTGCTACAGTAAAAGTCACTACATGTTTTCATTAATGCAATCAACATAAAAATAACTAAATACTCGATGCACAACTAATTACATCATGATTTTGAACCATGACACAATTGCATCTACAGTAATGTAAAGAATAACAAAAGTCAAAAAAAAGTAAAATGAAGTATATAAAATGAAAGTTTTTTGTTGACAATGAGTCGGCAAATTTCATAAATGCTTGACTTGACCATTTCAGTCGATGCGAAGACGAGAAAACTGACCTATAAGAAAAAATATAAAGCTGAGTGGATTTATTCAAAATTTTACCAATTAATGGAAGGCTGATGTTAAAATTTGGCGTATGTTTTCTTCTATTTGGTACATTATTTTTCGAAATAGAAGATTCGATTGTGTATTGTTAATTTAAGGCATTACGTGTTTGTAGATGTAGATCGTCCAGGTTAGTATAGTCCTGCGAAGGACAACCTTAGCGGTAGTCATCTTCAGAGTCAGTCCTTCTCAGGACCATACTAACCTGGACGATCTACATCTACAAACATGTAACGATACTCCCGGGTTCAAACCATTTACTTTATTAATGAATTACATCAATGACAAATAACAACATCAATAAACTACCTTCGGGCCCTCCATGAAATCCATGACGAGGTGGTTTTAAAATTTCCAGTTTAGCACCACATCCATTCAATTTTCCTATCATATCCGGGTAGCCACGCTTGATATGTTCAAAATTTTTGACCACCGTGCTACCTTGAGCAACCAGACCAGCCAGCACAAGTGCGGCTCCCCCGCGCAGATCTGTTGCCTGTACATGATCCCCAGTAAGTGGAGTGCCTAAAATAACAGATGATTTTATAAGATAAGAGAAAGCTCGTTTTCATAATAAATGATACTCTTCATTATGATGGCATACCTGCTTTAACCTGATATTCATGGTCATTAACTCGATAAATTTTGCACCAAGCTTTCTTAAACCATCGATAAATTGAAACGACTGTTCCAGATGTTTTCTTTGATGGTGGAATAAGGCTTACAATGTGTTGGTCGTGCTTGCGTCATGAAGGTGACCCATTGTGGCAAAAGATCTGTGGGAAAGGAAGGATATGGACCTGTTTCGATATCAGCAGGCTCGATGTCGTTGCCTGGCAACGAGACTCTAACACCATTATGCTCACGGGTTATTTTCACTCCTGCCTGATACAAAGGTTTTTCAATTGACTTTAGCATTTTCTCCTGCATTTCTTCTTTTACTTTCAACAGAATGGAGCCTAAATATGCATGATTAATGTCTGTGTTAAATTTATCACGTTTTCACAGACATACGCTCATGACATTTAAATACCTTTGATATCTAAAATACATCATACCTTTATTCATAGCTGCAGCGATGGCGTAAGTTCCAAATTCAATACGATCAGGCATTACTTCATGTCTTACACCACGAAGAGAATTGCGCCCTCGCACTATTATAACATTCCACGTTGATATGTATTCACTTATATCAAACTCTGTGATTCTTTCCTGAATTAAGACATTCTCTTTGATAATGATCTTAGCACCCATTTTTTCAGCATCTCTGCTAGATCCAACACTTCAGGTTCAATGGCTGCATGCCTGATAACTGTTTCGCCTATGTACATGGAAAGTTTTCAATAAATTTTTTTGATCTTTTCTCCTTTTAACTTGGCATAGCCTACTTTTGCCAATATGAATATATTGCAGTTTATAGACTAAATGTATTACAAACCTTTCACTAAGACTAGCCGCCATCATAACCGTTTGGGTTGCACCAACTGAACTTTTAGGAAAAGTTATTGTCGCTGGTTTCAGGCCATGCGTCGCCTTCATCAATACCTTGTTTGTGGTTTCTTCAACGAGTTCGGCACCCATTTCTTTCATGGCTTCAATGTGAAAATCGACAGGTCGTCCATCATTTTGAAGTGAGCAACCACCTGGTTTATAAACAAGAGCTTCTCTTTTCTTGCTAAGAGTGGACCCAACACGAGAAAAGATGCACGAGTTTTATCTCCAGCATTTTCAGATGGTCGATCTGACAAATTCCCTAAATGTAAATTTATAATTATGGCATACAGAAAAATGGCTACAAACCGACATCAAACTAAAATCGTAGTCACTTGTAACGTTCCCTAAATACAATTTCAAAAAATTTAGGCAAACTCTACTGTAGATATTTAATTTTTTGTAGTGTTGTAGCTAATTGTTTGTGCTGGAAAACGACACTCAAAATTCTGCTATTTTTGTACTTTTCGACAGTATATACCTGCTTGAATCTCTAACTTATCGCTTGAAGAATTTACCGAAACTTGGTAACTTTGTAACGTTTTGATCATTTCTTCTTTGTCGCTTATCTCAGGCACATTTGTCAAAACAACTTTTTCTTCGGTCAAAAGACAAGCTGCCATTTCTGGGAGTACGGCATTTTTCGACCCAGAAATTTTTATTTCTCCTTTAAGAGGACGTTTTCCAGTAATCATAACTTCGGCCATTATTGCAACAAAATTTTTCAAATCTGCCAAGTATGTCTCTTGTGTTTACTTCTCTCAAAATTTTCGCTCGATTTTAGTGGTATGATAGTGTGTGGAAAATGTTCGTGCTTTTATAGGCAAATACAGGCAAGGGATTTTCTAATTTGGGAAAAATTGTAATGTCAATTAGGGATTTTTTTGGTTTCTGTTCCCGAGTGTGAGTCAGGAAAAAAATCGCCAAGCAAGCAATGAATTAATTTTTTGTGTAATCGCGCCAAATTGACACTGACATCATCTCATTACAATAAGGGGATTTTTTACACATTAGTAATAATATTATTCTAGTTGTGATGAATTTAAAACTTTTCTTAGATTGGAGCATGGCTAGATTGAGTCTTTTATTTTCTTTCTTAACAAATCCGAATGCAAGTAAAACAGGATAAAGATCGCCATCTCCGACGCTGCCGCCGTGGAGTAAACAACAAAATCTATAATTTATTCTCGCTGAGATAAATTACGACATATTTTACTGATGCGGGTTTTCCCATTTGTTTATACTTCATTATTCAAATTTTGCAAAAACAGACATGATTTTGATGAAATAACTAGTTAACAGAATTTATGTGCTTGATAGATTGTAACAATCAAGGATATAAATTTTACTATAATGTTAATACTAGTTTTATGGAATTCAGCCATACTACATTGCAATAAAATTTATTAACAACAAATTTATGACATAGTTCAGAGAAAATGATTGTTCGAAGTAAATTCATATCTTTCAAAATGGGCATGTAGTTACTTCTTTACAATTATTAGAAGTGAAAATAACAAGAATTAATTATGATAGTTGATAAACATTAACGTTCTAATGAACAAAGGAAAATTAAGCGCTACCATGGAAGCCAGAGCGCGGTTTAGACTTGTCCTCATCCACACCAGCTCCAAATTGACGAATTTTCTCCATCACTTTTTCATAACCTCGTTCAAGGTGTTGGAATTCTAGTATCATCGTTGGACCATCAGCTGCTAGGGCTGCCAACGCAAGCGCTGCTCCGGCTCTGAGATCAGTTGCTCTCAAGTCTGTACGTCTTTTTAACTTTCCAACTCCAAAAATTTTAAATTCTTGTGTTGGCAACTGCTGGATGTTTGCACCCATATTCTTCAGATCTTTCACATGCTTGAAGCGATCTTTGAAGACATTATCTTTGACAGTGGAAGAACCATTAGCCAATGTCATGAGAGTTACCCATTGGGGTATGAGATCGGTTGGAAATCCAGGATAAGGCTCGGCTGTAACGTTTACCGGGTTGATCATTCGAGAAGGTTGAACCTGTAAACCATTCTGTGTCCATTTACATTTCACTCCAGCAAGATCAAGTTTTTCGATTATATTTTTCATGATTTTCATTCCAGCAGCTGTTTCCATCGTCAAAAGCATTGAATGACTGGTAACTGCAGCAGCAATCGCCCAAGTCCCTGCTTCAATTCGATCTGAAAGAAGAAGAAAACTTGTCATTGAATATTTGAAGAGAATATTTTTATGTTATAACTTTGTGATTTGTTTTGTTATAGGCTAACGTACGAATATCTTATCATAAGAAAAAACGCCGAAAAGCGTCAAATTAGATTTCAGCGTTGAGCAAAAAGAAACAGCCTACAGATACAGAAAAAAATATGTCTTTCTTACCTGGAATCACTTCAAACTCGCAACCATTTAATAGTTTGCCTCCACTTCCTTGTATTGTGATCATCTTTCCAGTTTCGTCAACAACTATACTCCCATTCATATTCATCTTCTCCAACATATCTATTAGTGCTCTAACCTCCGGCTCCATTGCTGCATTGAGAATTTCAGTCGTTCCCTCAGCAAGACAAGCTGCCATCACAATGTTTTGGGTAGCACCAACGGAAATATTTTGTAGCTCAATCCTTGCACCCTTCAATCCTTGACGCGCGGTTAAATGTACGAAATTATCTTGCGACACTAAAGTTGCTCCCATTTTCTTCAATGCTTCTACGTGATAGTTGATTGGACGGCCTTGAGAACCACCAATATTATCTCCGCCTGGGAGACCCACTTTTGTGTCTTTAAAACGAGCTATGAGTGGACCTAGGACAGTGAAAGATGCTCTTATTAGAGAACGTTCACTATTTGATGGCATATGCATGCATCTTCCCGCAGCCCGAAGTTTCATTACGTGAGAACTGTGGTCAAAGTTTACAGTAACCCCGTATGATTCTAAATGTGACTTCATGACATGAACATCGCTGATAACAGGAACATTTTTTAAAGTGATCTCTTCATCAGTCAAAATACTAGCAGCCATTAAAGGAAGAGCTGCATTCTTAGCGCCCGAAATCTTAATGCTGTTAGCAGGATTTCTTGCTTTTGGAGTAATCATAACTTTTTTGCTAACGCTAATCTGAGCCATGATATTTTTCAAATTTAACTCGGAAGTATATCTTATTTTCAGTGAGTTGGGTAAAACTGTAAAGCTTGGGCTTATATACTGGTGGATTTTATTTTTAGCGGCCAAAATGATCTAATGTTTTTGCAAATTTGGATAGTTACTCAATTTTTTGAAACGTAATTATTTTAGGGCTCTTTTATGAGTCAGGAAAATTTTAGCTGGCGTTGTAACATTCTTACAAAACCACCAGCCGTCATCATGGCGTAATATCTTGAAATCTTAACATTACGCATGTTTCTATTTTAGTAGCATGCAAATTATACTGCGACAGGTGTACACATTTTGTCTTCGATGAAGGAGGAAGATTACAACTTTGTGACAAAGTCATTTAGTTTCTGAACTTTAGAGTAAATTTAGATATCTTTTGGAAAAAGATTGTTTTTGCTGCAAATATATCATTTTATAAACACTATGAATGGTTTGTGTTGTTTTTATTGCTTTGTTAAGAAATTTCTAGCGAGAAAGAATATTGCATAAATTATTGATTACTTCATTGCAATAAGTAGGGGAAGTCCAATATGAGAATTCCACATGCTTGAACTTGTTCGATTTTGGACAGGAAGCGAACAATAAATTTGAAATCGTCAATCTATTTTGTCAAATTTCTTTTCCAAGAGTTTAAGTAGAAAATATGATGCGTAGGTGTTTGACGACGCATTGAATTTGGTATTTTTCAAAATTCTAGAAATAAATGTTTCAATCTTATTTGTATAATTTGAAGTCTGGTGAAGTCGGGTAGATATTTTAACGGATGTGATTGATATTGTTTTAGTATGAAGCAGCCTTTGTTTAACAACAATATCAAAGGATAAAATAAATGCTACTAGTATATGTTTCTTGTCGTTTGGAATGACATAATGTCATATTGCTGTCTTCCTATGGGAAAAGCCCGCCTACTTTAGTTTTGACGACAATTTAGCAACACATGTGGACAAGAACTTCTACCTAGAAGTAAATGCTGTTTATTGAAGTACACTGATTTTGCTTGTCTTATTTTTGAATGTATTAAAAATCTATTTTTTTCTTGTAACAAGGAAAAATCTAGATCTTGTAACAAATCTGACATATAAGCATCAAGGCATTTAGAAAATACAATCTTGTTGGCAGACTTTCATGATTTTAGCTCACGATGAGTCAATGATGTGATAGAAATTACTTGTTAATGGTTATGTTTTGCTAAAATCAACGCTAAACATATTACTTTGCGAATTAGTTCACGCCTCAAATGATAATTAAAAGATTGTATATTTAAAATATTCTCATGTCATCATTCTCAATGCTCCGCCTACCGTAAATGGTACGGGGTTTACCGAACAGCTGGCGATGGAAACCGGAAAGTTCAGCAAATTTTTGAATTACAATAAAGCAAATTTTACTTCATACATTTTAGGAATCACCCTTCTTAAAAATTGCAAACTCATGGACATTTTTCTATCATGATGACACATTGATTTTATACAAAGTTTGCCTGTGTTATGCAAAACAAGCAGTTCTGAAACCTTGCACGTGACTGTGTGGGAAAATTCATGACCAAACCTTAACAAATGCGTTTCGTTTCAGTTTATTGTTAGTAGGTCACAGTATACATGTCTGTAAATTTGTTATCGATGGAATAAATGTTTTCTAAAATGTTAAAATCACATCGCCGAGCACGTTGTCACTTTTAGGTATATGACGGCACTTCATCGGTCAAGATTATACGTTTTTGGTTGAATAAATACTAAGTAATTGAGGACTTTGAGACGACGCGTGAGGTCGTACTTCGTAGTAGCCTTGACTTGCAAACAAACTAAAATGTACCCATATTATGAGGGAAAACGATCGTTCCTTTTGTGAGTGAAGAAATTTTTGAAATGCATTATTGCCTGATTCCTGTGGTATTTTCAAAATTCTAGAAATAAATGTTTCAATCTTATTTGTATAATTTGAAGTCTGGTGAAGTCGGGTAGATATTTTAACGGATATGATTGATATTATTTAGTATGAAGCAGCCTTTGTTTAACAACAATATCAAAGGATAAAATAAATGATACTAGTATATGTTTCTTGTCGTTTGGAATGACATAATGTCATATTGCTGTCTTCCTATGGGAAAAGCCCGCCTACTTTAGTTTTGACGACGATTTAGCAACACATGTGGACAAGAACTTCTACCTAGAAGTAAATGCTGTTTATTGAAGTACACTGATTTTGCTTGTCTTATTTTTGAATGTATTAAAATCTATTTTTTTCTTGTAACAAGGAAAAATCTAGATCTTGTAACAAATCTGACATATAAGCATCAAGGCATTTAGAAAATACAATCTTGTTGGCTTACTTTCATGATTTCATGATTTTAGCTCACGATGAGTCAATGATGTGATAGAAATTACTTGTTAATGGTTATGTTTTGCTAAAATCAACGCTAAACATATTACTTTGCGAATTAGTTCACGCCTCAAATGATAATTAAAAGATTGTATATTTAAAATATTCTCATGTCATCATTCTCAATGCTCCGCCTACCGTAAACGGGTACGGGGCTTACCGAACAGCTGGCGGTGGAAACCGGAAAGCTCAGCAACTTTAAATTACAATAAAGCAAATTTTACTTCATAAATTTTAGGAATCACCCTTCTTAAAAATTGCAAACTTATGGACATTTTTCTATCATGATGACACATTGATTTTATACGAAGTTTGCCTGTGTTGTGCAAAACAAGCAGTTCTGAAACCTTGCAAGTGACTGCGTGGGAAAATTCATGACCAAACCTTAACAAATGCGTTTCGTTTCTGTTTATTGTTAGTAGGTCACAGTATACATGTCTGTAAATTTGTTATCGATGGAATAAAATGTTTTCTAAAATGTCAAAATCACATCGCCGAGCACGTTGTCTCTTTTAGGTACATGACGGCACTTCATCGGTCAAGATTATACGTTTTTGGTTGAATAAATACTAAGTAATTGAGGACTTTGAGACGACGCGTGAGGTCGTACTTCGTAGTAGCCTTGACTTGCAAACAAACTAAAATGTACCCATATTATGAGGGAAAACGATCGTTCCTTTTTGTGAGTGAAGAAATTTTTGAAATGCATTATTGCCTGATTCCTGTGCATTAATACAGAGAGAAATGAACGAAAACATCGTTGATTTTCTCGGCGGATGTCTTGGAGGTAAAATAACTAGTTTTGTGGTCCGCTCTTGATGTCTTTGTGTTTGCCATGACATCGAAAAAGTAGAATGAAGATGTACATAAAATGTGTCCAAATATTTACAAATTTTAATTGTTTGTATCTTGATACGCACAGGTATTGCCGGTACGGTTGCAGGACATCCTTTTGATACTGTGAAAGTTAGTATTTCAATCATATTCATTGAGCAATAATTGTTTTACTACTTAATCCTAGCTCATTGTTTGTAATTTTCTGTTATGTCTTTCATGAAATTCGTTTCACGACGTATGTTAAATAAAGCGTATGTTCAACACGATCTATGTATTAATACAAGCCCTTATGTGCAAGCAATGTAATTTCGACAATATTTAGTAAGAATTGCGTACGCATCATTTTGGTGGCTTTACAATCTAAATTATATTTTTGTAGGTCCGACTTCAAATGCAGCGATATGGCGGTCAAGTTTATCGTGGTGTTTTTCAGTCCATTTTTGAAATTGCCAAATCAGAATCAGTAAGTGTATTTTTTCATTGATACAACTGACTCTGGTCGATTTAATTGAGCATATGTTGTTCTCCTCTAAATCCATGTTCAGGTCGCAGGTTTGTTCAAAGGAATGGCATCTCCCCTTGCAGGGCAAGCTTTAATAAATGGTTGTGTATTTGGTGCCTATAGTGAGTCTTATCGACGTCTTCAAAATTTTTCATATCCAGTGTTTTGGGCAGGGTGTGTGGCAGGGATAGTGCAGGGTATCATTACTGCACCACTGGAGTTAGCAAAGATCCGTGTGCAATTACAAGGCAAAGGTGTCAATCCAAGTAAAATGACTCTTGCTGAAAGACAGAATATGAAATATTCAGGGTCAATTGATTGTTTATGGAAAATACTTAGAACAGAAGGTATTCATTCTTTCTTTAAAGGAACGTGTGTTACTTTGGTCCGTGAAATCCCTGCAACTGGTGTTTATTTTTTTACATATGATGAATTGTGTAAAGTAGGACCTCGGACAGAGACTAGGAATGAAACAAAGCCTGTTACTATTATATTTGCTGGGGGTATAGCTGGTATTCTTTCATGGGTTGTAACTTATCCTTGTGATGTGATCAAATCAAGATTTCAGGGTGACATGAAAGGTCTTTACACTAGTAGCATAGATTGTGCTATAAAGAGCTACCATGCTGAAGGCTGGCATATGTTTTTTCAAGGCATCAACACAACCATAATACGAGCCTTTCCATCAAATGCAGCCACCTTTGGTGCAGTTGTGCTGTTTGCAAGATTTGTGTATGGAGAGGATAATGATATGTGGTGATATGATAGAATTTTTGTTGTTTTTCAATGTAAACAAAGACATATTAGCTGATGTGGCAATAAGTGGTGTATAACCAACTCGTTACATTTAGTCCCTGCAACGTTAATTTCAGAACAAATTTTATGGTTTTTACAATGAACAAACATAGAATTATTTACATGGCTGGAGTACGTAACTATGTCACAAGTGGCAAACATTTTTTTATAATCTATTGTTTTCAAAATGAGTGAATGAAGAAAAACTTGCATAGAATGACGAAATAATTTGTCTGTGTATGTTACTGCTTCTAATTACTGTAAAACCTACAGAAGGTTAACTTCAGCTCAACATCATTTGATCGAATGAAGTCAGCCATCAAAAGAACTCTGCCCATGCCATAGAGAGTTGAAGGTGTCCCATTCTCCAAGTGCTCAGTAATTGCTTTTCTCCTAGTGTCTACATGTTGCAAGTTGCTTAGTTGGCTCGAATTTTTACTTCTGCAATGCAAATTTTTCAGCGAAATTATTATTCATTTGTCAAAAATTTATAATATTCATTGTTTTTCCAATTTTCCTAGATTGAGCACAAAAACATTTGCAAAACAGGAGGAAATGTGCTAGCCACTATTTGTTGTTGGGTTTTGCACAGCTTAGGCAGCTTTTTGAATAAATACCATTATTAATTTTGTTAGAACGTAGTTATTTTTAGAATAAGTCAACAGAGAAATTTTGCTACGTTAAGTTTGAAAAAGAAGTGGTTATATTTGGCATTGAGAAATGTCATGTGGTAAGTTTCCAGGGGCGGATCTGGGTCATGCACTGACCGTGCCAAAATTTACGAATTTTCTTCTGTTCAGATCATGGATATCGGGATACGAACAGTTTATCTCATGTTTAAGTTTTGATTTTTATGTTTTTGCTGTCATCATTGTCATCCGTTTTCTTTTCTGAATCATTATCGATTGAACAATCACTGCATTTTCTTTACGTAAAGAAATGTCTTTGTTCTTTCATGTTTACCATTACATTTCGTAACATGAATGATGATTGAACCATGGCTGAGTTATAAAGCAAAGTTGATGGTTCTCACAAAAAGACTATAATTCACGCATTTTCATACATTTTCTCACTTTTTCACATAAAGACTATAATTCACGCATTTGCATACATTTTCTCACTTTTTCACTGAGAAAAGAAAAGAAAATTTCTTTTGTTTTCTCCAAGCCTCCGGAGAAAAGGCATTGCTTCCTATTACTAACCAATGTCGTTAGTTAACTTAAAGCCAGGCTTAATCCTTTTGTCTTTCTCTGCATATAGTTTCATGCAATCAATGAATTTGATCTCTTTTTCTTATGGTTTCAACAAAATTGACGACAAAACAAATGAACTAATAAATTAATTCGTGTGATATATGAAAGTTATCAAAATAAAAACTACGGTCTTTCACTTCGATAAACCTATTTGACAGAACTATTCGTCTGCTGAAGGCTCTCCGTGAAAGTCAAAGACAGCCTTTAAGAATTACAAGTACCTGCTGCAAAATTCACCTTGAAACCAGATGATTCAAATATTTGTGCAGTTTAGAATAGCAAAAGACTTAGAGAACAACGAAGGCTGTGATGCGAGTAATACCACAAGGACTCTTATCAATGGAAAGGACGAGCAACTGAAGACATGACACATGACACGGCCAACAAACTACTAAGATATTTTACCTATGTTTGAATGCACCAGATTAAATACAGAAACATCTTTGAACATATAAAGATAGTCTACAATCGATGAATTAACATGTATAACCAATTGTGATGGGCATTCGCGATACAGCATATTCAAAGCATCGTTAAGAATCCTATGTGTTCAAAGGAATGATCAATTTCGTTGGTTTCTTGGTATTTCTATGTTTCGATCTTCGACCACAAAGTTGTTGTCAAGATCCAGGTATATAATGAAGTGAGAACACGGAACTGCCAAAATTTTCCCACTATTCTCGACATCAATTATTGGACCTCTATCAATACATGTCAAGAAACTATTTTAATTTTGCATTTATCGTTATCATTCACATAAGGTGGTGATTTTGTATATTGCCTATTTCTAACAACTGGCCAATGTTAGAATTAGCAATTTCAATCCTTTAATCTTTGTAACCAAAGGATATAATATGGTAGATAACTTGTATGTCTCCTGAAAGCGCGATCTCCATAATTGCTTGCCATGGTATTAATTGAACAATTGTTGTTGCAGTTTAGTAGACATGTCGGGCTCACTGACAGTGAAAGAACAAGAACTCTAACAGGGGTATGTGCTTATAATTTTTTGTTTCCATCAAACAAATAACTTCTTCAGTTTTTTTCATACAAGGGACGATGTGATGCTTTTTCATGTCATAATCTTAACTTGTTTATAGATGTTTCGTTTATATGAGGAGGATGCTGATGAGAAGACGAGGAAGATGCAGATGAAGAGACGAGGAGTTTAAATAAATTACCTCAAATATATATTATAGAATATACAAGATATTGCAACATGCGGGCAGAATGTTGCAAAATCTTTAAAGTCGATGGTCTTTATAAACCTTCGTACCTTACCGTAATAAATAAACAACCTTTTGGATGAAATCGAATAGAGTCGAGAAGAGAATATATTGTAATTGTATGGACACTCTTTAATTATCGTGTTTTTATCTAGGCATTTTTGAATTATATCGCAAGTAATAAATCGTTTGACAATGTTACAGAACACTGCATGTGTTATAACATTGAGGGATGTTACAACACAATGCACGGTTCAAACGATGAGTTTTCCGCGAGTTTAATAATCCTCAAAGAGTTTTTACTTAACATACATGGTCAATCATGTACAGTCATGGATATCAATGTTTTGGCATGATAGAACTATTACAACGTATAAGCACGATCTCTATAATCGCTTGCTATGATTTTAATTCATCAATTGGTGTTGCATTTATGTAGACATGTCGTGCTTATGGACAGTAGAAGAGAACCCTAACAGTGGTATGTGCTTTTTTTAGATGCAAGGGACGAAGATCAAGAAGAAGACAGAGGGTATGCTATTTTTTCCTGTCATAATGTTAACGTGTTTCGTTTAGATGAGGAGGATGCTGATGAAGAGACGAGGAGGATGCTGATGGAGGGACGAGGAGGATGCTGATGGAGCGACGAGGAGAATGCTGATGGAAGGACAAGGAAGATGCTGATGGAGGGACGAGGAGGATGTTGATGGAGGGACGAGGAGGATGTTGATGGAGCGACGAGGATGTTGATGGAGCGACGAGGAGGATGCTGATGGAGGGACGAGGATATGATGGAGGACGAGGGATGTTGATGAAGGACGAGGAGGATGACGAGGATGAAGGAGATAATGATGAACAAAGATAACAACAAAGATGAACGAGAATAATGGATGGAACAAAGAATCTGAAACAAGATCTAATGATGGACGACGAAGATGTTGATCGCACTGATCGACAACAAGAAGACAAAGATAATAACGACGACGGATGATAACGAAGATGATGGAGCGAAAAGAATGGAATTGGGAAGATGTTGATGGAGCGACGAGGAGGATGTTGATGGAGGGACGAGGAAGATGTTGATGGAGCGACGAGGATGTTGATGGAGCGACGAGGATGCTGATGGAGGGACGAGGAAGATGCTGATGGAGGGACGAGGAGGATGCTGATGGAGGGACGAGAGGATGCTGATGGAGCGACGAGGAGGACAAACAAAATAAGGTATAAATATTAGTTTTTATTTGTTCCACTGACTTTTAGCTTAGTGACTTAAGTCTTTTTTCAGGTTCTTTTGGATAGATGTTAATCAAATTATTATTTTCGACGTTTATTTTCGATTTTTCAGAGCTAGCAAACGATTTTTAAGAAATCTTGGATTTTGAAAGAGCAAAGATGTTTTACAAACACAGATACGCTATTGTATTTGGCGTATTCTTTTACTATAACTTAGAGAGTTCCCTCGCTCTCTAATTTAGAAAAGAATTCTGTGGTAAAGTATTTCAAAGTAGGCTTCTGCCACCTATTTTGGAATAGTGTTGTACAAATTTCCATTAAGTAATGATTTTATAATGATAATGTTGCTTTGAAAAGCGTAAATGCCGTGACAAATAAAAACACCCATCGGTAGTTTTCAAAGAACTGTCAATATAAGATATGCATATGTATTTAATTGAACATGGCCACCATGTCACCATGCAAGTGTCAGCCTTCGATAATTGTGTCTCGAAAAACGCTTTTCAATGCAATATGAAAATTTGTCATCACAACGCGTACAAAATCGCTGTTTTGTAATAATAAATTTTGATGTTTGGGGCTGTCTTCACTTAACCGAAGCTAAAGAGTGTTTGCATTTGACGTAAAGAGGCCATGTTAGTAGAGTATATCAAAGTGCCGATGCTCAACAGAGCATAGAATTAGCAGAAATTCTATTCACTATATGGGATTTTCTTCCTACTGATGAAAACATTCTAGAGGAAGAAACAATGAGGTGCTAAATGATTTTTGCATCAGCTGGCAATCCATTTAGGATTTTTCACAGTATTTTTTTAAGTGCACGAACATTTATATAAAACGTACAAAATGATACACTGCGCAACAAATATAAAATTGAATGTCGCAGTTTTGCCCTCTATGGTTGTTAAACCTAAAGTCATGGACGAGCAGGAACAATATGTTACTTTGTCCTACAACGTATATTCTTATGAAATTCTTTTTTTCTCATATTCTGGTACATTTAATGGGGAATGAAATATATTTTAAAATATACATTGTATGAAAGATTATACAAGTTGACAGAATATTGAAGCTTGCTACAAGGTCAAATCCATTTACGAATAATTTAATAAATAGGTGTTATAATTCGAAGAGAAGGTTCAATCGACAAAGATGTGAAATCGTGATGCTACTTGTTAATTTCACTGTTCATTTACTTCATTGCCTCTTGACAATTCTTCGTCTGTAATTTTTGCATCCATAACCTCTCCATACACATCTGTTTCCAATTCTTCTGTTTTTTTTAAAGCACGAAAGGCATTAACAGAGTTCAGTGCAAGAAATGGATGCTTTCTTACACGAACATCTATTTTTTGAGCAACCAGCAGTGCATATACGTACAATTGTAAATATTTAGCACATCGATTGGTGCACAACTACCATCTATTAGATAGATTCTATCCAATCGATGGAGATAGACTTCTTTTTGTCTATTTTCCATCCATGGTTGGACAGATTTGGCGGGGCACAGTAGCGATTTCCATTTTGCTGCTTGGTAATTCGCAGGTTTGATGTGTTTCTCCAGACAATCTTTATTAGGAGGCAAGTTGTACCTTGCCATGTTAATGCCAATGCCAGGCATTGAGTGGTAAATCTTACATCTTACTTCCTCCACACTCTTGTAAAGTTCTTTAATGCTTACAATGGTTTTTAATCTATAATATTTATATTTGTGCTTTACTAAGTGTTCTAAAAGGATAAAATCTAAAACATTAATTTTTGAGCCTCGTTTCCATGTCGCTCAGATTTTCAATCCAAATGCCTCAAATAAAACGTAATTTACACGATGTTGCCGTGCTAGGATTTTGTGGGACTTTCGATATGTTGTAAAGGGATATCAAATATACCAAAATCAGTTGGAATTTCTTTTGTGGAAATTTGTTCAAGGTTAGAGTGTTTTTGGTCGTAGATTGACTGGACTAAAGTTCCTGAAGAGCTTTGACAGCTTGGGCATCGTTTAAGAGAAGCTTACAACTGAACACTGTGCTATGTCCATAAATCAAACTGGTTGTGTCAGAGCGTACCAATAAGAACAACTGAATACTAATTATTTTTCAAATTATTTTAAAGAAACCTAGTAATGAGACCAGGTTTTCTTAAAGAGTAGTGTTTATTTTTAAATTGCCTGGACTTTATAAGATTCATGTACTCGCCTGTAAAAGCATGGAATCCAGTTAAAGCCTTACATCAATTAAAATATTTGCATTTAGGTAACTGCTCGCACTTACCGATTTCTCATTATTAGTTATTTGTTGACAAAGTCAGTGTACGCTTTTATAGCTTACGAAAACAATTTTTTTCTAATCTATTAATCCCTACGCATTCTTCGAAAAGTTACAAATCATTGTTGTTTTGGCCTTTCTCGTATATAGACAATGGACATAAAATATGAACAGGTATCTATATGGAATTTATGACATAGGAAAGACAATTTATCGAAAGAACAACCGAAATTATGGCAATGTCACTTGATTTTTTGGCCGGATCAATCGGAGGTAGAATTTGTTTATAAAGTTTTTTCATAGCCACACGAGGCTATGAAACACAAACAGTTTCGGCGTGAACAGTTGTAAAATAACTGTATTTTCGAAAAACAGTTTTTTCATTTATAGAAAGGCAGCATGTGGAACACTGTTATTTTGAACTTTTTAGGTGTTTCTGGTGTCGTAGTTGGTCATCCCTTCGACACTGTGAAGGTCAGATTACAAACTCATCCTGGTAGCAGTTACTCTGGAATGATGAATTATTTTTTCAAAATAATAAGAGAAGAGTCGGTAGGAATATTCTTTCTCAAGATAATGTACAATGTTGAGATATTGCTATCTGGCAGACATCTTATATTCTCTTGTAGATATTTGGTTTATACAAAGGACTACCTCCTCCTTTAGCTGGTTCAGCAGCAGTAAATGCCATAACATTTGGTGTTCAGGGAATAGTATATCGAAAATTAGAACCTGGTCGGTTTAGCATGTTTTTGTCAGGCATCATTGCAGGTACTGTACAATCTATGGTTGTATGTCCAATTGACCTTGTCAAAACTCGGATGCAACTTCAAGGACAAGGGAAAAAATATGGACACTTGCTGCATTCTGGTGGAGACAAAACTCTATACTACAATAATTCTTGGGATTGTTTGAGAAAGATTTACAAGATAGAAGGTTTTAGAAATATTTATCGCGGCTTGTTTGCAACTGTTGCAAGAGAAGCACCCTCATTTGGAGTGTACTTTTTTTCTTATGAAGAACTGCGTTTTCAAATGGCAAACTCACAGGAAGATATACATAATCTTGGAGCGTTTTATTTATTCATTGCTGGTGGAATTGCCGGTTCGCTGTCTTGGGTATTCAGCTATCCACTTGATGTAGTTAAGACACGCATTCAAGCAGACAACACAGGCAAATACAAAGGAATGATTGACTGTTTTAGGCAGACTTACTCTTCTAATGGGCTTAAAGTGTTCTTTCGAGGACTTGACACAGCAATTGTGCGTGGTTTTTATGTAAATGCAGCTACATTGGCTACTTTCACAATAACTAAGAGGAATCTTCAATGTTAAAGATTATTGTAATGATATAGCATTCATTGATAATGTCATTGAACGGTCATAAATAAGTTAAGATTAGTTAAAATGGGGAGGGGAAAAAGTAAATATTTGTGAAAAGTCAGATCAAATTATAACATAATTATAACATAACGGTATTTTACCGGATGGGAATCAGTCGAATCAGTCTTCTGGATGGACTTTCGAACAAGATGGCCGTCAAGGGCGGTATATTTCTTCAACTCAGAACCTGTCTTTGTCGCTATTCTAATTTTAAACTCAGAAAAACGTATTCATCGTCGCGTCAATTTAGTGCAGGGTCTTCTCAGTGTCGTATAGTTAGTCGAACAACATTTTTACAACGATTTCTAGCTGGGTACATGCCCATTGCAAAATACTATGTAAAAAGCAAGGAGAGAAAAGGACCGTCTTTAAAAACATGGTTTTCTGTTGGAGCAGGAGTGATTGCCTGTGGTGCTGGTATTATTGTTTATCTCGGTAAGTTGTTTTGCTTATCATTTTGGTTTACAGTACCGGGAAAACGATTATTGACTACCATGTAGTGATGAAAGTTATACTCGGGCCTCGGCCAATTTTCTGGCAAGCACAAGGCAAACATAGACAATCTCATAGACAGACGTCTTTGACTTAGTATAGCTTACCCCTAATTTGCAGACCCAAGGTCTCAGGTGTGCAATTTTGAGAAAAATAGGCATTTATACACGTAAAACGTTTAGTCTCGCGTGTGCAGTTTACAAACTCACTAGTTAGAAGCTTGTCTCCTTTCCCTTTTCTTTGTTCATTTTATCTGCCCCAGTGTACACCCATTACAGTGTATTCTGACACATGCTATATTTTTTGCTTTTCTCAACAACTGATAGTGCTTTGCAAACTTCAGTTGTTCAGCTGCTGCTGAGATGCCGGTGTTTCAACCTAACTCCGGTACATTGGTGCACAGCACTACCAACTGTACTAGTTGACTGTCTTCTTATGTGAGGCTTTTTATCCATAGGTTGGCCAGATACTGGTATTGATGGAAAAGTAAGCTTTTGATATGAGTTTGGATATGCCTTTTGAGAAAATATCACCAAATATGATTTGTTTTTCTTTTAGAAAGTAGTTGCTTATGCTAATGGTAAGATAATGAATATTTTTTTCTATACTATTTTGCATCACATACTATTCATGCAATTTGTTGAGTTTGTCTATTCTTCTTCATTTATGTTTATTAAATATTCCACTCTTCTTCAAGTAAAGTAATCATCTATCTCATTACTTTTTATGTTAGTTAATTAAATAAGTCAATGAAATATTACATAATTATTACTATTTATGAAAGTTAATAAAATACAATGACACAACTTGAGCTCATGCTGTAACAGAGAGCTGTTCAAAATTTATAATTTTAAGGCTATTTATAACACCTCTATTCCAAGTGGCAAACACAACCAAATGGACAACAAGCCACATTTTAATGAGCCTTTGTCCTCAATAAATGAAACCTTTTTTACTTCATGTAACTAAGTTGACTGAGGTAATGGAGGAATTATTTGAGAATATTTTCTTCACAGAACCAATACCTCTGTCATATTTCTATCGTGCAAAGGACAAAATAAAAGAAACATGGGAAGTATGTCATTGAATCATTTGAAGGTTTCTATGAGCAACTTTATCATCATTTTCTTATTTCTAGATATTTTCGGAGCCATCCAGTGAGTTACTTCTTCCTGAACCACTTACAGAACCATATTATCAACCACCGTACACATTGGTCCTTGAAATGACAGATGTTCTTATACACCCTGAGTATGATGTATGTATATCACTGTACATTATAATGCTTATCGTAACCCTATCAACATGTAGGTAAACATCCTGAATAGGAAGTGTGTACATCACAGAACATTTAAATGCCTATCGTTCAAATAATTATTTTGATGATAAAGTTGTTCAAGACATTCTTATTTTTGTTGTAAATAGCGTCGAAGTGGTTGGAGGTTTCGTAAAAGACCTGGTGTTGATGAATTTCTCTCACAATGCAAGACACCACTCTTTGAAATTGTTGTTTATACACACGAAAATGGATTTGTAAGTTGTTTTTTAACCACCTTCTTTTTTTGTCATTTGATTTTTGCTGTTTAACCACCTTCACTTTTTGTCATTTGACTTTCGTTCATATTCATGATGTCTTGTCAGGGAGCGATGCCAATATTAGAAGGACTGGATCCTAATGGATTTATAACATATCGTCTGTTTCGCGATGCAACGAAGTACACGAATGGCACTCATGTTAAGGTGAAGTCTGAATTTAAATTCACTTTTGTACTAATGGAAATGCCATGGCGTGATGTCATAATACATACCCCATCTTCACTCTAGGATCTCGGTAGCTTGAATCGTAACTTGTCCAAGGTCATCATGATTGATTGTGATGCTAAGGCAACGATAGGATATGAAAGAAACAGCATCATCTTAAAGAAATGGGAGGGTGATCCCAATGATAGAACATTAATGGATTTGGTTCCACTTTTACTTGGTATGATATAGGGAGAGTGATTTTCTATCCTGAGGAGCTTTCTTTTGGGGGATTTATCTATAAAGTTGTTAATGAAGATAATGTTGTCCATAGAGGTGTTATCTATAGAGATGTTGTCTATAGAGATGTTGTCCATAGAGATGTTGTCTATAGAGATGTTGTCTATAGAGATGTTGTCCATAGAGATGTTGTCTAGAGATGTTGTCCATAGAGATGTTGTCTATAGAGATGTTGTCTATACAGATGTTGTCCATAGAGATGTTGTCTATAGAGATGTTGTCTATAGAGATGTTGTCTATAGAGATGTTGTCTATAGAGATGTTGTCTATAGAGATGTTGTCAGATGTTGTCTATAGAGATGTTGTCTATAGAGATGTTGTCTATAGAGATGTTGTATATAGAGTCCATAGAGATGTTGTCCATAGAGATGTTGTCTATAGAGAGAGATGTTGTCTATAGAGATGTTGTCCATAGAGATGTTGTATAGAGATGTTGTCTATAGAGATGTTGTCTATAGAGATGTTGTCTATAGATGTTGTCCATGAGATGATAGTGTTGTCTATAGATGAGATGTCTATAGAGATGTTGTCTATAGATGTTGTCATGAGATGTTGTCTATAGAGATGTTGTCTATAGATGTTGTCTATAGAGATGAGAGATGTTGTCTATAGAGATGTTGTCTATAGAGATGTTGTCTATAGAGATGATGTTGTCTATAGAGATGTTGTGAGATGTTGTCCATAGAGATGTTGTCCATAGAGATGTTGTCTATAGAGATGTTGTCTATAGAGATGTTGTCTATGAGATGTTGTCTAGAGATGTTGTCTATAGAGATGTTGTCTATAGATGTTGTCCATAGAGATGTTGTCCATAGAGATGTTGTCATAGAGATGTTGTCTATAGATGTTGTCTATAGAGATGTTGTCTATAGATGAGATGTTGTCTATAGAGATGTTGAGATGTTGTCCATAGAGATGTTGTCCATAGAGATGTTGTCTAGAGATGTTGTCTATAGAGATGTTGTCTATAGAGATGTTGTCTATAGAGATGTTGTCTATAGAGATGTTGTCTAGAGATGTTGTCTATAGAGATGTTGTCTATAGAGATGTTGTCTATAGAGATGTTGTCTAGAGATGTTGTCTGTAGAGATGTTGTCTATAGAGATGTTGTCCATAGAGATGTTGTCTATAGAGATGTTGTCTATAGAGATGTTGTCTAGAGATGTTGTCTAGATGTTGTCTATAGAGATGTTGTCTATAGAGATGTTGTTGACAGAAATGTTGTCAATAGAAGTGTTTTTAATCGAGATATTCTTAATATTGATAGCTATTGCAACATCAAACGTAGAAGATATTCGTTCTGTGTTGGATTATTATCGTGATGAAGATGACGTCATTTCTGCATTTAAACGAAATCAAGCCAAGTTACGTGAGCAACAAGAATTGTTAAATCAAAGGCAGAAAGAGCAAGGTGCTCAGTGGGGTGGTTTATTCAGCCGAAGGCTGTTTGGTGGATCATCCAATTCACAGGTATTTTACATAAAATGAAGAAATGTATAAATTGTTTGTCAACATACAGTTGTTTCCTACAGTACAAACATATCAAAAATTTACTATTCAAGTACTTCACATAAAATAAAGAAACTTGTGAGCTTTTTTGCAACATACACCAGTCTATTATAGACAGATAAACGATCTACAATTTAGATAATTTATGTTTTATCTTTAATTGAAATATTCATAAGACAGTAGAAATTATACCATAGAGATGTCTACTAGATTGACAAACAAGCTATTTAGTATCGTATTATTGTACATATTTTTGTTTTTTGGGGCAGAGTACAAAAGAAGAGACGTGAAGGTACAACTGCGAAGGTAGCATTGACATAATCATTTGACGGCGAGATATCAAATATCTTTATAAATGGATCTTGTTCACTTTAGTGTAACATCCTTGTGAGTGGTAACCAGTGAAAAAGTTAAGACGGAATAATGAAAATCATCTGAAAACTTAGCTTGCTATGTAAAGCATGAGGCGCTGATTAAAAATAATTTCCTGTATTTTTCTGATGAAACAGCTTTTTTGTCGTAGCTGCATTGCAATGTTATGTTGTACATCGTAATATCCTGTTGTACATCGTAATATTCTGTTGTACATCGTAATATTCTGTTGTACATCATAATATTCTGTTGTACATCGTAATATCCTGTTGTACATCGTAATGTTCTGTTGTACATCGTAATATTCTGTTGTACATCGTAATATCCTGTTGTACATCATAATATTCTGTTGTACATCGTAATATTCTGTTGTACATCGTAATAATCTGTTGTACATCGTAATATTCTGTGGTACATCATAATATTCTGTTGTACATCGTAATTTTCTGTTGTACATCGTAATAATCTGTTGTACATCGTAATAATCTGTTGTACATCGTAATATCCTGTAGTACATTGCAATATTGTGTTGCACATTGCAATATTATGATGCTGTACAGTGCATAATTATGATGTTGTACATTGTAACACCCTTTGCACATGACAGTATCATTTCGTTTATAAGGTTATGTCATGGTTCACAGGTATTTCTCATCGAAATTTTCTTTAGACCGCCAGTGCATTTACTTATTGAAACTTTATAGTGGAAAGAAAGCAAAACGCAAGCTCTGTTTCATATTCATGATCATTGCGTTTTGTTGATCTGACTCATTGCGATCTTCTTTTACAGTAAAAATGAGCTGGACTGTTGAGCGTATTAGTTTTATAGTTGACACAACCAGATAGTTCAATCGCCATTTTATGTTTTTATTGGATTGTAAATGAATATGCATCAAAGACTTGCTTCATTAGGTTTTTTCAGGTCATGAACTGTGTTTGTCAACATTTTCTCAAAACAGGATTTACACAAACACGTATCAATGAAAACGTAAAGGTATCGTGCACTTTTACAATATTTTGTAAACTTTTCTGTTCAAGTCTTTCAACTAGTTATATCAACTGCAACAACTATCATATTCAATGTTTTAGTAAATAATACATTACCCAACTCAGTAACCTCGTTATTCACCAACCTGACACCACAGCAACCACACTATCCACCAACCTGACACCAATGTAACCACACTATTCACCAACCTGACACCACAGCAACCACACTATCCACCAACCTGACACCAATGTAACCACACTATTCACCAACCTGACACCACAGCAACCGCACTATCCACCAATCTGACACCACAGCAACCGCACTATCCACCAACCTGACACCAATGTAACCATACTATCCATCAAACCTGACACCACAGTAACCACAACAATAACAAAACTCTATGAATCACCACGGTAACCATTATAGTAATCAATATCGTAACCAACACAGCAACCGTTGTTAGGCTTGAACTAAGCTTAATAAACTTTATTCAAATGCTAAAATGTCACATTATAGACCTTTATAAACAATTTTTCATTAATACTGTTTGTTGAGGCTGATGTTTTGATTTTTCACCCGTGGACGGTGCAAAGCTGACGATGCAAACTTTCAATTTTATCAAAATGCAATTAATCAAACTAATTTGAAAAAGATGCATAACTGCAGGGCAGTCGGAAGATTGATAATTATGGGAGTTCATATTCATAATATGTTTGTTATAATCCGTAGAAAACAATGTATTTAAAAGGAACAAGATTCGGCACATCACGAACATGAGCGCCCCACCTCCCAAATATCGATCTTCGGACGACTCTGTTTCTACATGTTCCTTACCGCACATTAAATACTGCACTTATTTTCAATAGTTTTCAGTGAATTGTGTCTTAAAAGAAACATTCAGTAAGCAAGGCTTGCTTTACTTCTAACGTCTGTGGGCTGGTAACAAATCGTAAAATCTGTAGTCTGAATTTGTGCTGTACACAGCCATATGGTCTCGGCGAAACAGCTGTCATAACATTTGTCATTTGTCTTACTCGTGGGAAATTCTTATTCATCCTTTGATTGTCAGTATGTAAAGAATGCGTGCTATTTTATAGCTAAAATTCCTCGTTGAAATTTCCTCACAGCTGGAATTCTTGGGGGGTTGTCTGCGTTCGTCGTGCTCAGATAGTAATTTGCTATGTTTCTTTCATTATCACATCACGCGAACATGCTCTGTTTTGATTACTAGAAATTAGAAAATTATTGCTTTCTGTTGTGGTATTGTTATAGCAGTGAAAGAATTAAGACAAATTTATATCGATATTGATCACTTTATTTAGGACTGACAAGTTAACTGTAGCATACTGCAGCAAAAATTTTTTTCAGTTAAATTTGCGAATAGATGAGAATTGCACATGTAAGCGAACCTTCCCGTTTGGTTTTCTAATGATTAAGTTAACTGTAGTCTGTATAGGCATTTTGAAAGCGCATAAAATTATTTTACACCCACAAAAACTATTAACTTAAGCGAGACATGTCCCTGTACTTGTAATTTTTTTAACGTTTTTTTCTGTTTTTGTGAGGTCTTTACAGGTCACAAGCTGTGTTAGTCAACACTTTTCAAAATAGGATTAATTCTGACAGATCGTTTGAAACACAAAATATATCGTGCCCTTTTGTAGATTTTCTGTCTGTAGCTACTTTTTGTTTATTATATTCAAAGATAAACCCAAGTTGTTCATGATTTTATGGTATACGAATTGAACAATGGATACGTCTTAAAATGAGTGTTTTTCATCATTTTACTTCTGTATATTGTTTTCATGTGATATGGATAATAGATTAAGAATGGATTAAAAGATTTGTTTTTTTTAGTCGTTATTCGTGCTCAGTGAGTATACTTTATCATTAAACCTTTTTCTTCAGGATATAGAATGACAGTTTTATGAAGCAATAAAGATTTTACAGCGAAGCACGTGCGAACATCTCTCTCAAAATTTCAACACTATCTCGTCACTTCATGTGTCACGAATGAGGTGAAATTGATGCTCAACTGTGAAAGCTTAAAGCAAATTTTGCAATTATTTTGTAATTATTTTTTCGCCACTTAATATCCTGACGTGAATATTAAGTTGTTAAACGACTGCTATTTTATGAACATCATATTTTAATTATTTAAGTAATTTTATTTCAATTATGCTGCTCTGCTAAGAAGACCGCGCTGAGACAGACATCGCCCTTCCCCATGATGTTTGGAAATTTGAAAGCTGTTGAATAGAAACGCTTCGTCAGCACAAGTACATCCTTCTTGCTTATAAATGAATGAGAAAGCCAGTATAACTTAAACATATGTATTTTAGTCCATGAAGGACGAGGCAAGTGTGCGTCCACGCATTTTTTGACTCCATAACATTTTCACCTTAATTTTGCTATATTTTTTTAATTTTTTAATTTCTTGTCCCTCACTCAAAATGTTTTGTTTTCTCTAGACGTGTTGTCCCACAAAACACAAGTATATTGGGTTCAAACGATGGGAAGTGTCGACCATCTTCGTAAAGAGAAGAAAAATTATCAAATAATTTAGTCCTGCTTTTTTGACATCTTTGTGAAGACGATTTTCGATCAAGCATTGTCCATTAGAGAAAAATGCAAGGGTTTTGGTAATTTAAAATTTAAACATTGTCTTCCCTACATTTGACAGTATGTTTCACGATCATAGTATTTTAATTAAGTTTCCGGCATTGTGGTTGAATTGCGTTATTTCTCGTCGATTTCACGAATTTGTACATTTGATCCGTTCGTACTAATCTCTGACGTTAATGTTCGGTGAATATTTCACACCTGACGGTTCTTAAAAACTTGCACAAACAATCAAGCCTGTTTATTAAAGAAATTAAGCGAATCAATTTTCGATCAGTAATCGTTAAAGGTCAAACATTACAGGTTTTGTTGAACATGTATTTCCATCACAAAGCAAAAAAGAGAATTTCACTTCAAAAATTGTTGCGATTTTTTATAGAGGCCATGCTTATTCTGTTGCTAACGCAAATGTTGTTTTTTTTGAACATTTTAATCAAACTAATATCTTAAAATTTATTTTCTTTAAAATTTTATTCTCCATTAAATATATGTCTGAACTTCCGAACATATCAACACAACTTGATCATGATGATAAAAATGCGCGTTGCTTTGCTACGAATCCAAATTGTTTTCTATTGAAGATTAATTTGTCGGATATCATGCAGTGATGACTACCTCTCGATTACCATGTCATTAAAAGTATCTTTCTCTAATGTCATTATTAGATGGTACTCCTAGCGAAGAACTGATCATGAAAATCTAAAGCATTTGGGAATATTCTACCCTGATCTTGTCGTATTTTCTTAAAATCAAACAGAACAACTCAAGATTATTCCGTTCACGTAAGTATGATTTATCAATGTTGTTTTGTATGATTTTGTTTATTTTAAGTCTGTTCAACACACATTTCCTTGAGAGACTTGAACAACGCTCGGGAAATTTTAACTGTCAAACATAATTCTCGTTTTGTTTCTTGTATTTTATTTCAACCACACTTAGGTTCTCGTTTCCTTGAATTTTACCTCATTTGCATAAAATGCGTATTGACAATTTAAAATGAGCGACAGCGAGGACATTGCCTCAACGTGCGCCTTCTCTCCTCAAAATATACTTCTTTACGGGCAAAGTTTCTTCAATTTTATTTTGTTGTATATATTTAAGCGAAATGTTTCTGTAAACATATCTCTCTGACTGAACAGGAAGACAAACGCATAATACATTTATACATCCGACAAATTATCTTAAAGTATTCTATTTTTTATGATAATTGTTGCGAATGTTTTTAATTTACTTCCCCGTGATCATATCGTGACAGTCGGATAACATCAATGTAAATATACATTGTAAGGGGTCCACGGAATTTTTTTCTTTTATTGAGAACTCTTTACGAAAATTTTCCTACCTATTTACATCATTTTGACGGAAGTCTTTTGGGGTCTTTATTCTTGGTAAATAAATCTCTTTCTGGCGCACTCCGTGACCATCTGCTGCTCGCGTCATTGCTATAATTTTATTCGTGATAATATCCATAATTATTAGCTCTAGTTGATGCGTTTCCGCTGCTTGAGATTTATTCGATGATAAGTTACTTCTTTGTCAGCTTTCCATCGGAGGCAATATCTCGTAGGAGTCAACGAATAATTTAGTTTTCGGCGGCTGTGTCTGTGAAATCCAGGTCATTTTCTCTACTAAATACTTGTTTTGTCTAAGAAGGAAGACATTGTCGATAATTAAGACAGATTTTTGTCTACTTATTGGTTCATAAGACATTAATCCTTGGAATGGGTGAAAATCATGATTAGCTGTTTTTTGCTACTCTCTGTTTTATATCCTTTCATATCAGTCGATTATTTACCGTAGTCGTAAGTTATTTTAAGAATGTACAGTCAAATTATGAAGCGAAGGACTGGGTTGGTCACTTTGACGTATCCACCTTAAATACACGACACTGAACAATTGATCAAAGACTCCGCAATCGATTAGATATGTCGCATTTGTCTGGTTGTGAGAAATAGCGCGCATTTTTATAGCAATTTGCAATTTTCCATTGTTTACACACTTACGATGGATTCCCAGTAGAATTTTAGTTTTAAATGAGGACAAAAAATTTCGAAATATTATCATTTCTTTGGAAATAAATTGTTTTACAATTGTAAGTGTACTCCGAAATATCTACATGGTACGACCCAACTTGCGGGCTGACGACCCTTTAATATCAACCGCAATGTATATTTTTGATAGATTCAATGGATGTCATGCTTATAGGCATGCATTGTGTTGCAGCAGGGTAGTTAAGAGCATTTAATTCTAAGCAGATTATTCTTAAAACCTGAGATTAATTTAAGTGGATATCATAAAGGTTCTTTCCTAATGTAAGAATACAAAATTTGTGTGTGCAATGATGAATGATGTTTCGCATTTCTCATTTTGTCATAAACCACGAAAGGCATGACAAGAATTCAAAATTGCTTTTACTCAAACAATTTGATGCAGTCACGAACATGTATTGCACGCCAAAACACCAACACACGTGACTATCATAAATATGGTAGTACTGAGCTGTAGATCGATATGTGGATAATTTTTCATGTCGACCGTTCTCTTCTATTTTCTATTATTTTGAGCCAAAACCGAAAATTGCCGACATGTTTATTTAAGGAGTCAGCGTGAAGATTTATTAAACCAAGACGTGACATGACAAACATTAAACCTTGCTCCACCAACATGAATTTTTATAATCCACTCTGATTGCAGAGAAATTTATTATTTCATCAAGTGATGGTAAAAACCAAGATACCCAGTTCATATCACAGGTGATGTGATACCAATGCTCATATCATCTTTTCCCGGTCGTTTTCATTAAATTTCTCCCCGAAAAAGCTATAATATACTCCCCTTGTTTATATCATCTGTGGTAAAAATGTCAATTAAAACCATTTGCATGATTTTGATGATTATGATTATGTGAGTTGGTTCCGTCGTTATTTTGTCTAAGCAACAATTTAATTTTTTTACGGAAGTATTGAGTTAAAATGGTGCATGTTGCCAGAACATCATAAATCTATTTTTAACGTTGGCATAACTTGACTTGACTTACTGGGGTGCAAGTGAAGCTTTGTCATGACAGAGTAAACTACATGATAAACAAATATCAAGTATGTGTTTTAACTAAAAAAGTTAAGTATCGATCCAACACGATACCACTAATGACGTTGTGTTCTTGGTAATCCCTACATAGGTATCCTTTGCTTAGGAAGTGCTTTAAGCGATCGTTGTGGGGTATAGTACCCTCGGGGTGTTGTAAGAAAGATTCAATAAGCAGATAAGAGTTAATAATACGGAAGTGTAAGGATGAACGCAGAGAGTGTAAATGAAATAGGAATTATCATAAATATATATCATTATGTTGTCACGATGATAGCATGCCTTGCAATCGCGCCGTCTCAAGTATTTGCTATCGTCCTATCGTCTATACATATCTGTAGTGGTTATTGCACTAAACGTCTCTTAGAAGATATGTTCTATTATTGCCACTAATCTTCATCTTATCAACTTTATAGAGACGTTCGTCTGCTTATAGTGTTGATCTCGTTGTGCCTTCAAAGCAAAACGTTATAAAGATCATGTTCTTTCAAGTGTTGACGAATTTCCTTTGGGCTTCTTTGCTCGCATGCTTATTAATTGGCGAGGTAAATAAATATATTGTATACATGGTTTATGGCAAAACATATTGAAACGCTTCTTTGTACAGAGAGAAAATACATGAATATCTTCGATTTCGGGAGTTTTGTTTATTATTTTTTCTTAAAATCTGTAGAATATAATGTCCGCTGTATTTAGCTTAGTTCAAGTGAAGTTATTGAATAAGATAATGGTTTATATTTTGCTGTGAAACACATGTTGAACATAAAAGTTTATTCATTACCTGACCTGAAAAATCAACTCGGACACCATGGGGCCACTTTAATTGTCTGCTGTGTTTGGTTCGTTGACCATTTGTGAACACGAATCACGTGATCAACTGATTTTGTTTGTATTTCAGCTCGTCAATGGTGACGACAAAGCCGAAGTCAAGTTAGAAGTCTTGCTGTCGAAAGTGTCAAATAGAAGTACATTAAGAGAATGTTGCGACAAGAATGGTGGCTCATCTTGCACAAACATATGTGACATATATTTCGTTGTCTGTATTCCCAAGCCAGCATTATGTCAAAACTCTTCGGTATTCTTACGCACTTCGTCTAAGTTTTCATCGCCTTTGAAAAACAGCACATCATCAAACAAAAACAGTTCTGGAAACTTTCTATCCATGTTGTTCAACGTTAATGTGAAGGTATGCTGTATTATTGTCTTGTTGTTATTTTTTTATTTATCAATGGTTTTTCACTCAATTAATGCCTTTTCTTACAACTCTATCGTGATTTCCTATCAATACCATATGAACTATGTCAGGTTGCTTTGATTACTCTATATAGCCAATTATTTTTCTTCATCACCTCACAAATGCTGATATCCTTATGATGTTTTGCCTTTTAATGAAAGATTACGACTTTGATCATGCACAAATAACATTCCAAAATACTTTTTTTGAATGTTCTTAGTACGAAGAGATAAACCTAACGATATATATCTCTTTCTTCAGGATCTTACATCGTTCACTATCACAATTTACCCTCGTGATAGTTCCATCATCGATTCATCCACCCCAGTTAGAGTTGCAAGTCATACTGAAACATTCTTGAGACCGCGTCCTACGTCACCGATTCAGCGAACATACTCAAAAAACAACATTACGTTCGTGTTTATCTACCGTTTAAATGTGACATGTGCCAAACATTATTATGGTGAAAACTGTGTATATTGTCTGGGTCGAAATGATAGATTCGGTCATAGTAGGTGTCTTCAGAATGGTACAAAAGTATGCATTTATGGTTGGAAAGGAAGATCATGTACTGAACGTAAGTAAGTATTTCATGAGTTTATTTCAAGAAAACAAAATTTGCTTTAGTGTTTCAAACAGCTCAAATACCTTCCATTTTTATTCGTAGCTTATTGTCCTGATGGCTGTGTGAATGGAAATTGCAAACAGCCTTTTGAATGCAGGTATATTTGTTGGTGCCTGTCTGTTTATGAGGCTTTGGCTTTGTTGGTCAGTGTTAGAAATTTTAGTGGCATTATCTTCACTCACCTGAGTAACTTTTTTTGATTGGAAATGTTTCACAAACTTTCCATTTTTTATGGTGAATTCTAAGACTTATATCTGAGCTCGAGTCAACGTTTGAACAACTTAGTCGTGATACACCATTAGCCTCTTGTCGTTCTCATTGTCATCACGTGTTGTTGCTAGTTGTAAATCTGGATGGAGAGGACCAAAGTGTACAGAATGTATTCCTAATACCAAATGTCGCCATGGGTACTGTGATAGACCTTTCGATTGTCTCTGTAAAGCTTCGTGGACCGGTCAATATTGTGATGTTGGTAAGAGTTTTCTTCATATTCTGGAGTTAAACAAGAGATTATACAACTGGGAGAAGCAAATGCTTCCATTGTTTCATTATTGCATGAAATTTTAATTTGCACTTGGAACATTTTATTAAATCTTTGTTTAGAAGACGATTTTTTAACCACATTTTCGTGATCATTTTGTTTTATGTATTCATCCCTTAGTCATGAATTATTGCATTCGTTTTAATCCTTGTCGTAATGGAAGATGCCATAACAGTTATCGGACCAATTACACTTGTTCTTGTTTTAATGGATGGAAGGGACAATTGTGTGATGAACGTAAGTAGGAAGAGAAAAGTAAAATGCGAAAAGGGTCTTCATGCTTTTACTCAGCCAATTAAAAGGTCGTTTTTATTGTGTCTTTCAGCTGCCTGTAGCTCTTCTTGTAATCTTAGCAACGCTGACTGCACAAATGATAGATGCAAGTAAGCGACGAGTTTCTTCGAGTTGCCATGTTGCCCTCTATTATTTTCCCATTCTTGTTGTTATATTTCAGCTGTCGCCAGGGATGGACTGGACCCGACTGTAACAAATGTCTACCATCCCCCGGCTGCAAATACGGCGTATGCTTAACTCCCTTTCAGTGTCTTTGTAATCATGGTTGGCAAGGGGAGAATTGTAGCCAGCCAGTCTCCTATTGTAAGCAACAGTCGCAAAATCCATGTCAAAATAATGGCACTTGCGTCGATATTTCTTCGAATGAACATCGTTGCGACTGTAAAGAAGGATTCTCTGGATTTCACTGTGACATCGTAGGTTAGTAGTGGATACAATCATCCACATGGAAGTATATGATTAACTTGTGTATTTTCTTTTTCTTTTACTAAGAATGTTCGTCATCGTGCAGGGGAAAATGCGAAGGAAACGTCTGTCGGTTTGTGTTCAATGTTTTAAGATGCATAATGCTTATTTCTGGCGGTGTTTCTTGTTATTCCCTTGATTAGAATATTCACCATGACATACAGCAGAATCTAGCCACTTACCTTATTATATAGTCGCGTGACTCGTTCTCGTGCCCAAAATACTCACGTGACTGTATTTTTCAGATGCCGCAGTGGATGGAAAGGCAAAAACTGCTCGGAATGCGTGAAACGTTCATCCTGTATCCATGGTTACTGTAAAAAACCCAACGAATGCATATGTCATAAAAACTGGACTGGATTGTTTTGTAACGTCTCCAATGTTGAACACGGTATGTATGATATGTATGATTTGTCATTGAATGTATGTATGATATGTATGATTTGTCAAAGGAAAAATAATCATCGATCGCAACATTTGACATGTTTTTAGGATCTTCTCATATAAGAATGACGACATCAACCCTTCAAGACCGTCCAGGTAATCTCATATATGCCATTGAAATATATTTCAAGCTCACAAACTTTGAACAAAACGAGAACAACAGACAGGTAGCTTAAATTTATTTTTACAGATATGACCTGGCTGATCTGCGTATTATCTATATTATCATCGCTTATTATCTTCACTACGTTAGCATTCCTTGTACGAAAGCAATGTCGAAAACGTGCGAGATTTGATGTACCATCATCACATGTCGTTGTTAACCGACACACAAGATATGCGTGCTATACCACTGGTACAAACCATCGGATTGAAAATTTGGGATTGAATAACAATAATCCGGTGGATTTAGATTTTAAGAGTTACTCTGAGATCATCCTTAATCCGATGTCTTTAAAGCATTCACAGAATTCAAAAAGGTAAGAAAAAATCTGACTAGTTCAAAACGCGGGCACTCTGATTTGGCGCATTCTACATTCAATAATTCAATGAATATATTGTAATTATTAATAATTTAATGTATAATAATGTTTATAATTTATCAGTATGTTGATCAGCGATTCGGGCATTGAATACGACATAAATGAAGAGACAACAGTAGACAAAGAATCGCCTGATGAAAAGAAGTACACTGCAATATGAAATTCCTATCTGAAAGAGTTGAAAGGATGTAAGATGATTTCGGAGCGCGCCCATTCTCAAAAATTACACCCGATAAATGGTTCAAATTATCCCCTTGTCGCCGAAATGAATCTTGGGAAAAATAGTTTAAGCTGGATTTGGCTGAGGATTGTGCCTCCGAAAATTCAATGCAGCGTCAACGTTAACATATTTACATCAGGATGTAATGATTGCATTCCGGAGGAAATATCAGACTTAAGTATGCAATAATTATCTTATTAACGTTATTGGATTATCGCAAATCTCATCAAGAAATCACGATAAATCCACGTCAGTTAGAAAAAGGAAATAATAAAGAAAAGCTCCGAGTAGAAAGATAGTTTTAAATATTTATTGTTACATAATGATATGATCATGTAGTGATCTTTTTCTCCGAAGAGTTTATAAATTTCATAAATTTCATGGAAAAATTAGTACCATTAGGAATAGGGAAATATATTTAGCAAGTTTTTACATTCGCCTCATTTAATAAACTACCAACTAGCTTGATGTAAGATCCTTGTTTTTCAATTCCATTGTTTTTTTCTCGTAGAGTGCTTTAAGGTTGCTCTTATTTGTTTTTGTTGAGCGCCAAAGTAGATTTAGTTGTTCGAGTGTTTTTGCACTATTTATCTGTCTTTTTAACAACGTTATGTCCATCATCTCTTGAGATATCAACTCACAGCTCGTTGTATCACACAAGTTCTCATATTTCCTAATCAACGGAAAGAAACGCAAGCCAGCGTCTTTCTCAAGTTTCTCTAATGGAACTTGGAAACTCTTCAAGTCCCGCTCGCTCGTGATTGGAGAGTTTGGGACTTCAAAAGCAGCTATATTAGGTACCATTCCCCGTGAATTTGTCGTCAATATTACTTTGAATAGATGAGTTGGTACAGCCACATTGCTTTCGCCAATAACCTACGAAGTTGATTATTGATATCACAATCAAACTCCTATGTATCTTACTATCCATGCAGTTCCTAGCACATCATCAGCAATCAAATACCTCATATTTCACAATCTTCTTTCCATCTTGGTGGCATGGCAACCATAATGGACCAGAAATGATATATACCTCAGAAAAGCAGTTGGTAAGATGACGAGCAAATGCCTCCATTCTATACCAGAAATTGGCATTGTTTTGTAATTTTGAGGGACAATGTTTGATAGAAAAAATGTCTCATTCATGGCTGCTTGGTCTGATCTGTTGTTGCCTAAAGTGAAGAAACCATGGTGGAAATTCATTAGCTGTAGACCTACTGTGTAATCTGTGATACGTACAGCCACAATAGGTAAAAAAAAGCAGCTTAGCAGCTTAGCCAGCCTGCTAGTTGTCATGCTATGCAAATTTCAGAACCTTGGTGTTATTTATTTCTTTGGAAATAACTTGTGTTCACAGTGACCTATCATTTGCATAGCATGACTACATAAACATGCTGGCAATGCCAGTAGCAATAAACATGCTGGCTATGCCAGTAGGAATAAACTGTATTCATTGGATTAGTGACTGCAATGTTTTCTTTCATTGTTCCTATGGGGGAAATGCTTGAAACTAAATATGCAGGAGTGGCTATAATATTTGTCTCCTAAACTATAATGCAGTTTCAAAATCAAGATCTGCAACAAACCCACTTTTAAATTGCAATATGGTGAAGAATGGACAAACTAACCTGCTGACGCCAAATGTCCACGTGTCCAACCACTTTTAAGATAATCATCATTCTTTCCTTGGAGCAATATTGGAATGCTGGGATCAGGTTTAAAGGTTGTCCTGTTTCTTTCAGCAGGTGTATTCTTAACCGTTAACTTGTCTTTTGTCAAGTGTTCTGCTACCCACAATGGAACTTTTCTTGTTGTATCATATGCTAAAACATGGTTCTTGTATGGTATAATTGCTGGAATGCTCAATGGCTGACCATACCGCAAGGCTTCATGGAAGAAGTCTGCATTGTTGTCGGTAGGTTTTATTATTCTGTCATTCTTCCCCGACGTAAGATTATCATGCTGAGAATAAATCTCCTCGATCTTTTTCTGATTTTGACGAAAAATAAAGGATTCTGGATCGTCCACGTCGGAGATGCTCTCGTAGTAAAGTTTAACAGTACTGGCACCAAACAGAAATCCTGTTAAAATATCGAACACTCCTCGATATTTTCCACTCATACTTCTCGAAGTTCTCGTTCACTGCCGCCATCATCTTTACCTGCGAGCAGGTAGCACCGTATGTATGAACATGTCTTTGATATAAACTGCGTCCTTGGTTTCTTTTTAAACTTTTTACTACTTTTTATCAAGAACTGGAAGATCCAGAGACAAAAACGGTTATTACAGTCTGCTTTGGAATTAAATATTGGAGTTAAATATACGGTTTGCAATGATGGAGGATTCAAAAGTTGAAAAAAGTCAATCTTCAGGTAGTTCAACTCCAACGTGAACTTTAGTTGAATTTTTCAGAAGATTACAGTCCAATCATACTAATTTATATTTACTCTGATCAGCTGACAAGCTGCGTTTGTTATTGGAGAGACGCCAGTCGTTGAAAGAGAAGTCTATGGGAAAGATGAGATTAAGTAGCGACGACTTTGATCCTAGGTCATTGAGCGACATTATGAACATATTGGAAGATGCTGAAAAGTTGATAAAAATCTGAAGGAACAAAATGTTTTGTACCAGGTGAAGTTGAGATGACATATTGTTGTTACCAACTGCACCAAGCACTTCTAACTTTTCTTTTAAATTCCTAGAATTCATTGGTTGAGTTGAAGACTAGAACGAAAGAAGTAATTTTGGAAAATGAAACACTCCACCAAAAATTAAATGTCAGATCTTCCTCTGATAACATGCCTTCAAATATAAAAGTAATTTTGCATCTCACTCTTGTCTAATGATATTTTTGTTATTTTGTTGAAATTTTCCAAACTAGGTATGTTGCAAACTTTTTAAATTACCCGCCAAATTTAAAATTTCAGCAAATCAAAGTTTATTGAAAAACAAAGCCTCTGGATTGCTTTTTGTCAATGATAGTTAAAAATAAAAAGACCTGTAATAAGATACATTGTTAACATTCAATCTTAGTAAAAATTTCTAATTTTGGCAGCAAAATGTAAAATATTTCAGAACAAAGTTTTTTGAATCAAAGTCAATTGTAACATGTTATATTTTTTCTTCAAGGTTGCTCAAAATATGGATAAAATTCACTTGTATGACCCGGAATATGAACTGGTTTGTAGAACATTAATACTTTTGATGTGTAAGGATGCAGTATAATTTACCTCAATTAGGATACTAGAGTTATGGAGTTAGGAATTATGTTGGGTTGGATTTGGATTAGATTAATGAAATTGATGTGTTTTCCTGATTTCATTTGAATCAAGCTAATGGAATTAAAGAAACCTTTGGAATTTTATTTTGATTTGGAAAACTTTATAGAGTTTGACTAAATGTCACTTTTCATTAAAATTTTTGTACCTAAGGATGAAGTGAAGAGATTAAATCAAGAAAAAACTGATCGTTTGGACATAATTATTAAAACAACAAGGTTACTGATGGTAGACTCTTGCATATTTAAGTTCAGTCATTAAATTTTCTCTTGCTTTGTATGTCTCAACTTAGTAATAATCATAATTATATAGAAAACAACTGGAGGCTAGTAGGAAACAAATTGCTAAACTTCAGTCCCAGCTCAGGTAGTTTTTAGTTTTAAACAGCTCTACATTTTTGCAAATTATGGCCAAAATTTTATCTGTTTATTCTAGAGCTGTTGGTGCTGAAAATGACCAAGTATGGAGTACTTCATGTTACAATGAAATATCTATGTTAAGATAAAATATAACAGTCTCAATATTTGTTTTTAATTTTGTATAGAAAAAAGAAACAGTGTGTATAAAATGTGGCAGTCATTCATATTTCTCACATCATCCATCTAAAGCTCATGAAACAACACTGGAATTACTGTTCCGGTATTTGACTTCTTAAAGTTTTCATACATGCTTGATTCTTGGTGTGGAAAGTTGTAGTTCTCAGGATCATGGGACAGCAATTTTCCATTATAAAAATAATGATATCGTGCTTATTGTACCAAAATACTTTGAGCTGTTAGTAACAATTTTGGTGTTTTCTATGTAGATTTAGAAACAGTGGTGGAATTAGAGTACGTCAAAATAACTTACTGCAGCACCATTTGGCATATATTTACATTTCTAAGCAACATAGAAGGAAATATCCATTGGTGAAATTATATTCTTTAGAAAGTAAAAACCAATAGTGTTTTTCTGAATGCAATTTGAATTTGAAATTGAAGAGCTATAATTTATTTTGACATACACTGGATCCACTACTATCTAGAAATCAGATAAATTCTTAATTAAACAATTTGAACAATTTATAAATTTTTTCTAATATGTCATTCCTACAAACTGTTGTGAAAATAATATTTTATAGGAGTAACTAGACAAACTAAATGATGAATAGGGAAGATTTTATCATTTAATTCGCGCGATATTTTTTCAGAGAGAGGGATGAACTCGTTGAAATGCTTTCCAAACAGAATTCTATGTTAGAACAATGTGAACATCGCGAGTTTCAAGCAATAGTGCAGGCCAAAAAGTTGGCAGAATCTACAGAAAATGCAAATCTGGAAAAAGCTAAGGTGATTTAACGAGGCTTTTGTCTGAAGAAATTTTGACATCATGCCTTTATCTTCTAACAAATAATAAAATAACTATCTCTTAACCGTAGCTGATTTCTTCGAAGGGTGTTTACTGAACAGAGATAAAGCATAATTTCTAAGCATAATTTCTAACTTATATCAGGATGTAGGAAAATATTTAAAACTGTGATATCAACAATACAATTAAAGTAAATACAATTAAACATGTTAAAATTAAAATATAATTTGTACTATATCGTTTCAGGCGATCATATCGATTAAACAACTGGAAAGTAGTTTGGAAAATGAAAGAAAAAGATTGGACATGGAGAGGGAAAAGAATCAACGCGAAGTTAATGGCATCGTCGAGAGATTGGACAAAAAGAAAAAAGAATTTTCAGATAAGGTTTTACGTACAACACTATATCCATAGTTTTGTTTCACTGTTCATGAAATTTTGAAAAAGTTGTTTTTAGATTGAAATCTTAACACAAAAATGCGATGAGAAAGATCATCATTACGAGCAATTATCCAGGGAAAAGGTTAGAACATGTGGGCACGTGGTTGACTTGTGGGCACTGTGGTGTGGCACACACTCGATGGCCACGTCATCTTCAGCTCACGTCATCCTCAGCCCCACGTCATTTTTACACCACAAATAGCTGCATCTCATATTTCCCCAGGAAAATCTTCTGTGTGATTATGAGAAAACAGCGGTTGAACTTCAGACTGCACACATGGAAATGAACAAGGTATTATATGACTTTATAAAGTAGTACAAAACGTGATAAAGTAATACATATTTGATAAAGTAGTACATAACGTGATAAGGTAGTACATACTTAATAAAGTAGTACATATCGTGATAGGGTACTACATAACTTTATATGGTAGTACTTAACGTGATAAAGTAGTTCATAGCTTGATAAAGTAGTGCAAAACTTGATAAAGTAGTATATAACTTGATAAGGCAGTACATAAGTTGTTGCACCCATTACTTGATAAGGCAGTACATCATCTTTGATAAGGGATCCCGCGCAGGAACATGAAACATCCAACAATGTCAACATTTTATGATGTTTTGTTTACATTTATTCAAGTAGTTAAGAGTTGAATGTCATGAAGAGATGGTAAAAATGACTCGAAAATTGACAGAAATAACTGAAGAACTTTCTCGTCTAAAAAACGACAAGAACAGAAAAGATAAAGATAATGAACAGGTGTATATTCTTTAGAATTGCAAAGAATTGTTTCACTTAGCTCACTCTAATAATATTCTTAATTTGTTCCTAGTTGATCTATCCTAGACAGAATAAAAAGTTACGTTTTGTATGTTTCACTTAACTTCAATTTACTTTTTGCACAGATTAAGATTTCGTTGAAGATGGAAATTGAGAATTTAAAGCATCGTTTAATGGAAGCTCATAACGAATGTGTGGAAACTCGCGAGAAAAATGTTAAAATTGACGAAAAGTTGAAAAGAACTGAGAACGAAGTAAGAAAAACATGTCTATGGTGATTATATTTTTATACTAAGATTTTTATCATTTGTAAAATAATCACTGTTGTTTAGCTTCATCAGCTGGTGTTGTCCAAGAATAGTTATGAAAAAACTCAAGAAGAGAATCGAGAATTTTATGAAAAGCAAGATGAACAAAGAGAAAAAATATTTCTTGACAGTTTACAAGAAACTGAGCAGAAACACAGTATGGAACTTTTCAAATTGAAGACTATACCTTGAGTATATGATCACCTGTGTACCCATGTTTCATCACCTGTGTACCCATGTTTCATCACCTGTGTACTCATGTTTCATCACCTGTGTACTTATATGTGTTTCTGCGTTTTTTTTTGACAGTTGTATTACGAAAAAAGTTAGAGAAGATGTTGGAAGCACAAATGAAGATGACCTCTGATCTGAAAGAAGAAAACAAAAGATTACTCATAAAATTGGAGGATAAGACTAAAAGCCACAAGTATTTCAGTGCAAGTTATAATCTTTACTGTTCAACGAGAGCGTTGTCTCTACGTGGAAGTTATTTGTTCGCTTTTTTCTTCTCTATTCCTTTAGATCCGAGAAATCAAAATGGATGAATGATATGAGTACTTTAAAGCAAGAACTGGAAAAGACTCGTGAACAATATGAGGTTATTAGCAATGAAAAAAGTGTCCTTATTCAAAAGAAAAGAAATATCAGTGAAAAGATAACGTTCTTTAAAACTGAAAATAAAAAATCGCGAAATCTGGTAAGTCAAAGCAGGACACATTTGAAACATGTAAATCATTATTTGTCCAACTCAACTCTCATTTAAAACGCGTTTTTATGCGTAGATCTACAGCCTTTTACAAAAACAAAAGCTCTTAATGATGGAGAGACGATCTTTGAGTTACGAACTCCTACAACAAAATCGACTTGCTGGCTCGTCGTTTCAGCGGCATTTCGAGGAGAGCATTCCTGTGCATTATGAACAGGAAAGTGACGTAGTTAGTAATAACAATGACATTATTAACCATGAAGAAATAGATGAGAATAATCACAAAGAAAATGATAGTTTATAATTTAAGACAAGACAGTGATTTCATAAACAACATTTTTATTATTGTTTTTATAAAATGTAACGCGACTTAATTTCATATGTTCTTTTCTGCGAAGACGATGTATCACATTGTCTTGTACACACTGTACATATAATAATGCATTGATGACTATATTAACGTAATCAAATACGTGTTTATCTGTTTTCATACATTATCTTAAGTATTCACAGGCGGTTTTTAACTTACGTCTTTACCATTGTGCAACTCTGACGTTTCTAAATGAATGATTTAATTATCTTTTTAATTTGATGAACCATACAATGTACACAAGAGCGTTTTTAACTAAAGTTCTTTTTTAAAGTATTTCTAAAGGATATTTTATTTTCCTGTCCACTTTAATAAGCAGATTATTATTCCGAATCATCGTGGTTGTTGAACATAACGAAGAGACAATTTTTATAATAAAATTCCAACGTTATTTCAAAGGATGTCAGCCATGGTATGCGGTAAGTATAAATAAAACTTACTAAATGCGAAAATGAATGAGTAAAGAATGTTTTTAAAGTTCGTTTTGTTTTTGTCCCTGCATGTGCCTTGCACACACCGTTTAGTGATTGGTTCAACATAGCAATTTTAATAACGTTTGTTTGTTTTGTCTTCATACAGGAACTACCGCGAGTTTGTGGGTTTGGTGGATCAAGGCAAATTCCTTCACACTGTTCGAGAGGCTTTAAAGAATCGACTATGAGTTTAGATGAGCGAGGAGTAAACATTGGTTGTATTTGTGATGTGGTATATTTTTAAAAAATGTTAAAAGAGGTTTGTTCAACTTAATTATTCGTTCCCTTTATATCGTAAGTTTGTCTTTTTGTGGTTAACCGCTTGTTCAATCAAGTATAATTTATATATAAATTCATGTTCTCATTGTGACTAGGATGTAAACAGGATTGTTTTCCATTACGCATATGTGTTCTAACCAAATTAATTCGAAGTCGACAATTTTCTCGAATTGTGCCTTTAATGCTGCAAATTTATCTTAAAATGAAAATACATAACAAGCAGTGCCAAACATTGGCATTTTGCCACGCATATTCCGTGATTTTTTGTGTATATTTTGACTCCCTTATCCACACCTAGTACAGTATAACTAACTCGCAAAACCAGTGACCATTATGGTACAAGACACTTCTACTATTTGTAATTTATTTCCGAATGATCTCCGACTGAATTCCGATTGATTTTAAAAAACCTTTTGGAATTTTATTGTCTTCCTCTTATGCATTCTCGGTAGGGCTGCATAGGACGTAAACACTGCAGGGTTTTGTAATCTTTAGGAAACAAAGAAAGTCAAATCATGTATTGTTATTTAAAATCGAGAGAAAACCTCGCTATAACTGCGAGCACATACAAATTACATTGTCCGGTAGTCGCTTTCGTCGTCGTCTCTCTCAATTAGCTACTCTCGATTGTTTGCGATTTTTTTTCATCAAAACAATCTGTTTGTTCTGTTGTGCATTTGATTCCTAATTATAGTCGGTTGTATTGAGTTGAAGATTTTGATGTATATTATGACTTATTGTTTGCAATGGGATTATTTCACTATGACATGAAGACCTTAGCCGGGCACGGGAAAAGCCGCGAATATCTTGATTTCGAGACTACAGCCAGGAGAACTAAGACACGTGTATTATTAACGGCAAATTGTGATAGAATTTGAAAGGAAATATTGACTCCATCTGTAGGCGTCATATATGCTTCCATAGAAGGGCATCACGTTAATTTGATTGGGAGTGTACTTGTTCTCACCACTAAACCATGAGTCAATATTTCAAAATGATATTCGCTCGGGGAGGTCTAATTCTTGTTGAATACATATATTTTATATTTAATAATTTCGAACATTAATCAGAACACGAAAGACGTATGAAACAAGTATAAAATTTCAAAGGAAACCGAGGTACTGTAATGGTAATAGAGATGAGCTTTATACATTTTGTATCGTTTCAAAGGATCTTTGGATGATGTAGGAATGACGGTATTTCACACGCGTTTCCAGTTATAAATTCAAATTGTTTCTTCCTGTTTACAATATTTTATCAATTTATAACTAAGTACTGCTGTATTTCTTCTTCGTGATACAAAAATTGCTCACAGAGTCCAGGAACTATTATGCACTTGTTTCTTCTTTGTCCGGAAAAAACTCCACGCATATCTATAGAAACAATTACTATCATACTATCATGTATAACCTTGTTTGAATTTTAAGTTTTCATAAAGCCCGCAAGTCTTGACTAAAAAACGATTGCATGAGAGGCGATTGATTGTTTGTCAGGAGGAGATTGATTTGTTCAACAGTAGAGTTTGCTCGTCTGTAGCAAACTTTGACAAACCACTTGTGGTCTATTCATTCTCGTGTGCTTGTTTTGTATTTGTTTACAGCAACATCAAGAGCACGAACAAAACTCTCTTTGTTTTAAATTAAAGACTTAGTTCAAACTAAGTCGATCAGGAAAGATTACCACAACTAAAACTGCTGTGCATAAAGGCTCAAATAGACACCGTGGTTTCAGCATCTTTTCACTCAATCTTTGCTGATTTTGCATCAGTGTTTGTTGTCGTTGGAATGCAGCAATTAGAGCAAAACTTATACTTACGAGAAAACTTTGAATAGAACCATATAGCTGAAAGAAGAAATATACACATCTTGAAATGAGGGGGCTTTTATTTAAAAAGAAAGATCCGTTTCCAGTGTTGAGTTGTAAACTTAAAGTAGTTTTCAAAAGATGTACAAATCAAAAGGTTTCTATATTGTTTCTCGCGGTTTGTCTTAACATTATATTAACAATGTCTTATTTTTACGTCAATAATTGTATAAACTCCCTCTATATATTGTGCGCATAATAATGTTATTTTATTTACAGGTGATGCAACCTTGTGATATTTGGACGTTACGTAAAGAACACGAAGATCTGTCGAGAGCTTTGAGAACGAGAAAGGTCCACCTTGAAAATGAGAAATTAAAAAGGTACATTTTTTTACTAATACAATAAATTATTAGTTCTGTTTTTTGTTCTCATTCATACTGGAGAGAAAAATGAGAATATTTAACCCAACTTCTCATTTCACGACTCTTCCTTACCTTTTGTAAGTGAAAAGCGACGTATCTATAGGTGAACATGTCTTTACTTTAATGAAGCCAAAATTTTACCTCCAAATACGCTTGTTTCGAAGTCAGCATTTTACCTTAAGCGATAAAGATATTTTCCAACTGAATACCAGTTTCTATTAAAGAAAATAAATTCACCTTACAGTGGATTTTAATAAAATCTTGTATAGTAAGTTCTTGCATAATCAGACAAAGGATAATTGTACTTCTTATACTAGAGGGAATACTATTTTCCTTTGATGATAGATTACGTTTTGGTATGTTTGTGTCAACATTGTCTTTCAGTCCTTACCAAAGTGTTCATATTGTTTAAGTTGAATTTGTTTGCTTTGAAAGCCTGACTGCATTACCTTCACTAAAGATTACTAAACGATCATGAAAGTTATCAAATTCATTGATAACACTAGTAACAAAGTAGTTACATTCTTAATATAGTCAAATCGTTATCAAATGGCGATGTCCGTTCATCATAGGCTCTCGTCACCGGGCCCCAGTAATTGAAGAAATACTGACATAAATGTGAAAATCGATGACTAAATTGTGTAGATATATATGAACGATTTCGTAAAGTTTGTTTACAAGAAAATGTCTGAAAAAAAGTAAACTGAAGAAAATTTTTGATTTAAAGATATTATCTTGTAGGTGTATCAATTGGTATGCACATAATTAATAGTTAGATTTTGAACCAATTGACAAACATCTTCATGCTTGTTTTAACGTTGAGAATTGCCTTGTGAAAAAAATTGATACATTCGAAAAATTTTGTTCATCAAACACAGTTTTTTGCATGCTTATTTGATAATTTTTGTGTTCCGGTTGTTAGAGGTTCGTTTATTACGTATTGTATGAGATTCAATTCTAAACATTACAAACTGTCCGCTTTAGCCCAGTTCTCGAATAGTCTTTTCAGTCGTTTCTAGAACGCCAGTCGATTGGACAGAACTCTATCCATACAACTGAAACGACTCAGTTTAGACAACTCAAACGATTTAAAGGTTTATTTGAGATACATGGTGGCCGCGTACAGCAGTTCATAAATACCATTGCCATACCTTATTAAATAAGGCCATGAGTTATGTGGTGTTTTAAAAAATATTGAGTAACGTTTCATCGTTTTGACTACAATACACAATTTCCTGCATTAAATACGCTAAATAGCTACACACGAAATTGACGTATGCATATTTAATATCAAATTCATTCACCGTTCTCCTTTCACCGGTAACAACGGACACTTTCTTTTTCCTCTACGGAAGGTCTTCAAAAGAATTTGATCATTTGAAGTCTTTCTTGTGTTTAATAATTTGACTATTGTAGTGATGAAATGAAAACGAGTTCATCAGCCATCAAAACGATGAAGCTGGAAAATCGTCCTCTCGTTAAACGCCCTGGACTAAAACATCGTATGACCGATCCAAGTCCACTGCGGGAATTCGCTCGTCATGAAGACAGTTATACTCACGAGAAGACTGCTTTTCCAGTGAAAATAGAAAAGGAGAGTATTCGAGAAGCTGATGTTGGTAACAAAGTTTGTGATGGTGGACATTTAACTAAAAATCAGACAATTTTAGTGAGTGAAGATGTTCACAGTGTATAATACCTGTATTTCCTCGCCTATAGTATAGCGTCAGTTTATATTGTACAAGCGTAGTCAACCATTGCTTTAGGTAATGAATAATTCGAGTATTTGACTGTAGCAACTAATATTATGTTTAAGTTAACAAGTAAAAAACAATCTTGATAAATGTTTTTATCATTTTAAGCTGTCATCTTATGACCTTGCAAGGAGAAGATTAAGTCTTCCCCTTAATACATCATCATCATCATTACTACTTGAGCAATCTTGGAACACAAATGTTTTTTTATTGAATGACTCCGATGACTCCGACGACATCAGCTGGGAAAGTCCCACTCGTGAGGTTAGTACAATTTTGTAAAGGCAAAGTTCACCATGAATTTGTGTGAATATCTATAATCTGAATGCATTTTTTTATATACCTGTATTATTCAACTTAATCTTCAAATAAATACTTGAAGATAAATTTAATTGATCATAATTTTGGTTTTCAACAGATCTTTTTAGAGCTTGCAAGGTTCAATAGTTGTCATTTACCATTACATATACGCTCTTTAAAACAGTATTTAAGTTTCTTACAACAACCAAATCTTTGGTTTAACATAGAGTCTTATAAATGCATGCTTTTTATAATATTGGGCATCACTTTCTCTACTTACCCGTTTGGATGATGTGGTACTAACAGAGTTGAGCCTGTAAAGTGTAAGGTGATCTCACTTATTGAAAACCTGGCCCCATCTGTCTACATAGTCTTCTCTTTATCACACCAAGTTTGATTTCTCATTCTCAGTCTGCGCGCGCCCTTTCTATAATTGAACACTGGCTACTGCCTACTGGTAACCTCAACAAATGCATATCATAAGTGGCTTCGTGAATAAAAATTGTTGAAATTGCTAATAAACTGTGTGATGATGTCATGCGCGTTGAACAACACCTAAAATTCCATCACGTATTTCTTTGTAAAATAATTTCGATTGTTTTTTCTTCCTGTTTATAAAATAAGAAAAAGTTGTTTTTAATAAAAATTTCGTAAAATTTAGTAAGAAATATCCGTTGATTTTTACAGTAACGTTATTGTTGAATGTTGATATACGTTTTTGTGTCGTATGCGTCGTTTGTCTTGACAATGTACAATATGCTAAGATGTTTAATGTCTTTGTTTGAATTCTTTGATCTCGTCAAACGTGACCGTTCTCCCGTAACAAAGACGACATTCTTCATGTCACCAACTGCGTGCACTTCATTTCAAAATCTTTGTGGTATCTGCAACTTCTGATCCCACAGTTTCGTCGACAATTTGTTTAAGTTGAAAGTCCTTCAAACTTTGGCTGGTAAAGTACTAAAGTAGGGTTTTTTTTCTACTTTCATCGGATGTTATTAAAGAGTATGTCGTACGTTTTTTTGTTTGTCTCACGCGCTTGACTTACAAACACTTTTATAATTGCTTTGTCTCACAGTTTCACGAGAATTCATGTAAACTCAAATAAGGAGAGCGTTTCAAGTTGCTTTTTGGTAAAGACGGACTGTTGACTTTACATTATAGATTATATATGACGTATATAGAAAAGGAAAAATTTTCATGTCATAAACATCGGCGTTTTTTGTTGTGATGCTGTTTGTGTCCTGTGAATACTGCATTGTATCACAAATTATTACCATTTTTATCCATAATCATATATTTGTTACATCTACTCGTTGTATATTTATCAGTTGTATTCCATTATAAATTGGTTTTGCAATTTATTCTTAACAGATCACACTTTGTATAAGTGTTTGTTTCATATGTAGGATTAAAAGAGTAACAGCAATATTTCTCACAATCCTTGTAATATTTTCAAGGAAGTCCGCCCTTCATAATGATATGATGACGCATTATCATTAAGTCATAAATAGCAGCTTATCGTATCGTTTTACAGCAGTTGGTTAACAACGTGCTTTTTTATAGAGTGTCGATCTAACAGCATCTTTGGAGCACAGGAGAAGTCGAAATATGAATAACATGGATAGAAGACAAAAACATTTAGCTTGGATAAAGCAGGCAAAGTCTTTAAGTGTGGATGGCAGTCGTCATCGGACATCAACAAATAAACGACGCATGAGCGAGGTAGGTTGTTAAGATATAAATATTCTTGTCTAGTTTTTCTCGTACAAGAGATTCTACATCGAACAAATTTTTTCAATTGCTGGGCTTGCTGATTCTCGATGTACGGAAAAAAACCATATTTACACGCATTATTGTTAAATATACCATACATTTGCCTGGTATAACAGTATCAATCAAAAACATCAGAATTTTGTAAACTACAGGTTTGATGCAAGATTATTACAAATTAGATAATTTGTTTGTGCATGTTCAACTGTGAATTGTCGTTATGAAATGCACTCTGCACGTATATCGTTCCAGTTCAGGAATTCTGTCGATCAGATAATTTTCAAGGAAAAGCGTGTTTTATTTCAATGCAAACAAGTTCCAAGTATAACACAGGATGTATTTGGGATTACGACCCACGTCAATATAATCTCGAATACGTCTGGATTAAGTAGATTAGCTGACTAGAGTGCAATCCGCCCAAATCCCACGCAAGCGGGGTAACAGGGCACGCATGCATTGTGTGTGTACGCCAGGCAGTCGATACTGCTATTCATAGACTATATGAACACATTTTGTCACTATCATGCATGCATTTCACACTGGAATAGCAGAAATCCTCCTGTGAAAAACTCTGCAGCTGGTCTTTTGTATCGCGGCTGTTTCCATTTTCCTCTGTTCTCACATTGTCAATAAAACGTTTTCTGTCCTCAAAGAACATCGTATTTCTGTTCCCTGTAATTCAACATCATTCTATTAGAACATCAGAATCTTCTGTGTCATGTTCTTTCGCAGTACAATGGTTAAGTTGTTACATTAAGGTACTTCAATGTTATATTAGTCATATAGCTATTGTTGTCTAGATTCACATTTAAAGTTGACCACTTCAAACTTTTGCTGACAATGCGTCTTTAATATCAGTTTCATCGGCTGACTTGAATTCTTCGGATGAGCATTTTGCTTTTTTAAAAACACGCGCTTCTTTTTCATAGGCGGAGACTTACGGTGATCGTTTCTATTCTATTTGCAATCTTAATATGTTCTTTCATGAGCTTATGTAATCTTTACATCCCCCGAGGTGTCGTCAACACAATTCTTTGCGATTACAGTGCAATCGAGCGTGTAAATTATATGATTTTCGCGAGAGTATTGTTTAGTCAAGAGCATTGTCAGGAGTTATTTTGTCGTTCTCGTTGATGTGATAACAATGCTTGTTGTGAGTGAAATGAACGAACAGTCGGAACCTTTTGCTTTTTCTGTGTTCGAGGAGTTATGTAAAACTGGTTTATGGAGCCATGAACCTATGATCAAGGAGGTAGAAGAAATTATTTCGTGTATGATCTTTTCACTGAAGTTTGTAGTTCGTCGTCTCGTCGTTTTCATTGAAATTATTGTTCGCTATGTACCATCGTTAAAAACGTCTTGTGATTTGCTTGTTTTCCTGTAAGGTTTTCTGTAATTCGAGAGTTGAAGTATCAGCTCTTTATCTATGTAGTTTTGTACTTTTGAAAAACTTGAGAACTTTAGTTGATGATTTTAAGAAATGTTGTTCAAACAATACAAATGAAAGGTTTACGACTATAGTGCACAGTCAATTGTTTCCTTATGATTAAGGATTTATAGAATTATCTTGTAAATCCTCGCCCCATTTTATGTAATCATGGCAGTAGTCGTTACAGTCTCTTTCTCAAAGTCAATCTTTTAAATTCCTGATGTTATCGTAATAAGCTGAACTTTACATACTTGAATTTCAAGTAAATCTCCTTTAAGATTTTTTCTAACAATAGCTTGAATATATTATATAGCACCTTTTCTTGGTAATATCCATCGTCGTTACTTCCATTTTGGAACTTAGGAAGTTAACTGTCTAGAGTTCCGTTCATAGAATAAACTAGATAAAAATTTAATCAAATTATTCCTGCATTTTCGTGACTTCCTTATTAGGAATTCATTATTATGAATATTGCAATATTGTTTTTTGATAACATGAGAGAAAGCCGTCGCTTATTTGTAAAAGGTCTTTATTCTTTTTTTCATCGTTTTAACTTTGTGTGTCCGGTTCTCTCTTGCTTTGCTTGAGTTATGTGTTGTATAACTTCTTATACATCTTTAAAAACTTGCTTTCCATATGGTCGTGTTAATATCTTATATATAAATCTAGATGCTGTCGGCAAAAAATTTACATACACTCTCGTAACCATACGGAAAGTAGACTTAAGTACTGTATAGAATATTTCATTAATACTCTAAGCTATCAATATTTGAATTCTTTTAATCAGCTACCTGCGTTGTCATCGTTAGCAACCCGAAGGAAAGCCTTCCCACATACATTGTCGGTACCTCTGGGTCTTCGTCGAAAATTGTCGAGAGCTGGCCATTTTTCAGGTACGAAGCATAGTTACCTCAACACGATATTATTGATAACTTTATGCCTTTCTTGAATTTAGTAGTCAGTATGAACCTTACACTATATTTTACATTTTTTGATGCTGAACGATTTTAATCGTTTAACGATGAACTGCTGAAGGTTAACAGATCTGTAATTAGACTCTTTAACGTATTTTAGTCACTTTTTTGCTTCCACACCTGTAAAGTTTTTGATCGTCTTTAAAATGGTGGAGGCGCATGGTTTTCTTATATACAATAAAATGCTAAATATTACAAATTCACCACATTATTCGAATTTACTGTTTTCTCCAGTCCACCTCACCCCCTCCCCGGGTAGGATATGTGCTGCTCTTTTTACTGCAACTCTATGTGTTTTTGATCCCTTACTCGCAAAAATTCTGTTTCTATACAAAGAAAATGTTTTTTATCAGATGATATTTTGCTGCAGCTGTTCAATTGATTTATCTGTAGGATATCGAACATTTCAGTTCTATTTTAGACATTTCACACAGTCATGGATTTAGCAACGGCCTTTCATATTTCGTTAAATATATGAATTGTAAAGTGACCTCTTTGAGCTTAGTAGGTTTATGTTTTGACCCATAGTAAATATAATTTTTCTTTTGGTGATTTATTTCGTGAGCGTAATTTGAATTGATGAATAAAGTATTAACTGATATTGAATGCGAGACTTATAAACTACAACATCTGACACTACATATTGAATCTAATAAAAAAATCTTTACATTTGACTGGCTATGTAAGCTAGCAAGCCTTTTTATTTGCTTCTGCCAAAGTGAAGGCAACATTTCTATAATGATCTTTTTTTAATGTTCAGATCATCATATCGTGAGTAACTCGTGTGAAAAAGCGAAGAACGAAATGTTGGCAACGTTAAAACTGTCAGCGTGGCCCGATCATACGTCTTGGAAACATAGTGAACTTTCTCGTCGTAAAACTAGCATCGCCGTAGGAACGGCAGCTATGAAGAAGAACGAAGGTAAGAAGTCACATTATATGAGAACTAATTATATTTTAATCTTTAAATAAAGTAGCTCACTAAGCGATCTGTCTGCTAGATAGAAACTTTCTCAGTGGTTCCTTAACGCAGTCTTGTTATTTTCTATGTGAAAAAATCAAATTTCTACGATCATATTGCCTTTATTTCAAGAAAAAAGAATGATGGTTGCTCACGAGTTCTTGGAAACTGAGAAAACGTACATTAAAGCGTTGGAGACATTGAACGAGGTATTTTAACGAATGTTTTGCATCCGAATCCTTGCTGTTGTTCATGCGTGTTTCATTTTTATGAAGGTGTTCATGGAGCCGTTAAAGAATTCCAATGTTGTACCGGAGAAAGATATAGGGTAGGAACTTGAACAATATTTCATGAAAATTTTCATTTTTCATTGTTGAGATAATCGAGGATGATCAACGTAATGGGAAAATGATTTGTTTTCATCCTTCAAATGCTGTAAATTCTCTGTCTATGTTTCAAACACACGTTATTATACATTTTCTTAAACTTTATTATACATTTTCTTAAACGTTATTATACATTTCTTTAAATGTTATTATACCTTTTCTTGCTGCATATTTCAAATGGGCCATTAATCGATGTATCGCTTTGTCAATTTATTAGAATTATGTTTCCAAAACAACTTATTGCCATGAAGATCGGCCACGAACGTTTTATGAACGAACTCGAAGAACGCTTGAATAATTTTGCATGGCAAGGCGTCCTTGGTGATGTCTTCACAAAATTAGGAAACTCTTATCATGTAAGTTTTTTAAAATCTTTCATCAATATACTGTTGTCTGTGATCAAAAAGATAACGCTACGCAATGCTTTATGATTGTTTCGACAAGTAGAATTTTCAATTAAAGTTGAAAAAGGGGGAAAGAAACATATTCATAATTTAAATTCAGTGAGCTCAATATGTATACATACATCTGAAATGATAACAACAAGTGAATTGACAAATTCAAAACTGAAGTCAAATTCCTAGTCTAGCGGTTTTACATCAGTTCCAGTTTCTTCAAAGTTCCATTTTAGCGGTTTGTGCTTCAGTTCCATTTCCCTGATTGCAACCCTCAAAGTGACACCAAAAATTTAAATGCTATCTGTAAAACGACGCGACGAATGATGACGACAAAGATTTTTTCGCCTTTTTTTTTCTTTGGTTATCCAAAGAAAAAAGAGGTTCTAGGTATATAAATATTGAGTTCACTTGTTATACTTAATTGAGGGTTGTACCTCAATGCAATGGGAATGCCGTCGTTTTAAAACTGAATGTAAATTGGATAGTGCATTCTCATTTATTATCATATAATTAAAATAATCATTTGTTTTTATGAAAGGTGGACTTCATGAAGATATATTCTGAATATGTGGACAACTTTCCTAAAGCTGTTTCCGCTATCAACAAATATTCCAGAAATAATCAAAAGTTCAAGCGGTTTTTGAAGGTATAGCTATATCAAGATATTTTAGCCATGTTGGGATGTACTTGGTGCAAGATTTCTTGCCTTAGATGTCTTATGCTTGTGAAATGTACGATTGTAAGATCAATAAGATGTCTTATAATTATGAAATAGAAATGCTGTAATGATCAAAGATGTCAGCGTCTAAGTATAACGGCGTTCCTTCTTACTCCAATACAACGCTTACCCCGATACGTGCTCTTGTTACGGGTTAGTTAATAATTTTATTACTTTTGCTCTTCTTTGCTTTGAATTTAAAATTCATTTAGTGAACACAATTTGAGTGTAAACATTTGTGTTAAATAGCAACTTGCGAAGTACACAGATGTTGATCATCCGGATAGCTTTCATATCGAGATTTCATTGGAAAAAATGATAGACATCATTAATGTATTAAACAACTCCATCCAAAACTCCACACGTGTGGTTCGTTCAATCACCTTGAGACGCTCAACAAAACTAAGGTATGAATGAACTGTCTGGCTAATTTGCTTTAAGCCATTGTTTCACTTTCTTGAAGAAGATCCTCTTTTTCTACAGACGTAAAAGAAATTTGTTTAAAGTCAAAGAAAGTGAGAATTCAAGCGTGGCAAGTTCAAGGTAACGTAGAGTTATTTAATCTTGTTAATGTCTGTCATAGCCTGTGGCAGCCTATTACTGTCTATGGCAGCCTATTACTGTCTATGGCAGCCTGTTACTGTCTATGGCAGCCTATTACTGTCTATGGCAGCCTATTACTGTCCATGGCAGCCTATTACTGTCTGGGGCAGCCTCTTACTGTCTGTGGCAGCCTATTACTGTCTATGGCAGCCTATTACTGTCTATGGCAGCCTATTACTGTCCATGGCAGCCTATTACTGTCTGGGGCAGCTCTACTGTCTGTGGCAGCCTATTACTGTCTATGGCAGCCTATTACTGTCTATGGCAGCCTATTACTGTCTGCGACAGCCTGTTGCTGCCTGTAAGAGCCTGTTACAAGCTCTCATAGTCTTTTGAAGCTATTTACCGGCTGTTACAACTTGTTACAACATGTTACAGCCTGATAGATCACTGAAAAAAATAAAATTCAAACATGATGCGCCATTTCATAAAACAAAACATTTTTGTTGTGTTTAAAATACAAATACATTATTTTGTTACAGGAAATCATCAGATGAATCTGAATCGTCAGAAGTATCCAATTCGGTCTCGCCAACGCGTTTTGATGTTTCATCGCCGACGACATCAACAATTCCTGAGCAAACAAGAAGAAACGATTTTCTGTCAAGTACAGATTTAAACTCATGTTCAAGAACACCTTCTCCCTCTAGGTTAGTAAACTAGTCCATGACAGATGTGAACAAAGTCAATTCTTAACGTCGAGAGATTTAGGAAAGTTAACGGGAAAGTCATTTCTGAAGGCCTTGGGCTTAATTTAGTCTGTAGAAATTTTACCTAACTCTATTACCATTTATGTTACCCATTTCTAGCACAATCTTTCTTGTATGGTTGCATGTTGTTAGAAATATTACCTAACTCTATTACCATCTTTGTTGTATGGTTTCATTTTGGTATAAAAAATTATCTAACTCTACTACCGCCATTTCTGTACAGTTCCATGTCAAGAAGCAGTTTCTTCAAAGTTAAATTGCGAGGAAACAGCGAATCGAAGCGAGGTAAACGTCGACCAGTCAGCACGACGGAGGTTGAGGTGTATCACAATATCCATCATAATCAAACGACATCACAGGATCACCTGAAACGATCCATGAGTCGAGATAGTATCGGAAGGTGAGCAATACTGCGCATGCTCTAATACCAATTTATTGCTTGAAGGCAAATGATGATTTTTCTGTCTTATGTCAGGTATTAAAACTATATTTTCTCGTTTATTTTAGTATTATTCGCCTCAAGTTTGACAGCCTAAGACATCGAACGAAGTCCAGTGAAGATTGTCTTAATGAGAACGCGTCTTTAGATCGAATTTCTGATTCGCGTTCCATTTTATCAAGATTCCGACGAGCAAGAATTCCTGATGATGACAGTTTTGTTGAAGTCATCAAAGGTTCAAGATCAGAGGGCGATTTTCTCGAAAAACTAAACGATTCTAATTCGAAGAACTGTGTTAAGTCACGTGATCATTTTCCTGTTTCACATACCCCATCCACATCATGTGACATTTCATCGGAATTAGGTGATGGTTATTCCCCAAAAACTCATCAGCACTGGACGTTACCACTCCGCACGTCACGTGGTCGCACTCCTCTATCACGTGAATCTTCCGTTCTATCGTCTGAGCATGACCATTTTGATACCGACGATATTGAGAAATGCAAAGACAGCGAATTGGAACTCGGAATTGAGGACAAACATTCCTTTGACAAAGGTATAAAACGTACATTAAGTGAACGTGTTCGACCATGGAAAAGTAGTTTGGTAGATGGTCAAACGAATCCAAAAAAATTAGGAAAGAGAAACACTCTGACAAGTGCTGTTCGATATTTATTCATTTCAAAAACAAGGTAAGCAAAAAACGACGTGCTGTCACGTACATAATCAATATCTTTTGGCTTACTATTTTTTTGTCGTATTTTAATTATTTGGTTGGAAATGGTTTGGAAAATAAAGCACGTATTATTCTGAAAATATTTTTACATGTTGTTGTTTTCTGTTAAAAGCATTATTGCAGTACTTTGTTCATTGAAGTCATGTTCTACTGTAAACTGGTTTTTGATTTTGTTTCAGAACTTCATCAAATCGCGAACCGACATTTGCCTGTCATCTGGATTCGTCAAATGATGTTCGCACCTTAAACAGTATCTCGAATGAAAAATTGTCAACATTGACGACCGTTTGAAGCAGTATTGGTTTATAATTAAATGTGAGATAATGGCAGATTATGGCTAAGTTATATTTATTTGAATCAAATTATCAATATTCATGACTACAGTTTGTTCATAAGAAAAAATAATTATTATATTCACGTAATAACAATATTGTATATCTGATTGCTACTTGTGGTCAATCCTTTAACACTCCTCATCAACACAATACCCCCATGGGATCATTCACCCACGGATAACACTTCAGACATTCCCTCAAACATGAAAACAAGTAATGCACTGCGGGTTGACCTCTCGGTACCAGTCTTCTGTTACCATCGTAGCCACACACGGTCTGAGTGGATGCGTTGCACTGTAACGGTGGCGGTGGAGTATTACACATCCAAGGTGTAAATTTGGCAATTTTGTCATTTGTCGTCGGTTGACGAATCCAGTCGATTGCTTTTGGTATACTTACAATCCACACATCGTGCAATTTTAAAATCTTCTCGAAAAATTCGTTCAAGGCTGTAAAGAAATGAATAAAATGATGTGAAAAATTGAGGATATTTTACTATATCGTCGCTCTTTCAATTTCATACACTGATATTCGTTTCCGAAAATATTTCCTTGCGAAGAAATTTTTGTCTGTTCTCGAGATTTTATGTTTTTCTACACACAATTTTTGTGCTTATTTAATGACCCCAAAGAAATACATTTCTGATTTGACTTACCCGTCAAAGTATAAGGATATTTGCTAAACCATTCTGAGTGAAAAAACATGGGAAACGGAGCTCGGTTTGCATAATAATGATTGTTAAAATTGTTCACGAACAAAGCCATTGCTTCTTCTGCGTTGGCTGGAGGCGCGCATGCGTCGACCATATTGCAAAGTGCTCCCGTCTTATCACGCCAGTCGATCATCGGGATCTCCCAAACACCTGGATACGAATCTGCAATGATTGGATGGAAGACTTTAGAAGTTGATTGAAAATGATTAATGTATTTCTTCCATTGCTATCCAACCAAAGTGAACACATTACCTTGAGGACAAGGTGGAATAGTACACTCCTGTGTTGAACGATAATCAAAAGTGTATGGCCACAATGGAGGATTTCTCTGTATCGTTGGCATTGATGATTCAAACAAAAACTTGTTATCATACAACATTTTGAATTCGTTATCTCCTCCTATTTGTAAGAACGGGGCACGGACGCCCTTAACATGGTCAACAGCGACAAAGCCCACTTTATTGAGGATTGTTCTCTGTCCGACAATCTCAGAAGTCCATTGCGAATAGTTGGCGTTTTTCCACCATGAAATTGGCGTTCGGTGTGTTATGCTGTGGTCAGCCATGCTGTGACCTTGGTGATAAAGCAAATTCACCATCACATAGTTTGTGTACTCGTGAGAGACGAAAAAGGTTCCTGAAATGTTGCAGCCGTTGGGATTTGTTTTTCCATTGAATAATTTCAAGTAGAAGTTAAAGTTCTGTTCATTTACTGCGTCGTCAAACGTCACCATAACGATTTGTGGGATATTGGATGCATTTAAATTGCCAGGAATGTCTGTGCCGGAGCAACGGCAATCTGGTAGTTTGCATCTCGATGGTTCACATTTGGTAGCAGGATCATTATGTGGCCGTGCAGCTGGGCTTGAGAACAGTGAAAGAAGGAAAACACAGCTTAATATAAGAAATTTCATGACTCCTTTCTAGTATACCTTCTGTAATATTGTCTGCGCTAAGCGGAAATGATTTAAGATCTGTCAGAACTTGTCTTTGTCGTTTGTCACCTGACCTGTCTACCATCCATGCTGTTGTCGGGCTTTTAAAGACGATGATGTAGCTCAGGGGTCTCCAAACTTTACAGCCAGAGGGCCACATGAACTTTCATCCAGCATGTTGAGGGCCGAAGAATATAAAAAATTTCCACGTTATCCTTCAGCTTTTTAAATTTCGCAATGTGCTTGAAACAGAAGTAGGAAGTTGGGACAAAAATTGACGTAAGCCACTCTTGCAAGTTGGCTTGCATCATAACGTGAACTTTCTGCACAAAGTTTATTTTGTTTATATTTTTTCTTAAGTGCCTCTGCGGGCCGGATTGAGAGGCCCGACGGGCCGCATCTGGCCCGCGGGCCGTAGTTTGAGACCCCTGATGTAGCTAATTCCTCAAAACAAAAAAAAATTCACATTTCTACGAAAACACTTTTTTTTGAAGAAAACTCTCAATAGAATCGTTTCATCAGAAATCGACAGGAAGTATTGACGGGGGGTTTTATCAAAGAATTGTTATATTATTCAAGAGCAATGGCGTAACTTGAACGTTAGTTTGGGGGGTGCATATTCATATATTCCGTTGTGCCCTACTTATTTCTTTTGAAAGTAATTTGAATTTCAAAAGAAATTAGTAGGGCACAACTGAATATATGAATATGCACCCCCTCAATAACGTTCTGGTTACGCTTTTGTTCAAGAGTATGCGAGCGTATGTCTAACTTGTTCAGCAAGTCGCTATGAAAGATGGAAACGTGGCTGTCGTTCAAAAACAAACATGGCGGGATGGATTTGAAAACTAAAGTGAAACTGTGAAAGTACAGAGTAAAAGTTTTAACGTCTTGAAACATCTATCAACAGTGTTGAAGGCTCTTATGACTTTTCTTTCACCACGAAAACATCATATTTTTATGAAAAGAAAAATTTTGATAATATACTAGGCTTTTTACTTAAAATACTATGGCGTCCTACGCAAATCCAAACGACATTTTGCAAAATAATTAATATTTCATTGTTTGTGTTGTTGTGGTACTGTGGCGATTCACATGGCTGAATCAGAGCGAGAGTCGAATGGATCTTTTGTTGGAGTTAATGATTTTGATAGGAAACAGAAATGGAAGAGGGAGAACAGGAAAGATGATCAGACAAGGTATTCACATTGACATTATGAATTAAATAGTAAAATCAAAAATGTTATTTTCTATAAACCATACATCAAATTATTAATCAACGGGTGAATTGTTTCAGTCGCTTTATTATTCAACGTGGTGAATCAAGAAAACGGAAATCATTGGTGAACTTTATGATTGAAAACATTTTCTGGGGTCTTCCCTTAGATCAGAAGACATTTGCAGGTTGGTGTATTAACTGTAGTTAAGGTTGCCTTGATGGCAGGCCTGAGTAGAGTACTTCCTGGTAGCAACACTGTTGGATATTTTCTAGCCCTCGTAAAACAGATGAATTACAATATTTAATTTTATTTTAAATTCAAGATCATTGTGTTTCTAGCTAAATTTCATTTGACTTATAAGTTTGTGAAAACGGAATGCAAAATTGTTAGAAATATCCTTCATGAACATTGTTTTAAAGAGGTACATATTTCTTCTCTCCATGCTGATATTTATTTCATTTTAGAAAAGCAAAATTAATAGAAAGTGTTTGTTCATTTAGGTTCATGAAAGCAGTTCAGATTTCAATCTTATGTGGACAGGCTCACATCTTAAGCTTCACTCGTTACAAGCCCTACAACAGTTTCAGAAAGTTAATCATTTTCCTCGTTCATATGAGCTTACCAGAAAGGATAAACTTTACCAGAACATTCAAAAAATGCAAAGTAGCAAGGTATCCAAATGAAAATTAAATATGATTATGCCACTCTGTCACCACTTTAATTGTATTGGATTTTTTTATATAGGGTTATAAGAATTTTGATTTTATTCCTGAAGCATTTGTTAGTCCTATGGAATACAATCAATTTTGTGGTTGGTTATTTCTCATAATCTTGGCCGTTTTTCCTTACTTTAAAGATATTATTTTTATACCATCCTGTTAAATCTTTCAGCATCATTCTCCAAACAGAGAGGATTATGGATTGTTAAACCAGTGGCTTCATCCCGAGGTCGTGGAATATTTCTCATAAACCATGTAATTATTTTCCTAATTGGTATGACAAGGTGCTTGCAGACATTTTATGACATCTTTGTGATACTTGCTGTTGTCTTGTGACATCTGATGTTAACTTGGGATACCTGATGTTAACTTGTCATAGTGCTAGTGCAGTCATAGTGCTAATGCAGTTTTAGTGCTAGTGCAGTTTTAGTGCTAGTACAGTCATAGTGCTAGTGCAGTCATAGTGCTAGTGCAGTTATAGTGCTAGTGCAGTCATAGCGCTAGTGCAGTCATAGTGCTAATGCAGTTTTAGTGCTAGTGCAGTTTTAGTGCTAGTACAGTCATAGTGCTAGTGCAGTTATAGTGCTAGTGCAGTTATAGTGCTAATGCAGTTTTAGTGCTAGTCATAGTGCTAGTGCAGTCATAGTGCTAGTGCAGTTTTAGTGCTAGTGCAGTCATAGTGCTAGTACAGTCATAGTGCTAGTGCGGTTGGTGCTAGTACGGTCATAGTGCAAGTGCAGTCATAGTGCTGGTGCGGTTTTGGTGCTAGGTGCTAGTACGGTCATAGTGCTAGTGCGGTTTTAGTGCTAGTGCAGTCATAGTGCTAGTGCAGTTTTAGTGCTAGTGCAGTCATAGTGCTAGTGCAGTTTTAGTGCTAGTGCAGTCATAGTGCTGGTCATCAGTGCTAGTCAGTGCTGGTACAGTTTTAGTGCTAGTACGGTCATAGTGCTGGTACAGTTTTAGTGCTAGTGCAGTCATAGTGCTAGTGCAGTGCTAGTGCGTCATAGTGCTAGTACAGGTCATAGTGCTAGTGGTGCGGTTTTAGTGCCAGTACAGTCATAGTGCTAGTACCATAGTGTTAGTGCAGTCATAGTGCTAGTGCAGTCATAGTGCTAGTGCAGTTTAGTGCTAGTGCGGTTTTAGTGCTGGCAGTCATAGTGCTAGTGCAGTTTAGTGCTAGTGGTCATAGTGCTAGTGCAGTCATAGTGCTAGTGCAGTTTAGTGCTAGTGCAGTCATAGTGCTAGTGCAGTCATAGTGCTAGGGCAGTCATAGTGCTAATGCAGTTATAGTGCTAGTGCAGTTTAGTGCTAGTGCAGTTTTAGTGCTAGTAGTCATAGTGCTAGTGCAGTTTTAGTGCTAGTACAGTCATAGTGCTAGTGCAGTCATTATGCTAGGGCAGTCATAGTGCTAATGCAGTTATAGTGCTAGTGCAGTTTTAGTGCTAGTGCAGTTTTAGTGCTAGTAAAGTCATAGTGCTAGTACAGTTTTAGTGCTAGTACAGTCATAGTGCTAGTACAGTTTTAGTGCTAGTGCAGTCATAGTGCTAATGCAGTCATAGCGCTAGTGCAGTCATTATGCTAATGCAGTTATAGTGCTAATGCAGTCATAGCGCTAGTGCAATCATTATGCTAGTGCAGTCATAGTGCTAATGCAGTCATAGTGCTAATGCAGTTATAGTGCTAATGCAGTCATAGTACTAATGCAGTCATAGTGCTAATAAAATCGTTTGTTTTTTTATAGCCAAGTCAAATTCCCTTGGATGATACATTATTGGTATCAAAATACATTTTGAATCCATTGCTAGTTGATGGTTTCAAATTTGATTTGCGTCTCTACGTTGGAGTAACATCTTTTGATCCTTTACGTATCTATCTGTACGAAGAAGGATTGACCAGGTACTAAAGCGATGCATATGGATTGATGCTCATACTGCACATACTATGTAGTCAAAAGTACCTGTTTTTCAAAGCTTTGATTGATGCCCTTTATCTTTTCGTTGATGAACAACAACTGGGAATAAGAAGATTTTTCTTTTTTTAGATTTGCGACCGTAAAATATGATCAAAGTCACCGTAATATTAAAAACTCCTGCATTCATTTGACAAATTATAGCGTGAATAAGAAGAATGATGATTACGTAAGGTATGTTATACTTGTTTATAACTGTTGTCTGTTGTCACGTGTTGTTACGTCATGTTTTACCACATTATTCAGTCGTCTTTCACACGTAGTTATGCCATGTTTTACACATATTGCTATTTTACTGTCTCTTTCGTATGTAGTTACGTCACGTTTTACACATATCATTACCATTCTGATTTCTGTAGTTGTAACGACCCTCATGTTGAAGATTACGGTAATAAATGGAGTTTTGGCGCCTTGTTAAGATTTCTCAAAGCAAAAGGCATCGATACGTCAAGTAAGAATATGTAAAATTAATCTTGGATAATTAACCTTCTCTTCACATATAGCTATTACGTACTTATGTTAAAGGTCTTGTTGCAAAGATTGAAGATTTAATCATCAAGACAATCATTTGTGGTGAACTTGCCATCGCAACTGCTTGTAAAATGTTTGTACCACATTGTGGAAATTGTTTTGGTATGTAGAGGAAATGTCTGGTTGAATGTCTTTAAAAAATTTTCATCCTATATTTTATTTCATTTCTACTTAATTACTACTTAGTTAAGAAAGAATTGTTTGAGAATTTTTGCGCAATTGAATAGTCAACAATTTTAGTTTTGTTTAACGGAACATTGTAGTGATCATTTGGATATTTGAATGCAATGGAATGGTCGACATTTTTGGTTTCATTTAAACTTGACACTGTTTGTGCATATTTGTTAAAATACTGCGGATTTTTTAGAGATTTATGGATTTGATGTTTTGATTGACGATAATCTAAAACCATGGTTAATGGAAGTAAATTTATCGCCATCCATGGCTTGGTAAGAAAAACGTGATAAAACTGTACATCTTGTGGATTTCATTCAGCTCATTTCATCTTGTGGATTTCTTTCAGCTCAACTCATCTTGTGGATTTCTTTCAGCTCAACTCATCTTGTGGATTTCTTTCAGCTCAACTCATCTTGTGGATTTCATTCAGCTCATTTCATCTTGTGGATTTCTTTCAGCTCATTTCATCTTGTGGATTTCTTTCAGTTCAACTCATCTTGTGGATTTCTTTCAGTTCAACTCATCTTGTGGATTTCTTTCAGCTCAACTCATCTTGTGGATTTCTTTCAGCTCAACTCATCTTGTGGATTTCTTTCAGTTCAACTCATCTTGTGGATTTCTTTTAGTTCAACTCATCTTGTGGATTTCTTTCAGCTCAACTCATCTTGTGGATTTCTTTCAGCTCAACTCATCTTGTGGATTTCTTTCAGCTCAACTCATCTTGTGGATTTCTTTCAGCTCAACTCATCTTGTGGATTTCTTTCAGCTCGACTCATCTTGTGGATTTCTTTCAGTTCAACTCATCTTATGGATTTCTTTCAGCTCAACTCATCTTGTGGATTTCTTTCAGCTCAACTCATCTCGTGGATTTCTTTCAGCTCAACTCCTATTGGATTTTTATATATTTCTATTATTCCATATTTTACAGCGATTCTCCTATGGATTTGAAAATAAAATCGAACCTATTGACAGATATGTTTAATTTGACAGGTATCGATTAACGATGATAATGCTTTAACAATTTTGAAGTAGACTATTGGGGTAATTGAGTAAGGTTGTGTTGATGTATGGATAATAATGTTCAATGAAAGCTATGTTTATTTAGGCTTTATTGTTCATGATCCATTGTTGAGAAAAACTACAAGTCAACAAAATTATCCATTACAAGTTCGTATGTCTTATTACGTCATCATCATGATTTCATTACGTCATTGTTAGTTTTCACAAATCTATTTAGAGACAGAGATGTCGTTCTGCTGGGTTAGCACGAACCCTTTCAACTAACGAGAAGAAACTGACCACAGTTGATAGTGAACGTGGGCTCACTACCGAGGAAATTCGTGTGCTTCGAGATACTAAAGATGAGTTTTCAAGACGTGGACATTTTGTGAGAATATTTCCTACACCGACATCACGTGAGAGATACGGGTATGTGTGCCCCTCGCCCCTGTAGAATTGGTTACCTTCTTTAAATCAGGGGGTGGTGGTAAATAATGTATCATAATACGAACGCCATGTTTGTTTTTGCAGTGCTTTTCTGGAGTTTCGAACGACGAATAACCGCATGCTTTTTGCAAGACTGTTTCTCCACAAGTAATATTATGAAATTTATCACGATCAAGAATTCAACATCAGTTTTATTGTTTTTTCTATAAATATTCGTGATGTCATCTCAATATTTATAGATCTGCACCAATGATAACTTTTAATGACGACGACAAACCTTCAATGGTGTTTACTTTCTCGCAAACTTTTGACGAAAGAATGAAATGTTACCTTAGACAATTGCCTTCACTGGTCTGTGTTTCTGTGGTTTTTCTTAAATTTTCATCGTTGTTGCAATGATTTTTATGTTTTGATTCTTACAAATTATCGTGACACCTAAATGGTTCCCCAGTTCATGGTTTACTTTCACATTTCCAGGAGATGTCATCTCCTAAAGCTGTTGTGAGAGAAAAGATCAATGATGAATGTAATGTTTTTTTAAATGATTGGGTTGAACAATGCCTAAACATTGATATGAATGTAGTTAATAGGGATGTCGTTCATAGAGTGTGGTGTGATATATGTATGCTAAAGTTTGGGATGTTTTTGATGGGGATGTAGTTGATGGGGATATTTTTGGTGAGGATATTGTTGATGGGGATGTAGTTGATGGGGATATTTTTGGTGGATATGTTGTTGATGGGGATATAGTTGATGGGATGTTATTGATGGGGATATTTTTGGTGAGGATATTGTTGATGGGGATATTTTTGGTGGATATGTTGTTGATGGGATGTTATTGATGGCGATATTGATATTGTTGATGGGGATGTTTTCGATGAGGACTGTTGTTGACAGGGATATTGTTGATGGGGGTGTTTATTTTCATATTATTTTTCCATAAAGCCAATTTTTATCATTTCTCAACTTCAGCGATCATCCAGACAAGACAACCAGCAACATCAACTCAAAATGAGATGAAAAATCGCCATGTTGAAACTGTGCTAACTCATGAGACCATGATTAATAACTCTGATCTCATGAACCATCCAGTTATCAATGTCAATAACGTCATCAAAATGGCTTGTAATCTCAGGTTAGTTTTTCTACAGACAGCGTTAACAAAGCACCTGCCTTCATGAAGTATCAAGTTATCAATGTTGATGACATCATAAGAATGGCTGGCGATCTTATCTTGGTTTTTGTAAAGACAAGGTTGTCTGTAATATCAATATTTGAGGATTTTGTTTTGTTTTCAGCAAATTAGAAGCACGAAAGACATTTGCGACTTATCTGAGACGCGTGAAAGACAGACTTGTTAAAGAAGTAACGTATGTCGACACTACAGTCTACATAACCATAGGACTGTCGATCTTTTGAAATAATAATTTGAATTATTATGTTGAATGTAGCTTTATTAAAGAAAAGAATGGTGATGAAGATGAAAAGAAAAGCAACGAACAAATGGTTAGTTGGTTGATCCATTTTTACTCCTGAAGATACCTAGCTACGTGTCTATGAGAATCAGTTGATCCATTTTTACTCCTGAAGATACCTAGCTACGTGTCTGTGAAAATCAGTTGATCCATTTTTACTCCTGAAGTTACCTAGCTACGTGTCTGTGAGAATCAGTTGATCCATTTTTACTCCTGAAGATACCTAGCTACGTGTCTGTGAGAATCAGTTGATCCATTTTTACTCCTGAAGATACCTAGCTATGTGTCTGTGAGAATCATTATTATCTCATGAAGTACCGAAGATACGACGTTTGCTGTCTTACATGATTGACGTTTTTTCCAGAGTTTAGTCATTCGTTTCTTGAAAAGAGCGGCAAAAAATCTTCATCACGAATTCAAAGTTATTGTTCCTAGTCACAAGCTTGCACTGCCTGACAGGTGTGTTTTTTCAAGTATATATAACAAACAATAAAATTATTATTTCATGTAAGTCAAGAGTAAGTATAGTTTTTATAATCATGTAAGTATGTTTGATCTTTGAAGTCGTTAGTGAGCATAATGAAGTACATTGCAAATGTGCAGTTTATAAGCTAAAAGGTGAATAAATTTATTTAGATCAGTTTTCTACAGAAATTGATTCAAACTTTCATATCATAAGGGTTAAAAGCGGGGCTCAATTTAGACTATACAAATGGCCTAACTTATTAAATGTTGTCATTGTAAAAACTATAAAATCTATAGACAAGAAAAGCAGATAATCCTTGTTTGTCTTAAAGCTAATACACGGTTTGCTCATGATATACGAAACAGTATATGAGAAGAGTCAAAACGTGAATGATACATACCAATCAAAAATATATAAAACTTGTTGAAGGTTGACATAAATTTTAAAGTAATAGTTTTTTTGAATCTTTGCAGTATCCTGATTCCTATTATAGAGTATTTTAAAACTATAAAGTAGTGTAGCGTAAACACCGTTATACCAAAATATTTTCTATGCAATTTAAGGCGGAGAATCCTGGCGCAACAGTTGGGTGATTTTGTTCACATTTATGATAAGGTACAATGAGAATTGTTCAACTTTCCAAAACGTAGAAACGACAGGTTTTATTTATTTATTTTTGAATTGAAAATTGTAGTCACTTATACAAATTTATATAATTTGTCTCATTAGTGAATGATAAGGCTAAATAGTTTGATCTTGGTAAAGATATTCACGACGTTAACATGTTTAACTTTTAAGCCTTAATGCAGTGAAAATTACCAAGTGTTTAGGATTACAGTGACTTGAAGCAATTCAATTACATGAAAAAATGTTTGAAAATCAATTGAAAATTGTGACTGTTGAACTATTTCATTAGAGTTTAATGTGACGACAAATAATTTAGATAAGTTTAATAAAAAATCTCTAAAAAAATACTAATGAAAAGAAAATTCTGAGTTCAGGAAACAGCTCAAATGAAGGAGACTAGTGAAGTAAACGAATCAAGTTCCCTTTCCAGCGAAGATTTTAACTTATTTCTTAAACATGCCAGGTAAATGGCGTTTGATTTCGGAAGAAGAATACCATTTTTGAACTGAATAAATTTTATTGTGGTTTATTTGTTAGTGAGAATGAGCTCGAGGAGGTTTTGACTTTATATACCAAAGAAAACAAGAACACCAGTATTTTTCTTGGAAATCCTCCAAGTCAGACCACTGTTTCTCAGTGTAAAGCAAACAAACCTCCTGTACCGCGGTTTCTAGAAGGCAAACGTTTGAGAAGGTGGATATAATAATAAAAATATGTATTTATATGAATGTCAAACAACACTGACCTGTTATAGCACTAGATAATAATATGATACCTTAAGAAATTATTGATAATTGTATTTGGTATAAATAATATTTGTGCAACACAGTCAAAACCATCCCAAATTTTGAGCATTTTTTGTGTAATTTTTAGTCATAGTGCTCATGATTTATCAAAATCAAATTGCGAAGAAACAGAGAAGAAGAAGTTATTCAACACCCGTGTTTTGTCCGAACACAATCGCCGTCTTGCTGGTGCCATTGCCGCTTACGGGAAGTCGTTAAACGTCAACAAAAGCAAGAGAAGGCCTACATCCGCTGTCCTGTCTGATCGCAGTATGTTGACTAACGTTCATATTTTGAATAGTGTGTTTTCAGACTCAGCCGTTTCATCGTTTTTAGAGCAAATATCGAGTGCTTTACTAAATCGCCCTGGATCAGCGAAAAGTTCTGAAACAATGGCTTTTGGTAAAAAGATCTTTATTCTACATTATCTTTATTTCAAATCGTGACTGCTAATACTTATCGTTATTAGAACATCTTGCCATTAAGCAGCCAGTTTCTGAAGCTTTGAAACAACTCGCAAGACGTCAGGCAGAGCGACAGTATCACGCTAAACGTCCTTTGAAAATTGAAACGAACAAGTGGATGCAGCAACCAGTAGAAAATACAGATCATTCCGCTGATAGTGGGGATAACGTGAGATGTGATGGTGTGATTGAGGAAAGCGAAAGAACGCCGATTTCTTATCTTTCCTCACGGGACAATGCAAACTTTATAACTAACCAAGAAACTCCAGGACATACGAGTACATATGGCAATGTTTCGAGATACACTGCCGGTAGTTGTATCGGTGACGGAACTCTTAACGTTGACAAAACGTACAACGATGTACTTGAAAAAGAACTTCAAATTTCATCCATGCCAACACATTTTAGAGAGATCATTAATGATATATCCTACAGGAAATATCCAACCCTGACTCAAGGGATACCTGTGGATAGGCAGATCTTTGAAATTGATCAAGGTAGTCATTCAAAGACTATAAGGATCCCGTGCGGTGGTGATGATAAATCAGAGAGAACTTCAAGTGCAAAGATGGATAGAATAGGATCGCCTAGAGAAGAATACAACAAACATATGCAGTTATTGATTGAAAGGCTAGCTGCGCAAAAATTCAATAAGACCGGTGACCAGTCGGTTGTTCCCAAACCTCCATCTAGACCACGGTCAGCTAAAAGATCTATGAGTTCTCACAGGATGACACGGTAGGGACACGTAGGAACTCTTTGTACTTATTTATAAAAATCTTGGGATCAAGTTTTAATTGATTAATTTGATGTTATATGTGTATTTAAAGGATTTTGTCCAGTCATGGCTCTCGGGTTTGACAAATGCGATTTGAAAGACGTGGGGGAAATAACATGAAAATCACCGCAATATTTTTGGTGGCTTGTATCCTTCCAAACTTCCTTCTTTTTGTTTTCACCAAAGCAGTTTTGCCAAACAGTTTCAAAACTGAAGGTTTGCTATCTTCTGACCAACAAATGACAAGTCGATACTGTCTGTACATGTAATGTAACTTCTGTAGATGAAGACAGTGGTACATGAAAACAGTGGCGAAGTCAGTCTGATCTTTTACTCATACGATGCAAATTTTTCAGCAAAATTATTTTTCATTTCTTTAGAAAATTAATTCCATTCATTGTTTTTCCAATGATTGAACACAAAAATATTTGCACTGTTGGAGTAAAAAACGAGCTGGCTTCGCTACTGCATCAAACTAAAATACATTGAACGGTACCTGCAATAGAAATGTTTACCGAATTTTTAAAACTCGGACACGCATGTTCGTACACCCTTACACGCGTGTTTTTACACCCAGACACACGTGTTCTTACACCCTAACACGCGGTTTTTTACGGGGAAACACACGAAAATTTAAAATTGTAATCAAAATTATCGGCTATCGGATAATTGTGATTTTGATAATAATTATCGGATAACTCTCTTCAAAACATCAAAGTAAATAAAACGTGAGTTATTTCGCCTGATAGTTGAGCACATTAAAATTTTAAAATATTGTTCTTCTTATTGTTGTTCTTCCCTCTTGCTGACTTCTCGTGTTTCTTTTCCTTTGAAATCGTTGAAACATTTTTACAATATGAAATAAAATAATCATAAAGAAAACATCGAAATTCATTTTTTCTTCAAAGTACTGTTAACCATCATGCAAGTCATACAAGGAACATTTTTAGTGACAAAATCAAAATACATCTATACACTTTAGTCTGTCTTCAACAAAGAATATCTATTTTTTTCATCACAAAGCAAGCGGCATTATTATTTCTTTAACATACGTCCTAATTCAAATCATCGATAATTTTTTCCCGATTGTTTACTAAATGGTTCATTTATTACTTCGAGAAAATTAATTTCATTACAAAAACAAACTTGACTAAAAAATCTCCACTCGCGTTACACAACCATTACATAGACCTGTATAACTGGACGTTTTAGTCTTAACGGGAGATGCTTTCCTTCTTTACACATGATACTATACTATCACATAACTTTCTCGTTTTTCACAAACAATTGCAAAGCTTTCCGTCACATACCAATTTTAAATCTTAGTAATATTCTGTAATGTATATATCACAGAGTTTTGCTTAACATATTTAAGCTTTGCTCAAGCTTTCTACATTCCTTTCAAACGCTGTAGTTTATTTCTTGCGCGACAAGTTAAACAGCAAAGTTTTTGATAATATGGTCTATCACAGTAGCCATCAATTTTACCAATCATTGCGCACGACTCCAGTGTACTGTCTTCGCAGTTTCCATTAAGAAGATCATGCATTCGAGTTTTCTCATCTACAAAGAGCAGGATTTCAGGATAGCGTGACTTCAACTGCTATATTGATATTATTTAAAACTTTGTTTGTCAAGTGAAAGCTTAGTGCAATTCTGCGTTGTTCATGTGACAAACACGTTCTTTTTAGTCATACCTGGCATGACGTCAAGCATCATGTGAGCTACTCGCTCTCCATTCTTATTCGTTGCTTTGCAATAATAGTTGCCATGATCCTCTATTGTGGTTTTCCTAATGTATATTTTAGTTGACGTTACACGTATTTTTGAGGATATCTGTAAAGGCAGGGGTACACCATTTTTGTACCATTGTAGCGTAGGTCGTGGTCTACCTCTTGCTGTGCAATTAATTGTTGCTTTTCCCCCTTGTTTCACAGTGTATCCCTTTGATATTGTAACTTGAGGAGGAGCTGACGTAAATCAATAACAAGACACATTAGTACATTGAAGTGCACTAGGGTATGTTGAAGATGAATTGGACTGAGAAAAATCATACAAGTTGTCAAACCACGCAAAATATATTAAAACATTGAAATCACCGCATGATATTAAAGTGCAGTTGGGTATGCAGTTGGGTATGTTGAGGATGGTTAGTTGACATGATAGTATACTTACTTGAAACGCTGAGATAGGCTGCTTGAGATCTTCTCGAGATAATGTTGTTTGCTACACATGTATAAAGGTCTTCGTCTACTTCTTGTACTTGACTGATCTTTAAAGTTCCATTAGGAAATACTTTAAACCTTTGCCCGAACACCGAGACATCAAGATTACCTTTAAGCCAAAAGATTTCCGGTTTTGGGTTGCCTGTAGCGACGCACGGCATGGTGATGTCCCTTCCCGCTACGGTTTCTGGAAATATTTTTCGGAGAAATTAATTGTTTGCTCAAGAACTCATCGCCTACAGACATAAAATGCGAGCCTGCGATAAAACCGATGTACCATTTCACAGTCCGCTATATTACATTAAATAATTTATGGTCAATCTTACCCGAGCTCTCTGGTCCAATAACTATTTTAGCAAGCTTAGACATTCCAGCGACATTGTTCTCGTCGTTGATTTGTGGAAAAAGAAATGTAGATAACCTCTTCGTAGTTGGCTTGCTTGTTTGTGTTACTGTCGTTTGTGTTGTTGCTCGTGTTGCTTTAGTCGTTACTTCAGTTATTGCCTTGATTTTTGTTGCCTTAGTTGTTGCCAGTGTATTTTTGATGTCTGAGAGATCTTCTTTTCTTGATACGATCGTAACAACATTTGGTCTTGTTGTAAGCAGGGGTGCCTGTGTAGTTACTTGTGTTGTTGTTCCTCTCGTTGCTCTTGGTGTTGTAACGGTTAAAATTGGCCGTGTTACTGTTGATTTTTGTCTCGTTTCCCTCGGCTCTGAAAAACATAAAACTTGCTAAAGTCCACGTGAACTGTGTAGTGCTTCATAAGTCAGGACTCACTCTATAAAACGTACCATTTGGGCAATCTATCAAGTTACAGATATCTTCAGTGGGAGGTTTCAACTTCGGATCGCAAGACTTTCTCGTCTTGTCTTCTTCGTTGTCAGCGTAACATTTCACTTCACGAAGTCTTTTACCTGACCCACATGTTGATGAACACTGTAATTTAAAAAAAATTGAAGTAAAGAAAGCACTTGTGTTCTTGTAGGGTAAATAGCTTTCTGTTTTGCAGCAATCACGTGTTGGAGCTTTAAAAAAGCAGGTGTACAGCGGTATCAGTCTACCTGTTGCCAAGACAACGCGATCCACTGTGTGTAGCATGGTCTTATTATGCAGTATTGTGTTTTCTTCAGTAATGGGAGAAGGGTGCAGTTACCATTGGGAAGGATATTTAAAGTGTTGGTCGATTTTTTGACGCCACAAAAGACATTCCGCATTTGAATCCCTTTGCCACATTTTGCTGTACACTAAACACACATATATAACACTTATAACAATTGTTCTCTGGTAGAGCTGAGAGACAAACATTTTAAATAAACTACATTGCTTTACATCATAGACGAGTTTCGACAAATTTATGTCGTTCCCGGCACTTTTTGAGTGATTTAATTATTTACCAATGAATATATACAGCGTTTATATATTTAGTCATTTGTAACTTATTAACTCGCTCATAATGTCGTGAGGGTGGCATAGGTTTGCCGAAACAAGTCTACAATTAAAAAGTCCTTTGTCCTTTAAAATTACCTTACTCCACATAGAGGCATACCACATGGGAGGACACGTCACTGAGCTGTTACATTGTTTCATATCATCGGGTTTATCATTTGGATTGCAAATATAATCAGGATACCTGCGACCTGGCTGTGATACACTGGCACAGTACACTGGTCTTGTTCTTATACCTTTCTCACACGACGGCTCACACTAGTAAAATAATTTGTGTATTAAATTTGATTACAGCACATTACAAGGTTTGATTATCATCTCTTCCCAATCTTCTATTTTCAATCACCATAGTATAAACTCACTTAATCACCTATCTTATGAACGCTCCTTTTCCTAATTTTCCGTAGTGTGAACTTACATCACCTCAATCAATCATTTTTAACTTACTTTTCCCCAATCTCCGGTGACCCAACGTACTTCACACGGTATTTCGTTGCATCTTTCCTGATCACGTGGTCTGCTATGCTCCGGACATCTGTCGTCACTTATAAGGTTATCGTTGATCTCCATACAATACACGGAACGTGAACGAATTCCTCCACCACAAGTCTTGGAACACTGATGGATTGAACATTAAACGATTAGATAACCGTTGATATAAAAGGATTTAAATCCCATCATCAATATCCAGCAAACGCGTCATTTGTAAGGCGAAATATCAGAATATATTCATTTCATACCTTTGACCAATTTCCCAATTTCCAATTTGGGCATTCAGGTAGCTCGACACATTTCCTCTGCGTTATGACCTTGGTACCTGAGCAGAGGTTCTCATTTACCATCTTTATTCCACTTTTTGTGTCCATTTCGCAGTGAACTCGTCTAACTTGTGTTCCTTCTTCACAACTTCTGCTACACGGCGACCACGAGCCAATAAACCATCTTAAAAGTTAAATAAAGTTTTTTAGATCTTTATGAAAGAATATGAGAGATTACAGAGACCCAGCTTACTCCTACCGTGGTGGACAATGCTGTGTATTACAGACTGTTTTGCTATCTGGTTTTATCGCAGGCTCACATTTCACGTCATCGACCGGTGACTTATCACGATCCTGTAGGCATTGGACGTCGCGTTTTTTTGTTCCTAAACGTAAGGAAAAAGAGAAACATATTCGTATCGCGTCGTTGGAAAGACTTTATTGGAGAGTAAAAGCAAATTTTGAATACCTCCATTGCAGCTTTTATCGCAAGGTCCGTATTTGCCAACTTTCCAAGAATATGTTATCATGCTGTCTATTTTTGTCTGAGATTTATGAACGGAGTATTCGTAAGTGATGGCAACATCTTTGGTCAATTGTAGCACCTGCAAACGCCAAGAAAATGATCAATCTCGATTCAAAAAGTTGTAGAATAAATTGTATTTTAAATGGAGTGTGTCTAATACCGCAAGGTAGAGAGATTCAGATGTTGGTCCAAGAACAAAAATGCTTTCTTTTCTGCCTTTTTTTCTGTAATCCACCAAACTTCCCGCAGCTTTGTATTTGTAAGAAGAACCTTTGATTCGACGGTTACCGTTAAAAATGTAGGAATCGTTCGTTCTCATTGCTTTAAAGACAACAAATGACCTCTTTACTCAGGATGTTTTCACTTACACATGTAAACATTGTAAAAAAGGCTGCGTTTAAATAATGAAACTTTGTATTAAGACAATGGATTTTTAATAAAGATAAACTGTTTATCACTATCATACCAAGGAAATTTTTCAAAGAAATTTCTTTTTCTGTGATAAGAATATTTGTGGCTCCCTTGGGTAACTCGAGAATATCGTGATAACCTACAAGAGATGCAACGATGCATTCTATTTTAATAATCTATGTTCATGTATTTTCCAAATAAAGAAACGTCTTACCTCCTATTCCTTTCAACTGTTTTATGTATTCATTCTTGACTGTTCGACAGTTCTGCCCTTTACCATTACACACTCGACATTTGTCTTCTTTCAATTCTGATCCAAGGATTAAGTCACAACCGGCTTTCTGTGAAAAAAAGAAGACTGTGGATTGAATTGCTGGCTTCAAATTTCGGCAGGAGGTATCCTTATAGTTGTATTTACTTCAATTGTTCGTTCACGAATAAATTATTATTTACCTTGCATTCACCTTCTACACACATGTCATGGGAGTATGTAGAGCAACGAGTACCATCAACAACTTTCTCTTTAAAGGATTTATAGAAGAAAGCATTTTTCGGCATGCAACTCAGAGAACAGGGATTGTCCAGTGGACCTAATAATAATCATAAGATAAAAATATCTGATCAGTTGCAAATAGTCATTACATATTCTTAGGAAAGGAAAATGAATCCAATACCAGAGTACGGAACCCATTCGTAGGTTTCGTTTCTGAACGTTATGGAGTTATACGAAGCGCATTGCTCAGCCCGAAAGTCAGCATTTTTATCAGGACAATCCTAGAAATTGCCAACAGTATTTTTGTGATTCCTGTATATTTGTTAGTTGAATCCTTGTTAGAGGTTATTACCTGAATGTTACACGTTTTAAAAAGTGTCGCTTCTCCTTCGCACTTTCTAAATAGTAGATTTTTCGTCTTGTCTTTAAGACACTTCATTGGCTATGTGTAATTATCACGTGACTTACCCTTTCAAACAAATACGTTGTTGACGGGTTATTCCACCTCCACATGACCGTGAGCATGGCGACCATTCGTTATCTTTGCTCCAGTCTCCCTAAAAATGAACACAATCAAACAATGACTATTAGCTCCATTAGTAATTACATGATAATAAAAATTACTTTTTATACTTCATTCGCGTTTGAACGCTCTGCGCGTTTCAGTTAAACTTGAATTTTCAAAAAAAAATAATCACTCGGTCCAGGCCTTTTAGTCAAGCATTGTCTTACTTTGATTAAGAAAAACATATGATAAACTGTCAAAATCAACAAATTTCCTGTCATTATTTAAACAAGTGTTTATTTTAATGAACAAAGCGTACAAAGTCATCAAAAGTTTATTTGACATTTGACGCACAATGTGGGTGTCAATATTGACTGAGAAAATGACCGGAACTTGTTTTTTCTTGAAAACATTATGTTATTTTTATCTGCAAACCATATATCTGCTACTACTATCAGTAGGGTAGCCAGCCCGCATATCTGCTACTACTACCAGTAGGGTAGCCAGCCCGCATGTTTGGTCATGCTGTCATTGATTTATTTCTATCGAAATGTATTGCTTTTTACAGTTAGTGAACACCAAATTATTTACATGGTACGACCAAACTACGAGCTGGCTACGCCATTGTGTCGAGAGTTTGATTTTATCTGCCCGGATTTTGTTTGTAAAGTGTGCGTAACTGTCTTTGCAGTTTACCAACGTTGAATCCGTGAAAGATCTCCAGGTTTACTGTGAAACAAATCATCGTAAAATTTATTCTTGTCTTCATGCGGAACTTCACGTATTTTTTAGCAATCATAAAGATTTGATCTGTTGTAATACCGGATTACGTGTCAAGAAAAATCGTTTTTATAATACTCTTACTCTGGATTGTTGTAATAACATCATCATTATATTTTCACTACCGTGCCGGAAATTATGTCATTTCAACGCAGACATGTAGCCTGCCCACAGTGAAATTTAATTTAAAAAGTATAAAATTGTTTCGACATTTTTTAAATTCTGTGAAGACTGTTTGCCGGTCCTCCCATCTCATGTTATAGTCGTCAAATCAACTTTTTGTTATTTTAAACGTGGGGTAGGCCCTTAGCTATCACCGCAGGTTATAATCCTCTTTTCGTCTCCTTCTGAGAACATTCCAAGTATCAAATGGTACAAAGCTTTAATTATACACTCTTTCTTTCTTTCAAAGCCACGAGATCTCTGGTAGTTAGAGCGCGAAAACTACATCATTGATATGATCTTCATGTTTTTAAAGAACTAGTGAACAAAAGTCATAGGGTTAGTGCTACACTTGAGCAAAGATTTCCCCTGAAATATCATTGGCTTCATTGCGTGATATTTCGAATTTTCAATTACGCGCCAGGTAGAAAAATTTTACTTGTAATTTTCTTTGGTGTTTCTAAGTGCAACGTTATTGAATTCCAAAGAACGTTATTAACGTGATTAAAGTATCAACTACTCCTGTTTGTTTGTTTATGCTTAGATTATTGAAATTAATGACGACCATTACAGATATTCTCTCGCGATCTTGTTGTTCTCATCGTGAGTGTTAAAAAGACGAAGTTGAATTTAAGTCCATTAAAATATCTTTGTGGAAATTTTGAAAGTCGACGTTGAAAACCATTACGATGGTCATCATGTCGCATTTTTTAGATCGTTTACATAATTTGCGCGTCAAACACATTGATTTGTAGTAAATTGAATTTGTCGCCGAGACTTGGGGGCAGATTTTTTTATAAATGAAGCAATACGTTGAATTTCTAAACTATTCCCTTTTTACATTTGTATTTATTCATGACCAAGCTAAAGTTTGTGATTATTCCAGCTGTTTACAGCCTAGAGTGATTATATTTCTCACATTTGATGACATCTTAAATTGCTCAATTTTTCCTGCCTTTTTTAGAGCAATATATTGTTAATTTTTTAGAAGTATTGTTGACACATTAGCCATTGTTGAGGCATCATTTAAAATTGTATGTATTCAGTTACATGGCTGAGTTCATTTACTTCCTTATGTTGTGAAGAAAAACAAAACACGATTTCATAAACTTTATCTTTCATTAGATAAAGTATTCAATCAAACAGTCCTCGGTTTGTCTCGCATTTTTGATGATTCAAGTGTGGTTTGGCGCCATGGAACGGCATGTTTTGTGTCTTATAATAAGCTGTGCTTTATTGAGATGTAATCATTTCGTTCTCACTTATGCAAATTTGTTTTATTGTGTCATAAACAGCAAGTGAACATGAAACATCTTGGCAAATAATCACTTAATGTATATAAGGTCATTCGTGATAAGCACATCAGAGATCAGACCAACTTTTCATCGATGAAACTTTGATACCGCTTTTTATAAACCTTCAACGTTATTTAGTATTTCGGTGTCGAAATTTTAACAGTCTTATGACTGCTATACACTTGACTTAATCCTTCTTTCATTAACAGTTTGTACCTGCCTCTTTGTCAGATTATATTTTTGATGGAAAAAATTGTTGCACAACATACAGCTATTTAATATGGCGCTCACATCAAAATTTAGGACTAACCAAAAATCATTTTGATAATAGTCATTAAACTTGTATTTACTTAAATTAGCCATAAAGTCGTGTAAAATATTATATAACTTATGTATTGTATGTTCGACGCTAATTATGCAAATATATTATAATTTTGTTTCTCCTTCCGTGGTCTGTTTCTTTGGTGAATGTGCACATTTGCTTATGGGCGTGAGTTTTCGTGCTATATTGCGAAACGTGTTGATGTAACCAATAGCTGCGCCTCACAAACACACAATCTTTTAATTGTGTACATAAAAGGGAGCAAAAATGCATATCTGTAAGGCACCTACCATGACATTGAAGACGCCAAGTACAATTAGCACTGTATGAAAGAATGTCTTCATCCTGGGAAACAACACATGTACATAATATTCGCGTTAGCAGAACGTATTCAATAACAAAGTGACATTACGAAGAAACTAAATTACTAGCTTTTAAAACCGCAGGGGCTTCAGTATTTTGACTAGCTGAAGCAACTAAAAAATTTTTGATTGGGCAATCTTGATGACAACCATGTCAAAACAACAGTTAATGGTTTAATATTCTGGCTATATTCAAGGCTAATTTTTGCCGATATGGTCTGCCCTTCACACGGAACGGTAATTTAATGGTGAAATAAACTATTAAAATCTGCTAAACTACCCTTTCCTACGATGGTCACGCTTACACACCTTATCTAGATTCCTTGCGTCATCTTTAAAGTCAGTTTACATGACTTACCTTACAATTGCAATTTCTTTTATCCGAAAGTATCAGAAATTTATTCCGAGCGGGATGCCTTCGTTTTCATAAACGCAAGATTGCCCAAACGCTTGGATCGAGAGGAAAGAATGGTCTCTCAGGAAAGCAGTGCAATGTAAACAATATATAGACGCATTGATTAAGTTACAATAAATAATAAGCTTTCATCGTTCCAATTCATTCAATCAATCATTGGCTACTGTGGCCCTTATTAACGACACTGCGTCAAATTCCTACATCAAATCGCAGAGATAACTGAAGCGCTTTCTTCCGCAACGCTCGATTTCATTTACACAATGACATAGCGCTCATGTCGAACGATTGTTGTAGGACGTTATATATTTAATTGGAACTTCCATGCAGAAAATGACAGTAAAACTATTTTTTTAATATGTTTAAAACCCAAGATCATAAATTATCGTTTCACTTGGCTCAAAACTCGTTCAAATTTTGTGACATTTTTAGATAGAACGCAAATTGTGCAAATTAACTACCCCGTGTTTTTAAGACATGTGCGTTAAATTATAAACGCGTTATCTTAACGGTGCCTCAACAATGTACAATAGTACATTTGTATTTGGGTGTGTTTTACAATCTTAGACAAATATAACGCATTGAAACGTTCTACCATGGCAATTGGTGTCTGGTGTAATTTGATTTGGATTGGCAAGCTAATATATCTCATACTGTAAAACACAAAGCAACATTGATGTCTGGCTTGTATTTACAATTGTCGTTTTGCACAGCATCACTGGTAATAGCTATTTATAGTCATCACATATGCCTTACAAATCATATACTTAATTCAGTAATAAAACACGAGCCATATCGTCTGAATGGGGCAATACGTTAAAGCAGGGCTTTAAAACTGCTCTTGTCGTTTCTTCAATTTTGCGTATCTCATTCATAACTTTCACCATTTTTTCAGATTCTTTTGCCTTTAAATGCAAGACTTCTATATGCTCTTTTCGTTTTTCATTTAATTTCTTCATAAAGGAGTCGCGTAATGCCTTCAATTCTTCCATGGAAAGTTTCTTCAAATCGTCGCGAAAAAATTCAGGTGTCTTCACATCTGACAGGCTACATGATAGCAAATTTCTAATAAGACGCGCGCTTTTTGATCTTCTTCTTATATCGTGCTGCAACAGTTTTTCGTCCAAAGAAATTTGACCAAAAACCGATAAAAACCTCTTGCAAATGGACACTTTGATAGTTCGAGTATCTAATTTCAATTTTGGCTTACAACTTCTACATCTTGGCTTAAACTTCACTTGACAATGTGTGTCATCGGCCGCCATTTCATTTATTTGCAATTACTATTTAGTGACGCAACGAAATGGGTTGAGACCTCGAGGTTGATAGTTTTTGAAGAACTTATCCTTGCGCTTTTGTATTTTTTTTAATCATCGCTCAAGTAGCTTTAATATGAAAGTGCAGTTTAGATATCATACTACGTTTGGCGATAATATTACAGTACAATAGAAACAATTAAAATTATTCTACATACAATAGAACGTTGTATTATTAGCAAATACAGTGGAAACTAAAGATTATATGGGGAAAAGGCTAAATCTTTTATCTTTGTGTCACTTGTTTTTGTGCTACGATCGAGAAAGAGAATGTCTCTTGTAAAATAAGGAGATGGAGTCTGTCAATAGAGCATTTAGGGATTGTTTTGGAAATATGAAATGAAGTGTGCTAATTTTTGGTAAAGGAGATTCCCAAAGTTATGAGACTACCCATATATGAAATGGTGGAGATTGAGATTCGGTGAGACAAAATTCATTAGAGTGTCGAGTCAACACTGATAACAGAACCTAATCATCCAGTTCTGAGTGACAATGTTGAATGGGGAACATAGAATGCAGACTTTTGTTGATTTTTCGGTGCCATGGGATACGAGTGTCATAGCAAAAAGAAAACTGTCATTTATCGATCTCTGGTACCTTCGACGGTGGGTTAATTGATGGTTTTTTTTAAAGTGTAGATGGCTACCTTAAAGTTCTAGGCGTTCCACATGTCAGACGTCTGAATTCCTGCTTTTTGAACACATATTTTTACTACACATGTTTCGCAGTCATGGTCATCATTCTTGTGTCAGTGATCATGTTGTAGGAATTATCAATGTATGGCATTATCAGTCTCAGTCTCCAATCAACACTCTCTATTAACAGAGACTGCAGTAATGGCGGAAGACTAAACGAATGTTTATTCTTGTTTAAGTCAAAGTTATGTGGTTATCTTTGATTAAGACCACAAGAAGTAAAAACAACTTTATTGGAAAGAAATTTTTGAACATTTTTAATGCTAAAACAGTTTCAACTTGGGGACAATTAACTAATGCGTTTGACGTTCGAAGTTCTCCGTTCATCTCACCGAAACGGACTGGACTGTTTGGAGTAAACGAACTTTACGAAAGCTCTGGTTTTCATGTTCTGACTGAGAGGGTGCTGAATGAATCACAGAAGATCATTGATGATGCTTTATTTATTGCAGATGAGATTAAATGTGGGAGAATGTCAGTTGTCAATTTAATAGAGACTTTTGATCACTTGTCTAACACAATATGTAATGTTGCCGACTTGGCAGAGTTCGTTCGGTTATCTCATCCAGATGAAGAATTTCGTTTGACGGCGTGTAGTGCAAGCCTTGAGATCAATAGCTTTGTTGAGAAATTGAATACTAATGTTACACTATACAATGCCTTAACGAGCTCGTTAGCTACTGAAGATGCCTCATTCCTGGACGAAGAAAGTAGAAGAGTTGCGGAATCATTAGTATTTGATTTTGAACAGAGTGGTATTCATTTAGATGAAATTAAAAGAAATAAGTTTGTGGAACTTCAGGACAATGTATTACGTCTTGGTAGTCAATTTGCAGCTGGTTGTTCATCTCCATCATTGTTTCCAAAAAAATTTTGGCCTAGTCATGTTGAGCACGAGTTTAAGAACGATGATGATTATATATTTATTGATGGTTTATGTTATGATTCCTCAAATGCCAAACTTAGAGAGATTGTTTATAAAGCTTATATGTATTCCAATCCTCAACAATTGGCTATCTTAGATGAATTATTACAAAACAGACATGATCTTGCAAGTCTTGTTGGTTTTCCATCTTTTTTGACTCGTGCATTACGTGGAACCATGGCAAGAGAACCTGAAAATGTTCACTCATTTTTGACTGCTATAACTGAAAACATTGGTGGCATTGTTCAAAAAGATATTGATATGTTAATGAATATTAAAGAAAGCAAAAGTTCTGATAGCTTTCCTGTTATGACTTGGGATACACAATACTACACAGGTTTAGCCAAATCTCAAGTGTTACAAAATTTTCTTGAAAGATTCAGCGTGTACTTCTCTCTGGGAACATGTATGGAAGGTCTAAATAAAATATTCCAAAGCATTTATGGCATTCAACTTGAGCCATCAGAACCTGAGTCGGGAGAAGTCTGGCATCCATCTGTTGTTAAACTCACAGTAAAGCATGAAGATGAGGGAATTCTGGGATATATTTACTGTGATCTCATGTATCGAAAGGACAAAGTCCAACAAGATTGTCATTTTACCATTCGAGGTTTGTCAATAACTTATTGTTGTGTGAAAATATACGTTGATTGATTGAATAGTTAATTCTTTTTGCAGGTGGGTGCCATCTTCTTGATGGTTCTTATCAACTTCCTGTTGTTGCCATTGTTTGTAACTTTCGAATGTCACAGCAACAAAATATTGTTTTACTTAATCATGGCATGCTGGAAAATCTCTTCCACGAAATGGGTCATGCTATGCATTCCATGTTGGGACGAACACAATATCAACATGTAACAGGAACAAGAGCTGCAACTGATATTGTTGAAGTACCATCTATTCTTATGGAACACTATGCTCGAGATCCTGCTGTTCTTTCCAAATTTGGTAGACATTTTCTTTCTGGCAAACAGCTACCGGATGAAGCTCTAAATGGTCTTTGTCAATCAAGATGTTTGTTTGAATCACTAGAAGTTCAGACTCAAGTATTTTATTCCATGGTTGATCATATTTACCATGCTGGTCATCCCCTCCACAAGACAACCACTGAAATACTGAAGGAATTACAAACACAGTATGGAACAACTCCATATGTTGAAGGTAAAGTGTATTTATCTGTGATATTGCCAAAATTTTTACAGGCAAGAATGGGGATTGTGCAAAATTATGTATGTATTTATTCTTTCATGGTAATCACTAGTTAGGTGAACTGGTTGTAGCTCTTAATGTCATTATCATAGTAGTGAGTAAAATGGAAGTCATGATATCATCGTCAATACTAGGCACATCATGGCAACAAAGATTTTCACACCTAAATGGTGGGTATGCAGGTCGATACTACTCCTATCTTTGGTGCAGAGCAGTTGCTTCCCTTATCTGGAATCAGTCATTCATAAAAGATCCACTCTCTAGAGAAGCAGGAGAGAGATACAGACGCCTCTTTCTTCAATACGGAGGCGCTAGAGAACCGAAAAAATTAGTCCAGAATATGTTGGGGCAAGAGATCAGCGTTAATAATTTAGTGCAAGCTTTAGTGAGTGAACTTCAGTCTCGGTAATGAAATTACCAATCATTATACAATTTTATGTAATATAATTTTATTGCTCATTCGTGTGTACGCGTACTTGTCTTTGCTTTAATCCAAACAACTATAGATATTACAGTTACAATCTTTCTAATTTATGCCAGATTATGCCAGTGCGCGCTTGGTTGTAATTATGCTAATTAAGTGACGACACAATTAGCGCCCGCATTAAAGGGAGGTGGATTGGCATAATAGCAGTGTCGACTAAAATGTTTAAATCTTCTATAATGTTGACGATGAAAGGAAAACTGTGAAAGTTTTTTTTTACTATTTAGCTTTACTCAGGTATGTCTGAAAGATATTCATTTTTTGTTCAATATGTTGTAACTGTAAGATTGTTGTTTATATTGGAGGAACATCAGTTGATGAAAGGAGTGAATAAAGGACTTGAGATATACAACGATGGAACTTCCTAAGAACAAAAATGACTCTGCGAGCGATAAAGTTGAATCGTGTCAAAGCGACTTTTACGTCCGTCCTCTGAATCGTGCCATACAGAAAAATTTAAGAACAACACAATCTTCTCCTCATCGCAGTGTTGAACTCCATCACACAAAGAGTTTCAGCGAGATAGTTCACCTGCATCCATCGCACACCGATTTATCCAGTATTGCCACCAATTCTCCTAAACTCCGAGCTATTGAGGAACTGCAGCATGAAATACGTCGACCGGAGAGTGTTCTTGAGATTTCCGAAATGCCAACGACTAGCGACGAAGAGTCTGATGTGGATGCAATAGAAACACAGCAAGAGAAAGGTGACGAGGCCATGAAGATTTTCCTAGAGTCAAACGTCAATGTGCCTCTTGATGGAAACATGACATCATCGTCTGTATCCCAGGATACAATAGACTCCGATATTGCATCAGAGAGCGAGCTTATCGTCGGAAATTGGAAACGGGAAAAAATAGGTTCACATGTTCATCATACTTTGTTGTTGCTAAGAGATGAAGAACACTGAGGATTAAACTTTTATGTGACTTCTGTGCTGTTTTTAGATTCTATTGTATCGAGTAGTTCCAGTGCTGAGAAACGTTTTTTGACGCCTTCCGGTATTCTTCTCTACCGAGAACAACAAGTTGATTCAATGCTTGACACGAAACGTGTTCATCGCTCGTCATCTTCCTCTGAGAGGCCAATGAGTCCACTTGCTGTTCGTAAGAGTAAAGAGTCTCTCAATGATAACAGCATGAATAACAAGGTGTACAAAGATGATCATGAAGGATACAAGAAGGACAATGCAAGAGACGAGGATGATACCGATAGTGATAGCGAGACTGATGATGATGATGTCATCTCTGTTAGAGGTAAGAACACCTGCATAGATGATCGATTTACATGGATGATCACTATTGTATGTGATGGGATCGATGTGAACTAAAAAATGTTTCAAGTTCATATTTTAATGTCGCTTTAATCGTAGGAGAGAAAATCCCGAGGAAAAATTTTGTATCTAATTCTGGACTACAGGTAGATGCGCCTTTGCAGAAATACAATAACGACAATCCTCAATATAATTATTTCAAGAAATATGAAATTCACAATAATGACAGTTCAATATGTTTTCTTCGCAGGATCTTGGACAACTTGTTCGCAAGTACGAGAAACAATATGAACAACTTATTAACAGGAGTAAACAACAACACGACAGAATAAATACTTTACAAAAGGATAATGTCAATATGCATAGAGAACACAATCGTCTTCAGGTACCTTTGAAAAATATAAGTATCACCCGATTCGTTTATTTTTTTAGTGTCATTCTGTTTTCTCGTTAGGGCTTGATTCGAGACTGTTATAAATATGAAGACGGTTTGAAAAGAAAGGCAGCGGAGGTTTCTGAAGAGAAAGAGAAGGTAATTTCACAATTAGGTCAACAAGTTAAAGATCTCCGTAGTAAATTGCAAGAAAAAATATGCGAGAATAGTGACCTACAGGAAAGCGCCGAATACTGTCAGATGCAGGTGAATAAGTATGATGATATTATGAAACAGCTTATGACTGAAGCAATCGCGATGTTTGATACATTCTCGAAAGAATCTCAGTCGAAAGAAACTTTTGAATATGATGCTGAGACGAATCCGGACGAACTAGTTGGTTTGCTGAAAAGCAGAAGACAGTCGCTTTCGGATGAGCTCAAACATGATTATGATGACAAAAGGCCTCCAAATGACTGTCAAATAACAATGTCGAAGAAACAATGCACCAAAAGAGGTTTTTTGCTGAAACGTTCCGCAAGTTTAGATACACTTTTGACTCTAAGGAAACGTTATTACGGCAAACTAAACGAACATTCTTTATTGTTTTTGAGAAATGAAATGGACGTACAACCGAAAGATTTGGAGAAGAAAAATGATCAGTTAATGAAGGTTAACACAGCGCTTCGAAAAAAATGTTCAAAATGGAAACAACAATTCGAACATTTGAAGGAACGATACGCAAAGAGATCTGGCGCTAGTGACGTCAAAAGAAAGTATGAGCAAGTTCTTCCGAGTACTGAGTTGCGACGATTGCAAAAAATAATCCAACACCGAAGAAAGTGTCACTCTGAATCATCAATCAACACGTTACAACTATGGCGGAAGCAAAGTACTTATATTATCGAACAAAACAAAAGACGACATACGGTATCCGTTTTCAACACAGATGATCTGGAACCTGAAATGTCAATAGAAACAGTTTCATCCGTGGAGAATTTCACAACTCTAACGGATAACAGTGACGTGAAAACTTCTACCACTGCATTGGAAGAGGATGAAGAAACGGTTGGACACCAGGAACTTTCTCATTTGGAGCAGCGTTTGAAGCAGCTGTCGAAGATCACTGAAAACATGAGTGAAACAATTGTGAAAAATAGCCAAAGTGTCAGAAGTATGACCAAGGTGACGGGTGGCGAGAACTTGGTGAAACTGTTGTCTGGTATCTATGGCGAAAAACTTTTTTCCATCATCAAAGAGATTTATGATGAACATTTGAGAGTAATGCAGAATAATATTGAAAGTCGTGAGCGGGAATGCCGCCTCTTTAAAGAGCAGTTGTTGCAAAAGGACCATAAGATTGAAATGATGGAGTATCATTTCAAATCTCTCAAAAGAGAACTTTATCTTTCTCAAAAAGAACTGAGGAATTACGAAAATACAAACGAGACATTGGAAAGTGAAATACAAAGTTTGAAAGACAAAATGTTGGTTCAGAAAACTGAACATGAAATGGTTAAGTTCTACCATGAGAACCATGAAAAGAGAAATTATCGTCCCAGCAATGAGAATTTTTATATAAAGCAACAGGATGATTGGGATTTGTTTTAAACTTGCTTTTGCAAAATGACGACACATGGAGGCTTAATTTCTTGTTTGCTTTAATTTATAGAAGTGGCGTCTCAATTTAAAAACAAATTAAACGGCCTCTTAAGTAAGTACAAAATTATTTAAGTAAACATTTGTTACTCATCTCCTGAATAAATATAATTTTACGTACGTCTACAAATTTCTTAATCATAAGGAAGTCTAAGCCTGATTTAGCCTTATTTCTTCATGGCTGACCGCGCTAGGGTGTTTTCGTAGGAGTCTGGGGCCAGTGACTGCTATCCCAACAGCTCCAAGAGGAGCAGTTAATAATATCACAAGTACAGCTAGAGTCAAAATCTAAAAATCAAAGTCGTGCTATGAGCTTAAAAACCTGCGGTGGTAATCCTGATCCTTTTACTTACATTTTTACCATATTCTTCTTGTGGTTTGCCAGAATATCCCAGCTTTCGAGCGGTTTCTAGCGACAACGCTCCTATTGCTGCCTACAATAAACATCGACATGCAGTTGTTACCTGACGGCAAAACAAAGAATAAAAGTCGACTTTCAATCGTTATCTGACCGTAAAACAAACAATTAAAATCGACTTTCAATCGTTATTTAACGGTTAGACGAACAATAAAATTCGGTATATGATCGTCATCAGACGATAAGAGAAAGAAAGGATCGCAAATCACAAAATCAAGCACAAATAGAACCATTCATGTTCTCAGGACCATGAGATACCTGGACTGTCGCCTTAGGAAGCCATGCAACGCATATGAAAACTCTCTCTTTGAAGTTAAGGTTGTTGCCAAATGTGATTACATATGTAACAAGAGTCCTTGTCGTTAAACCGATAAGCAATACAGCGATACCACGACCTAAGAAAGTATTAGATTGTTAGTCTGTAGTCAAGTAAATGCATTTATTAGCTAAGTACTCACCAACCAGCCTTGTACTCATGAACTCCAGTTTTACCTCGGCGCCTATCAGACCAAACATCAAGGGCTCAAAAACAATCCAAAGTTTATCCACAAGTTTCACCACCGGTACCTGAAAGACATTTGCTCGAGTTAATTGCGGTTAGTTTTCCCACCTGATATGGTTTAATGGCAAGCACTGGTATTGAAATAATACTTTGCCTTCGACAAACCAACCATGTCCGGCTACAAATGCTGTTGTGAGGACAGCCAAAGCTCCTGCTCCTGGAAATTTGATCCATTCACTGCCAAATAGTAAAATTATGCCCAAACTAACTAGCATGACAAGTCTCTTTTCTTTTAAATTCTTCATCTGAAATTGTTCAGTGTCTGATTGTTAGCTTAGTATGTAAGTTCAGAAGAAAGCGATGGTCCTTTACCTGTCCGTTACTGGGTAAAATACTGAGAATGAAGCCAGAAAAGCAACCAATAGTAATACCCAGAAGGATTTCAAGAGGACCACGAAAGATGTTGAAAAGAAGATTGTCTAAAATGACATATGATGTTTACTACGTGCTTATAAAAGGATACGTGTTTATGGGGAGTTCAATTTGCGACTCTCGTTAAAGTTGTCAAGATGCAGAAAATTACCAGTGGTGTTCACCTGTTGAAAAGGAGACGCCAAGGAAGACGGTAAAAAGACTTATTGCAAGTACATCATCGCATGACGAAGCAGCCATAACTAAAGTGGGAATACCATCATGAGCTCCATAGCCATTTTCTTGAAGTTTGAGCAGTTGAGGGACAACTATCGCAGGAGAAACAGCTCCTAAGACAAACCTAAGGATAATGTAGGACAACATGAAAGGAATTCAAGATGACTGGAAACAAGAACAAGTTAAAAACACATTTACCCCAATTGTAGACCCCACAACCACGGCATATGCAACAACAATTGGGCAGCAACAGTAACTGTTAATGCTTCAGTTATACATGGGATGAAAGCGAGTAAAATAACGGTTCGTTTAAGCTTTTTTAACGCGACCGGATCAAGCTCAAGCCCAGAACGTATTAGGATTACAACCAAAGCAATATTACGCAATGCGATAGACCAACTGTTTTTAACGTCCTTCACAACATTGATTGATGATATATTAGAAAGTAAAAGACCGGCTAAAAGCATACCCAAGAGATTTGGAAGTTGGAGGAATGGCAAACGAGAAAAAATAGTGCCCAGTGACAGAGAACAAGAAAAGATTACAAATAAGCCAAACAAATTTCCTCCGGGAAGATTTTCTTTTTTCGTCACTGTAAGTGTAGCTGTCCATAATAAAAGAGCAAGCAAAAAAGTTGATATAAGCTCTCCAGTTTTTCCCGAACTCAACCTGTTCAACTTCCATACATATGATTCATATTTTGAGTAAAAACCTGACAGATTTTCTTCTTCGTTGTTTTGCACACAACTATCAACTGTTTCCGCCATCTTGGACTGCACTCATTTCCGGTAATCCGTTTGCTCTTCTCATTGGTTGCTCTGGAAAGTAAAGTCAGCAAAATGGACAAGAAATTTAACAAAAAGTCCTGCAACAGGACATTATAGTGCTTCTTTGAACATTGATGGAATGTTACAAACGTACGTGCACACACATGTATTTGAATTTGTGCATATTTTGTGTATTTGAATTTGACTAATGAGTTTTTATTGGTCCCTTTGCAGGCGGGTTTTCCCCAAATGCGGTGTTGCATTAAAATTGACTATAAATATTTATTGTCATTAATATTATTAATATTCTTAAAAATTAAAGGCAATACTAGACTCACTTGATTTGAATTAAATCTGGTGCGGCGATGACAATGGCATTTTTTGGATGGGTGGATTGTTTTCAATAAGCAATAATGGAATAGTCATTAATTATAAAACAATTGAAAAAATGTTGGTTATAATTGATGCTTTGGAAACATCTATAGTCAACATTCATGGTCCGGCATTTCGAGTTTTTCGAAAAAATTATCACTGGGCAACCGGAAAAGCTGCATTTTTCAAGAAGGTCGAAGGAGAGAAGGCTTACATCAAAAATCTAAAGTGTTTAGCGATAAATAATGTTGAATTTTAAAATTTTTCCAAAAGTTGTCTAGGGACTTCTAATTGACCAATCAGAAGTGTTTCATAAAAATTACGAGGTCAAGGCCGAGTGATCATCTTTGTGATGGATAAACTTTAAAAAACTCTGTGAGCCGGATAGTCCGCATTTGCTCGAGACATGCTACTTTTGTTTCACTTTATATTCATGCTTGTGTGAAGTAAGCTCGATAAGTGAGATAAAAAGTATTTTGTTTGAAAATGTCGCGAAGAAGATCAAGTGGAACCTTACATCGACATTGCGTGCCGAGTGTTACTCTAGTTCAAACTAAGCGAAGTTCAGTCGCATGGTTAGAAAAGACTCAATGCGTGGAGAGTCGTTTGCCAGACTCGATATTATTAGAGATATTTTGTTATCTGAACAAACAACAACTTGGCGTCGTTGCTCAGGTCTCGAAGCGTTGGCGTCGTGTCGCTTACGATAAGACGTTTTGGCATGTTTTGGATTTGACGTCGTTTTCTCCAGACATCAACGAAGATGTTATGATCATGATTATCAAAACACGCCTTATATCCACTCTACACTCATTAAATCTCGGACCAGTAAAACTGACTGCTAAAATAGCGAAGGATCTTGCAAGAAAATGCCCCAACTTGAAATGTATTGTGTTCAATTCTGTTGCAATTTCGGGTGATCCTGCTTTCTCCGGGGAGAGCAGACAGTTCCCCGCTTCCTTGGAACTCATGGACATCAGACATTGCCGGGGGGATTTTCAATTTATGAAACGTTTACCAAGGCATTTCACATCAATGAAGTACATTGGCTTGGGTTTTCAGTCATCTTCTTGCCTTATTCCATGTATTTTCAGCAAGATGCATGATCTACGCGTTTTGGACTGTACTGAATGCGAGGCAATTAATGACTGCGCTTTGGAGAAGATCTCAAGAAGTTGCCAACAACTGGAGTCTATATGCCTTAATGAGTGCAAGTATGTGGCAGGAACAACCCTTGCGACAGTTGTTAAACACTGTAAGTCACTGTCAACTTTGCTAATGAGATTTACAAAAATTTCTGATGTTACAATTCTTTCTGTGGAATGGGAGTCAACAGTTATTAAAGAGCTTGATATAACTGGTTGTTACTATGTAACAACAACTGGCTTATCAACATTGCTGTCACATTTACCTCAGCTTACATACTTCAAAATGAACCAATGTGGGTTCAGACACATTCTAAATCTCTTGGTATATCAGGAAATTCGTCCGCAAGTCAATTTCACTCTACTTGAAACTTTGGATTTACGTTGGAACTTTTTGTTGTCAGCCGAGTGCCTAGAATGCATTCTTCGGTTAACTCCAAGACTTCATTACCTTGGCATCAGCCACTCTCCACGAGTTGGACCTTCTGCCATGATGGAGATGCTTCCTCTTGTGACACAGCTCAAAATTCTTGAGTTTGGTCCACTCAAGAAACAGGCATTGTCTGATACAAACTTTGTTAAAGGTGTCATCAGTCATTGCAAGGAGATTGAGGCAGTATCTTTCATCAATTTTACAGTGGCTTCAGCCCAAGATGTGGAGATAATACGCGAGCTAAAACAGAAATGTAAGAAACTCCAAGAAGTGAAATTATGCAATCCAAGAGTCGAGCAAGTTGAGGTTGGTGCTGCTGGTGAAATGGTCACTGTTGAAAGATTGCTTGTTAAAATGGAAAGTTTGTTGCCTAGCCCGAAGCACACTCTGAATGGTGTCGCAAAGGCGTTGTGTTGACTAATTGTGTGACCTCATTGCTTATTGTAGAACATTTTTGATTAGTTTTATGCTAAGTTGTTGTGGTTATGTGTTGAACTTTGAATAGTATGATTAAAAATGCATTGACATTATTGTAAATATGATGAATTAATGGAAGGGACATGATACACATCTCATTGAAAAGATTATGATGAAAATATATTTGCAACTCATTTGCAACACATCCCTTATGTGGTTGCAGCAATCTTATTACCTCTCCCTCCTGACATATAATTAACATCTTCCTCTTTTTTACGCCAATTCCGTTCTCTCCCCCCCCCTAAGGTTCTTTAACATGGCGGCTGATGCACTTGATAACCGATAATTATGTGAACGTTTTTAATTATTTTATTTTAAAAAACAGCAAAATATTCATTTTGAGATAGGTAAAGTAGCTTCTTATTTATATAAACCTTTTGAATATGGCTGAGATTAGTAATGAAATGGCAAAGACTCTGTTTTTCGAAGGAGCGATTCTTGTATGTCGTGACGTTCCGCAAGGAACTGAATTTGGTATTGATTACAACTCTTGGAACGTAGGACCTAAGTTTAAAGGTGTTAAAATGATCCCCCCGGGTTTCCATTTTGTCTTCTATGCTGCAGTCAATAACAGTGGGCAGACAGCTCCAAGGACTGGGTTTTTTCAATATTTCGGGCAAAGAGAAATAATTGTCAAGAAATGGGACGCGAATATAGAAGATTTAGTGGATCAGACATTGTCTGCAGAAGAAATAGAAAGAATAAGAGCAAGTAAGTCTGGTTGATACTGTCATCAAGTTATTCAAGTTGTAATTTAAAGTATTGCTTGGTCGTGTTTAGATCTTGAGAATCTGGACTCCAATCTTGGAAAGTACCCATTTGAAAGCCTAAAGAAATGGCACTCTCTTTCCAGTCATGTTACTCAAGACGTCATGAACAATATCCAACCAGTTTGCAACAGGATTTCTTCACTGACCGAGGTGAAGAACGAGGATGTCAAGCAACCAGTGGGGACATGTGATACCATGCTCAGGTTCACACCCTTACCTTTCAGACATTTCCCTAAGGATTCAACACCAGCAGAGATCACCAAACTCTCTATGGACAAGAGTCAAGTGTTGGAAGATATCATTAGCAGATCAACTGGTTTGTGGTGATCAGATTATTACTAAATTTGTTGAATGATACATCTTTACCATAGTGGATGTTTTGTAGCACATACTGGTATTCTTGGTGAATTGCAATTGGCTTTCATCACTTTCCTTGTTGGCCAAGGTATGATGAAGTATTTCTTTTTCTTTCTCATGCCCAGGGGGAATGGGGGTGCACCTCAATAATTTGCTACAAAACCAAAATTTGTAGTACACTGTGTGAGCTGACTCTAGTTCACCTTATGCCCTGAGACAGAGGTCTTATTTCCAAACTCATTTTCCAATCAAAAAAAGCTTCCTACGGGCTTTTACTAATGATTGGGACAAAGTAGAATGAAATGGTGAAATAAGTGGAACAAGTCAAGTAAAAAATAGTATGGGGTGGGTTAGAATGAAGTGAAATGAAATGGTGTAAGTTGAAGTATAACAAGATGGGAAAGATAATGCAGATTTTTTAGTTGTTAGTTGTTGCTCACCATAGATTGATGGCCACTTGTTGGTTGATTTCTTGGTTAAAGAAAACATCTGTCTTCTTTTATTGGCTAGCAATTTAGCAAATATGCAATTCAAATTGTTTAGTTGACATAAAATCAAGCTGCCTGTGCAACTTGTATTGTGTGAGAAATTCACTTTCATTATCTCATGTTGTCAATATCATTATTTTTGGTTTCCATGTGTAGTGTATGATGCTTTTGAACAATGGAAAAATCTTATCTATCTACTTTGCTCTTGTTTGGATGCAATTGACAAACATCCTGACATCTTTGAAGCATTCATACGTATGAAATTATATGTGCTTTCTTGTGTTTAACATGTTTATTATCTTCTGTTGTAACCTATCATATGATGTCCATATTTTTCTCAAGGTGTCCTCCATTTCCAGTTACTTGAGATGCCTCAAGACTTTTTTATCGACATTGTATCTAGGAATAATTTCCTTGTTGACAATTTACATGTTAGTAGTGTCCTTAAAATTAAGGCTTTTGAGAAGGGAAGGGGACCTGGGGGATGGTGGGGGAGAGGGAGATTGAAGGAAGGGGTGATGGGGAGGTCATTTTGCCGATCTGTTATTTTTGCTTATATAATGCATTGAGATGCAAAATTGCCAAGTAAAAAAGTTTCCCCAACAATGTAGTGTTGTCAATGTTTTCACAGGCCACCATGTTGGTAGAACAAAAAAATTAGCAGGAACAATTTGTTGGAAATAGAGATGACATGTTATTAACATGGCCTCTTGAATGATCAGAACAAGTGCATGCTAAAATGAACATTTTCAAATCGTAGTATTGTCAATTGAATTTCCACTGTATTCTTTAGAGGTTTTTTACAAATGTTCAAGATTCCTCGGTGTCAACAAAACTGAAGAGAAAAGCTCACAAATTCAAGGAATATTTGACAAGGCATTTTCAGTGGAATTTTGACCACGAACCGGAAGAAGATGCTCCAGTCATTGTGGAAATAGCTTAAGCAATGCTTACAAGGTAGGTACTCATTAATTAACCATAGAGAAGTCTATCTTAGTGTGCTTACCATCGAGAAGTTTATTTGATATTTACTTTAATCAATCATAGCACGCTGTTCAAAATCACGGTAACGAAATCTGGGCTCGAGTTGGTTTCGCTTGAGAAATTTTATTTTGACTTGAGCTTACTTGTGTGGTAGAGAAATTCTAGTGATCTAGTAAAGTCAGTGATGCAGACATGTTTTTACAAGATAACTATGGACTGTAGGAATATTTAAATAAGCATGTTTATCTTAAAACGAACTCACGGATTGTTTAGAATGTTCAATAAAATTTTGTTTTTGGCTACTTTTCAACAGTATCAAAGTACCTTTTAAGTAATAAAGCGCTTTCATAAAACGTTGCTTATTTTAAAAAACTTTCAATGGTAGTAGGTACGTCCACTTTTACTGCTGAAGTCTGGTTGAAAAATTTGCGTAAACTTGGCGAAGGCAAACATGGTTTTTTGGTTGACCAAACTGGCTTACGCCTCATCTAATTTTCGACAGCCTCAGTCTACATAGAGAAGTGAATGTTTTACTGTAATCAACCGTTGAGAAGTGTATGCTCTACTGTAATCAACCGTAGAGAAGTGTATGCTATACTGTAATCAACCATAGAGAAGTTCATGTTATACTGTAAACAACCATAGAGAAATTTGTACAACAATGTTTAACAGTGTAGCGGATCATAGAAATGCGTCTGAGATCATTCATAATGTTTTGATATATGGCTAACTTCTCATGTTGGCTTACTTCTCATTTTATGTGTTTTGTCATATTTCTTCCTCGCATCTTTCGTTCTACTATCACATTTACTAAATGTCATTTGATTTATGGCATGCATTATTTACTTTATCATGGAGCATTTAACGTTTGTTAATAATGACGTTCTTCATTATGGCTACATTTAATTAAAGTGTTAAAATACATCCAAGAATCCTATAACAAACAATCCAATAATGCCTTGCTTGTGATAACTCTCCCTTTTTATTGTCATATAATGGTTTGTTTACTGCACGTGGGATCTATTTGAGTGTCGGGACATTTTCTTTAGGACGTTTACGCAATGCTGGTCAATATTCCGGATTAAAGATACACATTAACGCATCTGTGCTAGGAAATGTACAGTGGAAATGTTTCAGTACAAAGACTGAAAACAAACAAAAGGTACAATTGGTTTTAACGTTTCCGGTTTGTTGGCTTAACTTCTTCTCTGTTTCAAAGACGGCTGGCTGAATGAAAAGTGATCATTTCTTGTGATGTGTTACAACTATTTCCGTCTCAGCTGCCAACGTTAATCTGAACTTCTGACTGAGACTTTATAGTTAAGGCATGTTGTTTTATAAAAAATTACATCATATCGTAGTTGATACTGTATTTGAAAAAAAAGCTTAGCAGGAAACCAGTTGATTTACTTAAGGTTTTAGTTAAAGACCCTAGGGGTTTGAGCGAATTATCACTGTGATTGGAATTCATTAAAAATTATTATAATTTTTCTAGCTATGGTGTTCGACATCCTCTTAGGAGCGTCATAATAGCTTTACTATACGTGATTAGTCAAAATGGAATGATTTATGATGTCATGGACACCTTAGTTCGGAAACAATGTTATTGTTAACTTATCCATGAATGTTTCTTTGGCCTTTATCATGACAAGTTTACCTTGACTGTTATTTCTTAATCCCCATACACTACTCAAGCTTGTATCCAAGTTGAATGTGACAAAACTAGCATCATTTGCATAAAATAAAGTTAACTGTTTATAGATTGGCTTACCGCTGCAAATGATATCGTCTTAGGGGAATGAATTGTGTTATACTGCCCTGTTTAATCATTTAACATGTTTATTTTTCGTTATTACTCGTATCAAACCCGGCTATAAATTTTTCAAGCTTTTATTTGATTTCTCGTTTGTGTATGTTATTAATCTGCTATCATATAATTTGGTTGTCGACAGTGTATTGACACAACTGCTTGTACCGTTTGTTGATTGTGGTGTTTTGTTTTCACCAATCAGGATATCGCTACAAATTGCATGCAATTTGTTTTAATAATTGAACACAATACAACGCATTTGGTAACAATAGAGAGCTGTCACACTGTAGTTACTTTGCATTTTCTCTCTTGGCATAAAACAGTTGACAAGTTCGTTAGCGTTGTATCAGTATATAGATGGCAGAAGGCAATGATTGTGTTACAATGGCTGGTGCTTCAGATCACAAACCTCCTCGAGCTCCGAAATGTGCACGATGTCGAAATCATGGTGTCGTATCTTGGTTGAAGGGACACAAACGGTTTTGTCCTTGGCGTGATTGCACCTGTGCTCAGTGTACGTTAATCGCCGAGCGCCAGCGAGTGATGGCTGCCCAAGTAGCTTTAAGACGACAGCAAACGCAAGAGGAACAACTAAACGTTACATTTCAGCAAAACGCTTATGATGACGATGAAGACGATGGAAAATCGCACGAAAAAGATGAAGAAGATGGTGTCGATGTGTGTGAAGATAACGAAGGTAGCAAATTAAACGACTGACACTCCCCTCAATGATTTTTAATTTACGTAATTATGTTTAGTGTTTTAATATTTTTTTGATGGAAATTGCCAACTTTCTCGTTTAGTCGTTTTCTGGTAACTTTAATTTTTACTAATCTCTGGAGGACAACGGAAGAACGCGCAAACTTAGTTTACTGTGCAAAAACCCACAGTGTACTTGGTCTAACACGGTTTTCATGCTTTAAATTCGGCTATGACTGATAAGGTTTGTTTGTGAAAATTCTGTGTTTAAAACGCTTGGTATGTTTTCCACTTGAGAAAAGCAACTCGTGAGTAAATCATATGACTATCTTTTACCGCTCATTTGAATTCAAAAAAAGTGACAGTTTTTCGGCATGGTCTGTTTCGGTCTGTTTATCTTATGAAGTATCTGTTTCCTTTTGTCCCAAAAGTCTTTTCTTATAATCTATAAGTGAAGAGTCCGCGCTTTGAAACTGACAGGAAAGAAAATGAACACTTCTTGTTCAAGATTGTTTGTGCTGGTGCGAACAAACAAGGTGGTGAATTCTTTTAATTAAATTTTGTTTTTCATTTGTAGAAGATCCTGATGTTGTTTCGAGCCACAATGAAGATAAAGATGATTTGGAACCAACAGAAACAGGAAGTCAGGTAGCCTCCTTAGATCGTAACGCAATGTTTCCGCTGAACGAGAACCATTCAGCCACGACATGGTTTGGCATTTCCAATAAGACAGAGAATGTGCCAAAGATTCACCGATGCATTAGAAAAGAAAGCGAGCCTGAGGAAGAATCCTTTGCTATTTTGCGTAGGATATTTCCTCATCACAGTCCATCAGTACTGGAAATGATATTGAAAGCATATGACAACGATATAGTCCGTGCAACAGAGTCCTTGATGCTCGAAAATGGCATGACTCGTCAACTTCTCACGCCTCCGGTTAGTCCCGAAAATTCGTCCAGTACTTATTTCGCGACGAAAGATTCCGATAGTAAATCGAGTCATACACGTCCCTCAGCTTTCTCCCCAGTCCCGAACAACATCGTCTCTTACACTTCCCCAGCACAGGTTTCGGCCCTGTCGCCACCCATAGTCCAACCATTTACTCCTCCTGCCTACCCAATACGGTCCATATACAGACCATATATGTTCACTGGAGGAAATCACTTTGGCATGCCTTATCATCCCTACATTCCACCACAAGCAAGAGGAATGATGGTCCAATCTACTAACAGGCGCGACGCGCGCACGTGTAGTCGTTGCTCAACTTGGATATTACCTTCAGATCGTTTTTGCTCTCACTGTGGCAAGTCTGCATGATCATCGAAGACTTTGTTCATTGTTTTCATAATTGTTGTTAAAAATTTGTGTGGAAAGTTGTTCAATTTGTTGGAATAAAATGATTATTGCAATATTGTTGCTTCATATTCTATGAGTTCAAACGAACTAATTAATGAATTCCTTGATTGTTCATTTCAACTTCGAAATTATTTGTCTGAATCACAAGGTAAAAGGAGAATCAACGGCCAATCATTTGCGTGTGCTCCACGCGCGTGATTCGTAATTCACGTGTTTTCGCGGCCATTTTGGAAATGTGCAAAATACTATTGTTTTTTTTTCAAGTTTGTTAATTTTCTGTTTTGTTATGTACATGTATCGTTTCTTTGTTTGTTACGTAATGCATGAGACATTTTGAACCCTACATTTTTTGGTCATCAAGAATTTTAGATTTTGTAATAATGAATAATCAGTTATTGACATATTGTTTTCAAAGTTTTGGGTATTTTTTGTCCTTCATCGATAGTAAATAGACTTCGCAATGAACAATAAAAGCAGCCGGTAAGTGTGTAGAAAATAGAAAGGTTGACTCCACCATTTCAAATTCCTAATTGCTTAGTTGCAAAATGAGTCTAACACTATTAAACCTTAAAAGATGGTGTCAAATGTAATGTCACTTACATTGAGTTTAATATACAACTACTTGAACTAAAGGTATAAATAAGCATTTCTATATGAGCCAACTTTTATGTCAAACTGAGTCTCACATTTTACCTTTAAGTTGTAATAAATTTTTATTTTGGCTGTGTGGGGAAGGACTGTGACGATTGCTGGCTTGACATTGTGATTTAACATAGTTTGTGGGAAGCAAGCTATCGCCAAATGCTGGAGGAGGACCAAAGATGTCTTGCAAGGAATAGGAAGTTGCTGGAGGATTTCGAGCACCTAGAAGCAAAAATGAGGAATTTCTATGAAGAATGCAAAGAAAATGAAATACAACTTCAAAAGAAAAAGGTTTGAGACATGATCATCTACCAATTGTGAGTAATGGAAATAGTTCCAGTTGCTAAAGGTTGTAATTGGTTTTAGGCTAATTTTTTGAGCTATGTAATATCTGTGTACCCGCAATGGAAAAAAGATGTTGAACTATGGCATGAAAGGAAAGCGAAATCTCAAAATATTTATAAGGAAAGTCAGTTTCATGGTATGCATTCAACACCCAAGAGGATGGATACTATAGGACATCAAGGAATCTCATTGGATGATTATGCCCAACAAAAGTTTGGAGATTTCAAGAAGAATCTTGAAATTAATGAAAGTAAACTAGATGAACATAAAAGCAATATGTTTTTTAATGACAAAGATGAAGGATTAAGGCATGCAAGGGGGTTATTAGGACATTCAGGACCAGGAGGACCACAAAGGGATTTGGGACGGTATTTTAACGAACCTGCTCTGTCATTTAAAGAAACACTTAGTTATGATAACAAAAAAAGGTCAAAAGATGAACCTCACGAGGATAGAATCAAATTTTTGAGGGAGCAAGCCATGTATTGTGAGGACAACTATGGTTTATCATTACCTTATATGGGTAGGAATGGATATATGAGGAACACAAATCAAAGGTCATTTAGGAACACTGTGGATATGTCTTGGGATGAGTTGCTCTGTCATAGTGGTTATTCTAGAAATGATCTAGAACATACATCAATGTACCATTTTAGACCTTTATTATCCACACAGTATCCAACTCCAGGTATGAATCCTCACAATACGCGAAACCACCACTCACCTGGCGTGCAACAGGAATATTCGTTTTTAGAGTTGGGTAGACCAAGATTTTATGAACAGGAGAACACGTGGAATGAAGCTCAGAATGAACGACGCATTCTCAATGAAAGAGATCAAAACTTACGTCGTGATTTATCATTTAGCAAGAAAGACACCAAGGATAGAAACTATCATGAAAAAGAAAGCGTAGCGGTTATCGACGAGAAAAAAGCATCTAATGGTACACAAACAAATCATACAGATGAAGTTATTGAAACAAAGAAAGTTATAAGCAGTAGTGAAGATCATGGAGAAAGACTCTTTCCAGAATCCATTGACTATAATGACAGAAACCTCAAGAATCAAGAAATCAAAGAATCTGATGAACTCTATAACAATGCCCATCAAGAAAATGTGGGTTTGGTAAATGATACTACTCAAAAATCATGCAATGGCTCCATAAACAACGAAAAGGAAGCAGTTAAATTTGGTGGAAAAGCAAAGGACAGACAACGTCATGATTTGAGAATTGATGGATCGATGAACGAAGACCCTACTGATCGCACTACTGTATCCGAAAACCTGGATGTTAAAAGTAACGATCACGCCATTTTACCACACGATCCTCCTATAGACGTCAGAATCACAGAACTAAAAAAACGGAAATGGAATGATGACTTGTCTGGATTGAATACAGAATCGGGGAGTTTACCCACCATACATCAATATGAGGGGGATCCACGTGACTTGTTTAGTGACTTATCTGGAAGTGAACCGCTGACCAGAGACACTGTGGATAAGTATAATGAAGATGGAATTGTTTCCAATCGTGAGCAAGTTATCGTGGATGGTAGAGAAGAGCACGACGTTGGTTATACTTATGGTACAGATGTGGATCACATTTTACACGAGAGTAATAAACCCAGGGATGGCAATAAGGATTTCAGTAGTTTTAAAGGTACCGACACTCCACTGAGTGATAAAGAAAACAACGTCCGACACCAGTCGCCATTATTTTTAGAGAGGGAAGTTGATGCAACCAACAACAAGGAGACTGGATCACGAAAAACATCTGAGAATCCACACAATGAAATAGAGGACGTATTAGGTGAGGTTGTCGGTGAGTTTGATATCAATGCTCCTGAGATGTCTGATGACGAAGAAATTGAAAAGGCAGCCACGTGTGACGTCATGGATAATGAAAAAACCGCTGGAACTACGAATTGTAGGTCCTTAGATGAGAGCAAAATTGATGATGGCGTTGAAGAAATATCTGGGGTCAAACAAGACATTATTAGTCATGAAAGAACGGAGAAGTCAGAAAATGAAACAGAGACTAAGAAGCAATTTTTTACTTCTTCAAATTTTAGCAACGATGTTGTAAATATGGTGACAGAAGTTTCGGAACATAAAAATGTTGATGTCTTTGGAAAACAAGAAAAACCTATTTCTGAGCATCTGCCATCAAACGTTGTTCTTGATTGTTCAAAGAGTAGTACATCGGAAGCAGTGTTAAACGGAAAGGTTGCTTCTCCTGAAAGGGATGGTTTTATTAATGAAGATTTAATAGACGATCTTGAAAACTTGAGTTTCTCAGTTCAATCAGCGTCAGACAGGGGCTATATTGATGGTGATGAGAAGAGTGGAGGAATAGAAACTTTGGACCATGAAAAGACTTCTGTAAAACATGGACGGGGTGATGATAAAATGAAAGACGCTGTCGCAGTAGGTCATGCTGAGAAAGATGTAACAGTAGGTCATGGTGTGAATGATGTCATAGTAGGTCATGGCGACAATGATGTCATAGTAGGTCATGGTGAGAATGATGTCATAGTGGGTCATGGCGACAAAGATGTCATAGTAGGTCATGGTGAGAATGATGTCAAAGTAAGTCATGGTGGAAAATCTAAGAAAGCTGTTCCTGCGAATTTATCGTTCTCTTCTACAGAATCAAGTTCAGAATCTCTTTCTGAACGGAATACAAAGACAAGGTAGTATTCGCTAATATTTCTTATTTATAGCTTATTTGTTGCATCCAATATTGATTCATGTTTGCATACATGTTAGGGTAAAAAATAAGACGAAAGAAAGCTTGTCCTACAGTGAAGATTTTGAAGCGAGCCTTCCTCTTACTCAAAGTGCTGCTTACAAAAACATGTTGAGTGCAGTAGATATCAGCGATGAAGAGGAGGATTTGGAAGAAGAATTTCTACAAGGTGTAAATTCTGTTGTTTTCGAAATAAGTACGAGTAAAAAAGGTTTCTCTTGTCAATATACCTCCTTGTTATAATTTTTTGCAGCCACAATGTCTGAAGCCAACTCAACAGGTAAGAGTGGTGGCAGTAGTTGTAAAACAAAAGACAACAGTAAAAGAACAGAAGATGTGACTTCACAGCTGGTAGCGTCTTCATCAAAGCCTGCGTTAAATATATTCAGTAGCGTTGTAAAAGAAGACAATGTTGTTGATGGTGACTTTACCACCCGGAGAGGATCTAGTCAAGAATCGTTTTCGTCACCACCACTCTCTCCTGACACAGGAGGAGACATTCCCAGTTTAAGCGCTGCTGCAAAAGAAGAGAACATTAAAGGAGAATTGAAAGAAAATAAAAAAGTCAATAAACAAGAATCTGGAAAGAAATTTCAAGTATCGGACACAACATCTAGGATACAAGCAGGTTTGTAATTTTTCAATCGCGAGAAATTCAATAATCGCCTTAGCTCATGCATATACATCTTATTTTCATCAGGTTTTTGGAATCAATCTGAGAGCGAGTCGGAGGTGGATCTTCAAATCAGTCAGGGCGACAACGAGAATAATAACGATGATGATGACGATTTTGATTTTTACAGTTGATATGTAGAATTTTTTTAACCAAGTTAAATAAAGAAACAGAATAAAATACTCAGTATAGATTGTGGAATTATACAAAATAATTATATTTTCAATCTTCATTGCTCTTACACAACATAAAAGTTATATTGAAATTGCATGCATCTATACAACCTTGTTCAATCATCATTCACATGATTCATTTATATAGTTAATGCATAATATCACAACGAGATTGTTAACACACTTCTATAAACATCACCCATTTGCTTGCATTTCTATAAATCATAATTTTCATTCATTTAAAGTAAATACTATTGTACATATTTGGCTCTGTCAGTGGAAAGAGGAAACATAAAAAGAGTACGAGTCCAATAACGAACATTCCAGCCACAACTATATAAAAGGAAAAGGAGATTTTTAGACTTATGATTTTTTATACGTATGTCTCCATATGTATAAAATAAATCGCTTTTTATATCAGCGATAGTAAAATATTTTTTAAAGTAAATGGTTTGAACCCGGGAGTATCGTTACATGTTTGTAAATGTAGATCGTCCAGGTTGGTATATTCCTGAGAAGGACTGTTTTTGTTGTTGTTGACTGACGTTTCGACAACCTTAGCGAGGTAGTCATCTTCAGAGTCATACCGCTAAGGTTGTCGAAACGTCAGTTAACAACAAAAACAGTCCTCAGGACTATACCAACCTGGACGATCTACATTTACAAACATGTAAAATATTTTTTAAAAGCACTTGATTAAAAAAAACATTGCTCTAATCGTTAGGTTTGATTACCTTTCGGAAACTTTGTGTTGTTTATTTGTTCAAATTCGGGAACACCCATGTAATTACAAAAACTATGAGAAATAAATGAGCCAATCAAGTGACCTGTAAAGAAAACGAATTTTAGATGACTGTGAACTTTTACATGTTTTTTTATACAACTTGTCTCTTTACCTGTTCGTACAAATATGAATGCTGAGTAGACGCCAAATAAGGTCGTGTAGCTAAACTGAAAGACTAAAAAATTCCGGTAAATTACGAAAACATCAAGTATTGAATAAATAATTCATGTAAAGTATTACATGTTACAATCAACACGTTGGACTTAGATCCTTGTAGTCTTTCGATGGCATGATGGAAGTGAGCTGTAATGAGATTATCTTATTGAGAAAAATGAACTGCATCGTTAGCTGTAAAAATAGAGAAAATTACATCCTTACCAACACCAAACAACAAGGGACAAATAAAAATTGCACCCATCAAACCAAATGACGGGACCAGCAATGGAATCATACATGCTCTGTAAATAAACTCTTCTGTTATTGGAGCCTGAAACAGCATTTCAGAAACAATTTTCTGTAAGATATTATGTCAATGATTGTGGCAAACAAACACATATTTTACTTAGTTCTTACGATTATTAGATTTCTTATGTTTATCAGGTCAAATGACGGTGAAAATTCTAAAATAAAGACAAATTTTTTAAGTATAGAAAATTATTTATTCCACTGTATTCATGATCCGCGCTGTCCGCGATGATATTTTATACAGGAATGGTTGATATTAAATGGAGATCTTACTTTTCATTAGAGGTAATTCTTCTGCTAAACACATCATCGTTAAAGGACCAGCAAATAGTATCTAAAAATAGACGAGTTGAGACCAAGCAGTGTAAATTAAGATTTCTACTGGAAATATAATCTATATTTAGTTACCATAATTAACAGCGAAGGGAAAACAGCTGCTTTATTAAGATTCTCGCCATGAATACCAAGCCATCTTTGAACAGGTACACCCTAGGAACAAAATGATTATAATTTTATATCATTTATTGTATTATCTCTGGCCACAAACATTTCCATTGTTGCAAGGTGATTTACTTTTGGAGATGTCTGCGATACGTATTTAATAAAGATCGGTGCCACAATACTGAATCCAATTGCTCTGATGCATCGTAACTTGATGGTAGAGGGATGGTCTCTGCTTAATGCAAACAATATTCTTCGTAAATAAGGAAATCGTCATTAAATTGACAAAACTATTATGATGTTCAATGATTTCCTTTACGCATTGTAGTAAACTAAACGGTTTGTCATTAGTAGATGGTGTTGACTAAAATCTAACTACCTAATTTTTCATTTGCTTAATAAACCGAAACACTTATATAAACTTCTGGAAAACCTAAGACGTACCGATGATATGGCACATTCCATATATAAAATACTAAAACATACAAAATAGCTAGCATTAGGCAATAACCTAATGATTCAATTTTACTGAGTTCGTCAAAAACTACGTTGTTGTCGGCCATATTGAAGTTTGTGAGCTCTTCCCGGGGGGGGGGTATGATAATGAAATGAAGAGTTTTTGCTCAAGAAAATCATTTCAGGATATATTTAGTATTTACGATTTTCAAGAACATTAGAGACAACATGATTGATGAAATGTTATTCCCCAGTAACAATAAAATCTTATGATATTTTTTTTGGAGTCCACCAGCATGGCGCAGATGAAAACCACCAATTGTTTAGTTCTGAAGGTATTTTGGATAAGAGGCCGTAATGTATATTGACTGAAGCTGCATATGGTTTTGAGGTCAGCTTCTGAGCTAATTTTAGATAGTATGTTGATAGTGCCTACTTTTTTAATAAAATAGGAAAATGCATGAAGATTCCTTCCATTTTTTAAACTTTCCAGTGTTTTGGTCATGCAGTGCAGAACAATCATTCCTGCTGTCTCCCCCCCCCTAAAACTGTTTACATTCTCGTTACTTTCACGTGGTTTAAACTTCACTTAACAACGTGAACCCCGAAGAAACCGCTGTTGTTTTTTATTGTATCTGTATGGATTCATTTGAAACTATAAAACAACATGGCAGCGATATTTTATTTACCCTTCACGATTTTGATCCACCGATCACGCCGGTCAACGATCATAGTGCCACGACTGGTTTGAATGGAGCAAAAATTATTGAACACGTATTGCATTCTGTTCGAGTTAAGAATGCTGCTTCAGAGGTTTGTGTTAAACTTAAATACGCAAATGCATTGTGAGACTAGGTTAGTACAGTTGTTTTTGCCTTATCAAAACCAATAAAATCCAATAATTTTGGTACCTTTGCTGAGAATGAGTGCTACTCTGCAAAGTTTGTCTTGCACACCAAAGTTTTCATTTCATACGTGAACATTGCAAACCAGCAGCATTTGTGTGGCTAGGTAAACAGTAAATAGTTAAGCATGCTATACTTAGGTTCTCATCTTGTATACTATTTGGTAAAGCTAGTTATGTTTTATTTTTATTGCATAATTTGCAAAACCAAAAACCATCATGTAAAACATGACAAACTTCGATGATTAGTAATAATATAATGTTATTTGTTTTATGTGAACTACAAAATTTGATTATCACTCTAATAATTTTACTGTGCATCCTGAAGATCTTGTGAAAACACTACATACGTACATTTCTGACTGGCCTGGATGAAGTTGACAACTAACTAAACCCATTAATGAGATCCCCTACCTAGATTTGCCCTCACCAAATGAGACAAGTTGGTTTGTACGTTTAGTTACACCAATAATTTATGTTTGGATTCAGGATTTTTTCTCAAAAAATATGCCAATCTGTGCCAGTTTCACATCAAAAACCAATTATGACACAATGCATGTTTTTAAATATACTGTCACCATATGTAGATATAAGTTGACAGGGAAATTCTTAGCTAAATAACTTGACTTGCCTTTAGTTTGCTGACATGCAAGGAAAGACTGACGAGGATATATTAAAAGAAGTTAAAGAAATGTTAAATGACATTGGTCATACATTCAGTTTGAAAAGTATTCGTTTTATGGCATTTATCTTAAGGAAAGTATTTAGAAACATTTTCTCTGGAATTAAAGTTAATATGAATGGACTTAACAAGGTATAAATAGATTATCTGGTTCCATGAATTTTTGAAAAATATTTCTAAATATGTCATAATTTTGATAAATTTGCAGGTGAAGCTAATGTCTAAGGAATGTCCAGTTATTCTTGTACCAACACATCGTAGTTACACTGATTTTCTTATTGTTTCATTTGTCTGTTTCATCTTCCAATTGCCGATGCCTGTCATTGCTGCAGCCCAGGGTAAGAGAAAATAATTTTAGACATTTTAGAATACTGTAGAATAGTATGGGGTTGTGTTTATTTCCAGTATCTTTTTTATGATATTTATCAATATCGATAAAGAAGTGTCATCTTTGAATACCATAAGATAGTATTGGGTTATTTTCAATCAGTCTTTCATGTGATAAAAATATCAATGTCAAAGCCTATATGGTTTTGTGTGTATATTCTTTCTGTTTTAAGGTTTTATAAAATGGTATTTAATACTTGATGTTTGCAGATTTTAAAAGCATGAAGCTCATTGGTGGTTTGCTACGGAACTGTGGAGCATTTTACATGAAAAGAAGATTTCGTTCAGACATACTTTACTGGCTTGTGTTTTCTGAATATGTGCAATGTTTGCTTTTGAACAGTGGTACAACTATGGAGTTTTTTCTTGAAGGAACAAGAAGCAGATCTGGAAAGAGTCTACTTCCTAAATTAGGTTTGACTTGTTTTTTTTTGAATATTTTGTATATGTATAAATTATGGTGTGATTCAACACACCATTAATTATATTAAATATCTCTATTCGATACATTAGATTATCATGACTAGATGTAAATCATCTAACAAAATCTTTGGCCCAAATCTTCTTGAAAGCTGATCATTTATATTTTTTCTCTATTTTGTGTTATTAAACTGTAATAGTTTGTTGCTTTTCTTTAAAATGTACCATTTCCCTCCTTTCTTTTATGTCCAGGTCTCATGTCGATCATCACTGATCTCTACTTTTCATCAAGAGTTCCTGATATTAAATTCTGTCCAATAAGCATCAGTTACGACCGAGTCCTCGAGGAGACGTTGATGGCTCGTGAGCTGCTGGGTGTGCCAAAACCCAAGGAATCACTCAAGGTTTGTACTCTTCGTTTGTCACCCTACTCATTATCAGATAATATGAACAAGATTTTGTCGTGATATTTGAATGTTTTGGTATTCGACCTCTGTACAAACAGTAAATTTTTAAAAAAATAAGTAATTGCTAATGATATGAAAATTACATAGGACGACCAGACTTTTTTGCGGGCTACGTCACTAGCAAAGATATTTTCATTTGCCATGTTTTCTGTAACGTAGCTTTCTTTTTCCGTCATCATAATTTTTCTCTCCCAATTCAAGGGACTCTTGAGCTCACGTTCAGTTCTCTCGGACGATTATGGTCACGTTTACATGTATTTTGGAGAGCCGATATCATTACGAGAATTTTCCCAAGATTACGTGGACAGAAGCATGCGATCCTGCATCCCAAGGTGATATCGTCATTCTTCTGAATCTTTAGTCATCCTTCAAATTCTTCTGTGTGGAGTTTTTGCCATATACACAAGAATGTATAAATGAATAAACGCTCCCAAAATATTTCTCTTGCATTTAAACTACCTATGTAATGCATATTTTTTTGACAGGTCAATTAGAAGCGAAGCCACAAATGATGAAATGAATGCGGTGCGAAAGTTAGCCGCTTATATTTTAGAAAAAATCCAAGATCATTTGATCATTTTACCAAACATGATCGTTGCTTCGATTCTTCTACAAAATGCGACGGGTACAACGTTAGGTAAATTTGTGTTCTTAACGTAGCTGAGATTTTTCATTGAGGAATGAAAATTCAAAGTTTTTATTCACTTTGTTAGAGTTTTTAAAAGGAAAATACCAAAGTGTTTTGGAGTTGTGTCAGAAGTTTAATGTACCTGTCGTACGAAATGGTAAGACATTAAATGGAACTTAAACAGATCCACAGTAGAACCTCGTTAACTCTAATTCCTCATTAACTCAAAAAAATTTCATTTCCTTTTTGTCAAATTTTCCTGGATTACTCGAATTCTTTATTCGAAACACTAAATAGTAGTAAAAAATCGAAAGTGTAAATTTGATCCAAACGACAATGATTTGAGAATTTAACCCATTTATTCATGCACATAGCTTTAAGATTCCTCACTAACAACCTGTCTTAACACAATTACTGTCTTCATGTTACTGATCTAACGTTCTGTAGTCGTAAATATCGCTATATAAATCACAAATCTTTCAAATTTTATGATTAAACTTGCACTAACTCTAATTGCAGTGATGTAGCTTGTTCATTATTGTAAATGAGCAATAAGATGGACATAATATACGAAATTTGCTAACTCGAACAATTTTTCGTTCGTTACTCTGAAGAGATGCCAGTTATCGAGGGTTTACTGTAGTTTGTTCTTGAAATCAGTTCACTCTTCCTGTTTCATTATCTTAGATGAAAAAGACATCATGAAAGAAATTATGGAGAGTTTGAAGCTGTTAAAAAGTTCTGTGGAGGTGACAAAGGAGAATGAGATATTTCTTATCGATCCTGAACATTATCCAAAGAAATTCAAAGACCGAGTGCTCATGTTGTGTCATCAAGAAAATATGAACAGTATTACCGCGGCGAGTATATCTAGTGAGGATGGTCATTGTCGAGAAGCAAAAGATGAAAAAATCTCTGAAAGTTTAAGCGCAGATGAAAAACTTTATATGATACATTTGACATGTGTCCATTTGCAATTGGCTCATCAAAGAAACCAATTGCTTCACTGGTTTTACATTCCTGCCATTATTGCATTGGTTTCAGGTTCATCAAAGGAGGTGATGTATTCCCAAGGTACAATGGGGTACACTACGCTGCCTTAAATCTTTGCGTATCGACAAGTTGTGGTTGTTCATATATTGTCATTATGTCGTTTGCAGATGAACTCTACCGAAATGTCAAGTTAGTTGGGGACTTGGTGTCAGCAGAAGTTGGCAAAGAACAGTTTCCTTCGTATGAGGTAAATTTCAAGTTACTATGTTACTATATGAGTCAATGGTTTTTTTATCCTTATCTTAAGATTTATAAATGATCCCCTATAACTTTTTAAGTTTTCCATTTTTCTTTTGTTTGCTCCAAGTTTTTCATTGCTGCTCTCAAAATATGTCAACTTGTGGGAATACTTCATTGTCATGACGACAGATGGAAAGCTAATGAAACAGATGATTATTGTTATATCACGTGGTTATGGAGACCGATTGTGATATCATATTGGATCATCAGTTCCTTCATACTGGACTCCAGTTGTGAGGAGCATTCAGTGAACATGCTGGTTAAAAGTTGTCAAGATAGAGCTTTGGATCTATTTTTAATTGGTAAGAATTTACATTCTCTTTCTTTTCTGATTTTTTCTCGAATTTGTCCGTGTGATTTCATATATTTGTGGTGATATATGATTTCTTCTTTCTCGTGTTCTTCTTCTTCTTCTTTTTTTTTCTTTCTTCTCTTTCTATTACACAACTTAATGTCAGACCACTCTCCGTTTTCATGGAAATCTTCGTGTTATCACAGAGTACCAGTGATTTTTCTAAGCACTACCTAGCCAACGTAGGAAACTAAGGCGATAGCCCCTTCTATAAATTTTAGTTATAATCTTCTGTCTGTTTTTTTGAATGTATGGGGGGGTGGGGGTGGCCTTTGTTTTTGGCACTGGGTCAGTGTCTAATCAATGAAGTAAAGAACCACTGAAGATGACCTTCTGTGAGTTACTATTTTATGGTGTGGAGGGGAGGGTGGCCTTTGTTTTTGGCACTAGCTGAGTGTGTAATCAATGAAGTAAAGAACCACTGAAGATGACCTTCTGTATGTTACTATTTTGTGGTATTACCGTCTGCGTTAAACTGTCATATCTTTGTTTGCAATCACGCTTTTTTCGCGCAATATTCGTTGATTTCTTTGACAAATAAAAAGATTTAAGTTAAAGGTTAACCAGAAATCTATGATAAACACAAGCATCGTTAAAACCACCAGTAGATGTGTATAAATTTGTTATCCTAGGTACCACTAAAGTCCTAGAAACTCAATCTTTGGAATTATTTCGAAATGCTATAAAATCTCTTGGAAAACTGAACGTTGTTAAAGCATTGTAAGTCTTCGTGTGATGTAATAGTTTTTGCTCGAACTTCTTCCACGGCTACATGCTTTATGAAGATTGTTGTTTTCTTCATTTATAAGGAAAAGAGACTCCGAACAAGTAGTCATTGTGTCGGATCAATCTCACTTGTACAATATCGTTATCACTTTAGGTAAGTTGATTTTTAATGAAGCTGTTGCATGTACCTGTCAATCCTTTTTTGTCTATTTTATCCTACCTGTCCCTTCTCTGAAGCGTCTTAATAAGTTGCATTTGTTTTTCAGAGAAAATTCTTGATCTTAGAAGTGAAAGAAAGCCATATTTGACCAGTAAGATGTGATCCTTGGTAAGTCAATTGGATATGTTATTTTTTGTGATGTAAATTTACCGCGAGATTTTGAATCAATCATCACTTATATATTGTAATAACGATTCAAGGAATTCATGCTTTGAGTCCAATATTTCTGTAAATGAAAGAATGCAGCACAAATGTTGCACGAATAATATATATTTTATTAACAAAAGCGAACAATGATACACAGTAAATACATAACGATAACTTTTGTATTCGATTGTCTGTAATCATTCTTTCCACACATCAACCTGATGTTTCCGGTTTAATCCATTTCGCTCTTTAAATATGATCACGTTGATGGCTGGTTATTTGCAAATCTCATCACTATGTATTGTGTTTCTGATGGCGTATCGTTCAGTGGAATGATAACTCACGGCATATACTATATCTTTGCTATTCTTTATATCTAACATGCGTATGGGCGAATTTCATTTACATTACAATTTCGTGTCTTCGCTTTCAGCGTTAACTCTTACAGTTATCACGTCGACAGTGTACTCATCCTCTTGCATAATATTTTGAATTTTTGCTCGAAGGCCAATTAGTTGCTTTGCAAGAGATCTATCTTGGCTTCGCATCTGTTGTAGTTCGTCTTTTAACCAATGTAAAGCAGCCTCCAAATAAGCATACCTTTCCTTATTGCTTGCTCCGTTTCTACAAATGTTCGGTGGATCGTTTTTTCTACCTAAGTCATTCACGTAGCCTCGTAATTGTTCTCGAAACTCCATGTCGAAATCTTGAATGAACGAAATACGTTTTGGCGCGATGTCCATTGCCATATTGTTGTCAACACTTTTATTATTAAACTCTTTTCTCGCCCCAAACATGGGCAACTTCTTTCACCGCCAATTTTTTATTAACTTCAAAAGCATATATATTCTGTATTTGTTGTAAGTGCGTTGGTAATTGCTTTAGCTGTTGGCAAGTGTCAACAGCTTTCCTTTCATCAATGGGCGTCTTACACGTGAAATACAGTACGCCAAATCTTGGCCAATCATAGAATGACTTTTGTCTGTCGACATCTTAGGGAAAGTGTCTTGAATTATTGTGAAGAATTCGATAATGGCATTTGAAACCTTCGAAGATTTCAAACAAGTTAAAACCCCTTTATTAAAATGCCTTTGTCACAGTCTGTGGGAAATTTCACATATGTCATCTCTTAGTCCATTTTTGACTCACGGATACTCCATATGAGTATTTGTGAGTCGTATGTATCACTCTGGCTTTTTGTTATTTCATGGTACAGTAATCGTACATTGCATCTCTCGCAAGCTGCTCTCTTATTTGATATCCCGTTGTTGCTCGTTAGCATCCGAATTCCTTGTTCAAAGTTGTCATCTCAAATGTATATGTATTTGTACATTTAAATCTTGTAATGTTTCTGTCATGAATTTTTTGGTGGACAGGGCATTAATATTCATGTAGCGACTGCATTTTTCGCCCCCGGACATCGACTGCTAAACATATATATCTCAAAAGATAGGGCATTTTAATGCCGAAAGAATATGATTGGACACATACACACTTCCAACAAAACAAATTTTATTCCCTAATAGAAAGACATATATCTTTAATTGTATTTAATTATTAAGTCTTTGCATCGAGCACACAGAAAATTCTATATATAAAACATACTATATGTTGACTTATTATATTGACATATTAATAACAGTCCAAGTGTCAAGTTATTTTGTATAACATATCTTGCTCAACGTAACATTTCTATTCCTAATTATTTTCAGTGTGCAAATACACATATTTGTTATTTATGATTGTTCTCTTATGGCAACGTGGCGTTGCACAAAACAAGAAGCGTGTTCCACAGGTGTTTTTGTTTGCTATCTAAAATTTCTGCATCACACGCACGCGATGCTTACAAAAAACACCTGTCAATTTCTTAACGAATAAAATTATTTCAAATAACCTTACAATTTGATACAACGCAATTTCATATCTGAGTATTTCGAATATGTTTTCGTATGGTTTGAAATTTTGTTGCATAAATTCCGAGGTTAAAGAATAGATAATGTAGATAATTCTCAAAGTGAGTCTTTACAATAAAGTATCGAAAATAATACACGCGATGAATTATAAATTCTTACATAGACAAGCGTACCAATTTGGTATTCTACTTTGGTAAATAATAGTTAGCTTTTCCAACAAAAAAAACTTATGAACGCAGTTTTCCTAATAAAAAAACTAGGAGAGTCGATACAGAGGCGCATACATCAAGATAGGTGGTCATTTGAAATACATCTCTGTAAAACGCCTCTACCCTCCAACTCCTGAAAGTCTCTATATTAACAAAAACGACCCTAAAATAGAACATCTACTGCATTTTTTACAGTTTTTCTCAGGCAATATCAAATAATATTGGACTGTTTGGGTTATCTGTATATTAGCTATTACTAAAAGTACTAACTTTCATCAAAAGACATTCTTTCGTAATGCAGTGTTGTTTCTACTTTAAATCTACAATTTCATCAACTTATAAGCAATTACACAAGGTTTGCAATCAAGTGATTGAAAACAAAAATGCAAAAGATTCAACATAATTTCGTACCGCTCTGCTTTCAAAATAGAAAAACTTAAAACAGTGCATGGGCACCTACTGTAAATAGTAATCAATTGATTGAAAAGTAAATTGAAGAGGATTCAACATATTTTTTGTACCGCAATTATTTAAAAACAGCTAAACGCAAAAAGTGCATCGGCACTTACTGTAAATATAATTTTATTTTTCGCATTCCAATTTGGAATGAAGATTCTTCTCGTGACGTCGTAGATGACTGGGATTATTAAAGGTCTTGGGACACTCGCTGCATTTGTACGGCCGTTCTCCAGTGTGTATTAATATATGACGCTGAAGATTGCCAGAAATGGAGAATGCTTTAGAGCAATACTGACACTTGTATGGCTGTTCTCCCGTATGTATCCTGTTGTGCTTCCTTAGTGAACTGTACTCGGCAAACGATTTGTCACAGGCTAAACACAATCGAATAAAACATTGTACAAACATAAGATCCGTGAAGTGGCGGTTCTTATTACTCTCTCTGTGTTTTTTGCAAATTTCTACATTTTGGGTGTATCAGACAATAAAGATGAGGACTAAATATTCACTAGTTGAATTTATCATTTCTTTGGTTTTCCTTCTATTTCGAACCAAACATTTAAGCCTGATCATGTAATTAGACATATCGACCTTTTAGGATTGCTTATCCGTTGGGATAATCCTTGTTTGATCGGGTGGTCCTTATTGGCTGGGGATTCTTATGGGAATGGGGATCTTTATAGTCGGGGGTGATTCTTATTGGCTGGGTGTGTTCTTCATTGGAATAAATGGTTCGTGTGGCATTAGTAATCCCTATTGCCTCGGATGATCGTTCCTAGACATAGTGATTTTAATTTTACTTTGATCCTTATCGGCTCTATCAATCCTTACCTGAGCATTTGTATGGTTTTTCTCCAGTGTGAATTCTTACGTGTTTTTGAAGAGAGCCTGGATCTCGAAAGGTTTTGGGGCAATAAGAACACTTGTGTGGCCTCTTTTCCATGTGAATCGCGATGATGTGTTCCTCGAGATCCTCTCGCTTTGTAAATTCTTGAAAACATATACTACATTGCATGTTCTTCTGGTGATTTGCGTGGTATTCAATGTGTTTCTGTAAACCGGCAGTACTTCGACATACTTGAGTACAAACGTTACATGGATAAATGAAAGCGTTGCTGACATGACAGGTTGTGCGGTGCGAAATAAGATCTTCCTTTGAAGAAACTTTAACGTGACAATTTTCACAAGTCAAGGCATTCTCGCCCGTTTCATTTGAATGATTTTCTTTCTCGGAATCAGCATCGCTATTGCACAAACTGTTTCCTTTCTTCGTGTCTAATGTTATTTCGCTGACGACAGCATCACGTGTGCCCAACAACTTTTCAGGTCCGCTCCACATGGACGATATTCCATCGATGAAAATACTATCATTGCTGGGATCTTTCTGTTTCTCAGCAACTTCATGATTGACAGCTGCAACATCTCTAATCTTTAAGGAAGGTACTGTGTCTTTGTTAATTAACGATTGACACACAGCATTAATGAACACTGGCTTCATTGAATTCTCCATGTTCTTTCTGATCTCGCTAAAAGATGCCCCACTGCTTAGATCTGCTAGTGTCTCTCTTCTCTTCATGGTTATTTCACCACTGCTTAGATATGCTAGTGTCTCTCTTCTCTTCATGGTTATTTCACCACTGCTTTGATCTGCTAGTGTCTCACTTCTCTCCATGGTTATTTCACCACTGCTTTGATCTGCTAGTGTCTCTCTTCTCTTCATGGTTATTTCACCACTGCTTTGATCTGCTAGTGTCCCTCTTCTCTTCATGGTTGTTTCACCACTGCTTTGATCTGCTAGTGTCTTCTCTTCATGGTTATCACCATTGCTTTGATCTGCTAATGTCTCACTTCTCTTCATCAACTGCTTTGATCTGCTAGTGTCTCTTTCTCTTCATGGTTTTTCACCACTGCTTTGATCTGCTAGTGTCTCACTCTCTCATGGTTATTTCACCACTGCTTTGATCTGCTAGTGTCTCTCTTCTCTTCATGGTTATTTCACCACTGCTTTGATCTGCTAGTGTCTCACTTCTCTTCATGGTTATATCACCATTGCTTTGATCTGCTAATGTCTCACTTCTCTTCATGGTTATTTCACAACTGCTTTGATCTGCTAATGTCTCACTTCTCTTCATGGTTATTTCACAACTGCTTTGATCTGCTAGTGTCTCTCTTCTCTTCATGGTTATTTCACCACTGCTTTGATCTGCTAGTGTCTCTCTTCTCTTCATGGTTATTTCACCACTGCTTTGATCTGCTAGTGTCCCTCTTCTCTTCATGGTTGTTTCACCACTGCTTTGATCTGCTAGTGTCCTTCTTCTCTTCATGGTTATATCACCATTGCTTTGATCTGCTAATGTCTCACTTCTCTTCATGGTTATTTCACAACTGCTTTGATCTGCTAGTGTCTCTTCTCTTCATGGTTATTTCACCACTGCTTTGATCTGCTAGTGTCTCACTTCTCTTCATGGTTATTTCACCACTGCTTTGATCTGCTAGTGTCTCTCTTCTCTTCATGGTTATTTCACCACTGCTTTGATCTGCTAGTGTCTCACTTCTCTTCATGGTTATATCACCATTGCTTTGATCTGCTAATGTCTCACTTCTCTTCATGGTTATTTCACAACTGCTTTGATCTGCTAGTGTCTCACTTCTCTTCATGGTTATTTCACCACTGCTTTGATCTGCTAGTGTCTCTTCTCTTCATGGTTATTTCACCACTGCTTTGATCTGCTAGTGTCTCACTTCTCTCCATGGTTATTTCACCACTGCTTAGATCTGCTAGTGTCCCTGTTCTTTTAATGGTTATTTCACTATTGCTTTGATCTGCTAGTGTCCCTGTTCTTTTAATGGTTATTTTACTATTGCTTTGATCTGCTAGTGTCCCTGTTCTTTTAATGGTTATTTCACTATTGCTTTGATCTGCCAGTGTCTCTGTTCTTTTAATGGTTATTTCACCATTGCTTTGATCTGCTAGTGTCCCTGTTCTTTTAATGGTTATTTCACCATTGCTTTGATCTGCTAGTGTCCCTGTTCTTTTAATAGTTATTTCACTATTGCTTTGATCTGCTAGTGTCCCTGTTCTTTTAATGGTTATTTCACTATTGCTTTGATCTGCTAGTGTCCCTGTTCTTTTCATGGTTGTTTCACCACTGCTTTGATCTGTTACTTTCCCTCGTCTTTTTGTTGTTATTTCGCCACTGAACTTACTCGTTGATGTTGTTCGACTATCCAATAAAGCGTTATGATACATGATTACGGTCGAGTTGCAACTGACAACAGGAAACGGTATATCACTTATCATGATTCTAGCTACATCCATTTCATCATTTCCATAGTTTGTGCACACTTTTTGTTTCTCGCATCGTTTTGGCCTTTTTGCATGGTTGGAAGTTGCCGGCAGCAAACATGCTCGCTTGCTCGTTGTAACTGGTTTCTTATGTTTAGCTTGATATTTTATAACACTTGTTTGAGTCTGTTGTGATGTATATAATGTTGAATCGGTCAAAGTTTCTAGTGAAGATAATGGCGTTTTTTTAACTTTGAAAGATTTAGAAATTTTTCCAAGGTTAGGAGTCTCAAAGTTTGTGAAATCGTTATTGTCTGATGAAAAATGTGTTTGTTTATGGTTGAAATGAAGTTCAACTGATCCCGTCGAACGTTTCCAACATTTATCTGAAACTGTGATTTCTTTTGACAGTATTTTGTTTTTTTTGTTAAAATTTGTGATTTGTCGTGTCGGTTGTTGATTATACAACTGGAATTCAGAGGCGGTAACTGGTGATAATGTAGATGTCGCGATGGATGTATGGGATAATATTGGTGGATGTATCCCTGTCTTTACAGCTTGATCCCCAACTCGTGACCAACGAGTTCTGTTTGCTTGACATCTGTAATCTGTCTTAACAATTGGACACATCATACCAGCCGACATCCTGGGAATGTCACCGATATAGTTGAGGAGAATGGTGGAGTTCATGTCCTCTACATTCCTGGCGATCTTGTCTAAACAGATTTTAAATGTTCAATAGCATATGTTCAATTCAAATTCCAGCAACGAGAAACGTTTTAGAGCACTTAGGACGTAGTTTGTCGTCGTTTGTCATCGTGGAGTGTTTGTGATTCGCTCATTATTATTAAACCTCAAACATATGCGGGCCACACATGATTCGCATGTATACAATTGAAATAAACCTTACAGACAAATTATTTGCCGTTTAAGGAAACTATTTGTAAGGCAACGTGCCTGATGTTTCGAACTGATAACGAAAAATCTTCAATATAGTCTAAAAGCATACTCAATTACAGGAAGAAGAGTTATGCAAAAGCTATCAAACAAAGTTATTGATGCGAGGAAATTTTTAATAAGGAATGTTTTGTAATCGCAAAGTCTTAACGTGGGAAAATCCTGTCTAAGAGTTAACAAACGCTAGAATCTTTGTAAATTCTTTATGCTTTACGTGCAGTGTGTATCGGCAGGAGTGTATTTCAGTATTTTGTCGATAAACCTACATAATTTGGTATCCCTACTGTTTAAAGATGGGGGATGTAATCCTACGTTGGTTTGTAGATACTCACTCGATAACAGCAAACGTTATAACATGCGCAATTTTAAGACAAGTTGTAACTTGATAACTCTGTTGAAACATTCGAGTAAAACTTTAATTTACGATAAGCACAATTGGTAAAAGTGACTCGATATCGCTAATTTTTTTGATGGATGTAAGAAAATATTAAATCAATATTTATTCAGTTGTCTGAAGCTGCCTAGATATCTTCCATCTCAATATTTCGATAGGCTATGGCTTTTTTATCAGGCAGCACGAATGAAGGCAAGCAAAGGAATTGGTTTCATTCTTCGAAATCTTCGATTCTCCTCTATATTTGTGGTTCGATCATCAATTAAAATCAACATCTATTTTCAAAAGTTATAAAATATTTAAAATGTACATAGAACAGAACACAGCGTGTGGAAGGGGTTTTTATTAATTATTTATAGTGGGAAAATGTGTGTTTACTATAGAAGATTCAATATTGCCAACGTTACCGCCAACATATAGGAAAAATTCGCGCCAACCATTTTCTTAGAGATGCCCTTTCAATGTGCGACATTGTATTGCCATTTAACGAAAAGTATTACATTTTTTCCAACTATTTGGCATTTGAAAATGTGAAGCAATTCGCCAGTAATTCCGAGTTTTAAGTCGTGCATGACACGTACCATTTTGACTCGATTTTCTTTGCAAATCATTTTATTCGTATTGTAACGTTGAAATGATTCAAAATAGATCGTAATTTATGACGTTATTTTTCCTGAAACTTTTTCAAACGATCAATTGGTTAGGTTGTATATGTCAGTACAGTCGCGCCGACGGTCGAATTTTTTTACAATTATGCGCATCTTCCGCGTAATACATAAGCTTCCTGGAACATACGTTACTAAGAAAAGGTCAAAAGCTTCTTTTCCCTCCTTTATATTGTCCTGCAGATGAAGTAAAGAAAAATCTTACCCACTGTCGTTTCATAAATCAATTAATCGTCAGGGAATCGCCTTTTCAAGCTGACTTTGAGAAGAGTTCATTTACGTTTGAGATATTCATACGTTAAATCGATCAACAGATTTCTTCATTTTCCGCAATAAGGTTTGTGGATTTATTGTCGAATCAGGAACGGACTTAGTTCAGTTTCTGTATCAACACTTTAGCCAACACCATCTATGTAATTACGTTTGTAATGTTGTACGCTGTCTGTTTAGCGTATAGTACGTTAGTAACAGCTGCATTTGGAGAGGTCTGTCTTATATTGGGGTGCATCACGGGACAGCTTTATGAATGAACATCGAATTTGACAGGTTTATTGCGCGGGAAATGTAGTGAATGATTAATGGTGGACGATTACATTACCAGCAACCTGTGCGCTTTTATGTTCAGAACACTGAGCAAGGAGAAATTAGTGGGAAACGAGTTCTGATATTGAAAAAAACGTTCTGGAAAATTGCTTTCGAAAGAGCTGTGAATAAGATGATATGTAAAGTTTCCTTATTTGCTTGGAATTTACTGTGCTTGTGAAGCCCAAAGACGAAAAATGTTTAATCCCACACTATCAGAATTCTTTTTTATTTCTTAAAAAATGAGTTATTTTTTACGGTGTAACCAACGGCATGATCGAAAATGCCCTGCGTTTGCGCAGAAGCAAATTTATTTTTACAAAATTAACTAATTGAAAATATTACTAGTTCCCAATTTCCTTGCAATAGCACGGATGAATTTCGATCACGTGATATTGTTTACGATTTGACAAAGAAACGAAGAAATGTAAATATGTTGGAAAAGCATTTACTGCTTTGATTGTCAAATCATTTCTATCTTAGAGGCTTTTTGTTGCCTAGCGATGCTAAATAAAACAAAAAAAGACAAGGTATTATTTTACATGTTTTTTTATTTGTGTTAAATGTTTGTTTGGAAATCATGGTTTGCAGTTTATTACATCGTGTGGATGTGTCAAAGTTAGATTTACACTTTTGCATTGTACACTTCTTGCATGATTTTATGAAAATTTTCGTCCTGAAACTTTTAGAGCCCCTCGGAGGACGTGGGAAAACATTTTAATGAGGTTTGTAAGTTAAAGGAATTGTTGTCAAGAGACCTTTAAGATTTATATGCCCTCTGACTTAAACACTGACTTGTCACATTTGCTCTTTATCTGATAACGTTCTTGACACAGCCGACAAATGCAATTGACCCAATATTGACCATTGGCTTTCCGGATGTGCATATTTTGAATTTTCTAGACGGAGAAGCAAAGTGAAGAGGGAATGCTCAATAGTACAAATAACGTATCTCTCACAAAGAAAGATCGCCAACAGGGTTCTGCATTCGATATTTCTGTTGACCGTGAATTACTTCGCATGCCTGCTATGAAAGGTAAGATTATTGTAGCTTATACAGTGGATAACAAGAATCTTATAATGAAGTGCAATGTAATAAAATATTGTGCATCTATATTATCTTTGTAATTCACTGCATTTTCGAGTCGCTTTTTTTGGCCTTATGAAAGAACATTGTTCTAAAAAGCATTGTATTATACAATAAACAATGAATTGTTCGTTGTAACAAGCTATTAAAGCGGGCAGGTCATTTTCTTTTTTGTGTCGTCTTTGACAGCTGCATCGGGCCTGACTGCCAAATAAGGTGACAACAGCAATTTCTCGAAACTATTTGTAAATAATACATTCACCTATTTTCTTCATTTTCTCCGAAAACAAGATAATTGTACAATATTTCTTGTTGTGGAATGGGGTTTTGTACTCGTCAAATTTCGTTGTTTCAGACTTGTTCATTTGAAACGATAAATCATTCATTTGAAACGATATATCATTCATTTGAAACAAAATGATTTAAGAAAGAGCAATTAATACCATTGCCACCTATTCAGACAGCATAATTAATCATCATGCTGCTGTTGTTATTTTCGTTAATAGCAGAAGGTTTATTTGTTAAAGTTTTTTTGTCCTATATGATAATTTGTTTCATTAATAATAGTCTAATCACGAGAGCAAGCTTATTGACTCGTGGTAAATTGTGATAAAGTTCATTTGACCACCTGCAGTTAATGAAAATTTACTGATCTCAGCAATCCTTCCATATGACTTCATATTTTCTGTATGTTTGCAGATACCCAACTTGATAAGAGAGAAGAATTGTTCATCAAAAAATTAAAACAGTGTTGTATAATCTTTGACTTTGTGTCTGACCCTTTGAGTGATTTGAAATGGAAGGAAATAAAGCGAATGGCCTTATATGAGTTAGTAGATTATGTTGCACAAAATCGAGGTGTTCTCAGCGAACCTATTTATAAAACATCTTGTGAGATGGTAAGAATACAATTGGTTCAATATTATACTCTTCATATTATTTAATACCTTGTTGTATTTTATGGTCATTTAGTTTGCTTTAAATGTATTTCGTGTTTTGCCACCACCTACAAATCCCAATGGAGCAGAGTTTGATCCAGAAGAGGATGAACCATCACTTGAAGCTTCATGGCCTCATTTACAGGTGATGTTTCCACATATGACATGAAATCAAAACATTACATTTGACAGTAATGATCTTGACACTGTTTTTTTGCTAGTATATACCATGTATGTAACTAGTTAGTCAATAATTAGTGGACTATTAAATGTTTTGCTATTTTTTCCAGATTGTCTATGAATACTTTCTGAGAATTCTTGAATCACCAGACTTTCAACCAAACCTTGCTAAGAAATATGTAGATACGAAGTTTGTAATGAAGGTTCATTATGCATTTGATATTTCTTTTCCAACTACTCTTATTCATGGCATATATGTTGACAGTGATCTCTTTAATTCCCAGCTCTTGGATTTGTTTGACACAGAAGACCCTCGTGAACGGGACTTCTTAAAGACTATTCTTCACAGGATCTATGGCAAATTTCTGAATCTTAGAGCATTTATACGCCAACAGATCAACAACATTTTCTATCGATTTATTTATGAAACTGAGCACCACAGTGGCATAGCAGAACTTCTTGAAATCCTTGGAAGGTAAGTGACATATGATGAATTATAATCAGTGTTACTATTGTTAATATTATTATAATTAATATAATTATTGAATAATTATTTGTATGTATCTTTAGCATTATCAATGGCTTTGCATTACCTTTAAAGGAAGAACACAAGTTTTTCTTAAAGAACATCCTTATGCCTCTTCATAAAACAAAATGTTTGAGCATGTATCATCCTCAGGTATGTTTAAACAATCAACTAGATGTTGCACTACCTGTTCATCCAATCATCAGTTGGATGTTTTTATCCAAATAAAGATTAAGGACAGATTTGTGATTAAAAAGTGTCCAACACAGATACGGTTAAAATTGTGCTAGATGCTTTGTAATCCAAGGTTGTATAAGAACCATTGTTTAGGAAGTCCAGATATTTTCAATTTACTTTTCAGTCCTATGGTAAGCCAATCCTCTCTTCATAATACATATCTATAAAGGACATTTTTTCCTTTTTTCTTTCAGCTAGCATACTGTGTTGTTCAGTATTTAGAGAAAGATTCAGAACTCACACACACGGTAGTTGTATATGATTTCAGTCTTTGCCACAATCATCGTCAAATTTTTTTATTGTCCCTTTTTAGGTTGTTACCAGACTCCTCAAGTTTTGGCCTAAAGTTCATAGCCCTAAGGAGGTAGCATCTGTAATATTTAATTTTTAAAAATTTACCTTATATATTATGGATGTGTATGTTGGACAACAATAGGTTATGTTCCTGAATGAACTTGAAGAGATCCTTGATGTGATTGAGCCTGTTGAGTTCATCAAGATCAGTCAAATTTTGTTCAAGCAACTTTCGAAATGTGTTTCAAGTCCACACTTTCAGGTAATGCATTATTCATAAGCTTATCTACTAGTCCTCCTTCAGGCACTGCATTCTCCATAAGTTATACCTAAGTCCTATTTTAAATAATGCATTATCCAACTTATACCTTATTATTTTGGTATTGTTTTAGCCAAAAGTAAATAGTTCATTAACTTCCATTTCATTTTTATAATTGACTTTCAAATGTTGTTATGTTATATACTGCATGTAAAGCTGCACAGGGAGTACGTATATGACGTCACTTTTTTGGTTACATCAATTCTTAGTTTCTCTAAATGATGTCACTTCGTCATGTAGGTTGCAGAAAGAGCTTTGTACTTCTGGAATAACGAATATTTAATGAGCTTAGTGAGCGACAATGTCGCGAAGATAATGCCAATTGTTTTCCCGTCGCTGTATATTAACTCCAAATCACACTGGAACAAGTAAGTCATTTTAAAAATATTCAGTCCGTTGATGCAGTAGTTACGCTTTCCTGATGTGTATTTCATGCAGAACCATCCATGGTCTTATATACAATGCTCTTAAGTTATTCATGGAAATGGACCAAAGATTGTTTGCAGAATGCACACAGAACTTTGAAGAAGAACAAGCAAGGTAAATCACATACTTCCATCGACCATCATGTCATTTATATAAATTAATACATTTTCCTTGAGCAATCGTTATTTTGCTCAGTTTCTTGTCACTAGACTTCATTCAATTGTTGAATTTTTATTTCCTTAACAGTGTGATTAAGAAACAGCGAGAACGCGAAGAAAACTGGAGAATTATTCATCAGCTTGCTGTCAAGAGTCCTAATGTTAGTAATTATGAAAGTTACTTTTTACTGTAGAAGGCTGTAGAAACTCATTTGAGATCGGAAATAAGTTAATTCTGTTGCAGGCGTTTATGGTTCCAGAGTTGAAGCAAATAACCGATAGGGTATACAGATCAAGTTCTCATCCTTCAGAGTTTAATAGCAACGAAGTTTACTTCTCAAAAGATAACTCCACCACAAATAAAGTAGACACAAAAAATCAAAATAATAAGGTTTGTAGTTATTTGCTTCAGCCTCGTCCTTTAAAGTGTTAATGCTTAAAGCATTTGAAAGACATGCTGTTATAACGATATATTGGTGAGAATCACATGCACGGAACTTAGTGTGGCATTACCATTCACAACATTGATAAATTTTACTTTTTGTCCAAGATTATTATAAAATTTGTTTACATTCTTCGAAGCAATCTGTTGTATGTCCTCCTGAAATCTTTCATGATAGTAAGTTATCTCTATGCAGGCTAACAAAGGTATCAATCATAAGAAAACGTCCCGTAAGAAGTCTGAACTTCCCAAAGAGGAGTCGTCCCCTTCCATGCATTTGCAAAAATATCGTCATTCTTTTGAATCTGTTACCAGCTGAAATTACATTGTACTCATTGCTTGTTGCTCTTGCAATAGCATGTGCTGTTTAAGAAGCTGTCCAATTTGCTGTATCACAATGAATTAAATGGCATAACTAAAGGATACGAATTAGGGTATTTTTGAAAGCTTATATATTTGTAAAATATTCTTTTAGCTTCTTTTATATTGATTTCCTTTATTTTGAAATGCCTTTCAATCATTTTCTCTGCATTCATGTGAATGCTGAATGAACTGTATTATATATACATACATATATATAAGTTTGAAAATTTGTAATCCAGGCATTTAATACATAAAAGATAAAAGTTTCTCCGGATTTAAAGTGAGTTTTCGTGAGTTTTTTAAATCCGGAGAAACTTTTATCTTTTATATATACATACATATATATATGTACAATAAGTCTTAGAAAACTTTCTTTATTATAGTCCAAGTAACGGAACTGGACAGTTATCTGTTTCGTTGCATTTGTTTTTGTTATGAGGGGAAATAAGAACTGGCTAGTCCGTGCATGTGACAAAAACCTAAAACTCTCATGACTTCAATTGAGTTTTTTAAAAACAACATAAGTTGCTCGTGATAGTAAGTCTACTTCAGGTTCTGTGAATAAAAGTAGCCTCAACATGACGAAATGGTTTTATTGAAAGAATCGTCCAGTGTCTTTATCAGGAGTGTACTGATTTTGAGTTCTTATGTACACCAAATTAATATTTTCATCATGAGTAAGTCATTACATACTCGTGATATTGATCATTAAATTTGTCACGTGGAAAGACCCACTTGACTAAGTCGTGGATACATGCAATCAAACAAATTTGACCAATCTCGATTCCCCTAAACCTATGGAAAAAGACTAAAATTTTACTCTAAACGATCCGGCATTCCTTTTCAAATTTCAGCGCTTTTGAAATAAATTGTCATTTATGGCTTATAGTTATAACCTGCATGTATGTATATAACCTGCCTCGATTATCGAGGTACATGTGCATGGCAAGAAACTATTAGCGTATACATAACACTTAGGAGGCAACAAAAGCGCTTTTGAGAATTCAGTATAGTGTTAGTAAATGCGTTCAAAAAAACACCAATCCCTAACATTTTGTAAAGTGAAGTTCAACGAGGATTGTGGTCGGTGGGCTTGGTGTTGTTAGCAAAATGTTGGACTTATGGATTGCACGGAGAAGCTTGGAATTGCAATCCCAACGGAATTGTTGAAGAAAACAGCCTTGTTAGGTACAGCCAGAATTTTAAGGAAGGTGTTGGAAAGATAAAAAAAGAAAGTAAAGCAAGGGACCTTTGGCCAATGAATATTCCTGTTTACACCCGGAAAACTTGCAATCTTTCTAAGGATGAAAGAGGAGGAAGGAACAATCTTTCTAAGATAATTTGAAATGATATGATTAGCTATTAATCTTCCATAGCTGCTTGATAGTCTATAAGAGTAAAAAATGGAAAAACAATTCTTCAAATTTAATTGCGAAGGAACCCTTCATCTTTTTGCATATATAGTGAAACGATAATAAATTACCGCATGAGATTGGGTAGTGAGAAACCTTCAGTTGCCATCTAACTCCTCTTGTACATTGTGCTGAGCAATGTATACTTTAATAGAACATTTCATTAAAATCGCTATGAAGTTGTCTTGGGTATCTTCGAGTTCGGAATGAATTTTAGGTGTTGCAATTACTTGGAAAAAGTAGGGCTTGCTTCAGTTGTCAAGATAACTTTTGATTGTGTACATAAATAGACGGTCATTTGGTCATGTGAAGGAAATTTTGTACGTGATTTGTAAATGCTTTATATACGCTTAGGTACGTAATAAATTGGACGGTTGTCTCTTTGCGATCAAAAGAATTCCTTTGAATCCGAAAAGTGTACCGTTTAATCGCAAAATTACTCGAGAAGAGAAGTTACTTACTATCCAAAGTTAATCAAAATTTTATAACATAATGGTTCAAAGCGAGGTTCAATTTAGACTATACAAATTGCTTGGCTTATTAAATGTCATCTTTGTAGAAACTATTATAACAAAGTAGATAATCCCTTTTTTCCATGAAGCCCATGGATGCTTTCTCGCTCATAATGAGAGAGTCATATTGTACATAATTCCGCCGCACAATGGTGAACTTGCCACGCGTACTTGTTGTTCGTGACAAGCGTGATCGACAAAATTTCCTAGTGTGCGCGAAAGTTTTGAACAACAATTGTCATTCGTGACAGATGAGTCAAATATCAAACGCGTTTGGGCTTAAGGAGGCTCTCGTTCATCACGAGAGAGTTATGAGAAAGTTACATTGTAAAAGGTAACAAGTAAAAAAAAACGTATAAAAATGTTTAGAGATAGTTTAGAAGAAAATTGCAGAAGCTGTTTGTACAATTGCAGTATACTTGGATGCTCTAGTTTCTTTTATGAGAAGATAAAAAAATAGATAAAAGATAAAATTCAAAAGCAAAAAAAACACCGTTTTCGGGCCTTGCTTCCCGATACCTTGTTTACGTAAGGCAATAGAACGCCGCATGTTAACGTTTCGGTAGGAGATTTCGGCCCCTCCACGCTATCCTGCTTGGGAGACGGAATAGCAAGCTTCCGCCCATCAGACCCCGAGATCACCTGCGATAGGCTTTGCTCGGGTACGCAGGGAGAGTGCGGGCGCCACCGAAGTCTGGGCTCCTAAGCCACTGCATACTATATCGCACCCAGCTTCCACTGCTAGTTGACATGTACTATATAAAGTATTTACTTTATATATATACACGTGCTGTATATACGTAAATTTGAAAGGCTTACGAAAGTTGTGGTATAATTGACATCGTTACTGCGCATGCGCAGATGATTTCTATAATAATTTTCGACTAAGTAGGTTAATTGCTACAAATGAAGTGCAGGTATGTATAGTTAGTCGTTTCCTTAACTACGAACTATTAGTCGAGTGGACTGTGCATGCTGGAGCGCATGCGCAGATGATTTCTCTATTAAAATGTTACTAAGCATGCTATTTATTTCAAAATCGGTTCTGGTAGATGCAGTTGGTCGTTGCCATGAGTGTGAACTTGAGCAGCTGGTCAAGTAAACTGCGCATGCTCAAGCAGATTGCGCATGCGCAGATAATTTATCTAAAAATTTGTGAGTGAGCGAGCTAATTACTCCCTCTAATCGGTACTAGTACATACAGTTGGTGGTTGCCATGACCATGAACTTGGAGAGTTGGTGGAGTTGACTACGCGTGCTCAGATTAATTCTTAATTAATTTGTGAGGGAGCGAGCTCTGAAATTGGTGTTTGTGTATGCGCAGTTTCAATCAAATATATTTGGCATGCTCTTTGTCCTCTTAAGCTTGTTTTGAGAAATCAAACTCATCAACACTTTGTTACGCCACTCGTAATATCCGTGACAATGTTAGAGATTTTTTTATTTCTCTCCATAACTTTGTGTCTGCATATTTGGTGCATAAACAATGCTCTAATGCATTTATGACGGATATTATAATTTGTGGATTGAGATCAAGGGAGAAATCAAAATGGCTGTGATGATGGAGATGAGTATCTTGATTTGATGCCTATTCCATTCGGCTACGCTGCGAGAAATTGAATGAATAAATTTGATGAGTTGCAAATGCTTGGAAAAAGGAGGGTTTGCTTCAGTTATAACATCGGTATGAAATTGGCCAGAAATAAAAAGAAATAATAAATTAATAATATAATATAATATTTACAATATTTATAATGTTTTTATTACTTATAAATTGAGCTTTAAGGACTTATTTAATTTCTTTATATTTCAGTATGCTTAACATTTTCTTACGCCAGCACTATTTCGCTCCTGCCGCACTCTGTCCAAATCATTATAACGCCGATACGACATTTGTAAGCTTTGTTCAATCAAACATTGTCTTTTGGCGAAGTCTTATAACTAGAGGACATCCTCTTTCCAAAATCTTTTTATTTGCAAATATTCGACGATGCTTTCTACCGATGCTAAGCTGTCTAGTAACGCACCCTTGCACATTTCACGAAGTATAGAAGAATGTATGTCATTGCATGACGTATGAGTGTGATATATATGCCATAGGCCTGGGTCGGCTACTCTTATCACGTGGAAGTGTTTTGATAAAAATGCTTCAAACAATTGGATGTCTTCAAATCCCCATTCTTTGATATGAACGTTCAGACCTCCCACGGAGATAACGTCATCTCGGTAGGCGCACACGGGACCGTAGGAATACATCGCCCAATCTCCTTCCTTACGGTCGAATGAGATAAAGTATTTCGTCGAGTTCATTTTTGTGCCTGTGATATTTGCATTGAATGTCTTGAACATTACTGGGAAATACACTTGCTTCTTGGCAACGGTGTTATAACGACAGCGATGCAGAAACTCGTTGTTAAAATTTAAATCGACATCTGCAAAAATAACAGACCGTTGTGTTTATGAAAATCTACCGCAGCCTGCAATGCCTGGGCTCGTGAAAACTGCCCTGGCAGATTCAACCAATGAAATGAGATGTTGGGGTACGTCCGGTTGTAACGGTTGAACAACTTACTGTGCCTCTGTGGCGACTCGATTTCTGGGAAATATACGACCGTGATTGTGATTCGTTCATGTTGTTTTAAGATATTTCTTTCTAAGTTTAACAGGAATAGCTGAAAATTTTCAAATCTACCTGCCAAGGGTACGACCACATTGACCGTGGTTTCTTTTGGGGTAAAAATTGTTTTACTTTGGATGGCACCAAATTCTTGTTTCGTCCTCGCTAAATGACGTTGATGGTTCGTTGTAAAAATATTAAAACGGTATTCCAGACCATTGATTGGCTGCTCTATCAGATACCCATAATGCAGAGCATCAAAATGTATGCTTTCATTGAGATGTGCGGCGCGTATTTTATGCATAACTGAGTCGATAACACGCGAGATTTGTTTCTGAGAATGACTTCTTAGCGACCAAGATCCTTTATTATGAGGAATAAAATGTTTTCCTTGTATAAACATGTAGCTTCGTTCAACTTTCTGCACTTTGCTCAATGACTGTGTAGAAATCTCTTGATTTTCAGAATTATCGATGAACCATTTCAAATCATTCAGTTTTCTTTGAAGTCTTTTATTCTTTCGACTTAAACTACGAACTTTTTCAGTTAGCAGTTGCATTCGCGCTCTGTGCAAACACTTCGTGTTTTTTGATAGATCAAATGCAACCATAAACGAGGTGATGTCTTTATAATCTTCTTCGCAGGCATTGTTGTATTTGCTTAGCGTGACTTCTGCTTCCTGATAGGATAAAAGTACAAAAGAGAGAATTGTATTCGAATCTTGGCAGGGGTTATGACAATTTAATGTACTTATGATAGTCTTCTATTTAAAGAGATTAAAACATATTTTTTACTCGCCTAAACCTATTTTCCACCCTGCTTTAGTCCCCATAATTGACAATGTCCTTACATTGGAATAGTCATTCATAAGTATAGAAACATTTTGTTGGCAGGATGTGAAACTATCGCTCTTCATTGAACAAGACTTGACGATTTCACGAGCGAGCCTTCGTAGCAACATCTGACTGATTACGGTACCAGCTTGAATGATGGACGACAGACTCATTTTCACCAAACCCAATTCATTTCTTCCTTTATATTTACTTGTTATAACAGAAGTACGATTTTCTTTACTATCTTCACGGATGTCCTCTTTGAGGGCAACACTTTTTCTGTTCGTTATGTGGACTTCCTCTTGCAGTATGAATTGACGAGTATCGTCAAGTTTTCGTATGTAGCTTACTAATTTATCGATGTTAAAGAAAAAAGCGCCATGGGTGAAAAGAAACCATTTGAAGTCCTTATCGTACATCTTTGAGACGTACGTGAACAGGTTTAAATAAGTCAAATCAGTCTCGTTACCATTCTCTATGTATGTGACATCGACGCTTTTAGCAACAATTGAGCTCTCGGTTGTAAAGTACAAAAGTTTAACATTCGATTGTTTGAAATCTTCGTAAAGCGTTCCCGTTTTTTTGTAAACGTGTTCAGGTTTCAATAAAACTGCAACAAGTAACAGTGTTGTATCTTGTTGAACTTCCTCATTCAAAGTATTTGGTCTTCTTTCGACATTGGTGCTCGTATCGACCAAGTAAACTATATGATGACATTTCAACACATGTCGCAGTGTTTTAACATTTTTGTTCCAGAGAGCTCCCCAATATATTCCAATGGCAATAAAAAGGGCGAAAATAATGCAATACTGCTTACTCTTCTCCTCCATTGTCAATGAAGATTAGTTTTGTATATTTAGATATTGTACCCGGATTGTATCCTAGCAATTTGTAAAAATAATATTCAAATTTGTTTTATTTGACTCTTAGTGCTTCATCGCTTTTCACGCCAGGTCACAAAGAATCTTTTCTTCAACCCATTATTAACTTATGCCTCTTGGCAGGCTGTTCCGAAAGTCCTTTTTCTGGGAGGTCAGGGTCGCGGAGAGGTTTGAAACGTGAGGGGCAAAAGAAGGTCGCAGAATCGGATTGTTATTTGCCGAAGTTGTTTTTAACAGTTTTATCAGGAATCGTTCAATACACAAAATTTGTTTGATTTCCTTTGTAAAGTTTAATATAGTGCGTTCAGACTGAGTATCCTGGCACGGTGCTCAGGCACAGGCACCAGTATGAACACAACATTTTGATGGTGCCCGTGTATAAGTGCCCAGGTCTGGGCACCAGGAAAAGAGGTAGTATGGAAGTACGGTGCTCGGGAAAGGGCACCAATGTGAACGACGACACCTGAGTAACGTTACAGAGAGACACGTATTCAGCACATGGTTTCAAAACTTGTTTACAAAGAAAAACATGAAATTATAAATAGACAAAGCTAGTGGGTACTACGCAGTGTGAAGGGCATGCAGATTTTTGCCCGAACCAGGGTATCGTGCTCCAGCAATCAGTCTAAACGCGCCATAATTGATCAATCTAACATCAACTATAAAATGAAACTGGAACGTAAGTGAGACATGAAATACTGTTAAAAATCCATACTTTGTCAAATGTAAGTATTTGTTAAAGAGGATTTTTATACTTTTACACTTTGCAAAGCAAGAGATTAGGAAAAAAGTGGGGGGCAGTTGCCCCCCTTGACCCCCTTCTCTGAGACCCTGAAGGTGAAGTGAAACAGGTTGAATTACCTGATTTTTTTGCAAAATTTCCAGTAGATGCTTTAAGTTTCTACAACTAGTTTTTTTCCATCAGCAAACTAATTTATTAGTAATGTAAAATATACAGATATATATGTGTGTGTATTTCACTCATGGTTATAGACTCAATGCTATGCAGCCTATGCAGGCTATGCTGATTTTCTTGATAACTAAACAAAGATAAATGCTGGTATTGGTAAATAACGAGTTTACATCGAAAGATACTAAATCATGATCATCTTCCATAAAGAGCAAAAGAATAATTTTCTACAACATTTTACTGAATAACCAAACCCTCCACATCCAATTCACTGCATAAGAAGAATGAGTGGTAACCTTACAAAGGACATATTTAGTGAAGAGTCAAGGTGGTGGAATTTTGAACACATTCATTTTCTACAGTTTTCATACATGAAGTACAACGTCATTGACAAGTAAAGCAACATGGCGGCTAAACTAAAACAAAAGAACACTAATAACAGAGGCGTTTTTACAAAACAAAAAATTGAAATGATCACAATTTCATGTTGAGCAAGGTCGAATGGCGAAGAAAATTACTCGGGGAATAGAATTCGAGTTGGAGAAGGCTAGAAACGAGGAACGTTGGTCTGATATTCCTAAATTGTTAAGTGACTTAGATTCAAGCAAAATAAATGTACCTGGTGAGACACAAATATTTCAGCTATATTTGACGCGCTGACTTATACTCCAAATTTCATGTTATGTTATAATTTTAATTCTTGATTATTTTTTTCTAGATTCTTTTCGCAATTTAGTTGAGTGTGAATTTCAAATTGAAATTCATTTCAACAAACATAAGATAGGAAGTAGTATCGACGAAACGTTAAAGATTGACCTTTCTATGTTGCTGACAAAACTTAAGTCAATCATAAAACATACTGCTTCTAATGAAGACTTGGTATGTTTTTAAATGGTGATGGTATAATTATGCAACTTATTTAATTTTCATCTTGTTGCACGTCTTTGATTTACAATAGCATTTTCATGGTGAGAAAATTCTTTTATAGCAAAATGTTGCATTAGAGGCACAATTCCTTCGACTCAAGATAAAGTTCATGTTTCAAGAATATGAGGAAACCTTGAAGATTGTTGCCCTGATTGAAAAAGATCTGCCTGTTTCTGAAGGCTCTTTTCGAAGACTAAAAATAGCTGCTGAAATGTTTGCCATTAAAGGTTTGCAATAAGATGTTAGTTTGCATCATGTTTTCATTTGACACTTCATAAATTAAGATGTCGGTGGACTTATGATTTTCTTTCTGTAATCTTGGTTCATTCTCGTCAATATGTAAATGTTCTCATGTTCTTTCTTTTCATTGGCCAAATAAAGTATTAGTTAAAAAACTTAATAGAAGCTGAAAAGTACCAATAAAAAGTTGTAAACTTTTTTTGAATTGAAAATATATTTATAGGTAATAATGTATTCTGACTTATGTAGATTTGCCACTGTTGGTAATCAAATGTGTGTGTTCTCCAAGTTGTTTATTAAAGATTAATAAGCGCACATTTTTTTGTTTAAATTTACAGTCAAAACTAGAAGAAAAAGCAAGAGACTGTGTTCTTCATGTTACAATGTGTTATTCATGTTCTATTGTGTTGGTCCTGTTGTGTTGTTTATTTAGTTAGGTCTTTTTCATGTTTTAATGTTATTGATGTTGCAATATGTCGTTTCTCTTGTATTGTTTTTTTAATGTTTCGACTTGTTGCTCATGTTATAATGTGTTATTCATTATTACTATAAAATATTATTTAGGTATATGTCTTGAACAATATGATGATGCAATCAATCACGTTGTGACAGAGAACGACATCATCAACTGTTATGACAACGCTACTAATTCCTTCATCAATATGCTTGAAGCAAACAATCGCAAAAATTCTCTCACTAAAGTTCAAAGTCAATCAAATTTATTTTTTGAGGATCTCAATGCCTTTATGGGTCTGGCACTCCAGACTGCTTTTCATTGTTTTATACTTCTCACTGTTAAACAAGGGTGAGATCAGTTCTCGTGTTTTCATCATTTGTTGACTTCTTTCACCAGGTATATTTAATGCTTTTAGAAATACTGAGAAAGCCATTGAAAAACTGCGAAATTTTTTGAGAAATGTTGATGTATCGTCAAATGAAGAATTGAGAAAGGTTTGATTAAAATCAATTCACCTTTATTGAAGTTACAGCATGACATTATTGCTTGCTGTTTCTGTGTTTATCAGTCTTTATTAGAGATTTCCAAATTGTTCAACATCTCTGTAGGTTGTTGTGGTGTAAAAAAAATGTCAAACTTACGCAGCTATTCAAGATTCGACTGCCTCAGACGTGTGCCCGTGTGTTGTCGCCCTAATATGGGTGTTGATGTTTCTTAGAAACACTTGCCCAACGCATGTTTTCTAGACGTACCGCAAAACAGTTTCATAAAACCTCCAATGATTTTTTGATATTTCCTTGTTTTCGGTGTTTTTCAATATTTTGCTTGTATTATCGTATGTCGATATTTCTAAATTTGCGATATTTATCGACTGTATCGAAATACCGCAGCAGCAGCTATCTTCGGTGTTCACCGTAATGTCATCGTGTCTAGGTCTTACTACAACAGTTAATCGACATTATGATGAAAGGAAAAAGCGAAAAAAGCTACGTCACTCCTACTATTGGTCCCCAGTCTCCTAAGATATCTGCTCAAATTTCTCAATCAAACCTTCAATTAGATAAAGGGTGAGTATATTTTTGTCGTTTTGTTGCACGATCTGTATTCCCTGCTTTTATGATATAATCTCAAATTCCCGTTTAAAAGATGGTTGTAGTTGTTTTAATATTGTGATTGTTAACATTGTGTTTTCTGTTTCCTGTAGTCTGTGTTTTATTCCATGTAATTTGACAGAAGATGTTTTATTGTTGCTGCTGATAAAGGAAGCAATGGTAAGAAATAAAAATGAAACCTAGAAAGATAAATGACGGATTTTACTGCTTAGATTGCTGTAATTTTTGCCCAGTATTTCTCTGACTGCACTAACATCAACCATAGAGAGTGTATGTTATACTGTTTTCAACCATATAGAGGTGTATGTTATATTGTTATCAACCATATAGAGGTGTATGTTATATTGTTATCAACCATATAGAGGTGTATGTTAAATTGTTATCAACCATATAGAGGTGTATGTTATATTGTTATCAACCATATAGAGGTGTATGTTATACTGTTTTCAACCACAGAGAAGTGTGAATTAATATTGTTATCAACCATAGAGAGATGTATGTTACAAATTGTAATCAACTATTTTGAAGTGTATGTTATATACTGTAAACCATAACGAAATGTATGTTTTGACGTAACCATGGAGAAGTGTATTGATCGCCGTAGCTCCATTACTCGTAAATCGTACGACGCATGCGCAGTTGCTATCTCCTAAAGTATTGAGGTTACGGCGATGATCTTTAGGTCATTTGAAAGTGCTTGACGAGAGCTTTAAGATGGGCTAAAGATTGTCGCCGTACCTCAATACTTTAGGAGATACACTTTAAGCATGCGCGAATCTTACTGATTCTATCTCCTAATGTATTGGAGCTACGGCGATTATCAGTATTTTGTTATTAAATATAAAGAATTGTATGTTGTACTGTGATAATTTTTGATAATTGTACATTGTTACAATTTGACAATTGTACACGTGATGCTTTGAATAAGTCAAAATTGTTTAGGTTTTACAAAAGTCAACTACAAGTATTGCACCTAACGATAAGGAAGCAAGAAAACTGACAGTGAAAGAAGGAAATCATGTATATAATCAACTTGTGATTGCTTTGTCAAGAACTGCGCAATACCCGCTTCTTGTTGAGGTTAATAACTTTTAACTAGTATTTCTCATTGTGATTCTCATTTCACAATGTTGTTAAGTATTGTTTTGTTTTTAGTGTTTAGAACGAGCAATGAAGTTAGCTTTTCAGGAATCTCATCTTTGGCTACAGTTTGGTCTTGCTTTAGCTAATGCGCGCAAGGTAGCTTAGCTTGATCTCATCTTAAATATGTTGAAGCTTGATCTCATGTTGAAGTTTGATCCTATTTTTAAGTTTAATCTTATTTTGAAGTTGATCCCCTGTCGAGTCTTCATCTCTTTTTTGAATGTCGATCTCATTTGATCTCATGTTATATCTTGATCTCATAGAATCGACTGTTATTTGATTTAATTGAACTATAGTGAAAGAAATATAATTTATTTGCATTTGTTTTTTGATATCTTTCAGTTTGCAATGTCGGCGCTTGTCCTCAAACAGTGCCACGAACTTCGTCCTAAAGACCCACTTATTTTACTTCATGTTATAAAACTCTATATAAACCACCTTCATCAGGTACGTTATCATCGTTTTCCTATGTTGGCTTTGACTGTTTTCTTCACGGCTTTCTTCTCTTAGTACGACGATGGAATTGAAATGGCGAAAATCGTTGTTAATATGGATATAAAATCGACATTGATTGGGAAAGGTTTTGTTGCTCTTGGTATTTCTCTATGCTGTAAAGCATCTCAAGGTGATAAAGTTTACCGTAACTCCTTCTTGCATTGTGAGATCTCGTGTTTAAAAAACCTCTGCGTAGTTATGAATGTTGCTTTTGAGAGGGACTCACTAATCTTAATTATTATTTATACATATTTAATATCGGTAGCTCTTCGGCATATGTACTGTTTTTTTTTAAAAAACTACACAAAATAGCAGTATATTTAATACTTTATATTGATACTTATATTATAGCTAATTACTACATTATTCTGACTCAGAGATCTAATCAACAACTTCGTGCCAAATAATGCTCGCTGGTCTGGTTTCCTTACCTATCTCTTTGCAACTTGCAACTCATAATTATCAAGTAAAATCTTTCCCCAATCAAACTTAATCATAAATTTAACATCATTGACTCAGAATGAGTGTATCCAGGCCATTTCGTATCGTCTACATCAAACACCAACGCAGGATGTGATGTATTCTTCTAAACGAACAATTCCTTTGTATCATGATTATTTCCGTGAAGGAATTCAACCACTATTCTTCTTGTGTTGTAGTATCGACAAATAAGGAGAAACAGGAACTTCATGTTCAAGCGTTAAACGCTTTTGAGAAGTATGTATCAGATAATTTGTCCCCACAATCATCGCATACATAAATCTATACCTCATGTGAATCAAATATCCTCTATTTTATTAATATGTTTTAGAGCTTTAGCACACGATGCTTTTGATAAAGAGGCTTTGTTTCACCTTGCATTAACACAATCGCTTATAAGAAAGGTGAGAAAATGTAAAAATATTTTTCAATAAATATACTTCGATTTCGGTAGGAACTCAGATTTCGTCAAAAGAGCAGGTTTCTTTGAGAGTAGTAGACCGATACCAAGTATAGTCTTTCTATGTAAGTTTTTGAACATGATCATTATTCAGTCATGAAGATTAGAATGCTATTTTTCAAAAGTGACTGAATCTCAGTAAAAAAAATGAACAGTGCGACCACTTGATTTGGCAACATGGCGCTGAATAAGTCTTTAATTATGTTACTGCATGTTACGTACTTTCTACTGTTAGCCAGCTCGGTGTTCCTATTGGTAAGAAAATAAAATTGACTGGCTCCATTATGGTAATTAGCTATATTCCTCATAAGTTGTGCATCACACAAGGCTTCAACAAAAATGAATAAAGTGGACATACTGAATGCTCTCTGTACTTGTGACTGAACACAAAAATATTTCACTGCTCGACAGCCTGGCTACCCTAGTGAAACTAATATTTTTACAACTAGTTGTGTAGCTAGAGGTCGTGCTTGTCATGTTCGGTATTACTAACTATTTTTATGAATTTTTTATTTATTTTTCAGACGACGAAAGCTCTACGCAATGCATATGCAGCGTTAAAACTGGACTGTTGCTATTTGCCTTCACTCCAGTTGATTCCCCTGCTGCTTTCGGCGAGACACAAGGTGAACATTTAATACTCCTTTATAACTCTTGCATCCTATGATGATGCATTATGTCAAAATCATATCCCTTGAGACCCCAATTAATAAATGATGTCATTTATTTGGATTTCTTTTGCTCCCTTCTAATTTATAATTTACTTATTCACATCTCTTATTGTCCACGACACCACAAGTGTATATCCCTCTTATGTAATTTACGATAGTGCTCATTTGTATTGTTTGTACTTTCAGGTGATAAATGATATCACTTACTAATGTTCGTTTTATCCCCCATTGTACCCCTATGAAAAGTTTGTCCTGAACATTTGATGTAGTTTTTGTTCTTCAGTATAGAGAAGCTTTGGAAGCATGTGACACTGCTCTGTTGGAGTTTCCTGATGACTACACGTATGTATACAGCTACACATGTTCAACAATGTACATCAATGTAAACCAATGTACATCAATGTGCCACTTCATGGAATTGCAGCCTATTAACGATCAAGGTAAAGCTTGAAGAAGTTATGATTGGCGGTGATCATGCATTGATCACGTGCAAACGTTTGCTAGTCGCGTGGAAATCTCTTCACGAACTGGAAGTTGAAAGGTAAGCACGTTCCCAAAATCATAGTTTTGTAATAGGGCGTTGCCTGCTACTTACTACATGCGTTTTAAATGCGACTCAGGAATCCAGAGTGTAAAAAGAGAGGTTCTGGACTTCTTGAGAAGATTGTCTCCGACAAACGAAGCTTAAAGAACGTGCAATTGGCTGGTATTGGTGACGAACAAGATGGTTTGTTTTGTCATTTTTTTTTACTTTACTTTTTTCTCCGTTATGGCATGTAAGTGTTTTCTTCACAATTAACATTTGTAGATTCAATTTCTATTGCGGCGTCGACTCGTTTAGAAAGTACGCTATCTGAAGAAGCAGTTTCATTGTCTTTTTCACAACTTAGTGCTCCAGTTGCGTTAGCGATGCAAGCTCGTATATGGTTAATCATAGGTACGTGAATATTTCTTCAATAAATGCTGTTTATCTATTGCGTTGTATGATGTATGACGGACAAAATTGTTTTAAGAACAGTTTGTAAAAGGTTTTTACCAATTGAAAAGTCCATTTCCCACAACTAGGATCTTAGTGCTTAAAATCAAAAATTATTTTTCATAGCTGATGTTTTCATTGGTGTTGGGAAGTCCATAGAAGCTTTGGCTTGTGTAAAAGAAGCTAATCTCCTTATCCCACATTCGGCTGATATCATGTTTGTGGTAAAATATTTTTACTTCTTGAATCTGCCCTCTTCACTAACAACCGTAACCATAACAACCGTAACCGATATTTTAATCGTTTATCTCAGCGAGGACGTGTCAGTGAAATCCAGAAAAATCTTAACGAAGCTAGAACGTTTTACGAAAATGCTCTCGCTGTCAATCCTCAACATTCACAAGCTTTGCTACGATTGGTAGGTCTTGCTCTCAACATTTTTTTATCTCAAAACGGGTGTGTTATCTCTTACACTTTACACACATTGCTACACATCATCTTGCCTATATTACTCTAATCTACTTCACAATACCTCAAGGTCAAATTCTCCCTAATTGATATCTTGCAATGTGACAGGGAATCATCTATTTTGAAATGGAAAATTTCACTATGGCTGAAAAATGTGTACGTGATGCTATCAATATAGAGCCAACATTACATACATCTTGGTAGGTTAAATATTTATTTTTAAAGTTCGTATTAACTAAATCATTTTCTTGTTGTTGATGAGTTAAATTACTATACAACGAAATTTTTTGTTGTCACTTTTTCTTTTTAACATTGATGTTTGTATACATGCTTACCTACCTTTGTAACAGTTAGAGTTTTTCCAGATGATTTATATGAATTAGAGAATTAATAGTTTCCATATCTTAAAATCGTGGTTTATTTTTGTTGTTATGTTGCACACCTGCTTATGATTTATCTAAAATTTTTAAATGTTATGTGAAAATTGATCATCTTTGTTATAAAGTAAATTAGTTTATTATTGATAATAACAAATGCAAGCGACAAATCTGTTGATTAGAAAGCGATTGACAATAAGAATTCACATGTCACAAAAACGTCAATAGTTCCTGAAATAAGCATGCCAACATTGTTAAAAAGAAAATCAATTATAGTTTTATTCGTTCTTCTTTTCAGCACAATCAAAACTTTTGTTGCATTGGTACTTTAACCTAAGCGAAAGTAAAAATGTTCTTGAGTCAAAAGAAAGACACCCTAACTCCCTCACAATTTCCTTGATATTTTTTATGACATAAACGCTTGAATTTCATCATGTGATTGTTAGCCTCATCCATCATCCCATTAAAAACGAGTGAAATGGCGAAAATCACCTCAAAATAATATTCTTTCATGGCTTGCATGTATTTTCCTTTATTTTGTATTTGCAGGCATCATTTGGGAATGGTATTGCAAAAAAAACAACAATATGAAGAAGCAAGTGAGTGCTTCATGTCTGCTGTTGATCTCGAAGCAACTTCTCCAATTCTTCCGTTTACGATTCTTACAAGAACAATGTGAACGTTTAGGACCTTATGCCCACCAAAATATTTATAATAATTTCGTCATTCCTCTTCGTGCAATTGGAAGACTTAAATAAGAAGTGTGGTCTAGTGCATTCACTGTTTGGGTGCATGGAAAATATGAAGTAATAATTTCAACCATGTTATCTTCGTGAAATCCTGTCTCAGGCAAAATCCTCCCGCTTTCAAGCTCTGTCTGCATTTGAACTCACAGATTGTTGGAGTTAGCGCATTAAACGATGTTAAGTTATTTGACATTGGAATAATTTTATTGGTGATTACCTTTACGACAACGATCAACTGCCGTGTAAGAAAACGTCTTGATTTGCTTATTACCATCTACAATTACAATAGTACACAAAAATGTAAATTTGAGAATTCAAGGAGAAGTTCTCAAACACAGATACTGATAGGAACTCCGAAGTGTATTTGCGCACGTCTGTTTTATTCATGACTTGTTAATTGGTTTTTAAGCTCTTATTGTTCAAAAGCAAAAGGTCTTATTCCGAGAAACAATTTAATCGGAACGAAATCTTTTTGAATGGAACATGCCTTTAGATTTCTTGGTAAAGACTGATTATGTGAGGTTATTACAAATTATGTTATGTGGCAAGATACGTTTGTACTTCTGTTGTTTGTTTGTTTGTTTGCTGAGTTTTTACTGACAAAGTGAAAGTCAATCCTGGAAAAACAGCTATAATAAGATAGGAAAGATTTGTGTCAGGTCAAATAAAGCCATATGATAAAGTTCTTATTGGCCTCGCGGTTTTTACTTAGAAATTACCAAATTTCTTCTACTTCTCCGTAATGACATATGTTAAGTTGTGTTAAGTCTAAATATGTTTACATTTAAAACAATCTAGACATTTGACATTTCTTTCAAATTGTGAAAACGTTTTTTATTTTTAACATATTACCAATATTAGCCAATATTACCCACATACTACATCACATTTTACATACCTTCCTCTCACATGACTCGTTCGTGAATTTCCGACTTTCAGGGGCAAAGTCAATGGTAAACACAAAGGAAGTTTTGCCTAAAAATCAAAGCAGTGTCTTGGGAATATTGTGTTCTGATAATCACTGAGTTTGCGTGAGTTTTATTAGTGTATATTGTGATTTTAGGTGTCTTTAAGTCGACTGAAATTTATTTTGATTATTAAGCATTTTAAGTGTTATTTCTTAGAAGAGATACTTCCTTGAAGGTAAAGTACCTCATACCTTCCTTGAAGGTAAAGTATTTCAATGCATTTTCAGCCAGAACTTTACGTGCGTCGTTGAGAGGCGTTTTGATAATGTCGAAAAAGTTAGATAAAAGTCTGCATGATGCTTGTGCTAAAGGAAAATTACGCAAGGTGCGAGAAATTTTACAGAATAATACGGATATTACTAGCAAACTTGCTGAGAGAATTGGTTTCTCGGGCTATACTCCACTACATGAAGCGGCTTGTCAGGGTCATGCAGATATACTGCAACTTCTTCTGATCTATGGAGGTAATGTTGATGTAAAGGCTAATGGAAACTACACACCTCTACACATTTCAGCGTCGATGAACTTTGTCAAATGTATCGAGGTATAATTTGTATCGTTTTTACTGAGACATGTTATTTTAACGAATATGATACGCAAGCGCAATATTGTCTGCAATATTGTGTTGCTTATTTAAGGTTTTATTGAAGCACGGTGCGAACATAAGAGCTTTGGATGACTATGATAAAACGCCTTATCAAACTGCCATGCAACATAGTCGAAAGGAATCTGCCAAGTGCTTGAAAAGTGCAGGTAAGGACAAGTAGATGAGTCATCATGTAATGAATCATGTGACTACTGTATAATCATATACTTTTAGCAATCAATTTATAATATTCTGTTTGTTAGAGATTGTTAAAGCTGCAGGAAATGATTCACAGCAACTACAATGTCTTCTTGAGGAAACATTGATGAATGAAATTACACCAACATGTTTTGATAATGCATTGATCCAAGCTTGTCACTATGGCAACTTTGAAGCTGCATGCATGCTATTGACTGCCGGAGCTAAGAATATAATGGAAAGTTGTCGTATTTCAATTAGAAAAGGACATTATAAAATTGTTGCATTGCTTTTGATTTGTTATGCTGCATTGGAGCGTAACTTAGTGATGCTTCAGGCATTACTTGATAGAAATTTAGAAAGTGAGAAATGGTTTGAGCAGTTTGTCCAAGGCAATGTACCAATGTTGACTGTGATTGAAAGTGTAAGGTAAGATGGGAGAGAAAGACAAGTTATATCATGATCGATAAATGTTGAAAAATGTAGTTACAACTAGTTAAATTTCTCTTTAGGGAAAATTTGAAAAATCTTAAAGAATTCACAAGTGTTGCGATAAAACTCTCAGACCTGGAGAATGCTTTTTCAATTCTGAAAGTGTTGCTGTTGAATACATCATGTTCAAGGAAAGAGAAAAAAGTGAAGTGGAATAAATTAGCATTAACTTCATTTGACAAATCATGGTTGGATGCCATTAAAGACTGGGTACAAAATCTTAATCTCTCCCACAACAAAATTACTGCAATGCCTGAGGGAATGAGTGATTTGAAGTTTGTGGCCACTTTGAATTTGAGCAAGAACAAACTGAAGATAGCTCCATGTGAACTATTTTCAATGATTTGTTTAAGGGAATTGAATTTAGCAAGTAATTTGATTGCAGAGCTTCCAGATATAATTCAGTGGAGACCAACATTAAAGTCATTGAATATTAGTGACAACAACCTGAAATTGCTTCCAGATGGCATTGCTAAATCATGCCTTCAGACGTTAAATCTAAGCCGGAATAAATTCATTAGAGTGCCAGAAGTCCTATGCGAGATTATTACGTTAAAGAGTTTAGATCTGAGCGACAATCTGGATATTGGCTATTTACCAGAAAAAATGGGTAAATTATGTAATCTCACATACGTCGGTTTAAGAAATTTGGATCAGGTTAGTGAAGCATTAAATTTGTTATTTGTTTTTTTCTTCATTGTGTTTGGTTCTGTCTTAGATCACCGATCCTCCACAACCCATGAGGCAGAATGCAGAAGACTTGGTTATGGCTTTACGCCAGAGACTTCGAAATTGTGAACCGTATTATACAATGAAGTTGATGCTCGTGGGAAAAGGCTGCCAAGGCAAAACGACACTTGTTCATCGCCTTCGGGATGATTTTGAATTTAAAGAAAATGATCTCACTCAAGGTATGATAATATCATAAAAGCAGTAAAACTCCGCATGTGGTCACGTGGTACATGGTTATACATAAATAAATAACTACATCATGGCTAAGGTTAGGGTAATTATCCTTCATGTTAGGCTTGACGGACGTAACTCTTATGGAACAGAGCTTTATTTAGACGACTGAATAAACTCAATAGATACGACAAACAACTTGGAGGACTTGTAGAGAAACAGCCTTTAGGGGATAGCTATCGTGTTTTATATGCTTGTAGCTTGTCTAAGTAGGTCTGTAGATTGCAGGATTGTGGCTAGGACTGGTATTCGAGTTTTAGAATAAGGTTTATCACACTTATTATTTGCTTGTATTTAGTGTAAGTATTTGGTACAGGCTTTCATGCAGAAAGACATCGCTCGATATTTTAGTCGCCAATATTACTAATTCTAAGGAGATATAGTTAGGTGCGGTTTGTGGTCAAAAAAGATTTTTGTGGTCCTCTTTTGTCCTGTTTAGGTTGGCAGTCTTTATATTTTTTCTCAAGTAAAAATCTTTAGTTGTTATTTATTAAAGGTGTGGAGATATCAGATCTGATCATAAAACGTGGATCATTGTATCAAGCATACACTTTTAAAGTTTGGGATTTTGGTGGACAGGAAGACTACTATGCAACACATCAATGTTTTTTGTCGAGTATGTCACTGTATCTGTTGGTATGGCGTTTAGATGAAGGTGAAATTGGTGTTGCTGGCCTGACACCGTGGTTGGTGAAGCTATTGTTATCACATAAACAAGAATGTCCATGTCATTGTTAACGATTCTTTTGTGTTTAGGTTAGACAATATCGCTGCAAGAGCTCCTGAGAGTACCGTCATTGTTGTTGGCACTCACTTGGATCGCATCACCACCGAGGAGCATGGGGACGAGTATGTATCTCGTATGAAACGGCTGGTGTTTGACTTAACGAGGAAACCTCGATACATTGGAAAAATCAAAGTACCAGAAAATGGTATCTGTGCCGTGTCTTGTGTTGTTAATGGTTCTCGATCTGGTGCGAATTTATTTTATTTGTAATATTCTTTAATGTACTCTAACTTTGGGGGGCAGGGGGTATTTTTAGTGAAAAGCTTTCGAGTTTCATAACTAGCAGTAGCGAAGCAAACACGTCTTTTACTGCTGCATTGCAAGAAGTGAATAAAAGAAGTAAATAATAATTTTGCTGAAATATTTGTATTAGAGTAAAAGGTCGGGCTGGCTTCGCCTCTAAGAACTTAGACTTTCAACAGGCTAACGATAAGGAAGTCATTAATTGATACTTGATAGATATATGTTTGGAGAGAGGGACAGTAATAGGGAAAAAATTGCCTGGTTTTAGAACGTTGTAATTTTTGATACTTCTGTTTTACCTACAAATCATCTATATTTAACTTTATTAACTCGACCTTTGTTTACATAATATCTTATAGAAATTAGCAGTCTTCGCCTGCTTGTCTACGATACAGCTTCCAATATGAAAAAAGGCCGAGCACATGTGATGGGAGAACGTATTCCCACCAGTTTTATTTCTTTAATTCATCGCATTGAGAGGTTAAAGAGAGAAAAGGAGAGAAAGGACGAGCTACCTATTATTCGTAAGGAGGAATTTCATGCATTGGTTCTGGAAAATTCACAGCAGAATAAAGGAGATATTTATGAAATGAGGGACGTTCGAGATGCGACTGTATTCTTACGAGAAAAAGGTATTCAAGCTCTTTCACATCTTGTAATTTGGTGTTTATTGTTCTAATAGTAAATATCACGTGATTTTGTTTGCTATTTTAAGTATCACGCGATTTTTTAAGTATCACGTGATCAAATCATAAGTATGACAATATAAAATTCAATGCGTAAAAGTTTTGTTTTTATTTTTAGGTGTGATTCTGCACTTTGATGATCCTAACGAGGGTTTGAGTGATCTTTATTTTGTTGATCCCCGCTGGCTATGTTCACTGATGGCTCGCGTGATTACGATACGAGGAAACGCAGATCTAGTCGTCAATGGGATCTTAGAAATTGAGAAAACCAAAACTCTATTTAAAGGTAGATTACCATTTCATTTTCATGGGCAGTACATTCGACTTTTGATACGATTCCAAATCGTTTACCTCCTCGATGCTACAAGAATTCTCGTTCCGTCAAAGCTGCCGGAATTGCAGCCAGATGAAGTTACGAATCTAAAGTTAACTTATGCTCCCGTGAGAAGGATCTACAGAATTGATTATACGAAAATTCATGGTTTTTGGTCACGTTTTATGTCGCGTTTTCTATTTTACATGAAAGAAATGATCGCAATCGATGGACATGAAGATAACTGTTTTGCACATTTCTGTCGTTCCTGTCTGAGAGTGGACCCTGCTTGCTCTAGGACATTTACACCTTTCTTGTCTGACGATAAGTGGATGAACAAAAAGAAATCTGAAGGTTCAGAAGAAGTCATTAGCAAAACTACGGATTCACAGAATGAAGTTAATGTTGATGGAAGATCGCAAAAAGAATCGTTGAATAAAGAATCTTTTAATAAAGACCCTATGAAAAAACATCTTCCGAAAAATAGTAAACATTTGCTCTTGAAAAAGAGCCCAAAAAAATCAGCGGGTAAAATTAATCGTTTGAAAGATGCAGTTGTCCGAGAAACTTCACGTCCCATGATTATTTCGTCACCTCTGAAAGATCAAGTAACGACAGCTGGACAATCTAATTACCAAGCGCTGTTGCTTGATCCGTGCGTGAAAGTATTTAGCGAAGATGAATTGTTGAGTGAAACTGATGGAATTCTCTTCAATGATGTTAATACTGCCATTGATAAGTCACGCCGGTAAGATTGTCATTCGTTACCATGAAATATTTATGATCAACATGCTTGCTGATGATAATGTTTGACTTTGTTTTAACATATTAGCCTTTTTGGCTTATGGGGATTTTCAAAAGGGCTGTGAGATTAAAAATTTACACATTATGACTATCTTACTTACAACTTAAATTTAACTTTAATCAAACGTCCGAAAATTTACGAATACAATAGTATTAAACACAAATAAGATTAAGGTAGATGAGGAAAGATTGGTGCAAATTGACTTTAAGATATCGAATTTTGTATTTCTTGTTATATGTGGTTCCACAGTTTTATAGATCCACTACATCCAAAACTTCTTTAGGAATTTAAATTTTGGTTCTTATTATAAAGTTTTGTTGTAGAACTTCATAATTGTGATCACGAATGGTATTCACGGACTAAAAACTTTAAATAGTTTTTGAGATGCTAAGCCATTAACTACCTTACACATAAGTCTGGCTTTCCAGTGTTCTTTATTGTACGTTCTTTAAGTTTTGACTAATCTCAAGACTTTCGTGCCAATGCACATTGACAATGCTATGACATTTCTACCCATCCTAGAGACATATGCCCCATTGCAGACTAACCATGGTCATTTTTCTATCATTTCTCTCATCATTTTCAGGTCAGTTGGCGGTAAGAGGACGAATGAGGTAAAACGTGTAGAAAAGACTCTTCGAATTCCTTCTTTTGACGCAAGTGTGCAAGGAAACTCAACAGTGGAAACTCAAGCAACAGATGGTGAGACTCGTGGTGAAAAGAAAATTGAATGGTATTTTGTATTTTTGTCGAAGTTTATTCATTGATGTTATTCATTTGCTTGATTTCATGTGCATATTCTTTAGGGAAAATGAAGCAACAAGATGTCTTGATGAAATTGCGTCAGGTCTATGCATGTCGAATGATGTTTTGTTATCGACTGAAACTTCCGAGATTTCTACGACTTACTCCGATGATATCCCGACAATAAATGGAGAAAATAACGTTAAGAGGGTAGACGAATCTGTAAAAGACAAAATGACTTTAGAGGCTACTACGGAAAATATAGAGATCTTGAAAGATACTAATGTTTTTTCAAATGATGTTGTTGTTGATAATGGTAAAATCACTGAGGAAGATGATGATGAAAAGATAAATAGCGAAAAGAATAGAATAGAATCAGAAGAATATAGCTGTAGTTTTGTCTCATCTACCTCTAGTCTGTCCTCGCGGCGTGACAGCAAGGGTCCGTCGTCCATTGACACGAGTTATATAGAAACTCATGGGACTTTAACAATGGACGATATTTCTGTTGTTTATAATGACAACAACCGAGACAATAAGTTTAACGATACCGTAGATCGAAATCAAGGATTTCATGATATCATCAATTCCCATCCAGTTAGTCCAGATTGTGATGATGCTGAAATAAAAAGCAGAAGTACGACACCTTCGGTCAGAAGTGACGAACCGACTGATCTAGATTCTGACACATTTTCAATGTCAAGCGTGTCTACATCAAATTCCAACAAGCGTCGGGATACCCTAAATTTAAGAGGCGTTGAAGTGTTAATGGAACCAAACCAGTCCACTTGTGAGAACTCTTGTTTAAATGTTTGCAATAACACAATGTCTGACAATGAATGGGGTTTGAAGGCTAATGATAGATTAGAAAACGATGCTGTTATTGAAAACGAAGAAAAACCTCTGGAAATTGTGATTACATCGACACCATCACAAGGTGTCGAGTTTGATAATTGCGATGGAGCATCACTTAGCGTGGGCTCAAGAAGTCAAATTGAACGAGCTGAGAGAAATAAAACAAAAAAAGATCAAATTCCGAAAGAAGACCGCGTGCATTGCCAAAATAGCTGTGGCAACGCTGGGAAAGATAAAGACGGTGAATCAAGTTCTAAAAATTGCAAAGAACGTGAAATGAAGAAGTGTACTTTATGTAAGGAAAATGTACCTGTTGATGAACTTGTTACCATCTCTTTGGATGTTGCTAATTTAATTGAACGCAAATATTTACATTGTTGGGGTTCTGGGGTATGTCTTATTGATCCCTGTTGTGTCTTCCTTTATGTTGTTTATCGTCAACTGTCGGATTCTGTCGTTGTGGAAATTGCTGTTTCTCCGAATTCCGTTGGGCGACGTCTCTTGACGTTCGTTGTCGATCATTTGGATACTCTCATCAATGAATGGTACCCAGGTCTTTTGATGTCATTGGGTGTGCAGCCTACAGTCCAAAAACTTATCCCTTGTCGAAGCTGTGAAAAAGACAGTCGTTTGAAACCCCACATTTTCACGTTTGACGCCAGTGTCACACAGTACAGTATGGGTAATTTCTTGAAATGTCCAGAACATGAGGTCAGCTTTCAAGATATCGTTCCTGATATTGTATTTCATGATATCGATAGCAATTTATTGTTACAAGAGAACGAGTTGAACTACGAGAGATCAGAGGAAAACTTCATCGGAGGAGGTTGGGATTACCATAGATAACAGCGTTCTCTGATCACTTATTTATTGACGAGCTTTCCGCTTTCATAATCATGATCTTCAGTAGGTAAACTCTGAAGAAGTTAAAGGGATAATTTTACGTTGAGGCTGTCTCAAAACAACATAGAAAGCTGGCAGCATTAGAGTAAAACATCGCTGTAACATCTCTAATGGTTGAATGGCATTCTATACGACAGCCCAAAGCTTGTCAATAAAAAAACACTGATTTGGGGGCATCTGCAGTATCTATCTTTTTTAATATCATATATCGTTAATATGTATATTTAAAATCACATCAATCGTAATTAAGATATTGTAATTTGGATAACGGATCTTTATAACTCGTTTAGGCGGCTTTGGAAAGGTGTATTCTGGTAAGTGTCGTGGAAAGGAGGCCGCTATTAAAGAATACTGCGCACCATTTGGCGAAGATAATGCTGTAAAGAAATATTGTGATATTCGCAATGAAGTGAACATTCTTCGAAGAGTCGGTCAACATCCGTATCTTGTTAATCTTATTGGTATTTGTTTACGTCCCCTTCGTCTTGTCTTGGAATTAGCAAAACATGGATCGCTTGCTACCACCTTACTGGATCCTCAATTCTTGTTTGAAAGAGTCGTAATGCATCGAATGTTACGGCAGTTAGCTAACGCTTTGAGTTTCTTACATTCGCTGAAAGTCACATATCGGGATTTAAAACCTGACAATGTCTTAGTCATATCGTACAGCGAGTTGGATGATGTAAACATCAAATTGACGGATTTTGGGACCGCTGCTTTCCGATTTAATGAAGGATTGATGGATGCCACGGGCACTGCTGGCTTTCAGGCCCCCGAAATGCTTAAGGAGTTTAGCAAGCGGGATGGTTTTAACGAGAAAGTCGATATATTTTCTTTTGGAATGCTGGTGTTCGAATTTATCACCCGCAGACAACCATACTTTAACGCTCAATCTGAGGCCGAGGTTTGTCAATAACGAAGTTGAGTTTCTTGTTGTAAACTTATTGCATTTTGTTTCTATTTACTATTCAGTGATCTGTTTGTGATGCATATCACTCTACATTTTAGATCAGTAATATGGTAGTTGATGGAATGTTACCTTCATGGGATCACGTGTTACAGGCGAGGATGGGATTGGCTGGCCTTACGTCCTTAATGAAAATATGTCTTTCATATGAGCCAGATTCTCGTCCCAGTGCCTCTACAGTGGAAGAGCAAATGCTCTCAACGTCATTTCAACTATTCTTGGGCCTTATTGCATTACCAGAGAAGCAATCAGTACGTCATGTAGGCCTAGTGAAATCTGTTATGGATAAAATAATGGAATTGTGGGTAGTTGTTGATGACAAAGTCAAAACCATGGTGTTTATTTATAACTTACACAGTTTTACTTTAAAGAAAAAATTCACGATCAATAAGTTGAGTGGCGATGATCCAGTGCTGTGTTTGCAAGTCAACTGTATGCACGTGACATTAAACAATGTTTTGATTGGATTACGCGGTGACCGCAATGCTGTTGCTATTTATGACACAGCAACATATCGCCTTAAAGCTGCGATCAGATTGCAAGAACCTGTCTTCTCTCTTAGCTCAACTGATTCCCACATATATATGGGAATGGCCAGCGGTTTATGTTTGGTTACCACATTGACGAAAATTCTCCATTCTATTGAAGTGACTCGTTTAGAACCAGTAACGTGTGTCACAGTTGTAAAAAAAAAGGAACTGTGGTTGACTGCTGGAAAAGGTATACAAATATTTCACAGCAATGGAGACGCAAAAATACCTGTTTTTGACCTCAATTCGGTTCGATTTAGTTCATCGTCAGCTCCATTCTCTCAACTTCGTCTTTTCGATGAGGCGATTTGGAGCATATCGAAAGGAGACTCCATAGTTACGGCTTGGGATATCAATAATCGACAAAAATATCTCGAGATTGACTGCAAGTCGTTTTTTCCTTCATCAGATTATGACGCATTAGAATCTGTTGTGACGTGTGTTCTCGTTGTTCACGACACCTTGTGGATTGGAACTGGCAGGGGTAAGCTACTCATATGTGACGTAATGTCCGGTGAGCTAATCACGTGTTGGGATCTCTTTGATGATTACGTGCGTACATTAACATTGGTCCCAGGGCCTGGACCATGTGCCACGGAGAAATATTACGTGATCGTTTCCGGGAGGAAAGTTCAAGATCGAGCCTTGTCGCGCAAGTCAACTGGAAATTGTGTTTGTCTTCTAGACAAGGAGGTTATTAAACCGGCGCCTATGGAGGAAACATCACCAATAAGACGACCTGATCAGAGGACGCTTTTTGAGAAAAACTTCATCGCAGTCACTTTCACCTCCTATAAGAGTCTCTCCTGTTGACTATTTACACGGTAGTGTACTAATGTTTTTCGAAGCCCTGCCCGCAGATGTTTTAAAAAGAAGCGAGACCCAGTAAGAAAGTGACCTATATTTTAATGTGCGATAGGACGTATGTTGACAATTACGTGTGTATGTATTTTATCAATAATTTTTACTGATTTTAACCCATGTGATAATTTTTAATAATGAAATAACATAAATAATTTTATACAATTGAACACAATTGAAAATTAAAAATAGTTAACTATCGAAAGTCAAATATCCAATAGGAATTTTTGTAAGCCATTTCTTATCGTTTTAAAGATAGATATTTTGTAATGCTTCATACTATTCATTTTCGAAACTTCAGGAAAACTTTCTTCCCAAAGCTGCATGAAGATATGGTTAAGGAATTCATCATTATAAAACTCTTGCTGCTCTTGTCTTTGAAAATGTTCAAAGTCTTCTTCTTTTACTTGACATGCCAAATCTTCTTTTCTTATTACATGGACGTTCTTCTTGTTATCACATCTCTCCCTGTAAAACTGACATTGTCCTTCCATAGCGCTTAACCGTTCAGTCATTTCCTTTTGTGTATTTTTCATTTCTGCGTTCAATTTAACTTTTTGCTGAAGTTTTGTTTCTAAATCACGGACAACTTGATCGCTTTCTTCACTCAAGACATTATTCAAATGTCGCTCTTCTGCAAGTAAATGATGAAGATGTTTAACTTGTTGCTCATGTTCCAACGCGTTTTGCGTCAATTGCTCCTCTTGCGAGGCAATTTTGTCACTCATCATTTTAAGTTTGCCCTCGAGATGTACGAAATGGTTTTCTTTTTCCTCTAACTTTTCTTTCATCATTATCATGATATGTTCGATGAAATTTTCCGAAATCTCTTCTGTATCAATTGGCCTTCCAAGTCTTAATTCTTCTCGTAAGGATTCCGATTTTCTTCGTTCAATCTGCAGTAGATTTTTCAATTCCTTGTTTTGTTCACACAAAATTTTTAACTCGTTGTTGAGGTGTGAAACCTTCTCAACTTTGTCTGTGCTACAATCACATTCATATCCATTTTCTTTACTTTTAAATCCACTATATGATTCCATGTTGATGGCAACTCAAATGTCAAGAAATGTCACTTTGTGACATAGTTTAATTAGCAATTTGCGCGTGGTATAAAAATAATTTTAGTCCGCCTTTTGAAATCGCAACCAAGATTTGAAAACTTTAATAACCTGCCTCTTCATTCTATAGGCATGGAACACAACAGCTTTCTTATCCTCGCTAAAACTATTTCATTTGTTCCTTCACATGAGTTTTCATCATAAGGTGGCTCTATTACCAGGCTACCAACAACTCGGATGTTTTCTGTTTCTGCCGAATCAGCAAGAATTGGCACACGATTTTTCTCTAACCATTTGATTAATTTCTCTTTGCGTTTACGAAGTTCTTCGTCTGTATGATTTGCTTTTTTCTTGAATGCAAAATTCTTAACCCATGATGGTTCATTTCCGACTTTTCCGACTACGTAAATTTGCTTTACAGCTTTTTCCATTACAAACACTACCGATTTATTTTCTTCATGACTCCCTTTTAAGTCCTTAGCGATTACAATTGTGTAAGATACAGGATCAATCGTACAAATCCAACCAGATAATTCTTCTTTTTCTTCCAGTGTAATATGAACGAAGCAATTAATTAATTGGGCTAACATTTCTGGTGAAATTTGGCGAATGTTTTCTATCGTTTTCCTTTCGACGGTCGCCATAGTTGAAGTGGAAATGAATACCCCAAAACTTACTGCCCCCCCCCTGTATTTCATTTAAAGGTACTCTAACCAGTGACCCTAAATTTTTATGAGTTTGACACGTTGGCAGACTTTAATAATAGAATTCATTTGTTGCATTGTCGTTTGTGGAAAAAAGTATGCTTGTCTTGACATTAATTTTTGTTCTATTGTTATTTCTACATGCTTGCTGCGGTTATGTAGATGACTCATCTCACGATCGGCCTTGGTATGGTGGTTTATTTTGGAATTTACTTGGCTATGCTACGGTCATTGTGCCAGGAGCAATATTAATCCGTTTAGTGAAGAATTCAAACTTCAACGAGAAAGCGGGTAATTTGATTTTGATCAGTTCATGAAATTTTACTAGAAATATTAACAAAGTTGATAAAATGAAAGCATCGTCTATTGTATGATTGATATTGACATTGTCAATTATATACCACGTAGGACGAGGTTGTCTATTTAAGATCATTCAAATCTTCGTGTATGGTGCTCCAGAAGAAAAACGAAGCTTAGAAGAAGGTGCATCTCGAGCTATCAATGGAAAGGAGTCTTCACTTGGTGCAACTACCCTAAAGTTGATATTTTGTGCTGTTGGCCTTCAAAGTTCATATCTTACATGGGGAGTTGTGCAAGAGCAGATTATGACGCAAACATACGATGAGCTTACGGATGATGGAATATTAAACAAGGTGAAGTTTGAAGATTCACAGTTTCTGGTCTTTGGAAACAGGTTACTAGCACTATTGGTGTCTGGTCTATACATATCCATTGCAGAACAGCCAAGAAACACAATACCATTCTACAAATATTCCTATTCCTCCTTCTCGAATATCATGAGCAGCTGGTGTCAATATGAGGCTTTAAAATTTGTCAGCTTTCCTACACAAGTCCTATGTAAGGCATCAAAAATGATACCTGTCATGATAATGGGAAAAGTTATCTCAGGAAAAAGTTATCCATACTCTGAATACTTTGTTGCAATCTTACTTTCATTTGGTACCAGTCTGTTTCTTCTTTCACATCATTCTGATCATTCACTGTACAATAAACCAACAACTGTCATAGGACTTTTCATTCTTCTTGGTTACATGATCTTTGACAGTTTCACATCAAATTGGCAGTCTGCCTTATTCAAAGAACATAAAATGTCATCCATGCAGATGATGTTTGGAACCAATGTCTTTTCTAGTTTGTTCACTTTCTGTTCTTTAATTCAAACAGGTGGGTTTTTTCACTCTTTGTCACTAATGACTCTACATCCTCAGTTATTATATCAAGTTTTTCTCCTCTCTATGACCTCTGCTACTGGACAATTGTTTATATTTTATACTATCAACAACTTTGGTCCAATTGTTTTTGTTATAATAATGACAACAAGAATGATTCTCAGTATTGTATTGTCATGCATCATTTACAAACATGCGCTTACTTCCCAGGCTATAGTTGGAGTCGTTATTGCGTTTTTGGCAATATCATACCGAATATTTCTGAAATTTAGAGCATCGAAAGAAGCAGGCAAAACCCAGGCATTAGGGCAGAATATCAGTAAATGATACTCATTTTTCTTGTGGCAAGATCTGTCTTGAAACGTTGTTAGTTACCATTTATCATATGCATCTTTTTTAAAAACCTCAATTTTTGACTTGAAGTGTGTTATATTTTTACTGTATTATATTTTATCGTAGTACCAATGTAAAAATAGTGCTATTTTTTTAGCCTTGACTCATTTTCAAATAAGTAATAAATAAAATGTTTCAATCTCTGCCTGTGCGCGGGCCCTCAAAGTCAAATAATGGTTACTGTAATAGCGTTACCGCAAGAGGAGAGTTTATCATGATAAAATATACATCGATTTTCTATGGATTGGAAGGAAAAGATAAAGAAAGCAATCTCTCGGTCAAATTCCGGTTAGTATGACCTTTTTTAGTGGTGTTTGTTAGAAATGTCATGTTAGAATAAAGCATATCCGTGATCTTGACGTATTATGGTGTTATTATTCCTCTAATATTATTAAAATCGTAGCACAAAGTAGGCAGAAGAAAGATGACAATGAATTGTTCAACGAGTATTACTTGAAGTGGAAGGACAATAATCACAAAGACAATCCGTCTTCTTCGATTCCAAGATTTTACTACAAGGTAAATGTCTTCAGCACCATTTGGAAGTAATATATACTCAAATACTGCATACAATAAAACGTACCTTTTTGGCTTCTTCGTTGATTAAGACTGACATTTCATTCTTAATGCATAAATTATTTTTGTTCAGTATTTATTTACAGCAATAACTTAATTCTGCTTGTAATTGCATGTTGTAAAATGTAGACAAAGCAAGGGATGTACCAGAAATTTCAAAAATATTGCCGGCCCTTGTTAAAACTAAAGAAAGTTTCCATTTGTTGAACTTGCTAATGAACAAACCATATCTTGTTTGATTTTTCCTTTGTTATTTACTCTTGCTTGAAAATTACATGCATTACAAAGATGTAGAGGTTAAAAACCCGCTCTTTATATTCATGATTCATTTCATATTCACCTAGCTTCCTTCAGAAGATGAAATTTTACGTCAGAAATTACGAGAAGATGCAAGAGCAGCTTTCCTACAGCGCAAGAGTCGAGAGTTACTTGACAATGATGAACTTCAAGTACTTATTTATCACAATAAAACTGTTGTTCAGTGATACTTCTCATTTTGATATTTTTTTCATTATATTTAGAATTTGTGGTTTTTGTTAGATCAACATCAATCACTACCTGCAGTCCGTGATGTACAGGTGTGAAATGAAATGTTTTTGTTGTTGTTAGTCTTGTTATTTAAGTTAACTTTCTTTCTCATTCCCTTTCTTTATTATAAATAGATGATTAATTACAAAGACTTCATCAAGGTCAAACACCAAACTGGAGAAAAATGTAAAAAGTTTTTCACAGCTACAATTTTCTCCAAGCTTTATAATAATGACCCATTTGGAAGGTACATTAATCTAAGTCCTTATTTTGGAATATCTTAAGTAGGTTGCTATACAATCCAAAGGATCCTAGATAAGATGAATGTTAAAACTTCTAAGCAGATATTACGTAGCGTTTTCATGATTTTGAAAATTATTGGTGTGTAAATTAGAATTGTTGAATTTAAATTGTATAATTTTCTAACACCTTAGGATATCGATCATGCAATTTTTCAACTATGTAATGAGAAAAGGTGCTGTATATTTTTGGGTTTGATGAATATTTCCATTCCAATTTTGTCATTTTTCAATGTAATCAATTATTTTCAGTTTGGTTACATCAAACACGTATTGGTCTTAGCCTTTATGATGTGACTGGTCAAGGTTTTCTTCGAGAATGTGTGAGTAATCAGTGTTTGATATTTGTATAAAAAAATCTATTACATCAATAAGAAACATATATATTTTTTTCATTTTTTCCCTCTCTATTTCTTTGACAATGTATCATGGGAATGTAGAGCATCATTTTTATCTGTCTTTAACAATAGTTGATCCTGTTTAATGTGCAAAAAATATAATCGATACAAAGCGTAATTTTGTCAACTACAACACAGATGGTAGCAGGAATCTATTATCCAAATGATTCAGTTATATTTGTATGTTGGGATAAAAATCAATAAACATGGTAGTTTTCAATTGTTGTTTTAGGATCTTGAGAACTATATCTTGGAACTTATTCCTACTTTACTACAGGTGCATTTTTAAGAAAGTAAGTTTAAACTTTTGCACATTTTGACTAGGGTATTTTTCTTTTCTAGCTTGAAGGCCTGGAGAAATCATTTTATTCATTTTATGTCTGCACAGCTGTTAGAAAATTCTTTTTCTTTCTTGATTCAATGCGAAAGGGTAAAGTCAGTATTGTGTTTTCGTCCTTTTGTTTTGTGAATGATTTAAAAGCACAGTAAATTTTTCAGGTAAAATTAAGATTCAAGATATCTTGGCTTGTAGTTTTCTTGACGATTTGTTGGAGGTACAATAGGAACCTTGACATAAATAATAGTGCAATATGAAAAAAGATCGTCAGAATGAGTAATATGACCTTAATTGTAAAATTTCAGCTACGTGATGAGGACCTCTCTAAAGAACAACAAGATTCCAACTGGTTCTCAGCACCTTCTGCCTTGAGAGTTTATGGTTGGTAAAACACATCATGTGTTATAATAAGATATTTGTGAGAAGACTACATTTGTATAATCATTCATACACTTGTTTTGACAGGGCAATATTTAAATTTGGACAGTGATCATAATGGAATGCTTAGCAAAGAGGAACTGCAAAGGTATGATATAAAGATGGAGTTGCACTGTTAAGTTTGTATGTTTATTTCTGTTTTTTGACAGATATGGCTCAGGAACACTCACTAAAGTCTTCATTGACAGAGTTTTTCAGGAATGTTTGACCTATGAAGGTGAAATGGTATGGTAATTTCATGTTAACATCATCGCTCAAAAATGATTAAAAATATTGTTCTCTTGATCCATTAAGGACTATAAGACATATTTAGATTTTGTCTTGGCACTAGAAAATCGCAAAGAAACACAGGTTTATCTAATTTAATTATGTCTATATTGATTTTAATTATGTAAATTTTCTAACATGGAGTCAAAAAGCATACCCACAGAGCAATTCTTTACAAGAATTTATTCTTCAATATAGTCTTTGCAGTATCTGTTTCGAATGCTTGATATCCAGGTATATTTTTGTCTTTATGGTATTTTTTACAAATCCAGACAACTAACTCAATCCTATGTTTTCAAGGGATTAGGATACCTTAACAACTTTGCTTTCAACTATTTCTTTCGGGTCAGTATTTAATTAATACTACCAATCTGTTTATTTCATGTCTGGTAGTAAAAACTTGATATTTCATAACGATTGAAATCTTATCAGGAAATCCAAATGGAAATGCAGAAACATGGCCATGATCCTGTGTTATTTCATGATATTCAGGTAAAGTTCATAGAGTACTTTGTACACAGGTGCAAATCATATCTCACAGCAAAATTTATTACATATCCTGTAGGATGAAATATTTGACATGGTGAAACCAAAAGATCCATATAAGATTACTCTTCAAGATCTTGTCAACAGGTTTTTCCCAGTTTTTATCACAGTCATAAATCATTGTGCAATGTCTCTGACATTAAATGTAAAGTGCTTGGTAGAGTTTGAACATTATACCTACATTACAGTGGTCAAGGGGAAACTGTGGTAAGCATCCTCATTGATCTTAATGGTTTCTGGACTTATGAAAATCGCGAGGTGTTGGTGATGCAGGAAAGCCAAGGAGCATGTGAAGTATGTTGGTACAGGGACAGATGTGAAATTGTGTAAAAAGTTCCCATGTAAAAAGCAATTTTATTGTATTGTTGATACTAAATGCAATGAATTTGCTTGATGTGCAAGTAAGTAGTTTGCTTCACTTGATCATTGTCAAAATTAAACCAAAGCAGCATGCACTTTTCAAAAAGGCAATTTCTACATCTTAATGGAGTGTCACTATCGTAGAAGAATCAAGTACAAAATTGTGCTTGTCATAATTCTGCTGACTTCATCATTTTGGAATTAATTCCTAACATATTTTTGAGCCAGTTCCACCAATTAGTAAACATTTGAACAATTGTCTGCCATAATGACAATTCATCATGGGAAATATTCTCTACTTCTTCTACTTCATTTTCTGAATGTTGACTTTGCATTGCTTCCATTTCTGCTTGCTGTTGCATCAGTTCTTCACGTGAATACAATTGCATGTTTGGCATTCCAGGCATTTCACTATGCATAATGTACACATGATAACATAAGAATGAGAGATTATGTACATGCTAGGATTCATAAAGATGTAAAACATTCACATGATAAAACAAGAATAAGAAATTAAGTATGGGATTATCTTACCTTGCTTTCTTTAGGTACTCCTGAGCTTTTCTTTCATCTTCAGACATTGCTTTGAATGTTTCGTCCTTTCTGTTTCCACTTTTGTATGTCAATTCATTTTTGGTACATGCGCCAGTCTCTTCATGACATACTTGATTGATCATTTGAGACAGTATCATTTCACTTTTTCACAATTCTTCAGCAATATCCAAGTCAGTTTCACCAATAGTCTCATCACATGCTTTAGCTATAGTTCGACACTCAGACTGACATGATCCCAACTCCTCGTGCTCAGATAATATCAAAGCATTATTTTTTTCTTCTATATCTAATTTGGTCAGCCATTCTCCTTCAAATCTCTCTGGGTTACATGTCTTCTCAACTAACACCTGTAGCTTTTCTTCACCAACCTAAATCCGTAATAGTTGTAAGCACATAAGCTCTATCTCTATATTATGTATTATAAACGTTGAACCTCTAACCTTTTTACTGTCCTCGCACATAGATTTAACTTTTCTAAACAGGTATCTCAAACTTTTCTGGCAAACACCACATTTAATAAATGGAATGTCCTCTTTCATTGGCGGATAGACTTTTTTCGACATCTTCCCCTGCACGTTGTATATTTGATAAATAAGAAAAAATACACAAAAAATCGTTCTTGTAGTCATTGTACTGCTTGGTGCTGTATTCACGTTTTTTAATTGTTGAAAAATCGAACGTGAAATGGAAGCATGACAAATGTGTCTGGCATCACGTGACTACTTTTAGTGAAAAAAAATGTTTAACTTGTTGCTCATGTTCCAACGCGTTTTGCGTCAATTGCTCCTCTTGCGAAGCAATTTTGTCGCTCATCATTTTAAGTTAGCCCTCGAGATGTACGAAATGGTTTTCTTTTTCCTCTAATTTTTCTTTCATCATTATCATGATATGTTCGATGAAATTTTCCGAAATCTCTTCTGTATCAATTGGCCTTCCAAGTCTTAATTGTTCTCATAAGGATTCCGATTTTCTTCGTTCAATCTGCAGTAGATTTTTCAATTCCTTGTTTTGTTCACACAAAATTTTTAACTTGTTGAGGTGTGAAACCTTCTCAACTTTGTCTGTGCTACAATCACATTCATATCCATTTTCTTTACTTTTAAATCCACTATATGATTCCATGTTGATGGCAACTCAAATGTCAAGAAATGTCCCTTTGTGACATAGTTTAATTAGCAATTTGCGCGTGGTACAAAAATAATTTTAGTCTGCCTTTTGAAATCGCAACCAAGATTTGAAAACTTTAATAACCTGCCTCTTCATTCTATAGGCATGGAACACAACAGCTTTCTTATCCTCGCTAAAACTATTTCATTTGTTCCTTCACATGAGTTTTCATCATAAGGTGGCTCTATTACCAGACTTCCAACAACTCGGATGTTTTCTGTTTCTGCCGAATCAGCAAGAATTGGCACACGATTTTTCTCTAACCATTTGATTAATTTCTCTTTGCGTTTACGGAGTTCTTCGTCTGTATGATTTGCTTTTTTCTTGAATGCAAAATTCTTAACCCATGATGGTTCATTTCCGACTTTTCCGACTACGTAAATTTGCTTTACAGCTTTTTCCATTACAAACACTACCGATTTATTTTCTTCATGAGTCCCTTCTAAGTCCTTAGCGATTACAATTGTGTAAGATACAGGATCAATCGTACAAATCCAACCAGATAATTCTTCTTTTTCTTCCAGTGTAATATGAACGAAGCAATTAATTAATTGGGCTAACATTTCTGGTGAAATTTGGCGAATGTTTTCTATCGTTTTCCTTTCGACGGTCGCCATAGTTGAAGTGGAAATGAACACCCCAAAACTTACTGCTCCCCCCTGTATTTCTTTTAAATGTACCCGAACCACAGATCTAATTACACTAGCAACTGACATAAAAGCCGGGCAAATTTACGTAGTGAGAATCAATATGGCGTTTAGAAATATGTGGTCAAGTTAATATCTCGCAATTATTAGCAAATCGCGGAGGTTGCATCAACTTTTGCACTATTTATGAAATAAATCATTGTGACTATAGTTTGTAAGAAAATTGAAACGCCAATACATCGCCGTAAAATTGATTTCAAGTGTAGCTCGATTTGAAAGCATCAGCAGCGACTAAGGCTTAAGACTGGAATTTACACAACTAAATATCGTATCACAGGACAATCTGCGATAGTGTGGCTTAGTTCGTATGGCAAATACAGCGATATCATACTCGATCTATGGATGTATTGTAATAGAACAGGCATATTACAAAAATCCACACATGTTACAAGCACAAATTAAATATTTTGCTCAGAATAAATAATTTAGGTTTGATATTTTCAATAACAAGAATGTTTTTATATGCATATACATGCCTGAATGGTAAAAAGACAATAAAAATGTTGAAAACAGTAGCATAACATCACCATAACAGTACATTAAGCACTGTGGGCAGTGGCCATATAATCCACTGGTTTAGACTATGACAATACATTGTTTATATATGTGTAAAACACAGTCAATACTACAAGTCTGGTGACTCTTCTTGCTTTAACAAGTAAATATTTTCCCCATGTTGGACAGAGTGTATTGTATCAACCTGTGGTATCAACAGTTTCACAACCAGCTATTTTATACTTCACACTCATAATATAAAACAAATTCCAAGACAGACTCTACTAGATGACATAGACAATAGACAAGACATAGACAAGACATAGACTCTTCGAGGTAGACTCTTCACATTCTTTCTGTAAATAATTTCTGAACGTATTAATTACTCACATCGTGACATAGCTATATTCGTTTGCCGACCAGAAACACCAGAAAATGCATTTCTGGTACAATAATCCAGTGCAATATTTAATTATGTACAGTGAACAATATACTTTATATAAATCGTGAAAAATCTTTCAAACTGTTATCTCCAACTCGTTTTACTTAACAATAAATATCGGAAGATAATTCTACGACGTTCGATTGAACATTTTGTGGCAGATTGTGCTGTGATACGATATTTAGATGTGCAAATTCCAGTATCTTAAGCCTTCGTCGCTGCTGATGCTTTCAAATCGAGCTACACTTGAAATCAATTTTACGGCGATGTATTGGCTATCTTTTTCTTGAAAACTATGGTCATTGATTTTTTCATTAATAGAGTAAACCAGTTTATTTAACCGTCGCGACTTGCAAGTAATTGCAAGATATCAGCTTTGACCAGATATTTTCTAATACAACGCCATATTGATTCTCACTAATTTGGGGCTCCGGAAGTAAATTTGCCCGGCTTCAACCACTACTTATGAAATGTAAGCCGTTGCACTATCTAGTGTATTATTAGATCTGTGACCCGAACCAGTGACCCTAAATTTTTATGAGCTTGACACGTTAGCAGACTTTAATAATAGAAGTTCATTTGTTGCATCGTCGTTTGTGGAAAAAAGTATGCTTGTCTTGACATTAATTTTTGTTCAATTGTTATTTCTACATGCTTGCTGCGGTTATGTAGATGACTCATCTCACGATGGGCCTTGGTATGGTGGTTTATTTTGGAATTTACTTGGCTATGCTACGGTCATTGTGCCAGGAGCAATATTAATCCGTTTAGTGAAGAATTCAAACTTCAACGAGAAAGCGGGTAATTTGATTTTGATCAGTTCATGAAATTTTACTAGAAATATTAACAAAGTTGATAAAATGAAAGCATCGTCTATTGTATGATTGATATTGACATTGTCAATTATATACCACGTAGGACGAGGTTGTCTATTTAAGATCATTCAAATCTTCGTGTATGGTGCTCGAGAAGAAAAACAAAGCTTAGAAGAAGATGCATCTCGAGCTATCAATGGAAAGGAGTCTTCACTTGGTGCAACTACCCTAAAGTTGATATTTTGTGCTGTTGGCCTTCAAAGTTCATATCGTACATGGGGAGTTGTGCAAGAACAGATTTTGACGCAAACATACGATGAGCTTACGGATGATGGAATCTTAAACAAGGTGAAGTTTGAAGATTCACAGTTTCTGGTCTTTGGAAACAGGTTACTAGCACTATTGGTGTCTGGTCTATACATATCCATTGCAGAACAGCCAAGAAACACAATACCATTCTACAAATATTCCTATTCCTCCTTCTCGAATATCATGAGCAGCTGGTGTCAATATGAGGCTTTAAAATTTGTCAGCTTTCCTACACAAGTCCTATGTAAGGCATCAAAAATGATACCTGTCATGATAATGGGAAAAGTTATCTCAGGAAAAAGTTATCCATACTCTGAATACTTTGTTGCAATCTTCCTTTCTTTTGGTACCAGTCTGTTTCTTCTTTCACATCATTCTCATCATTCACTGTACAACAAACCAACAACTGTCATAGGACTTTTCATTCTTCTTGGTTACATGATCTTTGACAGTTTCACATCAAATTGGCAGTCTGCCTTATTCAAAGAACATAAAATGTCATCCATGCAGATGATGTTTGGTACCAATGTCTTTTCTAGTTTGTTCACTTTCTGTTCTTTAATTCAAACAGGTGGGTTTTTTCACTCTTTGTCACTAATGACTCTACATCCTCAGTTATTACATCAAGTTTTTCTCCTCTCTATGACCGCTGCTACTGGACAATTGTTTATATTTTATACTATCAACAACTTTGGTCCAATTGTTTTTGTTATAATAATGACAACAAGAATGATTCTCAGTATTGTATTGTCATGCATCATTCACAAACATGCACTTGCTTCCCAGGCTATAGTTGGAGTTGTTATTGTGTTTTTGGCAATATCATACCAAACATTTCTGAAATTTAGAGCATCGAAAGAAGCAGGCAAAACCCAGGCATTAGGGCAGAATATCAGTAATTGATACTCATTTTTCTTGTGGCAGGATCTGTCTTGAAACGTTGTTAGTGTTGAAGAACTTCATATAAGTGATACTATAATGATCAACTATGTCATGTGATGATAATATATTCTGTTCTGTTCGTACTGCCTTTTTGCGCACACGCTGTTGTTGTTAACTATAATAAATATATCCAAATCAATCAATGGATGTTTTCATTCTTTACCTAAATATTCTTAACAGTTAGTTACCATTTATCATATGCATCTTTTTTAAAAACCTCAATTTTTGACTTGAAGTGTGTTATATTTTTACTGTATTATATTTTATCGTAGTACCAATGTAAAAATAGTGCTATTTTTTTATTCTTTGACTCATTTTCAAATAAGTAATAAATAAAATGTTTTAATCTCTGCCTGTGCGCGGGCCCTCAAAGTCAAATAATGGTTACTGTAATAGCGTTACCACAAGAGGAGAGTTTATCATGATAAAATATACATCGATTTTCTATGGATTGGAAGGAAAAGATAAAGAAAGCAATCTCTCGGTCAAATTCCGGTTAGTATAACCTTTTTTAGTGGTGTTTGTTAGAAATGTCATGTTAGTATAAAGCTTATCCCGTGACCTTGACGTATTATGGTGTTATTCCTCTAATATTAAAATCGTAGCACAAAGTAAGCAGAAGAAAGAAGATGACAATGAATTGTTCAACGAGTATTACTTGAAGTGGAAAGGACAATAATCACAAAGACAATCCTTCTTCGAATCCAAGATTTTACTACAAGGTAAATGTCTTCAGCACCATTTGGAAGTAATATATACTCAAATACTGCATACAATAAAACGTGCCTTTTTGGCTTCTTCGTTGATTAAGACTGACATTTCATTCTTAATGCATAAATTATTTTTGTTCGGTAATTATTTACAGCAATAACTTAATTCTGCTTGCAATTGTATGTTGTAAAATGTAGACGAAGCAAGGGATGTACCAGAAATTTCAAAAATATTACCGACCCTTGTTAAAACTAAAGAAAGTTTCCATTTGTTGAACTTGCTAATGAACAAACCATATCTTGTTTGATTTTTCCTTTGTTATTTACTCTTGCTTGAAAATTACATGCATTACAAAGATGTAGAGGTTAAAAACCCGCTCTTTATATTCATGATTCATTTCATATTCACCTAGCTTCCTTCAGAAGATGAAATTTTACGTCAGAAATTACGAGAAGATGCAAGAGCAGCTTTCCTACAGCGCAAGAGTCGAGAGTTACTTGACAATGATGAACTTCAAGTACTTATTTATCACAATAAAACTGTTGTTCAGTGATACTTCTCATTTTGATATTTTTTTCATTATATTTAGAATTTGTGGTTTTTGTTAGATCAACATCAATCACTACCTGCAGTCCGTGATGTACAGGTGTGAAATGAAATGTTTTTGTTGTTGTTAGTCTTGTTATTTAAGTTAACTTTCTTTCTCATTCCCTTTCTTTATTATAAATAGATGATTAATTACAAAGACTTCATCAAGGTCAAACAACAAACTGGAGAAAAATGTAAAAAGTTTTTCACAGCTACAATTTTCTCCAAGCTTTATAATAATGACCCATTTGGAAGGTACATTAATCTAAGTCCTTATTTTGGAATATCTTAAGTAGGTTGCTATACAATCCAAAGGATCCTAGATAAGATGAATGTTAAAACTTCTAAGCAGATATTACGTAAGCGTTTTCATGATTTTGAAAATTATTGGTGTGTAAATTAGAATTGTTGAATTTAAATTGTATAATTTTCTAACACCTTAGGATATCGATCATGCAATTTTTCAACTATGTAATGAGAAAAGGTGCTGTATATTTTGGGTTTGATGAATATTTCCATTCCAATTTTGTCATTTTTCAATGTAATCAATTATTTTCAGTTTGGTTACATCAAACACGTATTGGTCTTAGCCTTTATGATGTGACTGGTCAAGGTTTTCTTCGAGAATGTGTGAGTAATCAGTGTTTGATATTTGTATAAAAAAATCTATTACATCAATAATAAACATGTATATTTTTTCATTTTTTCCCTCTCTATTTCTTTGACAATGTATCATGGGAATGTAGAGCATCATTTTTATCTGTCTTTAACAATAGTTGATCCTGTTTAATGTGCAAAAAATATAATCGATACAAAGCGTAATTTTGTCAACTACAACACAGATGGTAGCAGGAATCTATTATCCAAATGATTCAGTTATATTTGTATGTTGGGATAATATCAATAAACATGGTAGTTTTCAATTGTTGTTTTAGGATCTTGAGAACTATATCTTGGAACTTATTCCTACTTTACTACAGGTGCATTTTTAAGAAAGTAAGTTTAAACTTTTGCACATTTTGACTAGGGTATTTTTCTTTTCTAGCTTGAAGGCCTGGAGAAATCATTTTATTCATTTTATGTCTGCACAGCTGTTAGAAAATTCTTTTTCTTTCTTGATTCAATGCGAAAGGGTAAAGTCAGTATTGTGTTTTCGTCCTTTTGTTTTGTGAATGATTTAAAAGCACAGTAAATTTTTCAGGTAAAATTAAGATTCAAGATATCTTGGCTTGTAGTTTTCTTGACGATTTGTTGGAGGTACAATAGGAACCTTGATATAAATAATAGTGCAATATGAAAAAAGATCGTCAGAATGAGTAATATGACCTTAATTGTAAAATTTCAGCTACGTGATGAGGACCTCTCTAAAGAACAACAAGATTCCAACTGGTTCTCAGCACCTTCTGCCTTGAGAGTTTATGGTTGGTAAAACACATCATGTGTGAAGATATTTGTGAGAAGACTACATTTGTATAATCATTCATACACTTGACAGGGCAATATTTAAATTTGGACAGTGATCATAATGGAATGCTTAGCAAAGAGGAACTGCAAAGGTACGATGTAAAGATGGAGGTGGACTGTTAAGTTTGTGTGTTTATTTCTCTTTTTTGACAGATATGGCTCGGGAACACTCACTAAAGTCTTCATTGACAGAGTTTTTCAGGAATGTTTGACCTATGAAGGTGAAATGGTATGGTAATTTCATGTTAACATCTTTGCTCAAAAATGATTAAAAATATTGTTCTCTTGATCCATTAAGGACTATAAGACATATTTAGATTTTGTCTTGGCACTAGAAAATCGCAAAGAAACACAGGTTTATCTAATTTAATTATGTCTATATTGATTTTAATTATGTAAATTTTCTAACATGGAGTCAAAAAGCATACCCACAGAGCAATTCTTTACAAGAATTTATTCTTCAATATAGTCTTTGCAGTATCTGTTTCGAATGCTTGATATCCAGGTATATTTTTGTCTTTATGGTATTTTTTACAAATCCAGACAACTAACTCAATCCTATGTTTTCAAGGGATTAGGATACCTTAACAACTTTGCTTTCAACTATTTCTTTCGGGTCAGTATTTAATTAATACTACCAATCTGTTTATTTCATGTCTGGTAGTAAAAACTTGATATTTCATAACGATTGAAATCTTATCAGGAAATCCAAATGGAAATGCAGAAACATGGCCATGATCCTGTGTTATTTCATGATATTCAGGTAAAGTTCATAGAGTACTTTGTACACAGGTGCAAATCATATCTCACAGCAAAATTTATTACATATCCTGTAGGATGAAATATTTGACATGGTGAAACCAAAAGATCCATATAAGATTACTCTTCAAGATCTTGTCAACAGGTTTTTCCCAGTTTTTATCACAGTCATAAATCATTGTGCAATGTCTCTGACATTAAATATAAAGTGTTTGGTAGAGTTTGAACATTATACCTACATTACAGTGGTCAAGGGGAAACTGTGGTAAGCATCCTCATTGATCTTAATGGTTTCTGGACTTATGAAAATCGCGAGGTATTGGTGATGCAGGAAAGCCAAGGAGCATGTGAAGTATGAACCACAAGGTACAAAAGGAAACTTTGGGATCTGTTGTACAGAATAGGGTGGGTTCACAGTAGAGATGTGAAATTGTGTAAAAAAGTTCCCATGTAAAAAAGCAATTTTTATTGTATTGTTGATACTAAATGCAATGAATTTGCTTGATGTGCAAGTAAGTAGGGGTAGTTTGCTTCACTTGATCATTGTCAAAATTAAACCAAAGCAGCATGCACTTTTCAAAAAAAAGGCAATTTCTACATCTTAATGGAGTGTCACTATCGTAGAAGAATCAAGTACAAAATTGTGCTTGTCATAATTCTGCTGACTTCATCATTTTGGAATTAATTCCTAACATATTTTTGAGCCAGTTCCACCAATTAGTAAACATTTGAACAATTGTCTGCCATAATGACAATTCATCATGGGAAATATTCTCTACTTCTTCTTCTTCATTTTCTGAATGTTGACTTTGCATTGCTTCCATTTCTGCTTGCTGTTGCATCAGTTCTTCACGTGAATACAATTGCATGTTTGGCATTCCAGGCATTTCACTATGCATAATGTACACATGATAACATAAGAATGAGAGATTATGTACATGCTAGGATTCATAAAGATGTAAAACATTCACATGATAAAACAAGAATAAGAAATTAAGTATGGGATTATCTTACCTTGCTTTCTTTAGGTACTCCTGAGCTTTTCTTTCATCTTCAGACATTGCTTTGAATGTTTCGTCCTTTCTGTTTCCACTTTTGTATGTCAATTCATTTTTGGTACATGCGCCAGTCTCTTCATGACATACTTGATTGATCATTTGAGACAGTGTCATTTCACTTTTCCACAATTCTTCAGCAATATCCAAGTCAGCTTCGCCAATAGTCTCATCACATGCTTTAGCTATAGTTCGACACTCAGACTGACATGATCCCAACTCCTCGTGCTCAGATAATATCAAAGCATTATTTTTTTCTTCTATATCTAATTTGGTCAGCCATTCTCCTTCAAATCTCTCTGGGTTACATGCCTTCTCAACTAACACCTGTAGCTTTTCTTCACCAACCTAAATCCGCAATAATTGTAAGCATATAAGCTCTACCTCTATATTACCTTATACCTGAGACGTTGCAGTGTTCAATTAACGAAACTATACAAATGTATTATAAACGTTGAACCTCTAACCTTTTTACTGTCCTCGCGCATTGATTTAACTTTTCTAAACAGGTATCTCAAACTTTTCTGGCAAACACCGCATTTAATAAATGGAATATCCTCTTTCATTGGCGGATAGACTTTTTTCGACATCTTCCCCTGCACGTTGTATATTTGATAAATAAGAAAAAATACACAAAAAATCGTTCTTGTAGTCATTGTACTGCTTGGTGCTGTATTCACGTTTTTTAATTGTTGAAAAATCGAACGTGAAATGGAAGCATGACAAATGTGTCTGGCATCACGTGACTATTTTTAGTGAAAAAAAATGCTGCTGAGCGCTGAGTTGAATTTGGGGAATATCGGAGCGAAATATCAAAATTTACAGAAAATTCCAGGTGAAATCTATCCCCAATCTATAACAACATATACCCTACGAAAAATAAAATAAATATAATTGTTCGTTTATTTTGCACATTGACGATATCTCGGTGTTTAGGTTCACAAATTTGCAGTTCCTTTGGTTGGATGATGTGAAACATGGGTTCTGAAGTAATGGCTGATGGATCTGACCTTCTTTTGACTGAGTATTTGTTAAATTTTGAGGAAGATGAGACTAATAATGTATTGGATGAGGTAGACTTGGTGGAGTGCCTTTCTTCCGAAGTTAAGTGTCATAATGTGGATGAAAACATGCCCTTATCACTGGTCAAACAAACTGTGAACACCAAAAGTTCCACGAAAGTAAAACAAAACTCAGAAAGATCGAAGAAAAGGCTAGTGCAAGAGAGAAAGATCGTGCTCGTGCTGTTGAATACAGAAAACGCAAGTCCAATGAAATGAAATCATTGGTAGATGAATGCACTCAGTTAAAGGAAAGCAATAAGACTTTGAATGAAAACAATATAAAACTCATAGAAAAAGTTTCATCTTTAGAGAGGCAGGTAGAGTATTTGGAACGTGTGATTGCTAATGAAGGAGCTTTGTCTACTATCTTAGGCATTATCACTAAACATTCTGGCATGGCATTCACCAATAATCCACTTCAATTAACTTCAAATAACTGTGAAGAAGGCAAGAATGATGAAAATGAACCAAAAAGGAAGCGTCCAAATGCAGGTGTATGCCTCCATCTTAAGTCAGGATTCATGTCTTTAGAATTTTGCCCTCAATGTGACACTAATGCTCCTGATATATGATTAAGTATCTTGTAAGTTGTTATCAAAACTTGGAAAGGGTAAGATAGAAAATTGTGAGACTGTATATGCTTGCGTATGTTGATGATTACTATATTGATTGATGTCTTTCATGTCAGGAAAGTATTGGTTTATCAACATCATTATCTCAATTGCCCCCATGCTTAAAGACAACTTTTCACTTCTTCAAACTAAAATTTGTGAAATATGTATATTAGTGTGTATTGTCTCTGTTACTGAAGTATTTCTTTAAAATATAATTTAGCACAATGGATGCTTGATGTCCTTGCACTTCCCGGAGTCAAGTAATTCATAGCATAAAGATGTTGGAAATATATGTAAGTTGATTGGTCCTCTTAAGTGAGGACCACAGGTAAACTTTATGTTTGCTTTGTTTCTTCTCATTGTTTCAATGATAAATTTTTAAATGTTCAAGTCTTTTAGTGTCGCTATGATGAACCTGGATGAAAGTTGAAGTTAGTCATCATTCATTTAAGTAAAGGAAATAAAAATTTTTCCCTGAAAAGAACAGATACTACCAACTTGTGCGATATATTTTAAGAAAATAAAAAAAAAACCAAAAGTAAAGCAAGTGATTTTCTTCATACTAAACATTGGACAACAATCCATGAAATTTAACTATCTTGAAAATTATGTTAATATTTTGTCTACCATTCCCTGAACCAATGTCTTTAGTATAGGTCAAATCTTTGGTGATTAATGTGTATATCATCCACATACCTGAAAGGTTTTTTTGATATTAAAATATACATTTAAACTTGAATTGAAAAATGCTGTTATTTTTACCTGGTCATTGGGCTGTTGATATGGGGAAAACGACTTGGTGCTTTTCTATTGTAATTTATGTATTTGTGAGGTGGCCCCGTGCCCCACCTTGGGGAAGCTTTCATTTGTATATACCCCACTGAAGGTAAAATTTGTCGCAGAGTTGACCATTCCTCACATCTTGTTGCATGAGAGTATGGAAGCAATCGCGATTCCTCTGAATCTCGAGCAAATATGTGTGATGGTGCATCAACTGGTCGTCTCCAAACTTGTGGTACACCAGATTTGATCGCAGGGTACGCTATAGAATACAGAATATAACGTCTGTATCTTTAAACGCGAATGTAAAGAAGCGTGGAAATTACATGTTTTAATAAGTTCGTTCACCGTTTAGACCTCGAACTTCACTTGAATGCCAGCAGCCATGTCTATAACGTGTGTATGCCTAAAACATACCTACAAATTTCCGTCTTGACGTTGGTGCAGTTTGTCTAAGATCAGTGGGAGTGTAGCGTTTTTTAACCCAAACGATTTCGTCGTTTTTGGGATGTATTGAAACAAAATTTTCATATCTGTATCTAGGATACGCCGATCCAAGACATTCGCCGGCCATTTCTTGTAACCAGTAGTTTGCAATCAGTTACCATGGTAAATCTTAATTAAGATGCCACTTTTAATGCACGCGCACAGTCATACAAGTACTATGTGCCTTTTACGTTGGCAATTAAAAAAGTTTATTGAACTTAAGTGTTACAATTGAAACAATTTATATGTAGAATGATTTTTAGAGACTACAAAAATTCATGTCTCCTAAAGGTCATTTCGATCTTCTCTTTCAATCTTTAACAATTCAACTTCAAAGACCAGTGTTGCTCCACCTGGGATCTTTGGTGGTGCCCCAGAGTCACCATAACCTAGACGAAAATATCTCATATTAATAGAGGTGTGTATTTCTGATTTAGCCACAACAGAATCAGAAAAGGGCACAAATGGATAAACATACCTAGACTGGAGGGGATAACTAGTTTTCGTTTTTCTCCTTCACACATGCTATACAACAAAATATTAATATCAATTGAGCAATCTACATTTTAATGATGATGGAAGTTCATAACTTACTTTAAAAGACCTTGATCCCAACCTGTAAACCCAAAGATTTCACACTTCATCAGGTTTTCATTGGTAACCCAATTGATTTTTTAATGTATTGGTAAAACAAGCCATATTCTAACTTTACCTTTAATAACTTGTCCAGTTCCTAAAGTGAACACAAATGGTTCTCCACGAGGAATACTACTGTCAAATTCTGTGCCATCTTTTAATGTCCCCTAAAATTAGACAACATACTAAAATATTTCAAAGAGACTAGTAATTAAATATTCCGCGTGCTTTTGTCTCGAAAATTGTGTCCACATGTATATAAATGGTGGTTTTAGAGTTTCTAATTTTTAATTAAAACGCAATTAAATATTCTTTTCGCAAACTTTGCCTTTTTGTACCGTGTAATGCATGTGCAACTTGTCGCCATGTTTTGACTTCACTTTACAATCTTTCACTCTTTTCTTAACTCCAATATTTAGCTTTTCTTCGGCAGTCATGCCTGGCAGGCATTGGGAAAACACTGCTAGAGTGATATATAAAAAAATAAATCGTTTATTCATCATCTATGTCAGCTCTTCCGTTGTTTAATTACAGTATATCCACACACGGCTATAAACAAGCTTGGGCAGATAACTTTTGTACACTCCAGTTAGAGTGTTTTTATGGTTCAGTGTAGCTCCTTCACCAAAAAGTGGGCTGTGGTCTCTGGTCGCTCTGGTCAATATCTACGACATGACATGAAGCAGTGACCTACAACCCATTTTACAATTTGTATAAATCAATGGACATGAAACATGAGCATGACGTAAACCCGGACGTTAAGTGTTGCAAAAGGTTGTCGATGACAAGAAAGGATTGAAATCAGCATTTTCTCTATCTTTCCAACAGCCCATACATCAACTATTTTATTGTTTCATTGTCACTTTCCAAAATTTTGCGCTTCTTCCAGACTTGTAGGAAAAAAGCTATATTCCCATGGTTATAACAGAACCTTTTCATTAAGTGTGAAGTCTTTAATATATTCTTGTGACCATTCAAAATAGCATCAATTTAAAATGGGTTTGCATCATTGTTCATTGGCAGACAGTTTAACTTAAATATACGATAATGGATATGCCTTTCGTCTTTGATTGGCAAAAAAACTTCTGCTTTTCAGAGACATGTAGGTCCAGTTAAATATCTTTATTGATCTCTTATTGTTAAATATATTTCGTTAAACTTGCCATCACCTGTCTGTTTTATTTTCCTTAAAACAATATTGTTTTAATTATACTTCTGGCAAACCCATTGACTATACTCTGAAATCGAAATTCCATCTGCTGAGAAGAAATTTCATCACTTTTTCTGAACCTTGATAACACTAAATAAGATTTGACAGTTTAGCTTATTCTAACCTGACCTGCACATCGTTAAGACCACTAGTAAATAAAACTGCTTCGTTGTGAAAACGCTAAGAAATATAGCATTTTTACAAACTCGAAATGAGCCGTTTACTTTCTCACTGGCTGGTGACTATTTCTCTCATCTTCAATACAAAGGTAGCTACAATTTGACCATTTACTGTTTGTATCTTTTTTGGAAACAACTGCTCATCAGGTTTCACCATCTTCATCAAATTTTTCAGAATGACTAGCTACTTACTATAGCTAGCCTTCTCTTTTAAAGATTCTTGTCAATTGTGGATGAGTTATAGGAAGCCACTTGTGATGTGACCTCACAGGTTTAGTTGATGTAAACTACCGTCTGCAGAATGCCTTTATGCTAGAACTAATATATAGTTTGTATTAAACTACAAATGGAAAGTAGATTGGGAGTTTCGTGAAATTAAAAGAAGCAAGAAGCCTTTTTTGCCTTATTTAACTTCCCGGGTTTTGATGATGTAATGTAAACTACCGTCTGCAGAATGCCTTTATACTGAATACCAAGACATTGTTTGCAATAGAACTATAAAGTGTATACTTTATGTACAATTAGAAATGAAAAAGACATTGAACTTGGAAGTTTCATGCAATTGAAAGAAGCCTAAAAGCCCTTAATTATCACCTGTGTTCAATATGGCTTTACTGAAACAGCTATATAATTAAATTTTAGTTCAAAGAGAAGCGATAATAACTAAATAGCCTTCAATGGTGCGTAAGTGGCTGTTGTTTCTCCATATTTTACTTCTTTTAAGCTTTCTGGTCACATTTTAAAAAGTTTTTATGGCTTCAGTTTTCATTGTTTGGGAGACGACATATTGTTTCTTAGTTAAAACTTAGGAGATATTTAAAACTTTTACTTTGTGTACAAAAACAAGTCAAAGATTTTTAATTGATTTATGACTTCCTGTGATTTGTCATCAACAATATTTGTATTTTTTTTATTTGTGCATTTTTGTTAAGTTTCCTCATCAAATTAACGAACGAACCTCTACTTTACCCACAGTGAAAGAAATTTTAAAGACGATAATATATACTGGAAGAAATTCACTTTGCATTGAAAATACTCTAATCTTAGGTTAATGAATTCACGTTTATTTTTAATAAGTAAAGCAAACTAAACTTGAATTTGTTAATATTTAGCAGACGAAAGACAAACACGAATGTTTACTGAATTTTCAAAATCGTTTTGCATGGTAGTTTTGGGGGGATTTAAATGGTTCATCTTTCATAGTTCACTCAAATTAAATTCTATTACAATCGTTAGAAGTTATCATCAAAATTATAGACGTGAATGAGAATTTTCATCTATGTTTTACATTTGTTGTGATTTCAGATTGTGAAGAGTAAAGGCGTTTTAAAGTTGACTTTCAACGATTACAATAATCCTGGAAAAGGAGATTATGATGGTGGTTGTTGCGATCCAATCTTGTGTGGAGGATGTGAAACTTATTTCGAGATATGTCTGCAATCGTCTTACATTCCCGTTCATAGCACAAAAAATTGCATGGTTTATGTGAATACTAAGCATCACAAAGGTGATAGTTTCAATTTCAAGAAAGTTTATGGAACTTTTTTTGGTATAAACAATGAAAGAAATCCGTTGGTCTATAATTTTGACAACAACTGGAAGGTAATTCCTTATATAACAGGATCATTTTGATGCATTCGGGATATAGATGGTTAAATGTGGACACAATAGACAATAATTGATTCCTAATTATAACAATGATATATAAGTGCGCAAGTATTTTCTATAGGGAACGTTCAGTATTCTAATGAAGATATGGGATGACGATAGTGGCCGAATCTTTAACGTTGGAGGGCAACGGGATCTGATTGATAATGTATATGGGAGCTTTAGGAAGCTTGTTGCTGGTCGTTATTCACATCAACCCAAAGTATTTTTGAGAACGGTAATAAATCACCTCTGAATAGTAAACTTTTGAATAGAAAGTGACATTGACATTATCATATTTGCTCTGCAGCTGACTGGGTCAAGAAAAGGCTCTGGTGTCAAGCCTCCCACCACTACGACTATCACTTTGAGCCTACAGTGTCACCAGTATTATTATAACGGCTATTGCTCCAGGTACTGCAAGGCTCAGTACAGTATTGCTGCTGGTCACTATACTTGTGATGCCTACGGTCGCAAAATCTGCAGGAAAGGTTGGCTAGGAAGAGATTGTAAAACACGTAAGTTTAAAATACTCATGCTTAATAAAATTTAGCAAATTCCTGTATTTATCTCAGCAAACTAAACTGCAAGTGTCTTCGAGGAAAAGGGAAAAGTAAACAATGCTTTGGTAAAAAGTCACGTGAACTAGTAACATGTAAATTATTTCTTCAGCTTTGTGCAATAAAAACTGCAACAATGGAAGATGCAGTAGGCCTGGCATATGCAAGTACGTTATACTGCTCATTTAATCCATGCTTTCCGAGCTAAACTCAAAGCGTGTTTCTCTTATTAGATGTCATGCGCACTGGACAGGAGATACTTGTGAGAAATGTATTAAAAAAAGGGGATGTTGTAAGTAATTGAGTCCAATTTAGTAATATCATAGTTTTCCTCTTTGATTACTTTTTTTCTTTAGTGAATGGTGTCTGTAAAGTTGGTAATGACTGCATATGTTTGCCTCAATGGAATGGCAGCCTATGCGATCAAGGTAATTATAACTTTATGTAGTATCAATGCTTGATTGATGAATAGTTTTAACGGTAAATTTCTCTTCCTTGAGATATGAATTCATGTCGAAGTCAACCGTGTCAAAACGGTGGTCGTTGTTACAACAAAAAGAACTCATACAAATGTCAATGTGTTGCTGGTTATCGTGGAAATCGTTGCGAGGAAGGTTGTTATTGAAATTTTTGAAATTGCAGTATCGTTACAGTGCTTATTATTGGTTAACACGATGAAAATTTATCCACAGAAATCAATCTATGTTCATCAGTTCCCTGTGCAAACAGCTCGTCATGTATCAATTATCGCACTGACTTTAAATGTATCTGTCGTGCTGGATTCAACGGTCGTTTGTGTCAAAATAGTGAGTGAAGCTCATTTCGTCAGCATGTAATATCATTTATTCATGAAGTTACTTCCCTTCCTCTCACTCAATGTAATTTCTAGACATTGACGATTGTGTTTCTAATGACTGCACTAATGGAAATTCGTGTTTGGTGAGTTTCGACGTGTAGAACAATGTACTGCAATGTAGTAAACGTACTATGTCATAAGACTCTTTTTATTACGTTGTACTATTTTGAACTACATTGTACAACGTGAATAGAGGATGAATTTCCCTAGGACGGTTATAACAACTATTCATGTTCCTGTACCCCTGGATATACGGGTTTTTACTGCAATGTTGATATCGATGATTGTGCAAACCAAACCTGCTCACACAATGGAATTTGTAAAGACGACATCAATGACTACATCTGCAGTTGTTTTCATGGATTCGAAGGTCGAAATTGTGAAATAAATATTGATGAGTGCGTCCTTAATCCTTGTCAGAATAATGGTAAGATTTATGGAAATGGCTGTCTTAAAATGTCACAGACAGGCATAAATAAGTCTTTCTTGATCGCTGAAAATCCAATGGATTTCGATACAGTTCATAGATTCCGGAGTTCATAAGATTTGAAAGTGATATACAAAGATCAATAAATTTATTAAGTAAGGCAAAACAAGGAAAACACACAACCAAAAGATCTCCATTCATTGCATGCTTTCTTGGATTCCGGTAAAAGCTGAATTCCGTATTCCAGAAAAAATAAATTCCTGGTCCTACTTGATGATACAATTCCAAGAATCCCAGGTTCCAAAGCCTGAATGTTTTTGGATTCCAGATTCCAGATTGCCATACATAGGGCAATTTTGCTAACTCTTGATGTATCTAACTCTCGGTCTATCGCTAGCACAGGCGAGTGTTAAATCATTATTCTTTGATCACCAGGGACTTGTCTTGATGGAATTGACGATTATTCTTGCAAATGTGCTGAAGGATGGCTCGGTAAAAATTGCACATCAAATCGTGACGAATGTGCAGGTGATCCATGTCGTAACAATGGTACTTGTCATGATCTTATCAACAATTACAACGTGCGTATACTTTGTTGTTTATTTTACTTCGTGAATTATGATACACTCATGTTATAACAACTTCAGAGTAAATTTTATAGAAGGGAACATCTAAATAAGTGACAGTAAACATTTTCATGTGACTCATATCTAAACTTGCGTAAGTGTCGGGGCTCATACTTTTAGAGAATAATTAAAGGGTTTATTTAGTCTGCAAGTTTGGTCTTGTTAAAAAGAAACACACTCCGAAGGGAAGGTCCATCTTGGATTCATTATTTGAGTAAACAGAGACTAAACAATTTTCAGGAAGAAGTATTTCATCTGAATTATGGTGAATATGAATAATTTCGAAATCTAGCTTTGTAAAAACTGTCTCTGTTTTCTCAAATATTGAATTCAAGATGGACCTTTTCTTATAGGAGTATATGTTTCCTTATGTACTTTGTAATTTTGTCGGTTAGTAATTGATTTTGGTCATGCTATGCTATGAAAATGTAATATCAGAATAAATTTCTTAGAAATTTATTATTTTTGAGGTGAGTAAACACAGAAATATTTACATAGCAGAACCAAACTTTTGAGATGACTACGCCAGTGATCCTTAGATTGCATTGTCAACATTCGTTGTTTAATCGTTTTTCTCAATTAACGACTTTACACTAGAGTATTTTATTTGTGTATGCCAAACATTTTCCTAAACATCTGCACATCTCTATTTTAAGTGTTCTTGCTTATCTGGTTTCACTGGCAAAGATTGTCAAATTAACATTAATGACTGTGTGGCCAAGCCTTGCCAACATAACGGTATCTGTATTGATGGTGTTGATTCTTTCTCTTGTCTTTGCAAACCTGGCTACACTGGTTTACATTGTGAAGTGAATATTGATGAGTGTCAAGGTTAGTGCTATTTTACATAATGTCATCATGTCTTCCCTACATCTCTTTGTACCTCTCGTTCCAGATAGTCCGTGCATTTACGGTCAGTGTAAAGATGGTATCAACCAGTATCATTGCAACTGCTCACGTGGTTACGAAGGTCATGATTGTGACATTGAGATAGACGAGTGTCAATCAGTACCATGTCTTAATAATGCTACCTGTGTTGATGAAGTTGGCAATTTTTCTTGCGCTTGCGCACTTGGTTACCAAGGTGATTGAGACATTCATGACACTTAAAACTACATAAGAAATAGTTAATCGTGTATAAACATATAATTGTATTTTAGGTCGGCAATGCGAGATGCGTATTGACTATTGCATGAATATCACTTGTCTATATGGTGGTGTGTGTGTGAACAGACGATCAGGCTATCTTTGTAACTGTCCCTATGGTTACAATGGAACGGTTTGTGAGCACACGCCTTGCACGTGGCAGCCATGTAGGAACAACGCATCATGTTTGCTCAATAATAACACCTTGCGAGGATATGAATGTGATTGCTCTCCTCTCAACACACGCTACGTTCTAAAATATACAGGGGAGTTTTGTGAGAAAGGTAGGTTTGCTATAAGTAACTGGTGAAGTAATATCTTGTAAGGTCAAGTGAGGGTGTAATAAACTGCTAGCTGTTTTCTTAACCATATTCAATGGCTTCTTTTCTAGATATTGATAACTGTGATCCGACCAATTACAACTTTGATGAAAGTATTAACATCACAGAAAATGGGTTTTGCGGGTATAATGGCCGCTGTGTTGATCATATCGGATATCATACGTGCGAATGTGAAGAAGGTTGGACTGGGGTCGCTTGTCAGATAGGTTCGTGGCCAGTTGTATTATTGTCTCCGTAAGGCAAGCATGTTTTGAAAAAGTCAACACAGTCAATTTGTTTAGATGTTGATGAATGCTTAAGTTATCCTTGTCGTAATAATGGAGAATGTCGTGAGAATGCTGCGGGATCTGGGTACGAATGTCTATGCCCTTCTGGCTACCATGGAAAGAACTGCGAGACAAGTAAGATTGTTTCGTTTTCAAATCTCATGAAGACAAACGGCTTGTTATTACATTAACTTGCTTTAGTTGCTAATCCATGTGACAGTAATCCATGTTGCAAAGGCGCTATTTGCAAATATGACGTCAACTCGTTTACTTGTCTTTGTTACAATGGACTTAAAGGACCTTCATGTTGCTCTAGTAAGTTACGTCATTATTAAATTGAATCGTTTATAGATGTGTAGATCGTCCAGGATAGTGGAGGTCTAAGAAGAACTGTTGGTAATGATGTTGACTAACATTTCGACAGCCTTAGCCGTAGAGTCTTTTTCATCTTCATATTTGTGAAAAGTGACTTCAAGTTTGTCGAACGTTCTTCAACATCAACACTAACGGTACTTCTGATGAGGACTCCACTAAACTGGTCTACAAATAATGACGTTACTGTTCATATCCATGATGCAAAGCTTGATGCTATTGATGTTTCAATTCAATCTTTGCAGATACAACCTGGTGTTCCAATGATTTATTTAACGTATCAACATGTAGCGATCGTGGAAAATGTTTCAACTTAGAAAACCAATTTAATTGTTCTTGCTATCGCGGATGGACTGGGTCTCGATGCGAAGAAGGTGAATTTTTACATTTTTCACGATTACTCTGGAGCATTAACTCGTTATTTTATCATGCAACGTCAATTTACCCTTAGATATCAATGAGTGTGCAATGAATCCCTGTGTCAATGGGGTATGTAGGAACACTCATGGATTTTATCAATGCCTTTGTGAAGATGATTATATTGGTTTGAATTGTGATGAAAGTAAGGAAATATGTGATTAATTGATCCGTGTTATAATTTTCACAACACTGAACTTCTTTTTTTTTACAGAAATTGATGATTGTCATAATATCACGTGGTACGTTAAGGTCACATGATGCGTAAGAGTCGCTTGTTTTTGTTTGTTGTTTTATTTAACTTTGGCTGTTCCTCATTTCAGCGAAAACAAGGGTATGTGTATCGATGGTGTTCATAATTTTACCTGTGAATGCACACCAGGATTCACGGGAAGGTATTGTGAAACAGGTACGGAAAAAACTATTTGATCATAGTTTGCGCCTGTAACGCCTGTTGAACCATTAAATGCTGCTATTCTTTTAAAATTGTGAGAGGGGACTTAGCTTGCATTGTTGAAATCCTATGTAATATTGGGCGGGGGTATTTTTATATTCTATAGATGTTCTATGTGTTGAGTATAATCTATAAACGTTCTATGCAGAAATTATAGTATATAGACGTTCTAGGTATAGTATAGATTATAATCTATAGATATTCTATGTATAGAGTCTTTGGTCTATAGACGTTCTTTGTATATAGTTTACAGTCTATAGACATTCCAATGAATGAAAAGCAATCAAGTTATCACAACAAAGCTCTTCAAACATCACTCAATTTTTCTTTTTTAGATAATGAATTGCCTTTGCCAGCGCTAAAACAAGGTTTTTTCTCTAAATTATATTTTATACTCATAAAAACATCTTATTTTTCTTTTTAAATTTGTTTCTTCAGTTGCCAGGACTCGTCGTGGTAAGTTAGCTATATCTACATACAAGTTTTAAACAGATTTACCGCAGTCTTATTTCATTCTATCAATATCGTCGTTTATAGCATCAAATCTTTCTCTTATTATTGGTGTATCGGTCTCCTTTATTGTACTCTGCACAGCTGTAATGCTGGTTTTTCTTCGCTATAAAAAACGTCTTCAGTGTCGTCGTAATGTAGGTAAGTAAAAAATGGTACATTAGTTTACACTTGCGACATTGACAACTTACATCTACACTATAAGTCTTTATATTAAATGAAACTTACTATTCCCTAGACTTCAGTAACCATGCTAGGGTAGTCAGTTTTAAACTTTGGTTTGTGAAATTTACAAAACAAGACTAAAACTTGCACGGGCTAGATACTCTAGTAGTGTATGTAACACTGCTTGAAAATATGCTCAAAACAACATTGTCTTGCAAACTCAAGTTTCCGTAAAACAAGAGATTTTTAATGACGAAGAGAATTTTTAAAGCAATATTCCCACTTGGCTTGACATTTGACAATGACTTTGAATTGCAATCGATATTTTGCGTTATTTTTGTTTTGTACAACACATGCTGCTATTTCATTACGTTTTCCTCTATATTTCTTGAAACTGTGGGCAGCTAGAGGACTATAACATCTTATAAATCATTAAGTTTGATAGAAAAAAAAATTATTTCGCATGATACGCATGTGCAAAAGGCTATGAACACGGACGGATGAGTTCACAGCATATTTATCAAGTATTCATCGATTTTTAAAATAAAGACTTTATCAAATGTAGAGGCAGAATTCGTTTACTTCGTGCTTTTACCTTTCAATCCGTTGCTTGTTCCGATAATAACTGTTATCATCTTGTCTTTCATTTATTCAATTGATCTAATTTTATTAGTTGATGATGTCAGAAACATCAATGTACCATCCGTGGACGCTTCTGAATACATCATGTTCACGAATCCTTTGTATCGGATGCATTATAGCAAAAATGAAGAGGTCAACACAAGCTCTCGCAAGGTCTCCCATTGTTGAGTCACTAAAAAATTTAAATGTTTGTATCTAAATAATAATTTATCACTCTGGGCGATTTCCAATGTAGATCCAAACTTGTGCCGAAAGCTTTAATATCAAAAATCAATAAAAATATCCGAAACAACGATGCCAGATAAAATTTTACAAATGTAGTTTTGTTTTCTCAACCTGTCAACACATTTTATCTTAAAATCCAGGTGTCTTTCTCCAAGGTGTTATCATCAAACACTCGTCTGAAAGCAATTTATTCATATATACATTAAATTTTTTAATCAGCATTCCAAATGCAGCTATATTGGTTTTTAAAAGCGATGAATAATTGATGTTTTTTTATGTTTATTGCGGGTACTTTTTCCACACATATGTTTTGAGCAGTTCATGCTTTCATGCTTTCATGTCATATGTTTTAAATTGACTTGAATTTTATATTTGAACTGAGATATTTGTGTACAGTTAGATGAAAAACAGAGAATATCAGCTAACAAGTACGTGTGAACTTAACATTATCAATTAATTTTAGGGCGCTATCTGCTTGTCATGTAGAATCTTCGAGCAATTTCTATTTATCAAGAAAAGTTTGGGAAGCGCAGAAAAAACTTTAAGGCATTCTATACTTTTGTGCTTCGCAAGCGAAAATTTTGAAAAAATACATCAACATCGTTCTTTTTTAAAGTCTTTACATTAATAGATATAATTTACCATTATGACGTCACAATCAGTTATCATTGACCAATCAGAAACGTCATAGAGAGAAAGACATTAGACCGTAAGAGAGTGAAAAATACAAAGTTTGTTGATAATATGAAATCGATCTTGGTTTTTTTAAACGACACTTAAATAGCACGTTACTGCAGTTATTTTGCTTAATTGCCTACTTTTGTGTTCGTAACGGATTCTGTTTATCTAAGTCAGCGAAGGAAAACTTGAAAAGCGAATTCCAGAATGGATGCATAAGATATGTTTGATGGCGAGTGTTGCTAGGTACAATCTAGTGACATCTATGATCCCAGAACAGGACGATGACTTTTTACAAATTTTGGACGAGGATACCGTTCTGAATGGGCTACGAAATGAGACTAGTCCGACGAAAAGAATTTCAATTTTAGAAAGCTTACGTATGTCAGTTCGTCGCAACGGTGGACAACTACAAATACAAGAACGGTTAGCTTTGTTCAACGCCATTCACGATGTGTTGCTTGATAACGATGTGAATACACGATTAGCTTGTCTCAACCTGTTGTGTGAAGTAATACCAGACTTTGGGAATGGCTTAGACGAATGTATTGGTTTGGTTTTACCTCAAGTGATAGTTTTTATTGGTCACAATCAAGTTTCATTGAAAAAATTAGCAGTACAAACTCTTCATGTGTATATGAGGCATTCCGAGCATTTGGAAAATGTACTCAATGCGATAATCAAAGTCGGACTTGAGAGCGAGAACGAAGACACGCGAATGGAGAGCTTAATCGCTCTGCCAATTTTGATTACTCCCAATTTTGCCAATGAAGATTTATTTCCCCTTACAGAAGCTTTAGCTAGGAGAATCGCAGGCAGTGCTGTTGATTCTTCCTTAACATCAGATACAAGCTCTTTGGCTCTTATATCACTTGAAAGAATTAGGAAAGTTGTTGGTAAAGTTAACTTTGAAAGATATGTACAACAATTGCAGCCACGGTTTCAGAATGTTCTTAATGAATCCATGAAGTCTTTAGCAATTGCCTTAAGTAAAGAAAAATCTCGAAAGAGTAGAAGTGCTGGAATATCACTTGAAGATACATCAAGAGTTGGTAAGACTAACCTGGACAGAGGCTTTACCATTGCCAACATGAATGATGAGCAAAGTGCAAAATTTGATGGGTCATATTTGCCGTCAAGAATTTCAATACGTCTAACAGATTCTGATTGGCGAGCGAAAGAACAAGGTATAGATGATTTAAGGTCTTGGTTGAATGATAAACATAATATTCACTGCCTGTTACCACACCTGGAGCATTTTATGTGTGTATTGAAGGAATTATTGAATGATTCAAATTTCAAAGTAAATCTAAGTTGTCTTCAATTGTTCAGCGTAATTATTGATGAATTGGGTGTGCAGATTGAAGGATATTTGGATTTATTTGTTAATGTTCTTGCTTCAAAGCTGGGTGATAACAAAAGCATTATGAAGCAGACTAACATGCTGGTTTTCAAGAAGTTGATGCAAAACATTTCACCAAACAAAGTTCTCTTCTTCCTAAAGGACAACATTAAACATCGTAATTCACGTGTGCGCGAGGAAACATTGAATGTTTTCATTGCTGCTTTGTTGACATTTCCAAGTAATAAATTTGACCTTCCTCAGGTTACTAGTTATATTGCTCCTGCATTGATGGATACTAAAAGCCGTGTTAGGCATGCCGCTTTGGAAGCATTTGCTGTTATAAATCAGGTACTTGGTCCTAGTAATCTGCAGCCTCTTGTATCAGTTGTTGATAAAATTGAACTCCAGGTGGGAGGAGAGGGTGTAATGGCTGCTGTTCAAGCAAGATTTGCCCGAAGACAGCTTCCAAAATTAAATCCTGATGGCCTAGTTGCATACGCAATTTCTCTGCATTCCATTGGATCAGCTAAAGTGAACGCCAATCTTTCTCCAAGAGGGGCTGATGTAGAATGGATTCTTGCTGCTGGTCTGGCCTCTGACTGCCCTTTATCAGCAAGATCTACTCCTGGAGTGAATGATTCAGCTGCTAACAATACACGACATCATCTTAGTGCAGGGAAAAACAGACTTCCTTGGGAAATAAATAAACTGACCTTGGAGACAAGAGAGGTAATGACAGAAAGAATATTGTGATTGTTTTGTTAAAGTTTTTAGGACATAACATTTTACCTTGTGGTTTTCTGTTGTCTATGAAAAAAAATATCTAAAATGACTTTGAATAACTTGTTGAGTTGAATTGTTTGATTTTAAATCTTTCTGGAAGTTTAAATTTTGTTCATTTTGCAAATGGTATAACCATGACATTGCGTAAAATAACTTACTATGGCATCAATGTTCATTCAAAAATGTTTTCAGTAACTTATATACTTGTCAATACAATGTTTTAACGAAACAGAAAAGTTATGATCTTTAAAATGCTCTACTTTAAAATTTGATGATAATGTGGTGGAATTTCGGTGCGTTGTGAAATGAATTGACCTTGTAGTGACTAGTAGTTTTCAATTTTCTAATTTTTGATGAATTAAAAAATTGGACAACTATTTGTCTGCAAAATTCTATCATTGAGCAAAGTCATCTATAAACTTAATATCACTCGTCCTGAGTAATTATATAAACACTAAACTTTATCTAACTCCACTCTAGGCTGCCTTTTGAACATCTTAATCAAATAATTATGATCTTATGGTTGATGAATTTTTATTATGTATTGACAGGAACATCCGCGAAAAATCAAACCATCCTGGGAGGATAGTCATAAACAACATAGAACAATTGGGGAACCGTCGTCATACTCTGTGAAATACAACAACCGCAAAGTATCATCCAAGGATAGCAACTCATTTGGATCATCCAAGGATGGTAACTCATTTGGATCATCCAGGGATTACAATTTATTGGGATCTTTCAAGGATACTAATCCGTTCGGACCATCAAACGTTATGTCTACGTATTCTCAGCTGTATAAAAACAAGTCGGAGAAACGTGATGTTTCTAGAAAATCAATGAAAGAGAATAATCTAAGACCAATAGTGAACGGTACAAATGGTTACTCCTTGATATATAAAAAAGGTACTCATTCAGAAAATGGAACTTTGAGAAAGAGTAATCAGCGATCTCTTGCACGGAACAATTCCATCGGTGCTAAGTCCCTTAGCCCGTTTGACTCACATCTTCCGAAGTCGCTTGGTACGCGACGAAACACGACCAATATGATTGGTGTAACAAACAACACTAACCTATCAACATCACTTCCTGATTGGTCAGAACTGTCCGATAGACAAAAGAAGCTATTGTCGCCAGTCTCCAGTGGTAAGTCATTACTAAGGATGAGGTTAAGTTTGTCGTTCAGAAACTTTTAACATTTAATGTTATTGATTTGATGGCAGGCATAAATCGTGAAGAAGAATTGTTAAGTTCGTCAGCTGAAAGACACGATTGTCATAATGAAACTCCCATTCAAACTAAACCAACCCTTGTCAGGTCTGCGTCCAAGAAAGACCGTCTTTTAAAGTCAATCGATGTGTCCGATGTTACTAGTCCTAGACTCTCCAAAGAAACTAGTGCTATATCCCTCTCTCCAGTACCACCTCGAAAGGTAAACAAAACTGATTACTGGATATGGATGGATAAGAATGATGTGTTGGAATCGGAGAGATGTTCAGACATCTTTGGAATGTAAGGGGGCTGAAAGATGTAGGGGGGGCTGACGGATGTAATTGGACCTGACGAATGAAGAGGGACCCGAGTAATGTGAATGCCGAAGTAAATTAAGGGATATGAAAAGATATGAGAGATGTTGAGACATAGAGAGACCCGAGTAATGTGAATGCCGAAGTGAAATAAGGGTTGCGAAAGATATGAGAGATGTTGAGTTAGATTTGTTGTTTTTTATGAGAATACCAAAGATTTTTATCGTTTAAGGCAAATACCAATGCTCATCAATTGAGATCAGTTGAAAAGATGGCCTCAACAATGACGTCACAAACAGAGAATAATCCTGAGTTGGACTCTCTGAGAGGGTGTAGAACTTGGTCAGCTGGGTAAGTCGTAAAAGTGCTTGTGTTATTCGTCATCAGACTTATTTTACTCAATTATTCTTGTTTGTAGTTCACGGAAGAACGTAGGTGAAGATCTTCCCTTTGAAACCAGACCACGTATTCCTCGAACTCCAGTAAGGCGCAAGTCATCGTCTGACGTCATAATTGGCTCTCCCCTTGACCTGACTATTGGTAATACGCGTGCAACCCGCTGCCATTCACGTGATAAAAGTGCACGTGATACACATGTAGATGACATTCGATCTTTAAAAATTGATGATAATACAAATGTAAAGAAAAAAATGGAGGTTATTGGTCATAAACTAGACGCTTCTGAGAATAATGGCAATCAAAAGATGACGTCAACATTGGGATCTACTTCTGGTGTTGGCAGTAGTCTGGAGGAGTCGGGAGAGTTGAAGAATCGCTTTTTTGACAATGAGCAAAATGTTGAGGTTGAGAATGTCGAGTATGAGTCTGAGTACGAGGAAGATACGGACTCTGACGTTAGTCTGACCACATCGAATGACAGTCCCATGAAAGATGGTGAATTATTGAAGGACTATGAGTTACATGTTCATAAATTGGATCACAGCGGTACATCTAGTGATTCCATTGATGAAGATGAAAGTGATAGAGAAAGCTTGGATGATAGTGACGGATGCAATGAATCTGATGAGGATTTCAGTAAGTCAATATATGATTCATTGTATACATTTGTGGCTTTACTTAGTTTATTATTTTCTTGCATAGTTCGTAAACTGCCGTCGTCGGAAGAAGAAAACAACCATTACCGAACCGAACGACAGAGCCTTTCAAAGTCGACCCGTGAGCGGATGGAACGAAAGAGGATTGAAGAGGAGCAACGTATTATTCGGGAACGCCATAGGATTGAAGAATTGGAGAGACAGAATCAACTTAAGCTGGAGTCGAAGGAACAGAGTTTACAAGAAAAGTTAGCAAAGGAACAACAAGAAATTGAGAACTTGATAAAACGAAAAGAGAAAGAGCGCAAAAAGGAAAGAAAGATAGAGTCGAAGAAGTGCGAAGAGACTGAACACGAACATTTATTAAGCAGTCGGAACGAAATAGAAGAAATGGAGCATGCAAGGAAGGTCTTTAGACAAAGAGAACGCGTAGACACGTTAAAAAGATTACAACGAAAAAAGGAAATGGATAATGTACAAGTGAATAGTAAGTGATTGTCAAGATGATTTAAAATGATGAACATAAAGATACATAGATATTAACTATTTTAGGTCTTGCTATCCAAGGATATCATCCACCTTCACTGGATAACGTAGGAAAACTTGAGCCTGTTGTAGGAAGACCAGCGGTCAACGAGATAACAGCTTTAGGCAGTTCTACTATAAGCCAACCACACATTTCACCATTGCCTTCCCGTACAGTGGTCAGTAGACCTCCCGCTAACAAAAGAAAATCCACTAACGCAAGAGTGTAAGTCGTTTTTATGGAGATATAATTATGCTCATTGAAAATTGTCTTTTTTTACATGGAGGATTTATATTTAGTGCTGCTCGTGTCACATCATGTCAGGATAACGGAGAGAATATTAAACAATCCCAGGGTTTTGCCTTATCCATAAATTCTACAATTCCAATTTGGGAAGTGACTGAGCAGGAGTTAAAACCATTTTCAAGTTGTGATAATGCTTTGAAAAGCACTTTGAAACTTCTGGCAGATGCAGAATGGTGGGTTGATACTGACTTAATCGTAAAATGCTGAATTGCATGACATTCTTTACTCTTGTTTCCCCTTGCAGGGAATCAAAATGCAGTGGTCTTCTCTCTGTCCGACGTCTTATTCGTCATCATTCAGTTAATTTTTGTGAACAACTTCATGTCTTCATCCTGGCTGTTGTAGCTGAGGTAAGTAAATGTAATGAATCGAGTTTGTTGTTCATCCATTTTTGTACCTATGTATCACAGAGATTGTTGTTCATCCATTTTTGTACCTATGTATCACAGAGATTGTTGTTCATCCATTTGTGTACCAATGTATCACAGAGATTCTGGTTTGTCCATTTTTGTACCTATGTATCACAGAGATTGTTGTTCATCCATTTGTGTGCCAATGTATCACAGAGATTCTGGTTTGTCCATTTTTGTACCTATGTATCACAGAGATTGTTGTTCATCCATTTGTGTACCTTATATATCATTCATGTGGTGTGTTTGTGACCTCGATGTTATGATGTGTTTAGGTGAAGAATCTTCGTTCTCAGGTTTCTCGCGCGGCTATATTCACTCTGGGAGATATGTTTACTTGTCTCGAAAAGCACATGGACTTGGTAAGGAAAACATTTCATTCTGATGGATAATTTTAATGATTATAATCATGTACACCCACGAATCCCTTTTGATCAATAGGATATTGACGTCACCACCAGTGCTTTATTAAAGAAAGCAGGCGAGTCTAGTAGTTTCATTCGAGGTGATGTTGACAATGCCTTGCTCGCTATGATAAAATCTGTATCTCCTGGTAAAGCTTTGGCAGCTTTAGTAACCGGAGGTTGTGGGTATGCATGTGTTAATGTTTATTAATTATTTCTCTCACGTGACAGGCATAAAGTTTGTATCTTGCTTTTGCAGACACCGTAATGTGAACGTCCGTAAAACTTGTGCTCAATATATAATGAATTTAAGTGAAGGACTTGGTGCTGCTCGTTGTCTTAATGGTTCCAAAGAGTTAACAGAAAGAATCTTGGTAGCTGCTGCAGAATTTGTATCTGATGGTGGGGCTTTGACCAGGTAGGACTGATCTCTTGTTGTGAACTGGAATAGCAATAATGATGACATAATTATTTGAATGTTTAGATATTATGGTCGACGTATTTTATACATGCTTGACGGCCATAATGACTTTGAAAGAATGTTGAATAAATATCTTCCTGCAAAATCTCTTAATCCAACGATGACTATTATTGAAAATATGAGAATCAAGGTAAGAAAAAGGCCTGATAATGAAATGATCAATGTACACTCTATCTCATATTTTTCTGTATAAATCGCTAAATTGTAGGGTTTAGGTGATACGCCCAACGACATGAGTTCGGCTCGTGTTCGTAAAGATGCGGTAAATAGCGGAGTTAGTTCGCGGAGTTCACGAGGTTCGAGCGTCATGTCATCAGATGCCACATCAAGTGTAGCTAGCAATGTTGTCTCTCCTGTCACCAGGTGAGCAGTGATTTTCCTTCAGTTATTCCGAATGATATTTCAGTTAGTCCGTGCTGAAGCATATCAGGTCTTGTCAACTACGAGATAATTTATGACGTTCTTTTATAATCATCAGGGAAAACTCGAGAAAACGAGCTAGGCGACTGTCTTTTGAGACTACCTCTCAACAGGTAATAGCAAGGTTCACATTTTTACAGTTGACCAATCACATTGTTACAGAGCGTTTTGCTGAGCCAATTAGATAGTTAGTGCTCGGTAAATGATAAAGTGGACATTCCTTTAAGTATCATTTTTGTTTTAAGGACCAAGAGATAATCGCCAATCTTATTGAACAACTCTCGAGTAAAGATTGGCAGCAGAGAATCAAAGCAATTGACGACATGATTGAAATGATTGAGACACGTATCGTTTTATTCTCTGCCAATATTGTTAAGGTTAGTGTATCATTTGATTCAAAAGTTAACGAATCATGAAAATTAAAAAATATTTTTGTTTAGATAATGGATGGATTTGTTCCACGTCTTGTGGACAACAACAGCAAGGTTTTTAAAAATTTAATCTTTATCATTTTCACACATCAATTCATGTGTTCATACACTTCATCATCAACTCTCTTGTGATAAAAATATCTGTAACTTATCAGGTAAATCTTCATGCTCTTCAATGCTTACTTCGTGTTGTTCCGACATTGCGAGATGTTCTCTCCAGTTGTCTGTCGTCATTGCTTCCGGCAGTTGGAAAGAATCTGACATCAAAAAATGTCAACATTTCTAGCACGGCTGAGAATGTCTTAGATAGTTTTATTAAACATCTTGGTAAGCAACTTAATGTTTTGATTGCTTCCCAAGAGTAGCTTTTGTGTCAAAATTATCTCACATCCGTGTTAGTTTGTTGATAATTGTGCTTTCATTGTGTAGATAATGGTCGTCTGTTGCAGCCACTGTGTCAATTCATTGGTGCAGTCCATAATAAAACTGCAATAATGAAGTTATTGAGTAAGTAAACTGGGTTTTATTCACTTCACGCAGTGAAGTGGTGGTTTCCCCGAAGGAAATTGACTAGTAATTCATAAATTCTTTTTTCGTGCATCTTCTCACTATTTTTCATTATTTATTCTTTATGTAATTCATTCTTCGTAATATGAGACATTCTCTTTCATTTAAGTCATAATCAAAGATGTTTATACAAGGAAACCTACGATGGTGATCAAATACTCTGTACCTGTCCTGTGGAAGTTACTTGAGCCAGCACGAAGTGCGTCCTTTGCTAGCAGTACCATAAGGGAGGCTGTCCATGACTTTGCTAATTATCTTTATTCTCTTATGGGACAATCGTTGTTCGATCTTGCTCAAGCGAAGTCAAATCGTGTTAGTCAGCGCCTTCGTGAGCTTCTTGAATGATGGATGACCTCTTAAGCTTCATGATCATGACGTCAAATAGGCAACATTATAATCACGTCATAAAGTGACACTGGTCAAAATGAGGCAGTTGTCTTTTTTTGGACAGCCCCCCTGCCCCCCTTCCATTTCAAGAGTATAGTGTCGTAAGGTATGAATCCAGTTAAATTTGGAATGTTGCATATCTTACATCGTGTTGATATTTAAAATATAAAGACAATGCATATATAATATATAATATATTTACATAGATTTTTAACGTAAGTGTTGTACATTAATTTACGTATGGTAATAGAATACTGTGGAATATTTTATTAAAGATTGAATTTTGAATTATGAGATCACATTATAAGTGATGGCTCTCAATGTTGGTAAGAACTAAAAGTTTTGAATGTATTGATGGTTTGTATATATTTAATGTTTCGCCCTCCAAGATTGGCAGAACTTGCTGTTACCCAAATATGTCTCGTACTTCATGTTAGTTTATAATTAGTTTATAATTGTTGAGTCATTGTCTTCCGGGGGGGGATTATGGTAGTCCTCCAGCGGACACAATGAAATGTGTGAAAATTGTGTGAAATTACGAAATAATTTAGTCAAGCAAACGGAAAGTACTACGTAAAACATGGCGTTGAAAGAAGTCGATCAAAACTTTTGACAAGATTCATTCGTGTTTTACATGAGTCCATTTTCTTCAAGACTCAATGAAGGGAAGATTAAGATAATAGTTTAAATGATTCATTTGCTTTGTCGTTATGGGTTCTTTAACGATGGAAGTCATCAGACTTGGTCTTTGGTCGTCTTTTACTGGAGGATGGTTTTACGACCCACATCAAGGACTATTCACAAACACCGTTCATTTTTATCTTTGGATGTTTCTTGTACTGCTACCATTTTCGCTATTTTTAGTATGTATATATTATTCTTGTTATTTGATGTTCATCTTGTTACAAAAGTCGGTTTGTAACTTAGGTGGCTCGCTAAAATAGGTTGTATAGCATATATGAACAACGTAGAATTTTATAAGATTTTACTTCGACAAATTGTTATTGAAATATGTTTCTTTTCATACTGTAGACAAACTTTTATTCAAAACTTTTCATTTTTATTAGGGAACTCCGCGTTCATTTTGCTCATGGATATGGCCAGTATATTGTGTCACAATTGCGACCTTATTTCTCATCATTAAATGCTTAAGTCATCGACTGCATGTTTTATTTGATGGAGAGGTTATCACTTCTACAAATGTTGATGAAGGGACTGGAGAGGAACCATCCAGAGTTGTTGATACCACTGAAAATAATCATTGTACTGAAGATGGCCACGAAACCATTGAATTGCAAGATTTATCAGTGCCATGTCAAAATCATGCAGAGATGGAGGAAGAAAATGCTGCAGTTAATGTAAGTTGTATTCAGCCCATTGAATATTTATGCTTTGCTATTTAATTTTGTGTATTTAGAATTCCATGGAATTGAGAGAAAATATATCTAGCAGTCAGACTTTAGTTGGTTAGTATTTGAATTAAATCAATGCCAATAAAATGTCCTCATACATTAACATACTTTTTTTCTTGATTTCCAGCTGATGTTGATGTTACATTGGACAATGAAATCAAGGTTGGTTATGCTATATGATAGCACTTCTTGAGAATTTGTTTTATTTTGTACTTTACTTCATATTGTTACTAGTTATCTGTCCCTCATGCTACAAATTGATTTCTCACATTGCTTACATAGGTGAATGGGACACATTTGAAACTCACAGATATTCTTAATAATTTACTATGTAGTGACGAAATGCCATGGTGCTTTTTATTGTAGTCATTCTTTGTGATTTTCCTAAGGTTGAAAATGCCATGAGAAGTGAAGATAATGACATTGAATTTGAGAAAGATGAAGCTAGCCCACATAAAGTTAGCTCTATACATGAAAAGAATGATGCAGATGATGTCCATGTGACCGCAGACAATAATCATGTAGTTAAACCTAGCACTACACCAGAAGACATTGGTGAAGTTAATATTAATTTGGCCGTAGAATATTTTGCTGCAATCAAAGTAAATGCTACTCCTGAAGACACCGATACAGTTAATGTGATCACTGAAGATAGTCATGCAGTTGAAGCTGGTACTAAATTTGAAGACAGGAATCAAGCTGACATTTGTATTACCACTGAAGATAATAGTATGGTTAAAGTAGATGTTGATCATAAAGAAACTAATGTACTTGATGTAGGTGTGACCACAGATAATGATGCAGTTAAGGCAGATATTACTTCAAAAAATGGTAGTGTTGATGCCGACGTGACTGACAAAAATAATGATGCAGCTGACAGTAAAGCAGTGAATGTTGATATGCCTCCAGAAGAGTCTGGAAATTTTCACAATTATATACAACTTTATGGTGAGTTGAAATGAATATTACTATTTACAAATTGTAAAAGTTCTTTTATCTATTGTTTCATTGGTTGAGATTATATCACATGATAGGGAAGAACTTAAGCTATTACCTTGAAAGTAGCTTAATAGTCATATAATTCTTTATCTACTAGATAATAATGAAAAAATAACATGCATCATACATAAAAATACAACAATTGGCTCATCTTGGTCAGCATTCGACGTCCACCAAAAAAACATACAAATTTTTCAAAAATATACTTATTTATATCATGATTTATCTTATTTTATTTGTATAGTATTTTGGGAAAGTAGATGTTTCATTTATTTAGTTTGTAGTAAACACAGTTTTTATCTTTGAACATTGGTTTGTAATAAAAACTTACTGACTAAAACCTCAGGAAACAGTGAGTTTGGCTTGATATTTGTGGGGGAGGGGGGTGATGACAATATTCATGTATGCACGTTTGTCGTATAAAGTTCCTTTGAAATCAATTGTTTTCTCGCATCTATATGAATATTGCCACTTTAATTATTGATGCGGGCTACGATGTTGTTTGTTTGTCCATTGTTCCTCTCATCTTCTTCTTGGGGAACAATGTTGGTGTCTGGTATATAATGAACACTGTTAGTTAATAAGTGTTGATTATACACTACTCAATAGTGAGTGAATAATATACACTACTCAATAGTGAGTGAATAATATACACTACTCAATAGTGAGTGAATAATACACACTACTCAATAGTGAGTGAATAATTATACACTACTCAATAGTGAGTGAATAATATACACTACTCAATAGTGAGTGAATAATATACACTACTCAATAGTGAGTGAATAATATACACTACTCAATAGAGTGAATAATACACACTACTCAATAGTGAGTGAATAATTATACACTACTCAATAGTGAGTGAATAATATACACTACTCAATAGTGAGTGAATAATATACACTACTCAATAGTGAGTGAATAATATACACTACTCAATAGTGAGTGAATAATTATACACTACTCAATAGTGAGTGAATAATATACACTACTCAATAGTGAGTGAATAATTATACACTACTCAATAGTGAGTGAATAATACACACTACTCAATAGTGAGTGAATAATTATACACTACTCAATAGTGAGTGAATAATGTACACTACTCAATAATGAGTGAATAATATACACTACTCAATAGTGAGTGAATAATATGCACTACTCAATAGTGAGTGAATAATATACACTACTCAATAGTGAGTGAATAATTATACACTACTCAATAGTGAGTGAATAATATACACTACTCAATAGTGAGTGAATAATATACACTACTCAATAGTGAGTGAATAATATACACTACTCAATAGTGAGTGAATAATTATACACTACTCAATAGTGAGTGAATAATATGTATCATTTTATTCTTCATATCAATGTCTTCATTCTCACATATGTTTTAAATTTTACAACTTATTCAATTATCTTATTTTCCATCATCGTAAATCTTACCTCTCATTTAGGGCCACATTCAGACGACAATATTGATGAGTTGTCAAATGGAAACAGATCAAAATCTCAAAAAACTAGGGATTATGTACCAAGTGTTGATGATGTTGAGTCAATTGAAGGTTTTCCTAAATTCTACCCTGACGTTCTTGCAATTTCCAATGTTTTTGAAGATTCTGCAACCGTGTCATCAAGCTGTAATTCAGGTTTTAAGGATATTACTCGGCCTGGGACACCCATGCCCGGTCGTGCGTCAAGCAAAAGTTCGTCACATGACCAAGAACCGCGTGATTTGGCCGAAATATTTCATCGAGCGCTGGACACTGGGGAAGAGAGAACAGAGAGAACGAATATATTGAATTTGTCACCGCAAAGTAGTATTCCTGTATCTATTAGCAGGTTATTATCTCGTAGCAGGTAATTATCTCGTAGCAGGCTATTATCTCGTAGCAGGTAATTATCTCGTAATAGGTAATCAACTCGTAGTGGATAGTCATCACGTGGGAGGTAATAATTTGCTCCTACGATTTATAAACTTCGCAGCAGGTGATCTCTTCAGCATATGTTGTTCTTCATAGTCATGAAGTACAGCAATATTAATTTTTGATTTTTTCATCTCTGATTTTTTAATGTTTATTGTTTAGATTTGATGAAGGTCAAAGATCACATCGTGTTTCACGTCCATTGACTCGTCGTTCTGCTGGTATACGTCGTCGTCGACCAATGGAATTAACCGATATTGAAAGGTTCAGTTTGTTGACAGGTGAAACCTCTGACGTCACACGTGGTCATCACTTGGCTGTGTCACATGACGACACATCAGCCGGTGCTGTACATCAATATCAAGATGAACACGGTGAGATGAAAGAACTTTTTACATTTCTTGTATATGACCTCTATCAATTGTAACCATTTTGAATCGCAGGAAATATTCGTCAATACGTCTTTGAAATTTCTGATGATCCTGTAGATATTCTTGATCTTGATACCATCGACAGGCAAGTGTTACATCAATAAGCTATCCGTTGAAAATACCTCTAATTCTTCAGTACCTTATACAGGTTGCGTCAAATGAGTAAACTGTTTTGAAACGATTCGAAATTTCGTAATTACTTTAAGTTATGGAAGATTTCATGTAGATAGATTGTTTGGATAAATACAATAGAAAATGAAGAAAAATTCCACCACCTTAACGTTTTTACTAATTTTCGAGCGATTTTAAAATACTCTACTTTTTTGATGCACCCTGTGTATATCACCTGAAAACAAGACATACTCATCAACGTCTATTGTATCACCTGAATACAACACATACTCATCAATGTCTATTGTATCACCTGAATATAACACATACTCATCAACGTCTATTGTATCACCTGAATATAACACATACTCATCAATGTCTATTGTATCACCTGAATACAACACGTACTCATCAACGTCTATTGTATCACCTGAATACAAAACATACTCATCAACGTCTATTGTATCACCTGAATACAAACATACTCATCAACGTCTATTGTATCACCTGAAAACAAGACATACTCATCAACGTCTATTGTATCACCTGAATACAACATATACTCATCAACGTCTATTGTATCACCTGAATACAACACATACTCATCAACGTCTATTGTATCACCTGAATACAAAACATACTCATCAACGTCTATTGTATCACCTGAATACAACACATACTCATCAACGTCTATTGTATCACCTGAATACAAAACATACTCATCAACGTCTATTGTATCACCTGAATACAACACATACTCATCAACGTCCTTTGTATCACCTGAATACAACACATACTCATCAACGTCCATTATATCACCTGAATACAACACATACTCATCAACGTCCATTGTATCTCTTTTTCTTAACATTTCATTTTCATCTAGGGATGGCAGCAGTATTTCATCGGTAATGCCAAACTTCTCCACGCCTCACTCAAATATTGATTCGTCTTCTGATGAATCAAACACTGGCTGTAGAATAAAAACCGAAAAAGGTTTCGCTCAAGCAGAAGAAAAATTCCTCGCAAAATATTCAACTTTGAAATCATTCCTGGGAAATTCGTAAAAATTGCATTCGATCGTTTGGCTTTGCTTGCGGTTTTTGATCGGTTGGTTTAAATTCTCTTTTTTGATTCAAATGATTCTCTTTTATATTGATGTTTATATTCTTATTAGTCTTTCTTGATTCTTATGATTCTATGTTTTTTTTAATGTTTTTATTATTATCATTCTCTAATGATTCTATCTTTTAATGATATACTTATTCGTCTTACTCTTTTTTGATTCTAATGATTCTATCTTTTATTGATATTTCTACGTTTTTGACATAGTCATAAATATACGTATGAAACAATAACTGCTGTTGTACTCGCTGTCTTGGTCTCATTTCTTGGCTACTGGTTGCTTCTCAAGGATTTCTACTCTGATTTTTGGATATTTAACTTTTGTTTCGTGCTGGCTGGTTGTCAATTTTCATTGCTAAAGGTTTAAAGTCTCGTTTTTAATTTATTTTATTGTTGATTCTTATTTTGTTAATTGATTTATTCTCAACATTTTTCTTTTTTTCTTTTTATAGAGTGTTCAACCTGACGCCACCTCACCTACTCATGTAAGATTCTCTGGGGAATGGCTTTATTTACTATATTTTAGAAAGATTTTTGACTTAAGAGATTTTCCCATTCGTATTACTTTTAATGGGATTATGTGAAATGAAAAACGTATTCCACAAAGTTTAATATTTTGATGGAAACGAGTAATACTAATTTACAAAAATGGTTAGCTTATAGCAATCTTCTCTGAAACATAACTTGTTGTTTATCACTTTATAGGGCGACTTATTAGGAACTTAGGAGACTTTACCAACTCGTCCTACGAATGTTTGCTTTTATTTTACTCGTATAAATCCCCGACTTTTTGATACTTCTTGTAAACGGTTTGTGTGGGAATAAAAGAGCCACATTCAACCTGTAATTGTAGGGGGGGATTTGTCAATGGCTATTGAAGAATTACTCTTTCCTTAAACATACAGAGCATTCATTCTTGTACCGCTTGATGGAGAATAATAATATTGTTTATGAATTTTTACTTTAATTTATGTGTATAGGGATTCAATCACGTGGTCCTGTTTAGCAGACCTATATATTTCTGTGTCTTGGCCAGCGGTATCTTGATCTTTGACAAGCTTTCAGATTACGACTTTCAATGTGTATCTGTTTACACGATACCTATGTGCAGTTCAAACGCGGTCGCATATACTAGGGATAGAATGGCAGGTACGTCATTTTCCTTTTGTGTAAAGTAGTTCTGTTTTGTCCGTTCTGATGAGCGGTTTCTTAAATAAACCTAAACTTCGACGTTGCTAATATGAACAAATAATTATTCAAATTCCAAACATATAGAGCAACGTTATTACGACTCACTTTCCCCTTATTGTAATGCACTTCAGAGTATTTCAATGTCACTGATATATTGTTCTTCAGAGTATTATACACATTGTACGTAAGCGTCAAGATCTCTCGCTATCATTTGTGAAAACCGAGAAAATCAAGCAATGTATATTTTAAATTCAGATTTCATTCTGGCATTTCCCATAGTATTTCTCATGGGACTTTTACCTCAAGTCAATACCTTTCTCATGTTTCTTCTGGAGCAGTTGGAAATTCATATCTTCGGTGGCAATGGTATTCAAAATTGTTGCAATCAATTATACTTCGGAAGTTTCATGTATACTTACAATTTTTAGCCAGTACCAGTCTCAGAGCTGCTATTTTTGCCTTTTTTCGAAGTTTGTTAGCCGTTGGATTGCTTTTTGGTTTTTGTTACGGCGCTTTTGAGCAAAGTAAGGTAGGAAAACAATAATTTTGTACCACTTCTTCATGGTTGAAGTATGGTATGCACATCTCTGTGGTTTATTACAGGATAAAATGTACTTCTCTATGGTTGTATACAGTATAAAATGTACTTCTCTATGGTTGATTACTGTATAAAATGTACTTCTCTATGGTTGATTACTGTATAAAATGTACTTCTCTATGGTTGATTACTGTATAAAATGTACTTCTCTATGGTTGATTACTGTATAAAATGTACTTCTCTATGGTTGATTACTGTATAAAATGTACTTCTCTATGGTTGATTACTGTATAAAATGTACTTCTCTATGGTTAATTACTGTATAAAATGTACTTCTATGGTTGATTACAGTATAAAATGTACTTCTCTATGGTTGATTACAGTATAAAATGTACTTCCCTATGGTTGTGTACTGTGTAAAGTGTACATCTTTATGGTTAATGATTTTATACATTCCTAGGGTGATTTACCGGGTGAAGATATTTTATTCAGCGTATTTAGTGGATTGGCAATATCAATATCATATCATCTCAGTCGTTCTGTGGCAGATCCCATGCCTTTCTGGTAAGAATCGACTTTTCCTCTCAACTATTCTAACCTTTCTTCCATGCTTCAATGTGAAAGAATTGATGTTAATAAAACATGTTTTGTTCTAAATTCTCTCGTATTTTCTCTCATCAAGTACGTTTTCTAACATTATTCTTCTGTTACCGTGTATTAAGGCGACTGTTTCGCAGCTCCGCCTGCTGTAAAGAAAATGAGGTTGTAATTAATGTCAAATCGGGCGAAATCGATGATCCATTGCCTGCGAAACTTCAGAAAACTTTCGTGAGTCGATTTTTATGAATTAAAAGGATGTGTTTGTATTTATATTACTGTTTTCCACCCGCATTTCGGAATGTTTATTTCAGATGCGTCGAGCTCATCATGATCTTATTGTATGCATCATCACAGCCGTATTTGTCTTTGGTGTTCATGTCAGTAAAGTATTTACTGAATTATATGTAAGTAATTGTCATAATTTACTGAATTATATGTAAGTAATTGTCATAATTTACTGAATTATATGTAAGTAATTGTCATATTTGTTCTTTCATGAACACATTATGACAAGTAATTTGGAATGCGTGTATAAGAATACATTTTCGATGTTTTAGGCTGCGTTTACACTATATACACTATACTTATCACACATCTTCATTTGCTTTAAAGGGATAACTGTTTGGAGTAAAAGCTTATTAGGCTGATAGATTTAGTCTATTCGATTGTGTTCCTAACGTTGAACAATTTCACTGCCATTTAATACAAAGAAAATTTAACCTGCTACGATAGTAATTCGCTTTAGGGTAAACGGGGTCTTAGAAGCAAATTAAGAGAAGTCAGGCTTGATGGTGTGGCCATGTAGGGGGAGGGGGGGGGGTGTCTATAGGTAGAATAAAGTTGCGTTTAGAACTGCAAAGTAAGAGGTGTAGATGACGACCAAAGAGGAGGTTTATGAATATATTGACAAAGGAAGTTGAATGGTTTGAGACAAGAGAATACAGCAGACAGAAATAATGAATATTGCATGTAGATTTATTCATTGTTGTTATCCCTAAGAGAAGAAGCCGAAAGCCGAAAGGAAGAGAGAGAGAGAATGTTTAAAGCAGAAGGCAAATTAATCATAAAAAAATGTTTATCGTTTGTGTAGGATTACCTCAGCTGGATCTTTTTTTTCTTGGCTGGAGTGATTGGGTTTTTTGCACATTATCTTATGCCACAATTACGAAAAGCATTACCTTGGCTATGTTGTGCTCGTCCTTTTCTCAAGACTCAAGAATATCATTTATATGAAGTGAAAGGTTTTGCGTTTTGTTTTTTTTTTGTTTTTAAACATGTTGATTTTAGTCTATTTTTATTGTGTTTTTTTTTACTGCATCTCTCAGGAGCTCCTAAACTTGTCTGGTTCGAGAAATTCTACGTATGGCTTTGCTTTATCGAGAGAAACATTATATATCCTTGTTTGTTTCTCGGTACATTGAGTAAATATGCTGAGGATATGGTATTCAAGTTTGGCTCAATGTAAGTCGCTAATGGCTAGTTATTTGTGTTGGTATGACAAATTTTTTATTTATTTTCTTCTATTATTCAGAGGTGGCTCGTTGTTATTGAGCACAATTGCTCTAAAAATGATGAGATCTTCATTTGCCGACACTTCGAAACAATACATATTAGTGATATGGACGTTACTTTTTTTTCGCTACGATTTCTCGAAATATTCCGAAGGATTTCCTATTAATTATTTTGTGATGTCGATAATATTGTCTAAGGTGTGTTTCTTTGCGATTCTCATGAACGTAGACATCATCAATGATAACATCTGTGTTATTCTTATAGGTTTACGAACTCATGTTAAAATTGAGATTCGTGTTTAGCTACATCGCTCCATGGCAAATTCCATGGGGATCTGCGTTCCACGCCTTTGCTCAGCCGTTCAGTATTCCTCGTATCCTCTACTATTTTATGTATTTTTAAAGGTTTCACACATTTTAGCCATTTTTTCTTTGCTTTTGCTGTTTGCTTTCCTTTACAATCAGATTCAACAATGCTATTTTTTCAAACCATTTTATCGTCGTTTTTGTCAGCGCCACTCAACCCATTCTTAGGCAGTGCCATTTTTCTTTGTTCGTATGTCAGACCTGTGAAATTTTGGGAGAAAAACTACAAGTAAGAACTCATTCATTTGCCATGTTTATTGATGTTGATTGTTCAGGCTAGTGCTGTCCTTAGAATGAAGTAGATAAGTGTTTTGACACATGAAGATGACTATAGCTAAGGATGTTGTCACAACAGTCAATCAATCGCAACAATCCTTCTCAGGACAACAACAGTCCTTCTCAGGACAACAACAGTCCTTCTCAGGATACAAACAATCGTTTTCATGACCACAACAGTCTTTCTCAGGACACCAACAGTCCTTTTCAGGACCACAACAGTCTTTCTCAGGACACCAACAGTCCTTTTCAGGACCACAACAGTCTTTCTCAGGACACCAACAGTCCTTTTCAGGACCACAACAGTCTCTAAGGACACCAACAGTCCTTTTCAGGACCACAACAGTCTCTAAGGACAACAACAGTCCTTCTCAGGACACAAACGGTGTTTGTCAGGATTGCACTAGTATAAACGATCAACATCATCTAGATGTAACGGTTCAACCCCCTCCTATTCACAAGGCTCAATTGAATTAAAACATGATTCAAACTAATCCATCCTTACTTTCTTAGGCTCACTTTCATTGAATTAAAACATGATTCCTCTCCCCGTTCAAACTAATCACATCCTTACTTTCTTAGGCTCACTTTCATTGAATTAAAAACATGATTCCTCTCCCTAGCACCAGTCGCGTGGATCACACGAACACTCGGCTGTCGCAACTTGATCGTAATCCAGGATCGGACGACAACAATCTGAACTCGATCTTCTATGAACACTTGACGCGTTCTCTTCAACATAGTCTGTGCGGAGATTTGATTCTCGGTCGTTGGGGACCGGTATCTAGTGGAGATTGCTTTGTACTTGCGTCGGAATATCTTAATGCTTTAGTTCATATTATAGAGATTGGTAATGGTCTCGTCACTTTTCAGCTGCGTGGACTCGAGTTTCGAGGTAAAAATTCAAAGCAAATGGTTAGTGACTGTGTGCCCCCAACTGTCTTTTTGTTTTGATTTACCTGGCCTTTATCGTACTACAGGAACTTATTGTCAACAAAGAGAAGTTGAAGCAATCACTGAAGATGTTGAAAGCGACAAAGGTTTTCTTTAGTATTCACCTGTATCTCTGAAGAACGTTTTTACTTTTCCATTATACATGTATCACTTAAATACTCTTCTATCGCTTCAATAGCTATGCATCTCTTTAACACGTATGCTCCCTTAATTCACCTGCTCTTTATAGCTGCACTCAGGTTTATGTATATGCTTCTATTCATGGCGTTTTCAACAAGATCCTGAACCTTTTCATCTAGGTTGTTGTTGCTGTGAGCCCGGTCACTTGCCTGGTGTTCTGTCTGTCAATGCTGCATTTGGTCAGCGTTGGTTGTCATGGCAGGTGACGTCGGTAAAATACGTCATAGAAGGTTATAGCATCAGTGACAACAGTGCGACCTCTATGCTACAAGTGTTCGATCTTCGTAAGATTTTAGTTACGTACTATGTGAAGGTAAATAAATTATATACAATACAATAAAAGATGTTGGTGTCCAATTTTACTGTATGTACTCCACTGTACAATGGAAGATATTAATGTCCCATTTTAATGTATGTACTTTATGTATTTTCCTTCACTGTAGATCACTAAATATCCACATAGCATGAAGTTATTATTCATTGTTTTACCATGATTTTCAGGCGATTATTTTTTATGCGGTGCGTTCGACCAAATTAGTTGAGTGGTTGACCAACGAAGACATTCAAAATGGATTACTTTCATTCAACGGATTGGATTATGTCGAGAAGGAATCGACGTTCAACCAGAATATTGACGATGATTATGATGCTCTTGCAAAAGGGATTTCAAGAGACAGTTTCTATAACACGTATTCTGATTGGATCATATTTTGCGCCGGACGTAGACATGACGTAAGTCTGTACTCATGTCTTTCTATAGAATTCCTTTCATGGTAAAATGCTCATCCTTTCGTGGGTTTAGGAAATTCCTTGCGACAAACCATCCACTCTTGTCACGTTATGTTTTGCTTTGAGCCTGCTAGGACGTCGAACATTGGGTACAGCAGGCCATCAACAATTTTCAAGGTATTAGATTGAAGACATTGCAGGGTAAAATGTGTATATGTTTTGCAAATGTTGTATTTTTGTGTTTCTGTAGCCTCGAGTTTCTTTACGGTCTTCACGCGTTATTTAAAGGTGATTTTCGTATCACTAACCAGAAAGATGAGTGGGTACTTTGTGATATGAATCTTTTGAAGAATGTCGTAGCTCCTGCTGTGAGAATGTCATTGAAATTACATCAAGATCATTTTACATTTCCTGATGAATACGATGAACCTGCCATCTTGTATTCAGCCATTGCAACTCACGAAGAGAATCTCGTCATAGCCCACGAGGGTGATCCCGCGTGGAGACAAGCGGTATTAGCCAATCGTGACTCACTACTTGCTCTCAGGTACACCCTTATTAAATGACACACACACACGAAGAGTGCTTCCATCTTTCTCATCTTTTTTGATCATTTTACGTAGGCACGTGAATTATGACGCCATTGATGACTACAAGATAATCATGTTGAACAAAAGATATTTGAGTTTTCGAGTGATTAAAGTAACTGAAAAAGTTGTGTTTATAGTCTTTTGCATGCCAAAATTATCTTCTTTTATCATTCGGTGATGACACTTCAATTTTCTCAGGTCAATCGTGAATGCGTTCGTGGCTTCTGGGCCAGTCAACTTCAGGAGCTCATCTTTCTAAGAAATCGTAATCCTGAACGAGGCTCTATACAGAATTCCAAGCAGGTTCTTCGTAACATTATTAATTCTTCCTGTGATCAACCAATTGGCTACCCTATTTACGTCTCACCGCTGACCACTTCGTATGCAGACACGAACGATCAGCTTTATTCGTTTAGCTATGGCGCATTGCAGGTTACCAGAATCTTGAACGGCTTAAGAAAGGCCTGGAACCAATTAAGAATACGCTGTGGCACTCTTTGTAGCGAAACGTCAGAACCAGTTGAAAGTGGCGTGCACAGAGGTATACCAAGCGTGCGTGAGCCCGCAGTGCTGGAAACTGTGCGTGTTAGACTGGATACAAATCTTAGTTCTCCGAGAACGGGAGCGCGGCATTTAAGTACATCAACAAATAGATCTTTAAGTGGAAGTGCTCCACAACCCGAAAGTAAACTGTCAAGCTCATTTGTCAGTAAATATACCAAATTACTCCACAATCTTCCCCGACTGGTAGTGAACCTGCGAGCAGTCAACAGTTCTTAAAATATAAACGTTGATTTTAAATGGGTTAGAAAGTCGCTAGAAACATTCTTCAAAAAGAGTTGGCTTGCGTTTTGTACAAAATATTAAAAATTCTCGCAAATGTAAATAGATAGTGCTGTTATATTGATATTGGGTACTGTTGTAACATATTTTTCTAATTATCACTAGACATTATACAAAATCTTTATTGTTAAGTCGAGGTATTTGGGGGTACTTCACGACGTCGATCTTATTAAAAATGAAATATGTAAAACAACGAAATTAGCTGCAATTTATTCTATCCCCTTGTCACAAACAACTTTTAAATTTTCATGTCATTTATGCACAGCGAAACCAACTGCTCAAACACAGAAACTGGTCTTTAATCTTCATTGATCCTTCTGAAAAGAGTACATTAAATTTACTAAAATACAAAGTCATCAGCAAAAACTAAGGGGATTTTCTTCTCCGTAAACTGGTTTGCCAAATACTAAAAACTTTGCCAATATTTCATTATTGAGTGTCTTTCATAGAGGTTGAACTATGCTATGAAAAAAGCAAGTTTCATCTGACGAGATCTTTTAGGGACTTTCATGAGACTTTCAGGGACTTTCAGGGACTACCATGATACTACTAATTGCTGGCGCCTTTGTGCTTTACTTCCATTGGTTTTACATAGCTCTAAAACTTCAATCGCAATATTGATGAGGGAAAGTTCTCTACCTGTTTGAGTCACTCATATATAGTTGAAATCTTTAATTGGACAAAACAAAATATTGAGTCGTTGGATTAAACAATAAATTGTGGTCTCAAAGTATTATAATTATAAAATTTCAATTAGTAAAATCATCCAAGCAATAAACTTTGGGCCTTTACGGCTTTTCTTTTGTTTACATGTAGCCTAATTTAATTCCCATAAGTGTAAAAACTGCTTTCTGTATCAATGCCCTAAATCCTCTTGCCAGTGAAGATTTACATTAAATGCTAAATACTAAATGCCAAATCATCAGTATATAAAATAGCAGTTCTTATGCTGAATTAGTCACTGGTAAATACTTATCAACGGTGTTAGTTTCTAGCATTCTGTTGCATGTAGATAAGATTATTATCAAAACGCATTCTTTCATTTGCGACGAAAGATGAATTTTAAAGAACTTAACTTGACATATCTTGGTGACTGGCCGGTCGAAGAACGTGTAGTTATCGATCTTGTTAGCTTCTTTGGTATCATCTTTAATTCGTTGACATTGATTGTGCTATTGTTTAAATCAAAGAAGATCTTCACTCCGGTTGGAGCAGTATTTGCCATACACCTTAGTTTGGCTCATCTCTTCTTTAATATTGGTACTTTGACATGGGTTTTATTCGGCAATTCGGAAATTCCAAACACTAAATTACACTATGAAGCACAACTTATACAATGGGGAAATTTGTCTGCTTCGTTCCTGTCGCTGGGATTAATGACTTTCGAGAGAGTTTTAGTGATCGTCTTTAGAGAGCGAAAATATTTCAAAAAATCGTATGCACGCACATGTATTGGCCTGACATGGATCATATCTGTTTGTTCTACCATCATAATGATTCACAATGTTGTAATAGGACAGATGATAGTTATTGTGCTGTCTGAGATATGTCTACTATTCTCTGTTGTATCTTATATAAAAATATATATCGAAATCAGAGATTTAGACATCTATAGATCACTCAGCACGGCGAGATATTCCGCAGACAATAACCAAGTGAGCATTGGAATAGAAAGAAATCAACATTGTCGTCGAGTTGCTGAATTTCAAGAGTCTGGTCTAACAAATGTCCCAATAATTTTGTGGATTATCGTCGTTATAACTGTAATGCCATACATGTTGGTGATGCAGGGTTTTTTGATGCGTGAAATACTCTGTTCTTACTGTGGTTTTACAAAATTTGCAACCTACGTTATCGAAGGACTGTATCCAATAAAAATACTAAACTTTGAACTAACACCATTCGTCTATGCCTGGCAATTGCCTAAGTTTCGCAAAATGTTCAAGAAAACTTTTTGTGATTTCTTTATCTGCAGATTAGTATCGAGAAACATCTATCCTCCAACTACAATAGCCCTAAGTAGTTCCACTACAACAGATGACAGTGATGCCTTGACGCCTTGCTCTGGCAGTCCCGGAATAATTACCACCCCCGAAATAATTACCACTCCTTTGGAAGAAGATTATACTGACAGTTTAACATGTGTTTGCACAAAAAGATCTTCAAGTTCAACAGCAACTTACACTGATAGTTCTACAGCATCGTTTGGCACTTGCAGTTCAAATACAATGGCTGGCACTGGTAGTCCCACTGAAATGGTTGGCACTGGTGGTCCCACTGAAATGGCTGGCACTTGTGGTCCCACTGAAATGGCTGGCACTGGTAGTCCCACTGAAATGGCTGGCACTGGTAGTCCCACTGAAATGGCTGGCACTGGTAGTCCCACTGAAATGGACGGCAGTGGTGGTTCAAGTGCAATACCTGCCACTGTTTGTTCTTTTGCAATATATCATGACCATCTTGCTATAGATGACAATGTTAATTCTACATTAGCATGATTTGTTTAAGCTGATTGCAAGTCCAAGAAGTTTAATGTTTTATTCTACCTTCGACCTTTCGAGTTTTGATATCATTATTTATTTCTTGTCTTAGAAAAACGCTTAGTAAACTATCATAATGCGACTTGGTATTATCGAAACTTTGGTTAAATTATAGAAAATCTATTTTCTTAATTTCATTAGCAGCTTATACAAATTAGTTAGAATAGCAAAATGTTAAAAAATTAATTTCGTAGCTATTTCTTTTTCTTTTTTTCAATTCTAATTAAAATACTGAAATATGACGGGATAAGAAGATCATGCATGCGGGGTTTTATTGGGGAATAGACTAAGGTACAGAAGTGTTGAGTTTAACTTGAGTTGTGGACGAAGATTACTAACATGCAAAAGATCATCTTAAGTTATTTTTCTCATCAACGTCTTTTTTCATATAACTGAGAATAGAAATCCTCGCAATTTTTTATCAAATGCAGTACAATACTTATGGGATTTTTAAGTAGTTTCTACAAGGTGTATTAAAAAATGAAAAATCTTTCGAAATTAATCCATTGTTATAATTTCAATGGCCCATCATTTGCTATGGCTATAGATGAATAAAATATTAGCGTATATAAGTATCTTTTTTACAAGCACACAAGCATTTTCGCTCCTAACGGCTGATTTCCATTCAGTGCTAACTGTCGCGTGATCGACTTTTTGCAATCACTTTCTTTTGAATAGTCTGTGGCAAAGTGAAACTGTTACGGTCGAGAGCTTAACACTGAAGAGAAAGTGATCTGTAGTCGCTCGCGCGACAATTTGCTATGAATGGAATCGGCCTTAATTCTTGGTGTGCAATGAATTCCTTATTTACAATGCAATTTTCAACATGTCAACATTCTTTTGTTCTCTCACTTCCAGGGGAATGGTTGCACACCATCTGTAATGTAATTCCTAAAAGCAAAGAAAATGGACCATTGCGCTAAGCATCCTGGTCACGCATTGAAATCTTAACAGTTGGCCAATAATACTTGCTCTTATTTATAATTCAATGCAATCCCTACAGGGAAAACAACGAAAAGACTGCTCTCGTATGAAGAGATTTGTTCAACCTCTATTGTTATATGTAATTCATTTATCAAATCTTCCATTTCTAGCTGGGATATTTATTCAAATAATGTAAAATGACTACTATATAAGGCAGCAGTCTTCATCATACCCATTTAGAAGTAAAAGCTCATGTTTCTGGTCACCTTTTATAGTTAGACGTTTTTTCTCATTCGCAACTGGACATGAATTTGAGTCAGGTCAACTTCACCTTTATCGATTTAGACGACTGGCCATCGAAAGAACGGATAATCATTGCTGTCATTGGAGGGCTTGGTACGTTCCTAAACTCAATGACATTGTTTGTATTCTATCATCATTTGAGGAAGATATTTAGCGAGGCTGGAGGAGTCTTCGTCACGAACCTTTGCGTAGCTGATCTCCTTACTAACATTGCATCTATCATATATAATTTTCTCACGTACTATACACACCCTGAAACCTTGATTGCTGTTCTGCATTCTATTCTATGGGTCACCGTATCCGTATCGCTCCTATCGCTGACATTAATGGCCTTGGAAAGACTTCTAGTTGTCATTAAGAAGGCGCAAAGATGGTTAAATAAATCAAAGGCATCCCTGTGTTGTGGCGTTGTCTGGATCTTATCTGCATTTTGTTCATGGATCTTATATGAGGATATTATAATTGGACAATTGACGATGGTTATAATGTTCGAGCTAAGTGTAATTTGTACAATTGTATGCTACATAAAAATTTACAATACAGTGAGAAAAATAGATTATACGCATGAATTACCTATCACGGCGCGATATTCTACACGAAATGCTGAAGTAGACATAGCTGGTATGTTGAACATGGACAGGAACAGAGAAACACAAGTTTATAGAGCATTAAGACGAGAAATGCGTTTAACAAAAACCGTATTTATCTTGGTGATCATCCTCATTGTAACAGTTTTGCCATGCATTTTGTTGATGCATGTTATCTTAGCTCATGAATTGTCCTGTACCTTTTGCGAACATAAAGAAACTACAACGTTAGCAATGAAAATACTATACCCGTTGGAAATGCTGAAGTTCGCCATCAATCCAATCATTTATGCCTGGCAATTACCTAGTTTTCGCCGAATGTGTAAGAAAACCTTTATCTGCTGTAGTACATTAACGGAAGACAGTCGGGCTGAATTTTCTAACTCTACCTCGTTCGAATCCTTTACTAACAGTCCCCTAACAGCTGGTGAAACTGATAGCCCCTCAACCGCAAACCCTGGCAGTCCTGCAACATTAAACAGTGGCTCTGAAGAGATTTACATCAGTACTACTACAATAGCTAAGTTAACCGGCCGCCAAGTATCAGACAAAGAAGTGTTATCAGTTCATTGAAAGTCCATTAAGTTAAACGTTTTGTTTTATTTTTGATATCATTTACAAAATAACATGTATCTTAGGAAAACGATTAGTACACGATCATACGACTATATACATCATAAAAACTTTTAAATTGTCTAAAAATTATTTCATTTATTTCCGTAGCTGTTTATACAACTTAGATTTATGCAATTTAGTCATAATAAACGATTTCCGTAGATATTTTCTATTCAGTGAACTTACTCCAATCATGTGTAGAGGTGATTTTTACCCCCAAAACCTTGCAATATCACGTTGTCTTTTTTGATATTGGTAATTAAGCCAAATTAAGCAGTTCCTTTCATGACTTTTGACGAAGTTGTTACATCTGTGTATCTACAAACTCTAGAGGACGAATAGGATCATCTTTTTTAGTGCATATCTCTTGATAAATGAAAATTCAAAATTACATTGTTCATTGCTCTCAGGCTCTCAAATACGTGTTTCAAAAGCCAAGTCAACGAAACCATGTTAATCAGTAAATGTTATATCGTCATTCTTAATCAGCATAGCAAAAAAAGTAGTTTTGATGTATTATCGTCTTCTTCAAAAGTTATAGAAAGTATAGCTTACTGGCTACTCCAACTGAGTCCAACTGTCAATTTTGCCTCACGATACGACGATAATTGTAAGATGAAGTATTACTAATAAATTTGTCAAGTAATGTAATAATCAAATTTCAAAATGGCGGAAGAACTTAGGAAGTTGTTTGTCGCTCGTCTTCCTTGGACGGCTTGTAGAGGTAAGAAAGAGTGGACGACTTCTATGTATGCGAGCTCATTTCTTCACAATGTGCTACCGCGTGATTTTCTTTATTTTTAGTTGCGTTGAGTGAGTACTTCAGTAAGTTTGGAAAAATTGAACGAACTCAAGTTATATTTGTAAGTTTATAGTACATTTCGCTAATTATGTTTACTGCAGCATCCTGTTCTTAATAAAGGGTTCCTACTGAAAATAAAAATTGCCTAGGAAATTTTTAGGGGTAAAGGAGTTTCATAGCTTGTTTCATAGGAAATTCAATAAGCTCAATACTGAACTTAATAAGTAAATTCGCCATGTAAACACATTTCTTAGTTTGTACTTGTATTTTATATTCAAAGTTCTGTCACTTAATGTATCATCTGCTTCTCATATGTTAATTTTAAACATTTGTAACTCTTCACTTATCTCTATTGTCTGTAAATAACTAATCAAATTTTGTATATGGTGTACAACATTGATGATTGATGTAATATATCACATGATTGCAATCGATTGCCGAAACATGTTTGCAGTAAAAAAGTTTGTTTTATGTATTCAGTTTGAATTAGAAATCCAAAAACAATCCCAACTGCTTCAAGCTGGCTGCTTCTGTATTTTGGAGTCTAAGTTAGTGGGAACTGCCTTAGAAGAAACCAAAATAATACCTGGGAAAATAAATTGACTTTATGGTAGTAAAAGATAAAATAAATTGGTTGCTTTTGTTAATGAAGCAGAAAAATTGATACAAAACATGCGTCACTCACAACATTTGTTTTTTAGTTACAGCTTATTTATTGAATAAACTGTTGTTTACATTCATGTCTTTCACCACGTTGCCTTAGAAAATAGAAATCAATAGAGCACTTTGTCTATGCTTTGCCCAAATTAAATCAAGTGAAAGCATGTACATGTTGATTAATTTCACATAACTATTAACAACAATTCTCCAATTTTGAATGTATTATTGTAAATGAATATTATGTGTAATTTATAAATGAAGACCGTGCATTTTTATGACATTTTTCAATGTAGAGTGTGTATTTTTATGACATTTTTCAATGTAGAGTGTGCATTTTTAGGACATTTTTCAATGTAGAGTGTGCATTTTTAGGACATTTTTCAATGTAGAGTGTGTATTTTTATGACATTTTTCAATGTAGAGTGTGCATTTTTAGGACATTTTTCAATGTAGAGTGTGCATTTTTAGGACATTTTTCAATGTAGAGTGTGTATTTTTAGGACATTTTTCAATGTAGAGTGTGTATTTTTAGGATCGAAACACTGGCAGATCCAAAAGGTTTGGTTTTGTCATCTTTAAAAATGAAGACAGTGTCATTAAAACAATGGAGGAATCTCACCATGTGCTTCATGATACTGAGGTAAAACTTGATAAGAATTAATCTCTTTCCCTAACAGCAACTAAAAACCTTATTTTTGTGAAAAAATGTTGTAACCTAATCACAATATTACCCAAAGCTACTAACTTTGTGTTCGAGATAATTTAAATTCCAAAATTAAACTGTTCTTGGTTTCAACTTTTCTGTACTCAATCATTATCTCATTACGTCGCATCACCATATTGCGTCAATGATTGCGTCGCATCATCTCATTACGTCGCATCACCATATTGCGTCAATGTTTGCGTCGCATCATCTCATTACGTCGCATCACCATATTGCGTCAAGATGGCGTCGCATCATCTCATTACGTCGCATCACCATATTGCGTCAATGATTGCGTCGCATCATCACATTGCGTCGCAACGTTTCTTCATAGTATAAAAACAACCAGAAGTCGTACTTCGTTGAGCAACTTGATTCTGTGTATTTAATTAGATTACTTGCTGCGGCTGTCCACCTTACCGCTCCTATTGTTCGGAAAATGCAATTTACTGGCTGCCATTATGCTAATCACATGCGTAATAAGAAATGCGCTACACAAAATATTTCAATAGATTGGGACTAGTCACTAGTCACTACTATTTGTTTTTATACAGTGCTTTCTTTAAGTCGCATCGTCTTATGGACATGGATTTTATTGATTAATTGTTCTTGCCATTAATCTTTAGATAAAGTATTGTGATTATGATTTAACTCTATTACATAGATATTTGTGAAGCCCCACACACCACCAAAGATGGCAACACATGACGCAAACAAAAATGTTTTTGATGTCGTTATGAATACAGAACAGAAATAAGAGTAATCTTCTTGACGTAGACGATATGAGGAGGTGATTGTGAAACGTAAGCTGTACCTTTATCAATAACATAGTTTATCCGAAGCTGTTGTTTTATGTGACGTTTATGGTTATTGTATTTAAATCTTGCATTATTTTACCAAATACCCTTTTGCGTCATCAAAATTTTAACTACACCCATTCGATAAAATTATTATGCACACACAACAATGTAACTAGCAATCACAACAGTTTAATAAATTTAACAATTCTGCGCTTCTGAAATGTCATAGGATTTGTACAGTATTATTTAAAGGGAAACGAGTTAGAAGTTCTGTCATACACTGATTTTCATCTCAAATTTATTACGCAAAAAGATTTGTAAAATCAAAACGAAGCTAACTGGGTTATAACATTAATGCATATATAATTATTTGTGTGGGTTCTGTGTTTTATGGGGGGGGGGGCACCCTGTACATTGTCCCTCGTTGTCCTCAAAGCCCTAACCTTCATACAAATGAGTTGGAACACTGGAATTAAAATTGCCCAGCATCCGCCAATTTTTCTCCAAAAGCCAGCAAATATAGAGCATTAAATGGGGAAAAGACAAATTTTCTGCATTTTTTCTCATTCATGAACAGACAGCTATTGCTACCTTTCGAATTCAGTTATTTGTGGACATTGTAAGAAAAGAAAAGCATTGATTTTATGCCCTGCATGTAATTTGTACGCCTTTAAATACTGTTTTTGCCACTAGGGAGCGCGTATATATACATTCTACATCGCTTTGATTGGTAGTATTGACAATGCAACATAAAACCATTTTGAACGATTTTTTATATTTTAACTCCTGTATAAAAATAGTTTTAATTTACGCGTTTGGAACTAAAATGGCGGCGAGACAACCACGTGACCGTATTTACCCAATCATCATGATCATAATGCAAAGTGCAGAGAACAATACGTGTCCTAACTTTTACAAATACAGGGCTCTCGTTGTCCTCCCCTTGCGTCAACATAACAAAAGATGAATAGAGCATTTTGGTGCTCTAAAAACAACTTATTATAATTCTTTTCAATTGGCTTCATATATCAACGTGGCTAATGTGACGTCAGTGGAAATTCTCCATTGTTTAACTGAATAATTAACCAAGTTCTACCAGTTGAGATATTCATTTAAAATATTCATCTAAATAATGTAAAGCATCATAAGGCTGTTGGTTTCCTTGTAAATTTTCAGTCCTAAGTACACTTCGGCTGGTAGGGGTTGTGTATCTTAACTTTCAGGTTAATGTCTATGTGTTTGGATTAATGATAGTTTAGATAGTTTGAAAGCATATATTTTCGTCTTTCTTTGCTCAAATTGTTTTGGACATCAATAATTAAACTAATATGGATTCCAATTTTCCGACATTACGATTCATGTCTTTCTCAGAAGAGAACATAACCAGCTGGATGAATAACTGGCCAATAAAACATCGTCTATCTGTTGCTATCATTAGCTTTTTTGGTATCTTCTTTAACTTTCTGACATTAATTACTTTCTTCTGTCAATGTAAGAAGATCTTTAGGAAGGTTCATTCGGTCTTTGCCATAAACTTATTTATATCTGAAATCATTATTAACATTTCATCTTTCGTATGGGTTTTTCTGCCATATCATAAACGTCCAGAGCATGTACATCTTACTGTCCAAAGTTTCATATGGTTGGGTGTGTCTTTGGCAACAGTAGCTCTTCTAATGATGGTTGTTGAGCGAGTTTGTTTCGTTGTCTTTGCAAAGAGGATGTTAGAACAAGGACATAATGCGCTTTTATATTGTTGCTTTGCTTGGTTTTTTTTCCTAGTTTATGGCATGCTTATGGTAGACGAAGTTTTAGTGAGATATTTTACCATCGTTATCATTTTTTACCTGTGTTCGTTCGTCCTAGTCATTTGCTCTATGTCAGTACATAGAGTAACGAAGCAGCTGGAGATCAATGAGCAGCGTGTCACAGAGTTGAATGGTGAAGGTATTCATGATCTTACGGAAGTCGAGCAGTTGGATCAGGCATATAGGTCTCACAGACGTGCCGTAAGACGGGAATCTCGTCGAACGAATACTGTATTGATCCTGGTGGTTATCTTCCTTTTAACTGCGTTTCCCTACATGATTTTGATGTTGGTTGTCGTACTGCTTGAGTTTGCCTGTGAAGGCTGTGGTTTTAACAAAAGTACAAACAAAGTTGCTAAAATATTATTTCCTATTGAAATGCTGAACTTTGCCGTCACTCCACTTGTCTATTTCTGGCAAATGCCCAAGTTTCGTCAAAAGTGTGTGAGAAATTTTGTTTCCTTCTTTAATTTTGGAGAACATTGGCATTAACTTTTACTGAAGAGGATTGTGTTGAATTTGTTTTGGACCAACCAGAGCATGACACTGGTAGTCATACGATGGATGACACTAGAAGTTCTATGATGGATGACACTGGCATTCCTACGATGGATGACGCCGACAGTCCCACGATGGATGACGCCGACAGTCCTGTGACAATGGCTGACGCAGGCTGTACTATAAGGGCTGATATACACATGGTTACAATGGCCGATACAGTTGGCGCTACAAGGGCAGACGTAGACATTGCAACAGTGACTGAAACAGGCGAACGTGTAATGGTTGACTCAGGCAGTCCTACTACAATAACTAAAACTGGAAGTTCTACAGCAATTTTTGATGGGAGTTATGCAAAGTTGGAGAATGTTGAATCTACATTAAGTGACACAGCACAACGCTTAAGCAAAGACACGATCTGATTTGTTTACAAATCCATGAAGTTAAATGTCTTGTAGGACTCTCTATAACATTTATATATTATTTTCTTTTGTGTTATATCTTAGATCATACGACTGTACATCATGAAAATTACACTAAAATTTACAAAAACCTATTTTGTTTATTTGCTAATACAATTTAGTTGTAAAAAATTAAGTCGAAATTAATAATTTTCTCGTTGAAAAAACTTGTGTGTGTATGATTTTATTTGTGTTGTGGGCGATTAGACCTACCGTCGACTCATATGCCGTTCTGGAGGGTGGGTTGACCATATAAAAGTTTCTTAAGCAAATCTTCATATCGTAGTTCTCCTTTAATAAACGTCAATGGACGACTAAGGCTCGTCGAAGACAAACTAAAATAATAGTGAGGTAAAAATGTTCAGTGGAGGAGAACTTCTGTGTGTTAGTGCTACTACTTCTGGGACTTCAATAAATAAAAATAGTCTGGTTCATACTTCTCAACGTGCTTATAACCATTTTCATTACAAATAGCTCAACTAAACACAAAACAACTAGTATTTATTCTTCTAAGTCATCATTTTCTCACTCAACATGTTTACACGTCGACTGCACGGAAAATATTATTTCCTGAACATAAAAATTGCAGCGGCTGGACGCTGCCATTCTCAAGCATGAAATTCATTTTTCTATAATGCGTTGTCACCTCCTTTGGGAATGGATTACTGCTGAATCTAATTATCGAAGGATTACTTTTTTAAATCACAGGTACGAGTCTGGGCACGAGGTGTTCCTCAAACAAGTACTCTATTTTGAGATCAGTTGCACCCGGACACCCTATAGACACTACATAGGAAGTGGGAATGAGTGTTGACCGTTTTCACATGACGTCATAGCCGCCATACGTACCCAACGTAAAGTAATGCTAGTGAAGTTCTTTTGGTTTAGAACCAGTGATTTGGAACGCCTATGGTCTGTCCCCCTTTTTCGATTATCAAATTGACTTTGGGTAATTCATCGTGCATATGCAATACATTCCTCGCCATACGTCAACAAAACAAAAGATAAGGAGAACATGCCATTGTTCTAAAACAATAACTTATTGTAATTCTTTGTAATAAATACATCAACCTGGTTAGTGACTACTGTGACGTCAATTGAAATGCTCTATAGTGGAATATGTAAATGTCTGTATATAAAGCAGCAGGTTTCATGTTCACAGCCTCACATTGCTGATATCGGACAAGGACATCTGCAGGCGACGGTGAACCAATCAAACTCCACGTTTTCTAACTGCTATATTACGAGGAGTTTGAATCTTTCTTCTCTCCTAGTCACAGCGTATCCGTGAATATAGTACGTTTTATACGCCATCATAATCTCCACGACGCGACATGAATTCAAGCGAACCCAACAACGCCAGGAATGATTGGCCGTCGGAAGATCGTATCGTTGTCGCCATCATTAGCTTGCTTGGTACTTTCTCAAATTCTGTGACATTGTTTGTATTAATCAATCAATTTACAGAAGTCTTCAACCGAGTAGAAGCTTGTCTTATCGCAAATCTTTGTGTGGCAGATCTCTTAACGAATATATCGTCTTTCGTTTGGGTTTTTCTAACCTTTCCTAAGCATCCTAAGAACTTAATAATAGCAGTACATTGTATAATATGGGGGACGGTGTCTGTGTCTTTTCTGACGCTTTCGTTAATGGCTTTCGAGAGGTATTTGGTTGTCGTTCATCCAGCTAAAGCGCAGAAAATGTTAACTAAACTAGGGGCACGCGCGTCTTGCGTTATTGTCTGGCTTATATCCGCATTATGTAGCTCAATGAAACTTGTTGACAACTTTATCGCACAATTTGTAATGGTTGTCATGTTCGAATTGAGTCTTTTATTAACATTTACTTGTTATGCGAGGATATATATCGCCGTGAGGAAGATAATGATTTCAGATCAATTTCTTACTGCCACACACTACACCAGTGGAAATGCTCAAGTTAACATGGAAAGGAGACAAGACAAAGCAATGAAACTTCTCAAGGTTAACGTACAACACGAGGCTCGAGTAACAAGGGTCATATTCACGTTGATCGTAATTCTCGTTCTAACTGTATTACCATACATGCTGTTGATGCAGATCACCTTGGCACGGGAATTGATTTGCACCCGGTGCGGTTTGACTAAAGCGGCAAAGAAAGCCTTTAAAACATTATTTCCAATTGAAATGCTGAATTTTGCCCTAAATCCGTTCATCTATGCGTGGCAACTGCCCAAGTTTCGTCAAATGTGCATGAAAACTTTTTCTCGTCTCCTATGCTGTGGTAATATCTTCAAGTCGACACCAGCCGAAGTCACGACGATAGAAGGAGTTTCTCACTCAAGTTCCTTTGAAGGATTAACTTCTCCAATCATATACACTGGCACTCCATAATTCAATGCGTATTTGATGACCGACCAGATTCTTCAATCAAATCTGCAAGTCTAGATGATAACATGAATCAACAGTTGATAACTTTATTTTTTTGCCTTTAGTTGACTAATTATTGGACATAAACTTGACAATTTTTGAGCTATTAAGATGTTAAATATCAAAATAGTAATATTTACAATTTAATTTCCCATTTACTTCTCTTGTAAGATTAGCCTGCATTATATATTCCTCTTATGATTTCCATTGGATTCATATGATGTAATATCTCACTAAATTTATGTTCATTTTCAAAATTAAAGTTTGGTTCATCTCTTATTTTAAACGATGATGTGATTGGTTGACGACACATTGGGCAACAGTTGATTTTGCTATAACACAAACAACAAAGGCAGGCATGTCCGCAAGGTATAATTGCACGAGTTATGGGTAACATCTGACACACAATACACAGGTTGCCAGCATCTTCACTGTTCATGACTTGTTCATTGTTTCTCATATTTAAACTTGATTCTTCCAGGTACATTTTCTGAAACAATAAGCACAGTTTGTGTGAAACTCATGTAAGCTTGTTGTATCAACAATGTTTACCTTAAGCTTGTAAACTTTCCCATTATTTGTATGGATGTATTGGTGAACAACATTTGGTTTAATAGTTTCCTCTGTTCTCTTCAACTCAATACCAATTAACATTGCAGTCTACGAAAGCAAAATAAAACTTATTTCAGAGTTTTATCCTTTAGGATAAACATCATATGTTGGCTCTTTACAATGTTTGATGGAGGTAACTGCTGAAGGTCATCAGTAAGTTCCACGCTCACAACAACATCGTAAATATCCATATCTGTGTTCTCTGTCTTCTCGGACACATTGTAAGACAAAGTTTTATCACAGCTATCATTAATACTGAACCCATATTAAGGTAAATACGTAAAATATATGTTAAGTTAAACGATCGTGCAGACATTTCTTAAAAAGATACAAGTCTTTCTTCATCACAAAGTCACAGTTTTCTTCGAGGTTTAAGCTCTTTATGCCTTCATGGTAATTTCTAAAACATGATAATAAATTTTGAATTCTAGTCAACGGCTGTTTATAAATTTTTACATTTTTAGTACCTTCCGTGCAATTTGTCATACAAATAATCCTTTTTTACTTTCCAGTAGCAAGAGACGACACAAGAGTATAAGCTCTCAATGAATACATCTATGAAACCTAATATATTTAAGACAATAAATTTAGCTCTCACAAAACAAATGATGTATATAGTTTAGCGATTTTACCAGGAGTTAATGAACGAGAGACGGTCATTTTAAATGGGTTTTTAACTTCAACCATCGGTTGTGGTTCGGGATTCTGTCTTTGTTCCTGTGGAATCATCGCTGCTTCCATTTCTAATATGCCAAGGTGTCTTATAAACAAGAAAAGAACAGTAAAGGCCATTATTATTACTGATGCTGCTATCCCTGTAACTATGTCCGCCATGTTTTCTTGGGTATTTAAATAATTTAAATGCATTGTTTCCAAGAGATTTTCTTGGCGGAGATGGAGCCAGTTTTATAAATTTCAAAGAACGTGGAATCTGTGGAATGAGCAGAAAAGAGGAATTGTATGCGGTTTGTCCGTTGCTTGTACCACAAGACAGAAATGAAATGACTTATGATGGTTTTATTAACATATATGTAAGTTTTGCTGCTCTACTCCGACTACAAAATTTAATTGATTGTCTTGACTGTTATTATGGTTTGCTCTTCAGGATAAGACATATAGATTATGCATTGCAAGGAAAAATACAGATTCTTTGAAAAGCATTAGGTGGTGTTGTCAATTAGATGTGCTATATTTTGAACTGTTCTAAAATCATTGTTCATCAACTAATAGCCTCAGTTGCAGTTGGAGATTGTGGAACATTTTACATCCTTATAAAGATGCCATTAAACATGTAAGATAATCATCCTTAAAAGTGTTGTGTATTCTTTTGTATTTACCTCCTTATTGTTTGATACAGAAGCTGAATCAGTGTGAGAATCTTGCATCATTTCTAGTTGACTTTAAAAATCTTACAGTAAGTGTTCTTTGATCTTGCGAAAAATTACTTTTGAGATTTGGTAGATATGGTAATTACATGTTAAGGAAAAGTTAGTGAAATGTAATCAAGATGAGCATATGAAGAAGTCCTTGCCTCTACACGTATATTCATTGTTGATGAGTGAACTTGAAGCAATTGGTTGGGACAAGTAAGTAAAATGTTATCATGGTTAAGTTAGTACTAGCCATTTTCTCTTGGTATGAATAGAGTTTGTTTTCCCATTAATTTATCATAACATCATGTAAAATTGCATAAAATACTTGGTTTTAGGTTGATGTTTGTCAATGAGTTATTTAATGTTATCAAACTAAAGGCAAGGTAGGAGATCTTTTTTGCATTGTGTGTCTGTACATGCTATTCTGGACAAATAATATGTATCATATTTTATTGCATTTTTACAGAGATATAAAAAATCGAGAACATGTCATAACAATTCATATTTTACAAGAGGTAATATTTGAAATTATTGAAGAGCATGATGTATATTAACAAGCATGGCAGGATTGGGCCAATTAAGTATGTTTAAGTTTGAAAAACTTAATCATACTTAATTGGTTAGACATGATTTAGGGATGAGTCAATTAGAGAAATTGCCAATTAATGCTACATAAGTATTGCATAAGTGCCCTTGCTTAATAATACCTATATTTTCACCCAAATGAGTATACTAATTTTCATGATACCATTTTAGTATCCCAACACATCCCCTGTGTGTTCTGTAGATCTACCACAACCATTTCATATAAAGGACACAAGTAATGTGAGTGTTTCAAAAATTAAATTCTCTTTGTTATGGATAATGATATTCATGGATGTAGGGGCTTGAGCCCCAAACTTTTTGAGGCGGAGAAATGAGCCCTCGAGAAAGTGAACTGAAGAGTCTTCAATTGCATGTGCTGTAATTACAAATGCATATTACCCAGTGCCCTCGATTTGTGAGAAAGTGGCTCAATGGGTCTGGGGCGAGTGCGGAGCCGCTTTTTTATCTTACTTGTAAGTGAAACTAATAATAAACTATTTAAAATTGACTATATGTGCAAAAGAATGAAGCCTTTTTGATGGAATATTTTCATATATCAGGAACACAATCAAGCATTTGGCATTTTTAAATATTAATGCTAACCAAATTCCATTTTTTGATTTGAACGTATAATAGCTTATTTTGTCAACGATTTCCCCCATATTCTTCACAAGGAATGAATTGAGGATTAAAGACATTTTAATATTTCATGATCCTAATATTTTTTTTTGAAATATAAGATAGATCAAACTGCTAAGTAGTAAGTACAGCAAAATTTCATATAAAGAACTTTAAATCATTAAATTTTAAATCTTCAAAGACTTCCATCTCTGGCGAGACCCCTGACTTCAAACATCGTCCAATGCTCCCTGATGAAATTTTACTTTAAAGTCTTGTGTCTTTCAGGAGAGTCCTGTGAAAGATATTTACACAACGTTTTGTAAGGTAGTTTTTTTTACGTTTTTTTGGTCATATTCCTGTATTTATATATACTGAACATTGACTGAAAGCTGTTGCTTTTAGGTCATTGACAAATACCAAGAATTCTGGAATGTCATGGATGAAATTGATGAAAAATGTTGGGTTCTTGAGCCAGAAAATCCTAAAAGAGCGGACACTTTTAGACGCATTGCTCTTGGTGAGAGCCTTGTTTTACATGTTGCATTTTCTTATCCCCTTCAATCTTTTTACCACACATATTTGCTGTGGTTTCCTTTTCGTAATGATTTGTTCATATCATAATTTGTTGAAATTTCTAGGTAGTAATGCATCCCTTTTGGTGAAAATGAATGTCTGTCATGTGAAAGGCATTCCAGAATGTCATTTTCTAGGGCCAGATAGTCGTAAGTTTTGACAATCTTTCTTACAATTTACCAATGAAGTTTGGTCTACGATTGATTAGAAGGGAGCGTTGATCTAAATAAACGTACAAACTCTTTTAGGCAACATTGATGTGGAAAATCATACGAAGGTTTAGAGGGGAGCAGTGATCTAGAAAAAAACATGAAGCCTTAGAGAGGGCAGTGATCTAGAAAAAAACATGAAGCCTTAGAGAGGGCAGTGATCTAGAAAAACATACAAACGCTTAGAGGGGAGCAGGGATCTAGAAAAACATTAAGTCTTAGAGAGTGCAGTGATCTAGAGAAACATACGAAAGCATAAAGGGAGCAGTGATAGAGAAACATACGAACGCTTAGGGAGATCCAGTTGATTGGTATAAACTTTATTACTTAATTGGTCTTGTAGAATGCGCTAGTGTTCAGTCATGTATTAATGGCATGTTGTTTGTCTTCTGCTTGATCGTTGTCGGCTTGGCTTGCCCGCACCACGCGACCATGTGTAATGATAACCATAGACATTACACCGTGGGTAAAAAACGAAATCGCTTAAATGTAAACTGTGTAAAACAAGTAGTTTAGACAATAGCTTGTGATAGGTCGTTCTTATTTGCCACGAAGTCAATGGATATTTGACTTATGATACATGAATCAAAATTAAATGGGAGATAATAGAGATATCAAATACATACATGAAACATTTCATAATTCATTTAAATTGCCAGTCGAAAGACCGAGTTTTATATTTTAAACTTTGCACTATCCTCGGATTTGTAGTTGAGACTCTTACTGTAAATTTTAGAAATTTGTTTTTTCATAAAAAAGAATCTTGTGCTATTTTATATTTTAGTCATTGCAAACTTTAGACAAAACTTGTACAAAAATCTTCAGGATTGGTAAGAAAATTTGTTCATGTCTGCATTACCCTTATAAGACGAACTAATTTGTAATCGTCACTTTCGTTATAGGAACGATGAAAAAGATATTTTAGAGAATATGGAGAATGTTCTGCTGACTAAATTTCCTTCCCGTCAAACTATGAAGAAAGAGGTATACTTGATTATATTTTTCATTGGTGAACACCAAAGGACGATTTCATTTAATAATGCACTTTGAAAGGTGATGTTATTCTGTTTAATTCTCCTCTATATACGTACTGCACGAAAAGATCATATTATTTCATAGTGTATTATAGACATTAATTTTCATCACTCTGATCATTTTAGGACTTCAACATGGAATGTGGTATATGTTACTCCTATAGATTAAATGACGTCATCCCCGAGAGTGCTTGCAATGATTCAAGATGTGGACAACTATTTCATACTTCCTGCTTGTACGAGGTTTCTGTGTAACGTGACTAACAATCTATTATTGGTGAAATACGTTATTATACTTATATTATTGGTGTCATTCAAAATATAGAACACATTCACTTTTTTTGTTAAGTGGCTACGAGGACTGTCATCTTGTCGGCAAAGTTTCAATATCATATTTGGGGAATGCCCATATTGTAACAAGGTGTTGTTTGTGCTTTGCGCTTTTCTTTATCCTATTCACATACCAAAATGTTCTCATGTCATCTAACCATATTTTGTGCTAAAATTTTCAGCCAATCACGGTCAAAGTCAAGTAAAGAACTGACCAACTCCTTACTAAAGCAAGTTGATATAATAGAATTGTTTGAAGCCCAGCGAGACCTAAAGCCCATCCAGATAAAGGTGTAATGAAAGGTTTACAAGGAGTTACAACAGATTGCAGTTTTTGAGAGTTCATGAAAATTGACTGATTTTTCACTTTCAAATTGAAATATTATGACCAATACCAAAAGTATGGGAAATATTTTGTTGCCGTATCCTTATAAATATAGTAATCTTGTCATTAGCAGTTTTGCATTAGAAATCAAAATTGACTATCAGAATTCATTATTTTTGTGAAAATAATCTACAACTACCAAATTGAATTTCATATCATCTAAAGTATTGGTTGTACGGCGATGATCTTTAGCTCATCTTAAAGTTCTCGTCGAGCTCTTTCAAATGACCTAAAAATTATCGCCGTACTGGAATTACTTTAATGAGGTAGTAATTGAGCATGCGCACTACGCCATTGGTGTAAACGAACAAACGAACTTTCTTCAACTAATAAAGTCGAACCATGGATCGAACTCTGTTCGAACATTGGAGAAAATCATCATGGTGGCCACGAGTATCGAGCGTCATATAAACATTTTGTTGTTACTAAATTTTACATTCAAGTAGTTAAATATCGTGACCTTATTATTGAAACTGTAAAGCAGACATTGGAATTGGTACGTTTTATAGTAAGGAAATTTTTTAATTGAAAATAGCATTATTTAGATCCCATCTTTTCAGCCAAATCTTTTGTGTGAAAAAACGCCTTTTAAAATGTTTAATAGCCAGTGTAAGCGAATGCTATTACAATCTGTGTCAACAGGTGTGAAAAATGAGTGAAGGCATCATAATAGAAGGCTGCAGAGTTATTATACAAAGAGGATCATATCTCAAATCTGAGCAAGTCAAACGAAAAGTGTAAGAAGTATCTTGTATATGTTCACTGAAATAGTGAACTTTATCTATAGTAGTTAAGTTTAGATATTCTGCTGATGTAGTAAAGTCAACATTCCCAAATGTCAATTCTATTTGGACAATGCTATTGGTTGTACATATGGGACCATCTTTAAGATCATCAACCATCACCTAGTGCCACTGGTTTCTCAATCTGAACCAAAACTACCACTTGTCTCAGGTTGGTAATCATCACTTATATATATTTAACCTATTGAAGTATATGTTTAGCATGAATGAATTATTTATTCAGGTGTAAACAATCAGCATTTAAACGATGATGGTGAGTCACAAAATTGACACGTGATGATATAATGGAGTTGAAAGAAAAGGGTTGTGAAGGCGAGGTATGATGAACTCTTCAATGGTTATTTAATGAAGCTAATGCACACATGATACTACAAACTTCCATTCTTTTATTTCAATTTGTACTTCATTGCTATTGGCAACATGGTTAACATGATCAAAATTGCATTTCATTTAGGATATTATTGAGCAATTGGTTGAAAATAGTGAAACATTTATAAAGAAAACAGAATTTTCTCAGGAAAAATATGTAAACAAAAAGAAGGAAAGGTCTCTGGTTGCAACATTATTTTGGTTCCTTAAGTTTTGTCATGACTCAAATAACCTATAGTATTGTAATGTTTTTTCTTCTTTTAGGCATCTGACACATATAACTTTACTTCAACCTACTCTTAGCCTAGTTTGTCAGGCAATTTACTCCAATTGTTCATTGAAAATTTTGTGAGTGATTATCATTCAATAAAATACCCTTTTTGCAAGAAAGTTGAAACTGATCAATCAGAGTCATCCTGAATTATAATATTTAGTGAACTATTAAATATATTTTGCTGACTTTTTCAATTTCTTAGGTATGCCAGGCCCCACAGAGCCTTAGCTCTGTAGTTACACTTAGCAGCAATGGCAATTGACATTATGACATGCATTATCTTCTTATTTATTTCTATCTTTGTTTAGAGAGTTGAGAATGGACACTGCATCACAGATTCTGACAATGGCAAATATTCACAGTGACATTAACGTTTTGCTCATGGAGAGTACGCAAAGCTTTGTTGCTGGTTTGATATTGCACAGGATGGGAGGTAAGATAATTTGTTAAACATATTGTGTACTTGAAATGTCAGGTTTATGTAAGGTCTCAACTGTCGGTTTCTAGTAAAATTTTAATGTTCTATAATATTAGAAATCCAGTTGATTTTCTCAGTTTATTACATTTTTTGTTTACTTTTGCTCATCAATGACTCTTGTCGACCATTGTGGTGGAGTCTTAAAAAATTCATTAAAAACTCACAACTTCTCCCACTCAGTCTCCCGATGTTATACTTCACTAATTGCCGCTTGTAGTTTGTATTTTCACTTTTCGGTAATAATCAAATATCTTAGATATTCCAATCAGTAACTATCCTGTTGTGCTGTTATCTGGTATATTGGTGTTGGGCACATCCCTAGAACTTGTAAAATAGAATATGTATATGTTTTGCTAGGACTTGGAAACGTTGTTCAAATATATAACGGAGACTTTCCCATTCGGTGAGTTCTTATACTCTTCATAGAATTTGCAAATTGAAATTCATTTAAGTATTATTATTTCTAATTTATGCAGATTAATGCTATCTCATTTTGGTTTATCTAATGATGAAACGAAAATACTCACAGGCTTTCCAATGCACAAAATAAACAATGTGGATACTATGGAAAAGAAAGGTTTATATTTAAGAAATTACCCATCCCTCTCCCCAGCTCTTTCTTCACCTCACGGCTATATTGCTTTAATATTTGACATGCTGCTGGTTCACAGTTAATCCTTATATCCATAGCCGTACCTGCGGATTTGCATGCGTCATTGGAAGATGATGACGTTGACCATTTCATCTTAGAAACTCCTCCCACCCAAAATGGACGTGGGAAAAAACGTAAATCGAAGCAGTTCAATAAACCGATGACTAGTAAGGTAAACGAATATGACGACGTATAGAAATAGCCTTTCCTAAAATTACGGTTTGTTGTTTACTGTTGTTGATCCAATGTAAGTAAGAATATAATACTATTTCCTATTTAAAATGCTTTACAGCTAGTCTAATTTAATACCAAAATATTCTTCTGATTAGCAAAATTGTTTTTACAGTATTTTGATTTCATAATATGGAGCTATTTAATATTTAATGTATTCCGACCTACTTAGTACTAGATTCGTCACTCGTTTCAAACAACACGTCGTCATTTTTTCTTTGTTCAACTTTAGGAAAAACATGAGCGTAAAGTAAGGAAAATTGTCGAGGAAAACAGAGCTTTGGAGTTACTAAAAACAGCTTGTTTTGATTGGTAAGTCCTTGTAGAAAAATATTAATATTGTTTAATTACTGAGTTGGACATCTTCTCTTCACAGTTTGATTATCGCTACAAAATTTCACACAAAAACTGCGTTATTAAAACTTATTAAATTTGTGCTACCATCAAGGCCCATCGTTGTTTACAGTCCTTACAAAGAGGTGAGTTTTATTTTTCATTTTCTTACAAAATTAAAAAAATTTCCATGAAATGTTGACTTGCTAAATGCTTCTTGTGAAGATTTCCTTCTAGAGGGGTCTATTTTGCTTAATATTTTTATTCACAGGTTTTGAACGAATGCTATATTTCTCTAAAAGAGAGTAAAACTGTTGTCAATCTGCATTTGACAGAGACCTGGTGGCGATCTTATCAGGTAACAAGTAAATATAGACTCCATGCGATCGATAATTGATCACAAGTAATGAATAATTTAGTACCACGTAATTCATAGGTTCTTCCTCAAAGAACTCATCCACTTATCATGATGGACGGTGTTGGAGGCTATCTTCTTACTGCTATCACTGTGGAGCATGATCACAAAAATAAACTTCATGAGGAAAATCTTCAACAAGACAATTATTGTCAAGATAGCTCTCATGAAGGCAATCCTCGTAAAGATGATCCTTGTCAGAATAATCTTCGCGATCATTTTGAAACAACGTATCTTAACTGTTTTGACAGTATTAATCCTACAGATATTCCAAATCGTGACGACACGTAGTCGATTATCGAAAGTGCGAACATTTATGTCTGTAAATTAAAACTAAAAACCATGTTCAAGGTCGAAACTGGAAAACTATTTTAGGGGTGGGTGTATTCATGCAGTCTAGTTTCGACACTTAACAAACACTATTCCTATTTATGACCGCAGATTATTGCTATACTACTGCTTTTGCTGATGAAAAATTTAGAGACTAAGATGATTTTGAGAAAATACTATCGTTCTATCTGATGTGGTCAAAGCTCAAAGATGCTTTTACTTGTAAGCTTTTTATAAAGTAAGCATTTAGTCTGTGAAATTTTTTATGAGGCTTGGAAAAGCTTCAACTTTTGTCAACTGATTTTGCTCCGACTGAATCACTGAAGTACTAAAATTCGGTAATAATTTGTTTAATTGAAAATGGAAGAACAAGCAGAAATTAGCTCCTAAATGGTTTTACAGATAGATGAAATCTGGTGGTAAAGCTTTAAAATAATATAAAAAATTTTAGGTGAAAGCGAGTGTACTTCTTTGTTATCCTTGAAATTCTTCCGTAAGAAAAACCTGGGTGATATTTTGAAGAATTTGAACATACCATTTGCGGCTAGAAAAATTTTGGTATTGCATTTTGATTTGCTATCTAACCAATCACTGTTGGTGGTAAATATTTTATATTCTGAACTGAAAGACTTTTCGAACTTAGTAATAAATTAACAGATTTTTTGGCGCTTGGAGCCAATCGTTGGATTTGAAATGAAGAAGTGTCCAATCTACTGTTCTGTCGAAACACACAAATATCACGCGCTCGTATTACACGTACATTTACTATTGTTACCTGAGCATATCCTGATGAAAACTAAACTTGCTTCAGATTTCTTGTATAAACCAACAAGTAATGTGACCGAAGCTATTCGCCTAGTTTCTTTGTTGAAAGAGGAGGAATAAGCCTGTCGCTAAGAGAGAAGTGTCAAGAGTTCTGGGATGAGGGTTAAAAAATGGCCGATCGTTAAAATGTTTTCGACAATTTACGACTTTGAAGAAAGCCACAACCAGCAGCCTTGGAGTATTGCCTTGCATTCAAAAAACTTCCAGAAGCGGGATTTTGTGAATACATGGGATGTTTACGATATCGTGTAGAATGTTTATGCATTGTTGGCAAAGATACTCGACGATATTAGGTGAAAAATAATGGTCATGTCTGCTGATTCCACGATATTCGTGGATGAAAATTCTCTTTGTTTTTCTCTGAAAGTTATTCAATTGTGGCACCACCAACCTCCTCTTTGAATTTGTTACGTTCAAGCACTAGCTGAGGATGAAAAAAGAGCTACGGCATCCCAACACTCTCATGTGATTGCTAGATTTGAGCTTCAGGATGTTGTCTTCGCTTTGCCCGTGCAGCTGAATGTGAACGAAATTTCAGCCAATTCTAGCCTCGATCATTGCTAGCACAAGGGGTCTGGAAAGCCTGATGATGTTAGGAATTCATGACGGAGAGAATAATCAGGATATGGATACTGTAGTTAACAGGCTCAAAAAAGCCAGTTTTTATAAATTGTAGGTCACTGTAGAATTGCTTTCTGAACATTTGATTAATTGAATGACTCAATGAAGTAATAATTTACTGAGTTCAGAGGCGTAACTAGAACGTTAATTGGGGGGGTTGTATATTCATATATTCAGTTGTGCCCTACTGATTTCTTTTGAAATTCAAATCACTTTCAAAAGAAATCAGTAGGGCACAACGGAATATATGAATATGCACCAATTAACGTTACGCCTCTGACTGAGTTACTTTAAATGGTGCCTGCTCTGTGTATAAATTAACTGCTATCATTATTGATCATCACTGTAATGGGGTTAACACATTTTTATTATTGCTAATAACGTGATTGCTAATGGACGCGTTCTCGTGCACGACTGCTGTCTCCGACCAGTCAATTATGTTCCTCTAAATTCTCATGTTTTATATTGAGATGTTTTAATTTCATCTTAAAAAACTTGTGCTCTTAATTTGACTTTTAAGCAGCAACTTTGTGCATGGTCACAAGAGCAAAATAGTTCAGCAGTCTCCTGTCGGGATCTTAGCCGTCTGTCGTGGAATTCCTGGCGCCACCTGTCATTTAGCTTCAAACTCCGTTGACGTCCGGCGGCCGTGCTTCGCGAGGTATTTCACTTATTAACTTGTAGGAGTAATGAAAATTTTTATGACTTTATTGAAATTCTACTCAATCGAAGACCTGTTAGATACGTTTTCGGGAAAGCACATTTGATTATTTCTGGTTGCAGTTGAATCTCTTTGCGTCCATAGATGGCTGGTTAATTCTATGTACTCAATACGTCATCATCCCCGGTTCGACCATCATGTACTAGATGATGAGGTGAGGGTAAAAATTAAAAGAACCAATTGGGTTTTCGTCTTACATCATTTCACTACACAACACAACTTGTGAACAAATTAGCTCAACTAAGTGACGTGCAAACGAGCTTTGAAAAGTTACATAAAATCTACAGTATTGCAAATCTCCAAAACTATAAATAAGGCGATAAAGTTAGTAAGGCGTGCGTTGAAAACTTTATCCGTCTGTGGGACGAACACAGCATATTTTAGCATTGTTGCTTTACGCAGTATGAGTCGTTCAAAATGTCTGCGGGATATTGGCCCAAGTGTTTCGTCCGAAGAAATAAAACAATCAGAGAACACAGAATGCAACGTGAATCAAGAACCTGACGTTGTCATTTTTAGCCAATCACAAGTCGTGCATGTCATGTGACAGCTATCTCATTGTATACAGGCTGGATGAAAATTAAAATATGTCGAAATTTTTGTATTATTGTTTTGATATGAGAAACACAGCAATAATTTCGATACTAAGTTGAATCCATGATCAAGAAAAGTTCGTGGAAACAATTTGTCTCCGATTTAGGAGTGTTCGAGGTGAATTTTACCGAATTTTTCCTTCAAATGTGGGAAATGCTTCTAAATGCATGAATCGACTGATTCTGGTCTTGGTCTTGGGTCACCAAGTATGGAAAATAATACTTCACATCGCCGTCATTCTTGCTCATCAGAAACCTTTCTAAAAGAACGAGGCTTCTGTACGGCTTTGTATGACTATGAGGCCGACGATATCGATGAATTGACTTTCACAGCCGGAGACAGAATTGAAATACTAAGTCGTGATCAAGAAGTTAGCGGTGATGAAGGTTGGTGGGTTGGAAGGGTTCTCAAGAGTCCTCATGATAAAATTGGCTTGTTCCCTTCAAACTATGTCCGGACGGATGATGCTGTTATTTTTGAAAACTTTGAGGATACTAGGCTACCTTTAGAAGTTGATTTTTCTTGTATTGAACTTACTGAAGTTATTGGGGTTGGTGGTTTCGGGAAGGTCTATCGTGGCGTCTATAAGGAACGCGAAGTTGCTGTAAAAGTAGCTCGCCAAGATCTGGCTGAAGATTTAGAAAAAACTCGTGAAAATGTACTTGGCGAAGCTCGTTTATTTTCAATTTTATCACACTTGAACATTATCAATCTTTATGCGGTATGTTTGCAAGATCCTAACCTTTGTCTTGTTATGGAGTATGCTAGAGGCGGTTCATTATGTCGTGCCCTTTCACAACATGGTAAAGATATTCCTCCCGAAGTTCTACTAGACTGGGCCATACAGCTGGCGAGAGGAATGAATTATCTTCATGTTGAGGCACCTATTAATCTTATTCATCGCGACCTCAAGTCGGGCAACAGTACGTCTTCTACTATTATTATATACACATTTCAGTTGTGTTCCAAACTTATAGCGCTGAACTTGTTTCATATTTCCTAATTTACTTTCTGAGCGGCAAACATTTACTCATCCTAATCCAAATTAGCGAAATACGTAGGAAATTTCATAAACTAAAAGTCGCGATGTGATGTTTTACACAATTAAGTGGCAATTTGCTATATGAAAATTATAGTATCCTAATTTATTTTGCCTACGATATATCACGCATATCTAGATGCTTGGTCTTAAATGCCTGGAATTTATTAAGTATCTACGTATGGGCAATCCCTTTTGGGAAAAATAAAGCCTTTTATAAGTCTTTCGAAACATGTTAACTTTCCCTCGAATTAGAATAATTTACTCTTCATTGAGAGGTTCTAATTGGATATTTGCAACGTCGAACACGACATAATTTTTATTGTCAAAAAATTTTCGCAAGTTTTATAACCACGAGGGCCCTTGTTCTTGCTTTCATTTGATTTTACGCACAACACTTGGTCAATTTAAAGATAGTTAAATAATTTGACGCTCACTATGAACTATTACTTATTTAACATTCGAATTGTTGTTACTTCATAAAATTTGTACATTATTCATTGTGAGACGCTTCCCTGGTTACTTAAAATTGAATTTGTTTTCAAGTGCAATATTTTCTCATTTCAAATTGGATTTCAGTCTTTGAGAAATGTTAATTTCATTGCCACAGTTATTTTGTCTTAGTATCACAAGCACTCGGGATTTTATGAATTAATTTGGCATAAAAACATGCGTGTGATTCTTGGGATGTAAGAAGAGGCAGCTATGTGGAATCACTTAAACGTGTTTTAATTACTTTTGTTTTAAATTGAAAACATTTGGACCAATGAGTACTATAATGTAATTTTGGATACTTTCGATTGGAATCCCACTCGCATTTATTTTACTATTACTTACTTAAATGGGTGCACAATGCTTGAACAGTTTAACTTGTATTATACAAATGTTTGCCCAATTGCCAACATTTAAAGTAGACTTTTGAGTGTCGTGTTTACAGTATGTAAATTTGTCTTGTTTAGTTCTGTTGTTGAATAAAGTCAATGAGAAAGAATATAATGGCAATGTCCTTAAGATCACAGATTTTGGTCTCGCAAGAGAGATTAAAAACACAACTAGGATGAGTGCAGCTGGGACTTATGCCTGGATGGCACCCGAGGTCATTAAACTATCAAAATTTTCCAAAAGCAGTGATATCTGGAGGTATGTCATAATGTGTTGAAATTTGTGTCAACAATTTGCAGTTTTAATGTAAAGTAATGTTATTTTATGTTATTTCAGTTATGGTGTAGTCATATGGGAATTATTGACTGGACAAGTGCCATATCATGGTATTGAGCCTATGGCTATAGCGTATGGCACTGCTATGAATAAGTTGACATTACCTATTCCATCAACTTGTCCAAAGGAATTTGCCGATCTTATGAAAGGTTTGCAAGTCATAAATATTATCAATTTGACAAATTAACTTGTGTTAATCTTTTTTTGTAATGTATTTGTGAATATTTTTATTGCAATTCTATTCATTGTTTTTGCAGTTTGTTGGAATCAAGATCCACATGAGCGACCTTCATTTTCTAAGATCATCAAGACATTGGAGGAAATTGAGAACTCCAACTTTGTTGCAACTGAACACGAGTCCTTCCGTACAATGCAGAATGACTGGCAAACTGAGATCAATGAAAACTTTGCAGAGCTAAAAATAAGAGAAAAGGTTCGTGAAGCACAAATATCATAAGTTAAAGTGTTTCCAATGAAGCATTGCTGTCTCTATGAAGCATTGCTGTTTTTGTTAAGCAATCCATCCAGTTGTTAGTTACACATGAAACATTGCTGTCTCTATGGAGCAATCACTGATATGGGAGCAATGCATCCAATTGTTAATTTCCCATGAAGCATTGCTGTCTTTGTTGAGCAATGCCATGCTCCAGTTGTTGGTTACCCATGAAGCATTGCTGTCTCTATAGAGCAATCACTGATATGGGAGCAATGCATCCAATTGTTAATTTCCCATGAAGCATTGCTGTCTTTGTTGAGCAATGCCATGCTCCAGTTGTTGGTTACCCATGAAGCATTGCTGTCTTTTTAGAGAATGCATCCAATTGTTAATTTTAGATAAAATTCAGATAACTGATTCTCATTTACCATGTCTACTGTACACCGTAACAAAAAGCGTTATATAACCAGCACTGTTGCTTAACTGGGAACTACTAACTTTAGGATTAAATCTTTAAAATTCAAAAATACAATCAATATATCAATATATGAAGGCATGCTTGTTGAAATTTAGGTAAAAGTAATAGATATTTGTGAAAAATCATAATTGTATTTGAGAATTATTCAATTCATATTTGTTTGTTGCTTAGTTATTTTCCATAAACAGTCCTTAATACGTAACAAATGTCGCCAAATGAAAATATTGGCTCCCAGCGATATTACACCTTTTATTGCCTAAAGAACTGAATATAATTCCCTCACTACCCTATAATCCGTCCAATCGACGATGTTTGTGAAAATGCACATAAGACCCGCTGGTTTTATGCCACAAAATCCTGCAATACTTGACCGTAATATGAAGTGCATTGAATAAGGTGTCTTGCTTGAGTGGAGTTAAGTCATTTTTGCGAAATCAGTTTATAATGACACGAAATTAATGGATGAAACTACAGAGAAATTTTGTAGCCTGCTTTCAACTTGTCTTTCGTTGTTTCTATTCAGGATCTATCATCTAGAGAGGAAGAATTGGAGAAAATGCAGCATGCCAATGAGAATCACGCCGAAGTTTTGAAGAAGAGAGAAAAAGAACTTCATGAACGAGAAATGAACCTTTTAGAGAGGGAAATCAACATTATTATTCAGGTTTTCTTTCAATTCATGACATTTTGAAACGGAAAAACCCTGCAGAAAATTTTTTTACTCTTTAACCGGTTTGATTTGTTTTTCAGAAGCAAAATCAGAAGCCATCTCCACGTAAAAGAAAAGGAAAATTTTTCCGAATGAAGTTGAGATTGTCTGGTCGCGAAAAAATAATGAGAAGCGAAATCAGCGATCCAATGGGTATGTCTTAAACAGGGAGTATAGAAAAGTAACCCTATTGAAATCAAGCTTTTCTTAGCATTTACATTCCGTGTTAATTCGCATAGTATTTGAGATGGACGCACACGAATTAGGATCTCATATTTCAATTTCATGCATCCCGTTGATTTAACATAATAGTAAGGTATTCAACTGCTTCATTTTATCACGGTTGCTTTTTGATGCACGCTGTATATTAAAAATCCTTTTTTCTAGATAATTACTTGTACAGGGTGTATAGAAAAGACAACTACTTAATTTTGCAAAGGATTTGTAATGTTAAGCACAACAGATTTTTGGCAATTTGTAATTAAGAATGGCATCTAATCGTACAGTTGAACTTCCAACAGTCACGATTAAAAGCTTTTTAAACCCCAAAGGCCAAACATTTTTTATATGGTAAAACAAAGCAAGTCTTCATAAAAAGTAATGGCTGCCTTTGTTGAATAAACTTGGCATAGATCGTTATCTTCACGTATAAACTTTCATCTTATTCTTCCAAATCGTTTAAAGATCATCTTAAGGCCTTTTTCAAAAGTCGAGCTGAACACATTTTTACATGTGCTTAATACATTTAAAACATAAGTTAATTAGGAAGTTTATCTCATTTCTTTTTCTTGAATGTAAAGTTCGTCGTTTGAAATGTGCCTTAATGCAAGTTAACATGTAAACATTGTATTACAGGTTTTACTCATATTATTGGGGTTCAAGCGACCACATCCGAAGTTGATAAAACTGGATCTTTGCCAACTTCTCCGATATGGTCACCAAATCTTGGCGGTCTCCGTATCTTCTCTTGTAAGTTGTCTGAGATTTGATAAATTGCGTTGTTTATGTATGTTATTATTTATCAATCTCTGCGCCTAGACAATACTATCGAAGACCCTCCGTGTCCTCAAGTGAACCACATACCCAAGAAAAAAGGTCTTACGTGGGGACCTAGTACTGCCGCGCAGAAGGACAAATCAAAAACTGCATCTCCAAATCAAACTCAAAACAAGTCAAAATCTCCTAAGATCAACCATCATCACCGGAGCACTTCAGCACCCAACCTTGACTCGAATTCGTCCAATGGAATGAGCGCTTGGGAAAGTGCGGAAAGTTTAGGTGAGTTTCAGTTTAATACAAGCACACAGTTTGGCAATTGCGTAATGTGTTGTTTCCTTTAGATCATGACGATGCTTCTAATATGTCAGAGATTGGTAGTACTTCCACTTTATCACGTCTACGAAGCAGAACGTCTCGAAAGCGATGCGACATAGCCATGTGTAACATAGGCTTACTGTTGATTACTATTACTGGTATTGATGCTAGGTCTATCGTTGTTGCCCGCGAGGAGGCCATTTTAGAAGAGCAAGGCACTAAAAAGAAAAGGTCTGTTTCGTTTACTAAGAATAAAGCAGAACCTGTTCTAACGGGATATCGTGCGGGCAACATGTGGAAAAGTAACTCTATATCAAGTGATGAGACAAGCTCAGGGAATGATGGAATTTTTAATACCACTTTTTTCACGGATAAACATCGGACGCAGTCGCTGGGTCGCCGGTCAAAATCCTCTAGCCAACCGAATGTGGATGGCGTTTATAGAAGAATAGACTCGGAATCTTCCGTATTCACCGAAAGTGAGACGATACGAAGCAATGCTCCGTTGCTAAGCAACAAAACAAGCTCGCGAAACAAACATGGTCGTTCAAATAAGGCTGCTAAGCACGTTTTAAAAAGTAAATCTTCCGATTCTTTACCTCGAAATACGCATGATGCAAAAAAAAATTCGCCCTCTGATTCCCATGACCAGCGGTATTCTTTACCGGACATGGAGTCCCAACTTCCACCTCCTCATTCGTCGAGTCGCGACCCTTCACTGCAGGGTGGGCTCAAACTGGAATTGAACGGAGGAAAGAAGGTTAAACTCCGGGCTCAGAAAAGCAGCAGTTCCACGGAAGAATCATCAACACCTTCAAGTTTAACTCCCGAGTCAGAAACTGCTAAAGGAGTTGACGACCATCGCCTGCGTGCTGGCAGGACTGCTTCAGCAACCACAACTGATTTATAGCTAACGACCTATTGTGTAGGCTCTCTCAAATTTTATCTATATTTTGTACATACGAACATTCTTTTAAAGTATTGATTTTCACAATCAGGCTGGGACTCAGGTGACATTTCTATGAATTTTTTGAATACCGACAGAATGTGACGGTGTTACAAATACCTCACTCCAAGTCCTATACTGATCAGTGACGATCGTAATTTAATCTGAAGTACATTTTAATGAATGCATTGTAAATTAGGCTATTATTTTATTATTTGTTTATTGATTCCGGTCAATTAAAGGAAGAGATATACCATTTTAACAATATGAAATTTAGTAAAAACCGAAATTATTAAAATTCCAGTAATTTTTTAACTTTTCTTTCGATCTTAGCATTCCACCTGAAAATGCAGGCTGCTGTAGGTCCTCGAGGATGGCTGGGATATCACGTAAGCGGTCGACCAAGAAGCATGGCGGAGTATTTGAGTCGAGATGGCGCTAACATAACAATTGCACATGGTTCACACGCTCGCATTTCGAGTTTGCAACCTGTTCAAGTTGTTTGAACATCATGGCAAACACAAGGCGAAGAGTAAAGTTATATGTGATGAACGAAGATCGTCAATGGGACGATAAAGGAACCGGTTACGTCTCTTCGTCTTACGTTGAGTTACATCAAGGAATAGCTTTGCTTGTTCGTTCGGAAGAAGATGGTAATTATTCACCTCAAGAGTAATTTCTAGCAGGGAACGCACACGTTGTTTGTCTACTAATGTCATCTTATGTTATGCATAGCATTGCAAAAATATTTAAGTTGTAAGCACGTTAAATCTTATCGTCATTGCTGTTAGAAAATAGAACACAAATAAAGTACACTTTTTAACTTTTTAATATTATTACTGTTTTTATTTCATTTTCGCGACATATTTACTATTTTTGTAGGCAAGACTCTTCTCGAATCAAAGATTCATCCCAACACGGCCTATCAAAAGCAGCAGGTTAATATATAACTTTCGGTTTTAAGAATATTTCTGCGTACAATGCGTGAAAAGTTGAAGACAACATTAAAAATTGTTTGTGTTCATTAGGACACATTGATTGTGTGGGCAGAGGCTGACAACTACGATTTGGCATTGAGCTTTCAAGAAAAAGTTGGCTGTGATGAAATTTGGGAGAAGATTTGCAATGTAATTGTAAAGTAGTAATATATGTTGAATGTTTATGTTTAGCACTTGGCATTGTGTTGGCGAGGTGACGAAAACTATTTGTAAAAGTATAATATTTCATTAACGCGAAATGTTTGTTCACAATTTGATCGATTGATTCATGTTTGATTGTAACTTTCAACTTGATTTCAAATCCGAGATTTTGCTTTTTATTAGCAGATAAAATGCTTATCTATAGTTGAGAATTTCATTAGGTTAGTCTAAGATAAACACTACCGGTCTAAAAATTCATTGTGCGATTAATATTAAGATTTAAGCACTCAATACGACTAATAATGTTTGAGTCTCGTGTCTGTGATTATTTATTTGAAATCTTCACTCCATCATGATTCATTGTTAGATGATAGCAAGTGTTTGTTTGAATCTTACAATTACTTTGAGAAAAAGTACTTTCGGAAGAATCTGAAGGTGCTAGGATTCAGAGCAGAATGAAACATGTTGAATTTTCGGATGTTCTTGATCGTGAGCCTGACTGCAGCCTTCATTGGAAATTTAAAAAATGCTATGTCTGTTCATTGAAGTCTGGTAGATTAAAATATGTGACCGTTACCATGCATAAGCAGGGAACATCCCAAAATTTCAATTCATTGTGGACTCTGAATTTGAAATTTTCACTGCCAAGATGCTAAGCTTTTGACTCTGACTATTTTTAGACAAAGTCAAAGACTTTGACTTTTGAGTCTGAAGATGACTACCGCTAAGGTTGTCGAAACGTCAGTCAACAACAACAAAAACAGTCCTTCTCAGGACTTTATTAACCTGGACGATCATCATTTACAAACATGTAACGATACTCCCGGGTTCAAACCATTTACTTTATTATGAGTGTTATATTGTTTCTTAAAGAAAAGTTACTTTTGGTTTTGGGTTATAACTTGCATGGAAGTTTGCCTTGTGTTATTTTTGTTTTTAGAAGTAAGTTTGCAAACTTGTTATTTTCTATATTTACTTTAGGTTCAGGGAAAGGACCCGTCAGTGACTCTTACGCAAGATATTTGTGAGGAGAATGACTTTGAAGAAAAGTTTGAAGATATACCAGATGCAGCAGCCCTATTGACCTTCCACCATGTGAGTTAAGTCGACTTGCTGAAATCTCGGCACTCTTCTCTGGCGTACTTCCCTCACCGATACGCCGTGAGAAATTGACACTGGCTATTGAACAGGAAGGTTATATTAAACAACTTATGCAATTGTTTCACATGTGTGAAGATCTTGAAAACACTGAAGGCCTTCATCATCTCTTTGAGATTACCAAAACATTATTTCTTTTTGATAAAAACTTTTTATACGACACCATGTTCAGTGAAGGGATCATCATGGATATTTTGGGAAGTCTTGAGTATGATCCGACAAAGAGAGAACCTCAGAGGTATCGAAGGTTTTTGAAAGAGAACGTACACTTTCGTGAGATTGTTCCCATAAAAAACAAAGAACTTTTATCAAAGATTCATCAGACATATCATGTACAATATATTATGGACATTGTGTTGCCAACGCCAACTGTGTTTGAGGAAAACATGTTACCAAGCTTGAATGCATTTTTAATTTTTAGCAAGATTGAGATAGTAAATATAGTTCAGGTAAGTTGAAGCAGTAGTGCATCCAGCTTTAGGCTGAATGTATTACAACAGTTCATCAATTCATGATAATTTATTCTTTGAAAATTCATGGCCAATCAGATTATCTTTTGCCTCGGATTCACCCCTGGGTTGATTGACATGCATGGAATTATTGCAGGAATTTTATTGACACAATGTTTAACATGTAGGAAGAAATTGAATTGCTTCAAGATTTCTTTGTTAATCTTTGTAATGAGGAAATGCCATTAGAGAAAAGACGTCAATTGGCTCAGTTTCTCAAGGAGTTATGCACCCTTGCTCAGCCAATGCAGCATGTCAGTAGAGAAGAGTTCTTTAAGGTAAATTTAACATTTCTGTTTCTTCAAATAAAAATAAATAGTGTTAAACATTTTAGAAAAACAATATTTTTCAGTTTTATATTTTCAATCACCTCACTATACATCCCACATTGTAAATAATGCATCCATTCACTATGAAGATGATTTACAGTTAACCCTCTATATTTAAGCACTCAAAAGTTTTGTACACATTTTGGTTTGGTGATTGTTGCCTTAGGGCAGTAGTGTCCTCTAGAGAGTTAAGTTGTAACATGTCTGTGATTCAAAATACAAAACTGAAAATATTGTCATTTATCTAAAATGTTTATTAAGTATCATGCTACTAAGATCATACGGTAATAGTGTTGTCTTGTGATAAAGAATCTAATACCAAAATAATGTAAAATTTTGTAGTCCCTGACAAACCACAACCTTATTTTGTCATTGGAATTATTACTGGTAAGATTCAATCGCTTGTGTACTCTTATGTTATACTGCATCAACTCAGCAAGTACACAAAATTGATCTCTAACACAAAGCCTAATTCTTAATCCTATATTCTAACATAAACCCTAATTATTTTTCCAATACTATTAAACCATGGCGATGTATAGATGAATTTCGCGTATTTGTTGAGCTGAGAATTTTTACCATAAGTTCCACCTTGTTGGTCGTTATATTTGCACGGAATGTAACATACATTGTTCTTATTCTCACGTTCTTGTAATCGCTACGTTTATTCTCATGCTTTGTTCCTCATTAACTCACGTTCTGGGAATCGCCACGTTTATTCTCATGCTTTGTTCCTTGTTAACTCACGTTCTTGGAATCGCTACGTTTGTTCTCATGCTCTGATTCAATCACTGCGCCAGCGCGCGTATTTCTATGATGTATTCTTTACTTTTCTGTGTTTAAATTTAAGTTTCTTTATAGGCTATAGATGATGCTACGATCCGGTCTATTGCCGTTGATGTTTTTGCACAATTATGCGAAGTACGTCCATCTTCTGTTAGAGAATTTGTTCTCATGAGATCGAAGGTCCAGTCTGAAGATGTAAGTATCCTTTGTCCATGTAATATGAGTAATATTTTTATAGATTTTTTCTCTCGTGTTCTCCAATGTTGAAGTCTTTCTTGGCTTCTACTTTATACAACTGAAAAATTTCCTTTGTCTTTTATGTCAGAAGAAAATTATTTTAAGTTAATAGTAAAGCAATCTGTCATTAGAGTCATAGATTTTCATATTTTTAAGGACTCAATGCTACTGAACCAAATCATTTATCAAATGATTTCTGAAGGCGACTCAGGTTAGTCTACATTACACTAATGCTGTAAATTATTTAAATGGTTGAATAGATTGAGAATTTTTAGGCATCGCTATTCAACTGTCGCAAGTCATTCGTCTGTTGTTGGATCCAGAAAATATGGCATTGACTGCCAATGTTAGTACGAGCATAATGTTCTTGTCAAACATTTAGTCAAGTACCATGAGTTTACACGTTATGAAATTTTTTGTAGAAAACAGAAAAGACGGAGTTTTTAGGTTATTTTTACAAGCACTGTATGCATATTCTAGTTGCACCATTGTTGGCAGTTACTGCTGATGGTAATATCGCAAAACGTGAGTTATTTTTCTGCATTTTTGTTGAATCCTGTTATGATTTAAGTAAGTCTGTTGATAACATGGGATGTTGTGCTGAAAACCAGGAATAATATATTGGTAATCAGAATATGAATTCTGACAGTGAAATGGTTATATAGCTACGCTCATGACAAAGATGGGATTTATATTATTTTATTATGATTCTCTCTGATGATGGCCATCAAGACTGCTGTCGTTTCGAGAATGCCTCTTCCACTTGTAGTTTACAACAGATTTTACTCGTCTCCAGTATCTGTTGGCTTACTTAAACGGGTAGGCATGAGCTCAAATCTCTTTTAACCCACAAGTTTTTTATCTGTATAACCATGTCAGAATTGATGTTTTGATTCTCTGATGATGGCTTTGGAATATGCGAATAACATGGGATAGTATTTTCATAACATGGATAGTATTTAGATAACACGGGTGTACAAGGGGGGCGTGTGTAACATTGTATCGTTTTTGATCAAGAAAATTTCTTTGGGAAGTTTCATTTCGTAGACTTTACTGTATGCGGGTTTTGCTACAGTAAAGTCTAATGTTTGCGTCGTTTAAGAAGTCTTCTCAGTAACATTTTCACCATCGAATAAGCAAAGTAATGTTTGAAGAATCTTGTTTAGATATAAGCAAATGGGAACATATTTCTCTTTAGTTGACTATAACATGGCCGTCAATCTCGGGTTGATTCTCGAGATCTCCACGTTTTGCGTGGAACATCACACATATCACATCAAGAATTACGTCATTAGTAAAGATCTTCTAAGAAGAATTCTCGTTTTAATGAAAAGTGAACACAAATTTTTAGTTTTAGGTATGTAAAATAATGTTTGCGCTAAATAATCTCGAGTGATGAACATAGCGGTGTCTTGATGTATTAATGTGTACATTGATGATCCTTCGTTTAGGAGCCTTACGTTGCTGTCGACGCATTGTTGGTCTCAAGGATGAATTTTATAACCGTTATATTATTAAAGGAAAATTATTTGATGCCATTGTAGAAAGCTTTAGCATGAATGAAAATCGCTACAACCTCTTGAACTCGGCTACGGTGGAACTCTTCGAGTTCATAAGACAAGTAATGTCTTGTTTGACATAAATGCATTATAGTAGAACCCTAAAACTTCAACACTTCAGGGAAATGGAAAATTGTTAGACTTAGCAAGGGTGTTGTTAAATTTAATGTCAGGTCAATACTTGTACGTTTTATTTTTGATTTACAATTTTGAGCTGCAACAATGCAATAAACAAATAAAGTGTGATTGAATACTTTAAAACAGATGTTTTGCATGTGTCATTAAGTAATACTGTTGTTTCACTGGCGGGGTAAATTTTTCACTGTGAATCTCTAAAACTATATTAGCTACGTGTCTATATGCGTTTTCTTTTAATCGTATATTTAATATAAACCTTTCAGGTTTACCCTTAGTTTACTCAAAGATTAAAGTAAATAAATATATAAATGCCACTATCAAATCCTTGGGAAATTGAATTTATTTTTAGTTATCAGGGTGCTATTGTATTTACTTTTTAATGATGTTAAATAATACCACCGGTTGCTATATCGTTATCTCATACTTAATCATAGTGATGATCATACGCTTCAATAAATTATTTTTCCTTAGGAGGACATCAAATCGTTGTGTTCATACGTCTGCAAAGAGTATGGTGCTACGTTTAAGACTGTTGATTACGTCAACACATTTAAAGGATTATTTTTGAAAGTTGAACAAGAAATTGACAGAGTGAAACGGAAGGAAGAAGAAGCAACAGAACAACAAGACAGGTGTAACATTAATGTAACATTTCTGGGATATTATCTTTCAGATGTATCGTTTATTTCATTTCTACATACATTAGTACAGTGTCTAATAGAGATGGCGCATAATTGAGGCTAAGTGTGTATTAAAGGAAATGTGGTACTATTTGTTGACATTAATTTTTTGTCTAAGAACGCCACGCGGGATTATCCACGTTAGTTCAAGGTTTCGTCGCGATCCACGCGCACTGGAAGAAGAAGAGGAGTCCTGGTTTGATCGGGATGATGATGAAGATGAGCAAAAAAGTGAAGTCGTTACATCTCCTGAAGATGACTTTAAATCGTACAGTAATTTTAAAAAGAAAACGGAAATCGTTTCAAACAAGGTTTGTGACTATATCATCTGACCACGATCACTGTTTAATAAATGAAATATGACCCACGATCACTGTTTAATAAATGAAATATGACCTTTGTTTGATTACAGATTGTTGGATTGGTTGATTATCCCGATGATGACGACGACGACGATGACGTCACATCATCACAGGCCAAGCGTCCCCGCCTTGGTCCTACTTGATCTGCGTGGATAAAAAGGAGTGATACAAACTTGGTTTGTCGGTACTTTTCTTTCAACCCGCTTGTAGCAATAGGGATTTCCCCGGGTAACGATAGATGAGAGATTTTATTCGCTATTGCTCCAGAGTTCGGGTTTTTCTAGGATATTTATAACTGTTTATCTGTATATATATATTCTTATATATTGACGGCATATTGAAACTTTCACTCAAACGTAATGAACTGGATGAGTCCATACTCTGAGGAGGACTGGAATAGATTTGTAACAAAGAGTTTTTTCGATAAGCGTGAGCTGAGTCAATCATTAACCTAGTTGTTGTCAGTGAACTGTACGATAAACTGGACGGCTAACTCCATTAGTACTGCTATAGGGCATTTTAAATCGCCCTTATATGCATTTATATCAAAGTTTTTCCGTTACGTCTGGTTCTCAGTAAGCCACTTGAGTCGTTCCGAGTTGTTTTGTTGTTTTTCAAAACGACAGGGACGACTCAAGCTATATAATTCTCATATATTCGTACTAGCGCTGCCGAGAGACTGTTTAATTAATTTTTTCGCGAAACATTTGAAAATGGCAGCTGCTGTTTATCAAAGACAAAGGCTACTTATTTGCTTCTTGAAATTGTTTTGCGCCATAAAAAGGTCGCTTGCATTTCTTAACGGTCGTTTCTGTCGTCCTTATAGAGCAAAGTTCTATCCAAGCGACCCTAGTCGTTTCAGTCGTGCGAGTCATTTGAGGTTATCCCAGTCTCTTCTGAAATGTTCTCACACAGTCGCTCGGGTCGTCTGTGAAATTTTTGGCACGACTCGGACGACTATATGAGAACCAGGCTTTAATAAATAGCTTGTGTGATATAACCATTGAACTAAAATACATGGAACGCTACCTGAAGCAAATAATTGAAGCCAAATCTTACACCCAGACACGCGAGATTTTACCCCAGACACGCGTGTTTAGTGTTTCGAGATTCTCTCGCGGAGTGACCTACACACCCGTGTCTGGGTGTAAGATTTGGCTTCAAAAATTATTAGGCTTTTCTATTACATGTAGCGTTGTATTTTATTTCAACGGGTAAAACTTATCCTTACTTCGCATCTTTTGTACCTCGTGAATTTTTAAAAATAATTTCGAATTTCTAAAAATTTCGATAATTGACTTAAATTTTAACTTCAAAGATTGCGTTATAGTTTATATTTTAGTTCACTGGTAGCTGACGGTTTTCCTTTTGCAATGCTCTACGGGAAGACCATTTCGTCCCCAGTCTCCGGAAGCAATCCTCTGGCATACATTACAAAAAACGGATTGCGCACCGCTCCATAGTTTGCCAATAGTGGAATTCTTATAATTTTTAGGAAACTTGAAACCCTGATATTTCCATTGAAGGAATTTGTTGTAAGCCATTTCGTTGTTTGCGAGATACTTCATGTATTCAGCGAGGGCCCGAGGTGACGCAAAATTTCTTACTTCGATAACGGAATTATTCAAATTGCCTGGTAGAAAATCGTGAATTTTATCCGTTCCCATGAAAACGGGCACGCTACCTGCACTTAGGGCGTAGAAAAGTTTTTCGTCCACAAAATAATCGCAGTCATTATTCAAAAAAACTAACGTAAATTTATAAGTTTTGTAAAGATTTATCAATGACATCGAAACTTTCGAGAAGTTTTGTTCATTCCTTTTCTCGATGTGTTCAGGGAGATCTGTGTTGTGCAGACAGCCACCATATGAATCGACATCTATTTCTTTCATCAGCTCTATTAGATATTCTGTTCTTACTTTTTCGCAATGGCTGTACAACGCAACAGCCAGAGTTTTTCGCTTTTTTGAAAAAGAAACTGGTCGTGGATGTAGCAGAGGCTTGGGGAAAAGCGAGAGGAAAATCTGAATGAAGATGATAGCTTAAGTAGAAGTTAAATTTTGCCATAATCTTCGTACTACTCAAAGCGGCGGTGAATTTGGGACTCTCGTTTGTGTGTAATATCCAACGAATGTTTTGATTGCTAGATGTTTCTTCTGCTGTTGGCATTTCCTCTATATTTCTTGCATGAACAACAATAGCAGATGCCGTGTTTATTAGCGAGTGATCGGTGGTCAGTCTGCATTTCATGGGGCACGAATCTCCTGTGTAAAAATATGGCCATGAGGTTTCATCTTCGACATTTACCTGTCTTCCAAATACACTTGTCCAGTATATAATGACTGGCTGTTTTCTTTCCTTATCACTTCCCGAGTACTTAAAAACTTTGGACGTTTTTTGCTCTCTTTCGTATCTCCACACGTGATTTATTTGCAAGAAAATATAATTTGTTGCTGGTAGAAGATTCCAACGAAAGTCTATGTATACATTCATCAAAATCCACATGACAAATGTTACAACTGCTGTATACAAAGTCAATTTGCTTGGACGTTTGAGCAACATAGAATATAGATCACATCCACAGCAACGCTATTTTTTTAGCAAAGTTTTGCGAAGTCTTCAAACTAGATTATGTTTGCCAAACTTCGAACTGGTTGATAACTTTTCATCATTGTTCTTGAGTTACAAAACCATGTGACGACAGGTAAGACATCTTTGATTATTTGGATTTCACCAAACATCGGCAGTGCGGGTGTATTCGCATAGGGAATTGAAAAGAGATCTGGCTAAATTTCTTGCTTACTGTTGGTACATCTTATCTCAATATAAAGTCACAATTTTGCCCATGCCTCTATTGCTGGAAACGAGCTCATCCACTTGCATTTCTCAACTTGTAACTCAAGGTTTCCTCATATTGCTGTAAATGTTTCATCTAGATATCTTTTTACTGGCAAAACTACAGTTCGTATTCGATTCCATCGAATTGTACATCAGTGTGCGGAGTATAGAGATGATGAAGCTTTCATCTCATGATTTTATAAAGTATCCCTTGTCTTTCACAACAGTAAAGTCTGCCATGAAAGTTCAAGAAAGTGTATGAAGTATACTCTATGGCATGAAAATTCGTGAATTATAGTCTTTTGCATGAAAATTTGTGAAATTTAGTCTGTTGCATAATAATTCGTGAATTCTAGTCTTTCACATGAAAATTCGTGAACTATAGACATTTTCTTGAAAATAGTAAAATAAAGTCTTTTGCATGAAAAATCGTCTTTTACATGAAAATTCGTGAACTATAGTCTTTTGCATGAAAAATCGTGAATTATTGTCTTTTGCATGAAAAATCGTGAATTATAGTCTTGGATGAAAATTTGTGAAATTTAGTCTTTTCCATGAAAATTCGTGAGCTATAGTCTTTTGCGTCAAAATTCTTGAACTATAGTCTTTTACATGAAAATTTGTGAAATATAGTCTTTTGCATGAAAAATCGTGAACTATAGTCTTTTGCATGAAAAATCGTGAATTATAGTCTTTTGCATGAAAAATCGTGAACTATAGTCTTTTGCATGAAAAATTGTGAAATATAGTCTTTTGCATGAAAATTTGTGAAATTTAGTCTTTTGCATGGAAAATCGTGAACTATAGTCTTTTGCATGAAAATTCGTGATCTATAGTCTTTTGCATGAAAATTCGTCATCTATAGTGTTTTGCATGAATATTCGTGAAGTATAGTCTTTTGAATGAAAATTGATGAACTATAGTCTTTTGAATGAAAATTCGTGAACTATTGTCATTTGCATGAAAAATCGTGAATTATTGTCTTTTGCATGAAAAATCGTGAACTATAGTCTTTTGCATGAAAAATTGTGAACTATAGTCTTTTGCATGAAAAATCTTGAATTATAGTCTTTTGCATGAAAAATTGTGAATTATAGTCTTTTGCATGAAAAATCGTGAACTATAGTCTTTTGCATGAAAAATCTTGAATTATAGTCTTTTGCATGAAAATTCGTGAATTATAGTCTTTTGCATGAAAATTTGTGAAATATAGTCTTTTGCATGAAAAATCGTGAACTATAGTCTTTTGCATGAAAAATCGTCATCTATAGTGTTTTGCATGAATATTCGTGAAGTATAGTCTTTTGAATGAAAATTGATGAACTATAGTCTTTTGCATGAAAAATCGTCTTTTATATGAAAATTCGTCTTTTACATGAAAATTCGTGAACTATAGTCTTTTGCATGAAAATTCGTCATTACATAAAAATTCGTGAAATATAGTCTTTTGCATGAAAAATCGTGAATTATAGTCTTTTGCATGAAAAATCGTGAACTATAGTCTTTTGCATGAAAAATCTTGAATTATAGTCTTTTGCATGAAAAATCGTGAATTATAGTCTTTTGCATGAAAATTCGTCTTTTGCATGAATATTCGTGAACTATAGTCTTTTGCATGAAAATTCGTGAAATATAGTCTGTTGCATAATAATTCGTGAATTCTAGTCTTTCACATGAAAATTCCTGAACTATAGACATTTTCTTGAAAATAGTGAACTATAGTCTTTTGCATGAAAAATCGTCTTTTACATGAAAATTCGTGAACTATAGTCTTTTGCATGAAAAATCGTGAACTATAGTCTTTTGCATGAAAAATCGTGAATTATAGTCTTTTGCATGAAAATTCTTGAATTATAGTCTTTTGCATGAAAATTTGTGAAATATAGTCTTTTGCATGAAAAATCTTGAATTATAGTCTTTTGCATGAAAATTCGTGAATTATAGTCTTTTGCATGAAAATTTGTGAAATATAGTCTTTTGCATGAAAAATCGTGAACTATAGTCTTTTGCATGAAAAATCGTGAATTATAGTCTTTTGCATGAAAATTCTTGAATTATAGTCTTTTGCATGAAAATTTGTGAAATATAGTCTTTTGCATGAAAAATCGTGAATTATAGTCTTTTGCATGAAAATTTGTGAAATTTAGTCTTTTGCATGAAAAATCGTGAACTATAGTCTTTTGCATGAAAATTCGTGAACTATAGTCTTTTGCATGAAAAATTGTGAATTATAGTCTTTTGCATGAAAATTCGTGAATTATAGTCTTTTGCATGAAAATTTGTGAAATATAGTCTTTTGTATGAAAATCGTGAACTATAGTCTTTTGCATAAAAATCGTGAATTATAGTCTTTTGCATGAAAAATCGTGAACTATAGTCTTTTGCATGAAAAATCGTGAACTATAGTCTTTTGCATGAAAAATCGTGAACTATAGTCTTTTGCATGAAAAATCGTGAATTATAGTCTTTTGCATGAAAAATCGTGAACTATAGTCTTTTGCATGAAAAATCGTGAATTATAGTCTTTTGCATGAAAAATCGTGAACTATAGTCTTTTGCATGAAAATTCGTGAACTATAGTCTTTTGCATGAAAATTCGTGAAATATAGTCTGTTGCATAATAATTCGTGAATTCTAGTCTTTCACATGAAAATTCGTGAACTATAGACATTTTCTTGAAAATAGTGAACTATAGTCTTTTGCATGAAAAATCGTCTTTTACATGAAAATTCGTCTTTTACATGAAAATTCGTGAACTATAGTCTTTTGCATGAAAATTCGTCATTACATAAAAATTTGTGAACTATAGTCTTTTGCATAAAAATTCGTCTTTTGCATAACAATTCGTCTTTCGCGTGAAAAATCGTGAACTATAGTCTTTTGCATGAAAATTCTTGAATTGTAGTCTATCATATGAAAAATCGTTTATATAGTCTTTTGCTTGAAAATTCGTAAACTATAGTCTTTTGTATGAAAAATCGTCTTTTACATGAAAATTCGTCTTTTGCATGAAAATTCGTGAACTATAGTCTTTTGCATGAAAATTCGTCTTTTGCATGAAAGTCTTTTGCATGAAAAATTGTCTTCTGCATGAAAATTCGTGAACTATAGTCTTTTGCATGAAAAATTGTCTTTTACATGAAAATTCGTGAACTAAAGGCTTTTGCGCCAAAATTCTTGAACTATAGTCTTTTGCATGAAAATTTGTGAAATATAGTCTTTTGCATGAAAATTTGTGAAATTTAGTCTTTTGCATAAAAATCGTGAACTATAGTCTTTTGCATGAAAAATCGTGAATTATAGTCTTTTGCATGAAAATTCGTGAGATATAGTCTTTTTCATGAAAATACGTGAACTATAGTCTTTACACGAAAATTTGTGAAATATAGACTTTTTCATGAAAATACGTTAAATATAGTCTTTGCATGAAAATTCGTGAAATATAGACTTTTTCATGAAAATACGTGAACTATAGTCTTTTGCATGAAAATTCGTGAACTATAGTCTTTTGCATGAAAATTGTGAACTATAGTCTTTTGCATGAAAATTCGTGAACTATAGTCTTTTGCATGAAAATTCGTGAACTATAGTCTTTTGCATGAAAAATCGTGAATTATAGTCTTTTGCATGAAAATTCGTGAATTATAGTCTTTTGCATGAAAATTCGTGAAATATAGTTTTTGCATGAAAAATCGTGAACTATAGTCTTTGCATGAAAAATCGTGAATTATAGTCTTTTGCATGAAAAATCGTGAACTATAGTCTTTTGCATGAAAAATCGTGAACTATAGTCTTTTGCATGAAAAATCGTGAACTATAGTCTTTTGCATGAAAAATCGTGAATTATAGTCTTTTGCATGAAAAATCGTGAATTATAGTCTTTTGCATGAAAATTCGTGAAATATAGTCTTTTGCATGAAAATTCGTGAACTATAGTCTTTTGCATGAAAAATCGTGAACTATAGTCTTTTGCATGAAAAATCGTGAATTATAGTCTTTTGCATGAAAATTTGTGAAATTTAGTCTTTTGTATGAAAAATCGTGAACTATAGTCTTTTGCATGAAAAATCGTGAATTATAGACTTTTGCATGAAAAATCGTGAACTATAGTCTTTTGCATGAAAAATCTTGAATTATAGTCTTTGCATGAAAAATCGTGAATTATAGTCTTTTGCATGAAAATTCGTGAAATATAGTCTTTTGCATGAAAAATCGTGAACTATAGTCTTTTGCATGAAAAATCGTGAATTATAGTCTTTGCATGAAAAAATCGTGAATTATAGTCTTTTGCATGAAAAATCGTGAATTATAGTCTTTGCATAAAAAATCGTGAACTATAGTCTTTTACATGAAAATCGTGAACTATAGTCTTTTGCATGAAAAATCGTGAATTATAGTCTTTTGCATGAAAAATCGTGAACTATAGTCTTTTGCATGAAAAATCGTGAACTATAGTCTTTTGCATGAAAAATCGTGAACTATAGTCTTTTCATGAAAATCGTGAACTATAGTCTTTGCATGAAAAATCGTCTTATATGAAAATTCGTCTTTTGCATGAAAATTCGTGAACTATAGTCTTTTGCATGAAAAATCGTGAACTATAGTCTTTGAAAATAAATATCGTCTCTTTACATGAAAATTCGTCTTTGTGAAATATAGTCTTTTGCATGAAAAATCGTGAACTATAGTCTTTTGCATGAAAAATCGTGAATTATAGTCTTTTGCATGAAAAATCGTGAACTATAGTCTTTTGCATGAAAAATCGTGAATTATAGTCTTTTGCATGAAAAATCGTGAACTATAGTCTTTTGCATGAAAATTGTGAACTATAGTC